TAAAAAAATTCACTTTTTTTTGGTTATTTAATTTATTTTAGGGCTATTTATATATATATCTATATATTTTATATTTTTTTAGTATATAATATATATAAATATATATAAATAAATTAGTAATTTTTTTATTTTATTTAAATTACTATTTAGTAACTAGTAATTACTATTTAGTAAATTAGCCCTACCCTGCTCTGGGGCGCGAGGCCATTTTCATCTTCATCTCCATCTTCATATTCCTCTCCCTCTCTCTCTCTCTCTTCATGTGAATCTGCACGTCGGAGCCAGCTGGCCCGATGTGGCGTTATGCCGCACACACAGCCTTACCCCCTCCCTCCCTCCCCAGCGGCCATTATCCAGCAAATGACCCATCGATGCACCGCAAGTCGTCCCCTAATGCCGCTCGCGATATTGTTTTCATCTGCAGACAATAATGCACTTGCACGTTGGGCCATTAGTCACGTCGACATGTGCCCCCACAGCCTACAGTCCATATAATGCTGCTGCGTTAGCTCGCCCCAACTACACAGCTATCCATCCTGCTTGGTTGGTACTTGGACCGTCCTTGCGCGACTCATCATATGGCCTTTTGCTGCACCTCTGCTTACTACTGCTGCTGACCGGCCAAGATCGTGCAGTACATCTCCACCACACCTACGTGGCCGATGCACGCCCCTCAACCCCAATCCACGGCGGCAGAATTCCATCTCAACATTGCTGGTTCCGGCGACCTGGACGTGGTGCAGCTGCCCCTGTCTTCGCTTGCTGCCCTCTTTGATTTGATAACATTAATACGCTCTGATAATGGTGGAAGCCAACCCCATGATGGAATATCGAATTTTTGCCCACTCCACCTTAACCCGGGCCGCTATACACATTACATATAATAACAAACATCGCAACCCCGACACAGATTCTGCAACGTTTCGATGCGACGTTGATCTTGGCGCACATTTGCCTTGGTTTTACCAGCGATAGAGCCGAAATTGCGTCAATTTTGCCATGCGCTTAGTCTAGGCCGCACAGCACCTGGAACCCGCCAGTAACTCGATCTCTGAGGCTACATGTTCAGAGTCACCATCCAGGTTTGTTAGAGCAGGCCAACGCGCCTCGTGTTTTTGCCGTCATTATAGACTACCAATTTCGATATATGGGAGGAAGCAGCGATCAGGCCTTGTTACCTCATCGAGAACAGAACAGTAAATTCGACACTAAACTGACCATGTCAAAAACCTTCGAGGTCGCCTCATGAATCGAACGCCAGAATCGAACCTTCGTCCCCTGCTCCGATCCAACACGGACCAAAGACCAAACTGACTCAGCCTCATGCCAGACCCACCGCTGCCTCCTCGGATGTGCCGCACAGCGCTCAGTCCAAGTCCGCGCTTTTCCCACCCGCTTCCGAATCCCTGGCCCAGAAAAGACTGTCCCTCCCGGCATGCATGGGCTTTCTTGGATTTGGGTGATGAAGATCGCCATCACACTTCTGCATCTGGCATTTGCCTCGGCCAAACCTGCCAATTGAAGACTCTGGGTGCCTTTGCAAGGGTCCTACGAGCGAACATGATACGATTTTTAATTCTTTGTAAGACGCTTCTTGCTGTTATCCGGCATCTTGTTGCTGCTAACGGCACATCATGAACTTTCAATACCCACTAACGCTCCGATGCCAATGAAGATAAACCAGAGCTAGGCTTAGCCAACCTTTATCTACTAGACTATAGCAAGTCGCATTATTTTCTATATATTCTCTGTCAACTTGCTGCCTTTCCTATGCGTTTATTAATGTAGTGCACAACTCGGCTTCGGCCTCGGAACTTCCCGTTGCGTGATTATTTCAAGCCAAGACGTGGACGCTGATCTCTGTGAGAAAAATAGACATGGCGTCATCGTCATTATCACAACGGCCCGTCAATACACAAAACGGCCTTTGCTCGGCCAAGACGTTGGAAAGATAACGCGACATACATGTAGTCAAGCATTTTGATACCCAAACGAATGAACAGACTACTCCCCACCAAAGAAGCATCCACTCCCCCACAGAAGCTGACTTTCCAAACTCACACGATCCTCACTCCTTGATCAAACTTTTCAATCACACCACCAACTCCTTTCTTTCCCCAAACCTCCAACCTCCAACCTCCCACCTCCCCTGCCAACCTCGTTCCATTGCCACATCCAAGTTTTGCAGCCCAACAGCATGGTAACTATCGGCCCCATTGCCCCGATCGCGCCCAGGGGGTGTCGATCTCCTTTTCCAACGGTACTTAATCGGCCCTGAGGCCTTGTACGTTGTACATTGTACATGATGGCGTACATGGTTTGCGTACATCCCCAAACGATATGGGGTAGGTATTGCCGGACATCTCACGTGAAATTTGTGGGTCGTCTACGTGTACGTGTGCTGTAGAGCAAAGCTCGGGTAGCCTAGGCGAAATTGGTAGGGGGGTGGTTTATGTGAGAGGTTTTTGGGCCCGGGGGGACGGGGAAGTGGGTATTATTGTTTGATGTTAATTTGGCAAGGGAGGGGGGAGTGATCTTCCGGACCAAATTCTTCGGCATCGTGGGCGGCATCCAAGGCGGCTTCATGGTCGGCATCCATGTCGGTATTCACTTCGGCAATTCTTTGGGCACTGAAGTACAACCTTGTGTAATTGATAAGACCCACAGTTTCCCCATTCGACGCTGACGGCTGCAAAAGGTCTTGTGGCAATCATCCTGGCCATATCGAAACCGCCTAGGTGTCGAATTCGTCTTATCAATCACAGTCGCGCCTACACTATGTCCGACACAAGTATATCGAGATGGGTAATGAGTCGTCAGTACTGATCTGAAGGCCGCTCACTGCCAAAGTGCAAAGAGTTCGCCTTTGATAATAGATCATCAGCTTCCAGTCTTCGGACCATTTTATGCCCATGTCCTTAGATCACTCACTCAGCCTTGTTGCTACACTCCCCCGATACGCCCCTGCTTTAGCTACTCCATCGATACCCACTGAACATCTTTCCTCTACTATTTCTACCTTCTGTATAGCTATCTCAATGTAATTGACTGCACTATCGAGGGTGCCTGTCAAGTTTGCCATTTTATTAGGACGTTGGAGAAAATCCGATCCCGCTCTGGAATTCTAATCCGTACCATCAACCCAAGTACTGGTACTTTAAATGTCCCGAAGGCTAGCATTTGGAAGACGCATACGTGATGGTCATTCCTCATCATGGTATCGTCGTGACCTGAGGCGTTATTGTTAACGTCACACTACAGCAAGGCTTGCGAATCACACCACGCCACCCCCAGCACTAATGTTCATCAGTAGGTCTCTTTGGCTGGTATGCACGCGAACAGATGACTTCAGCGTAACTGATAGGTATGCTGTGTTTCTTCTCAGCCTTCCTCAGCCTTCACATAGCAAGATGTACTCTGGGATTAGGCACTTCTTAAACCCCTCTTTTTCCCCTCAGCCTTCATTGTCTCTTTCCCGTTTGCCCACCCGCCAGCGTTAAGCCAAGCTGAAAGCTGTAGCGACTCACCGCAAGACATCCCTCGTTTCGAAAGACTCTGTACTAGTTATAATCATAATGCGCATCCCCGTGTTTCAAAATCGACCATCCTCGGGCCATTCCAAACCGACATATCGCCGCGATTTCTTATGGGCAATCGGGCTGAATGTGCTGAATGATCTGTGGCTTCGCCTCAGGGGATATAAACTGGATAAAGAGCCAAAAAAGTCAATTTACAGGTCCTCTCGCTGGAAAGCATTGCAACGTTGCGCAGTGCATATACTTCCATGCCTTGTTTCACTCATCATGGCTACACTTCAGCTAAGGCACTACTACATGGGCAAGGAAATCACCGGCGCGCGTAATAGCACCTCTTTGTACATGGCAATGCTCCAAGTTGCAGCAAAGACCCAAGAGCTGCTCATGATCGCCAGCCTCGCAACAATTGTCGTGCATAGGTTACGTATCGACCTGCTAGATGGACCCGGCATACCGTTTGGACTTCTAGGAGCAACCTCGTTATTTAACCAGATAAGCTTTTTCTGGTCGTCGGCTTTCATCGGCTCCTCCCGGGCAGGTGGAGGTAAGTTGTGGATGCCGAAGGTGCTTGTACGAAATACGTTGACTCAATGTTCACTTCAACAGCCAACGCAGGAACACCAGATTACTAGGGCTCGTACTAGTCTCAGGACTGATCGCCGCCACCGCAGGACCAGCAGTTGCCATATTACTTATGTACGTGATTCCTCGTAGCGATATTGATGAACCCCGTACACTGACTTCTGACCTCGACTACAAGTCCGCGGGAGCATATCTGGGATGCGGGCGGAAGCATATTCTGGCTCAACGGAACCCACGATGATTATGGGCCTCATAGAGTGGGATTAGAACATTACATGCCAGAAATCGATCTTGGACCTAATCAAGCAAACTGCACAAGTCGGTACGCATATACGAATCCTCTTTGTCCAGCGGGTGGGTATCAGGCCCTAATACACAAAATATATTCTGGCCAGTTTTGGTCTAATATCTGCGATGCGAAGAACTCGCTATATACACCAGAAGATTTCCTAAGTTTGGGCACCACTACTCTGGTCGGAAACCCGGCCTTTAACTTCCAGATGAAGGATTATATACTGTTTTCGATTGGAATGGGACATGAGGCACTTCATTCGGCTGCAATTGCCATTCACGGACCGGCTGCGTGGGTTGGTGAGACGCTTGGGAATGATTGGTACAACGCATCGTTTAACGCAAAGTATGATCTCAGGACTCAAAGCATGCGTTACAAATATTTCGCAACTTCAAAATCCTTTGTCGACGCACCCGTACCAGCTGTTCGAGTGGTGTGTGGCATCCCGACACCACTCGATCGGCTTCAAACCACGGTGAGTTTTCCAGTGACCCTCGATCACGAACACGCCTCAGAGCTTTTCGAAAATGGGGGCCCTCTGCCTCGGGCGATGGAACGTATGAACATCCAGGATGATAGTATGCATCTTCGTTCTTATACCGAGTTTGTAAGAGTATTTAGAGTTAGGTTGGCGAACTCAACTTGGACAAACGCTACAATGGGTTTATTAGTTGGTAAGTTGCAACGTGGCGAAGAGTGGTGACGAACGACAACAACCTCAGCTGACATCGAAATTTACTGCGTACTAGAGTTTCCCTGGTCAAACAGTACCTCCCGAAACGTATCTGGGTGCGTCTTAGATCCACGTTGGGTTGAAGGCGGAATCGTGTACGAGAAGGGCATGACGCCACAACCCTCATTGCGACATAGCAGCGTAAATAAGACTTCGATATACGGGAGGCTTGACCTCTTCAAGCCCACTCCTACGTGGACTCGAATCGACATGACTGAAGCCCTTTTTGATGCTATCAATTTTCCCTTACCTAATACGTTGGCTGCGCCTATCTTCGGCCTCCCAACTATGATCCAGCCCACCAACGCAACATCCTTAGAGGCTCTAGTTATAGCGCATCTTAGCCGGGATGGCCTTCCTAAATGGCCTGCTGAGGTTATGTCGCATTCACTGGCGATGCTCTTTGCAGATGCACTCGCCAGAGTGGGCAGCTGGCGAACGCCTCCCCAAAGTCCACATCCTGACAGAAGAAGCGATTGGGCTGCCCAGCTCCTGAAAGGTGACCATGGCGGAAACGCATATACCGACCCACCAATAGACAGTCGCGGTACGGTCACATATTTCAAGATGAAACAAATCATCACTGGCTGTACGTTCTATCTCGGCTTTAATATGACCCGATCCTTTGCTGACATTTTATTTGCTAGATGCATACAAGGCCAGCGAAAAGACCGACTATCTTGCCCTAGCCGTAGTATTTGCGATCTATCCATTGCCCTTTTTCACACCATCCAGTTATTAGTGTCAAAAGAGAGCTCAGAATGTTGGGATACTTTACCGGAGTTGGTAGCATTGGCACAACAATCAGCTCCCTCAAAGATAGCCCTGAAGAACACATCAGTTGGTATATACAGCATTCGAACCTTCAGGCATAATGTCAGAGTACTGGTTTCTAGAGATGATGAGGAGCATGTGGAACTGAAGTTTGACAAGGATCACGAAGGCGATGTTTTGAAGAAGCCAGATGGTTTGCAGAAGTACGGCTGAACTTGAACGCAGTAGCTAATAGACACTTGGAGGAGAGCTTTTCGGTTTATGCTTAACTCAATACATACGCAGATTATAGTGTCCACACCTCTACTATTTTCTATTATCCTACCACTTCACGCTAACGTAGTCTTAGCTCTTGAACCCTCGAAGCTCCACCATGAAAATTGGGTAAACTTTTGCATAAATAGACTGCGCTTTTGTATGTGTTGTCGGAAGCATTCATCTTCCTACCACTATCATATCTTACTAGGAATGCTGATAGTCATATTCGCGTGGGAAGAGAAGGAGTGACATAAGTCCAAAATGAGATACTGACAATATATATTCACAGTCCAAGAGGAATTGCGAGTGCAACGACTTCACGGCGCATACCGTGATAGATAAACCAGACTGATACTTAAAAGTATAATTACTGTTACAGTAAGTGGGCAGAGTAACCAGCTAGCATGCTGGCGAGAAATCTTTTCTAATACACTTCTATTTAGATAGAATGTAGAACCAAAATTGCTCACTGGACCATTTTAGGAGATGCTTAGATTAAGAGATTGTCAATGTTTTGAGCGGCTTGTAACTTTTCTAATCGCAGGAGCCTGATACGCACGACAGGAAATCGGGAGCATCGGGTCAAATGACAGAAAAACCCCATCATCATATGGTCAGTGCGAGTCTACTACTTCCCACTATCCGAGACATACGGAGTACGTCATCAGATGAGTCGCAAAAAGCAGGTCTTTATAAGCATACATGTGTATCTTCACTATTTCGTCCCTTTCTTGGTTCGGCCTGCTGCAATACACAAGGGCAGCTTCAGCTTCTCAAACCTCGCTGGCTGCACGGTTGAAATTAATTAGTACATCGACCAGGGATCGTTTGTAAAGAGTAAAATTGATGGAATCATCCCGCTGGGGGAGCAATTGTGTTGAATAATTCTCTATATGGCAACGTTGGCGCAACTGAAAGCCGGCTTGACCGATCCAGAGTAATCGTCAATGATGGCCTCGACAGCAGCGTACAGTCCCGGACCAAGCAAGAACAAGCCGCAAAACATGACCAGGATGTGTATGACCGTTAGGATGCTTCTGCTGAGACCGCGGAAGAGCCTGCCCTTGAAGAGTTGCCAGTATGCGACGGCAAAATAGATGAAGCCAAAAAACGAGTCAAAAGCCGCACCGAGCAGCGAGAGGAAGTCACCCATGGAGGGAATGACTTCTGCGAAAATAAAACCAATGATCCAGATGACAGCCATGACAGCAACCCACACGCCCCACCCAACAACCGTGTTGCTGTGGCCATGCCTGCTGTTACCCATAATACGGTTGTACACAAACTTTGCGCTAACGTTGGCGTAGATGACGCCGATGACCAGCGTCGGCACGATGACAAAGGCAAACGATGCCTTCTTGTACACAACAGGACCCAGGCTACCAAAAGCCGGGGCACTGGCGTACTGTCCAAGATATCTGAAGCCAATCGCGGGCGGGATGATGAAGAGGATGGCAGAGATGCCTCCCAACACAGCGAGTGCCTTGGGGAAATCCTGGGGCCTCTCCATCTCGGAGATGAAGGTGGGGAACAGGATCTGCGGAACCCAGAGGAAGGTGATGTTGAGCACGGCGTTCATAGCAGCAACGAATGTGGTTCCCTTTGGTGGGAAGGCGTAGGTCTTGACAGGACCGAGCGTGGGGTAATCGCCATTGGGGCCGTAGAGCGGTGCGTCCTCGATACCGGCGAAGATGAGAAAGAGCAAAATAGCCATGCCCATGCATGCAGCCGAAAACATGGACATGAAGGAGATGTGGTTGAGGGTCCTCGGTAGCGACATGACAATGCCCATGAGAGTGACAATGACGGAGAAGACGACAGTGCACAGGGAGTGATCAGAGAGAGTGTTGATCACCTTAGCGCCGGTCAGGATGTGGAAACCGATAAGCATGATGTTATTCAGTAGCAACATGATGGCCGTAAACTCGTAGGCGATTTTGCTCTTGCCGAAAGCGTAGTAACCGAAGTCGCAAATGTCTTTGATCTGCGGATGCTTCATAATAAACTTGTGCATCGTCAGGGAGGTGATGTAGAAGAGCGTGCCAGCGACGAGCATTGTGATTATGCCAGGCACCCATCCGAGGACGCTGCAATCTGTAAGCTGGAATGGAATGGAACGGAATGGGGACAGAGAGTAGGCGTACGAAAGCGACCATGATTGAGCCATGATGGCAAGACACACTTGGTCTCCAGCAAGCAACCAAGCGGCTCTTTGCCATGACATGGTGCGAAGCTTGATGTCATGTTGATTATCTTCGGCAAGCAGAGCATTGATGACCTCGGTGTTGTTGTCACTGTCATGGTCTGAATCCAGGTCCGCAACGGCGCGGTCGTGCTTCTTCTCGTCATCGTAGAGGGTAGCCATTGCACTGGAACTGTAGACGGCAATGCGGAACTTGAGATGCAGAAAGTGTACAGGCGTACATGGGTAGTGCAGCAGCGGACATGGGGTACTTATGAATGAAGATCTGCCTGCATCTCCTGCCTGCTGCCCTGCCTGAGAATCTAATAAGCGATGCGCTGATAGCTGAGCAGAATGGCGTGCTCCCCAAACAAGCGGGTTCGCCGTGCATCTGGACCCTCGTTTCCAAGCCACGCTTATCCCGGCGCACGGGCCTTTGGAGAAGACTTCGCACGTGCGATTCGCTCGCTGCCACGCTTAGCCCCAAAGCTTACCGCGTCTTGTCCCGTTGAAGCTGTCTGGGCAGGGTACGCGTTCTGACGACCCATAGTTAATTCTCCGCTGTCGTGGCCGGGTGCTCAACACTGTTAGTCAGTCGAATCAGAATGAAGGCGAATAAGAAAAACCTGTCGTCCGGCCCAAGCCGCTCGTGTAAACCAAATTTCGTGTTAATTATTTGCGTTCTCCCTACAGGAAACTTTATTAATTATTACTAACTAAGTAAATTAATAATAACAGGCACTAACTAACTAATTATAATAATAATAATAACAGTAACAACAACAGCAGCTATAATGCAACACGACAGTCTTCCCTACCTCTCTAATAATAATAGCACTACTCTTACCTATCCTAAATAGCTAGCTTTAGTATAACTAAGTATAATACTATTACTATTTAAGCCCTGCTTGCCTCTTTTTAAAGGCAAGCATAAAACTTAGCTTTATTTTTATTTATTTTTTTTTTCTTATTTGCAAGCTTACTAAGAGCGTTTCCTTATAAAAAAGCTTTTATTATTACTACTATAGTAGCGTTACTAAAAGTAGCATGCTTAAGCACTAAGTAGGCAAACATATAGATAGAAATAGCTTCTATGCTATTTATATAGGCCTTTAGCTTGCTATAAGCAGCAATAACCTAAATATTAGTAATACTAAATTGCTTAAAATAGCGCCTTCTAAACTATAGCAGTAGTATGTAAAAATTATTAAGAGCAAAGTATAATTTAGCAGTTTATAAGGCGATAGATTTAATAGTGCTAGTACTAGTATTAGTAGTAGTCTAGAAGATTGCAAAGTGCAAGCAATAGGACAGCTTATTTAAAATAAGGACGCAGCAGTTATTAAAAGTAGATATTATTTTATAATTAACAATAAACAATAGACAGTAGTAGTAGTAGTAGTAGTAAATAAAAGTAATAGATAAAAGATATAAACAACGTTTTTTAGATAAAGTAGCTGCCTGCTTAAGAAGTTATAGCCTTTTAAAAAGTATTTTAAAAAGCTTAATAACAACAATAATAATAATAATTTATAGTTATATTCCTACTAAGCTTAGCTTAAGGCAGGGTTAGTAGTGCTTTTAATAAAGCTAGACTATTAGAAAACAAAAGCTAGTTTTTAAAGCGGCGTTAGCATGCTAAGCCTTTAGCTAGGCCGTTGTACTTGCTAAGCCTAAGCATTAACTACCTGCAATAAATAAGACTAGCGTTTCTATATATACTTATATTTTATTACGCTTTTTGTGTTTTTTCCCTTACTAGTAGAGGGGATTTACTGGTTTGGACTATTTGTGTCTATTTTGTAATACCCTATCTCGTTGTCTATATAAAACTCTATAAAAAAAAAAAAAAAAAGAAAAACCTGTCGCACCGAGCCCACGCTATCATGTAGAAAAGCCCCGGACCTCGTCATCCGCACCGAACATGTGGGGGACCCCGACGTGTTTAGCAGTGTGAGAAGCGAACAGAAACTTGGTTATCGCCAGGCACGAAGATAGATAAGACCTGTAGCCGTCTTGTGTAGCCTGCTCACCACAGATGGCACGATTGCGATATTATGCACTCTTCTTGCCTGTACTTTCAACCAGAAGTCTGAAGGTGACTGCCTCACGGTCTGCTCCCCACGCGTGCGAGAAGATTAGCAAATTACTTAGGATTCAAGGTGCGCGGGGGGCTGGTCTCACATGAGTATCTTGCTTATTTGGCGCCAACCGAGAGCATTTGGCTTAGTTCACAGACGTAAGATTGAGCATCTCACCACTAGAGGGAGGATTGCAGATTGGCTTCAACTATACGGTTGCGCCTGAGGTGCTGATTCTCAATACCTCGACGTAGTAACGACTGCCACCACAATTTCTGCGCAAAATATTCTCGAGAAGGTCAAAGGCAGTAGTAAAGGTCACCATACTCCCTACCACTCCATAGCCCACACACCTACCACGACAGCAAGTATCCTAGAAGAATACGTAGACTTGTGCAGTACCAAGGAGCTCGCGAAATGGAGCATAGTCGAAAACACAAGACACAAACGCCTGTCTTTTCGACCCTTGATAATGGTGAAATGTATCAGGGAAGGATTCTAAGAGAGGCAAGGGGTAGAATGAAGTGAGGAGAAGACGGGTTACACATATTTAAGCAGCGCCGTATACCCAGTGACATATAGCACGTTGGAGAATACAAGATGCTAATGACTTTCTTTTTCAATTCTCGAAAGATGGTAAAGTGTATTAAGGAAGGGGTTGAGAAAGGAAAAGAGGGAGAGAGAGAGAGAGGGAGAGAGAGGGAAGAGCCCACATGGACTTAAGCAGCACCATATACCTAGTTAAATGCAGCACGTTGGAGACTACAAGACACTACCAGGTTCCTTCTACTTTATCCAAAAGGTGAAGTGTATTAGGTTATGGTATGAGCAAGCGACAGTTAAAATGGAAAAACAGACTCCAAGAATAATGATGGCATTTGAGATGATAAAGAACGAATGCAGATCGCTAAAATCACAAGACGATAACGCCCTATCCAGACTCAACACCTATACACAAAACATATGTACCCAACATCTCGTGTACCACCAATATTTACAGCCTACTCTCCCAACTTCCCGCTGCACCCCGGCCCTCCCACCTCTCGGGCCACACCAGTCCCAACGCCTCCCAAATGTGTCCCACAAACTCAATCTTCAGCCCCTGTTTGACCTCATTCGGCAAATCCCTCGCATCCTTCCTGTTGCCCTCTGGAAGAAGAACCCGCTCGACCCCCGCCCTCAGCGCTCCAATCAACTTCTCCTTGATGCCGCCGACCGGCAGGACCCTACCGCGAAGGGAGACTTCGCCCGTCATGGCCAAGGTGGGCGGAACAGGCTTGCCGCTGAAGAGAGAGATGAGTGCCACGGTGTGAGCGAGGCCGGCCGAAGGGCCATCCTTGGGGATAGCGCCAGATGGGCAGTGGACGTGGATGGAGCGGCTTTTCATGATATCTTCGTCCTCGGAGGCGGATAGGCCTAGTTCAAAGGCGTGGGCTTTGACCCAGGTCAATGCTACTTCTACACTCTCCTTCAATACGTCGCCGAGCTTGCCGGTCAATTGCACGCGCCCTGTGCCGGGCATGTCTGCAATCTCAATGAAAAGAATGGAGCCTTGGCCGCCTGTTGAGTACGCGACGAGACCGGTGATGACGCCGGGACGAGACTGCTGCTCTGTGAGTTCTTCAGCAAATTTTTCGATACCCAGGGTTGCGTCGAGGTCTTCTAGTGTGACGGTGGGACTGTATGCAGCGAGTGTGTTGGTGTCCTTTGCCGTGGCGTATTCAACGGCTTTGGAGCGACATACAGATCCAATTTCGCGCTCTAGGTTGCGGACGCCGGATTCGCGGGTATAAGATGTAATAATCTTGTCGAGGACGTCCGTAGGGATGCTGAGATTCTCTTGATTCAAGCCATTGGTGGTGATTTGCTTTGGTATCAGATGCTTAGAGGCAATGTGGCGCTTTTCGAGGGTGGTGTAACCGGAGAGTTGGATGGTTTCCATGCGGTCGAGAAGCGGCGGCGGTATTGTGTCGAGCGAGTTCGCCGTTGCAATAAAGAGCACCTTCGATAAATCGATAGGAATATTGACATAGTGGTCTGTGAAGGTGTGGTTCTGCTCAGGGTCAAGGACTTCGAGCATCGCCGCGCTTGGGTCGCCATTGTGGTTCGACATGCCCAGTTTATCAATCTCATCAAGCAAGAAGACTGGGTTCGCAACGCCAACCTTCTTCAACCCGCTGACAACAAGACCGGGCATAGCCGCGACATAGGTCCTACGATGCCCACGGATCTCAGCCTCATCACGGACACCACCGAGCGAGATGCGGTGGAACTTGCGACCCAGCGCTATGGCAACCGATTTGGCGAGCGATGTCTTTCCGGTTCCTGGAGGTCCGACGAGGAGTAGGATGGGCGACTTGTCGACCATACGCTTCTTCTCTAGCAATCGTAACTCTGCCTCTGAAGGCTCCCTTGTGACCTTCACTTCATTTTCGTCCTCTTTTGCCTCCACTTCTTCACCTTCAGGCGTCTCGGTCAGAGCGCGGATCTGATCATCGATACTCTGATTCGCCTGTTCCTTCAGCTTCAGCACCGCCAGGTATTCCAATAACCTCTTTTTGATCTTGTCCAGGCCATAGTGGTCGTCATCGAGCTGCTTCTTCGCCTTAACCAGTGTTCCCGCGTCCAACTGATCAACGGTCGTCTTCGTCCACGGTATCTCAGCGAGGTTTTCAAGGTAATTTCTGCAAACCTGGTATTCAGCCTGTGCTGGATTCATCTTTTGTAGTCTCTGGAGCTCCCGTTGAGCCACCTTGTCGGCATCGGGTGATAACTGGGCATCGTGTAGTCTTTTCTTGAGCTCCTCAAGCTCATTTGCTTCTTCTTCTCCAGCTTGCTGTTGACCACCTCCTGGGAAGCCGCCTGGAAAACCGCTAGGTAGGCCATTGCCCGCCTTTCCTCTTCGCACCAGCGCTTCTTGTTGCAACCGTCGCAATTGGTCGATGTCGAAGCTGCCACTGGGCAATTGTGTGGTGGTAACTGTTATCCGTGTGCTGCCCTGGATGTTGCTGATTTGGCGTTGAAGTATTTCTATGACCCTGTCAACTCGCTCTCTAGGGTCAACAGACGCCAGGACGCGCAGCTTCTCTTCATGCGTGCAATCGACCACATTCGCCATGAAGTCTGCCAGTGATCCCGCTTCCGACAGGTCTTTCCTTGTGATGTATAGTTCGAGTCTCCGTGCGACAATGGGCGAGAGTGTAACTGTCGGTGTGCGTGGGAGTATCGCAGAGAGACGTACGAGAGCAAGCAGTTCGCGCGACAGCTGCTTGAGTAGATTGAACTGCTCCAGAAGCTCTGGGTCTACAATGTTGACTACAGTCGTTAGCCTTGAACCTCTCAATCGGATATAGGGGGACCTACCGAGCTCATCCACAGCCGCCAGCTCGCCCTCAAAGTATGGCCGCTCCTGCACAACATCCACCACTCTCACCCTCTCCAGCCCCTCAACAACGAGACTCAAGTCGCCCTGTCTCCGGCCTTGAACTCCGCTAACCTTGGCCACACATGCATACCCATAAATGTCCTTCCTGGTCGCTTGGATAGGGTCGCTCTCATACACAGTCTTGTCCCCGTGGGACGCATCTTCAATCAGCAACTGGCCATCTGGCCCAAGACTATTCGAGTTCAGCGGCACGCAGGCCACCATAATCGCCGCATCTGGCTTCGCTGTCGGACTGATGCTGTATATCTTCGCTAGGATGGCGGCGACATCGGCTCGGTTCGTAATGGGGATCTTGAGCGTGGTGCCGGGAAGGACGGCAAGGGGTGGCGCGAGAGGGATGAGTGGGAGCACTTTTGTGCTGGTCTTGGAGGAGCCTTTGCCCATCATGAGGTGCGTTGGATGTAGGGATCAAGAAGACAGAAAGGTGTGGGAGTGGAAGGGGAACAGGTCGCGTGGTAGCGGAGCCGCACGTCACGGATGCTATGGTGGCAGTGGATGCGGACTCCCGAGTGTCCTAATACGAGAGGCGCAGCTATTCCAACGTCCGTTGATGACTTTGACCGTCCAGAGAATCAACTGTAGCGAAGGTAAAGACAGCAATCTGTAAAATGGGCAATGTCTGGTCACATGTAATAGCTGAGGGGGTTGCGCTTCCAGAAGATGCTGGCAAGTCGAGGTGGGCACCTCTCACACAGTCCAGGCCGAGGTTATACGCCCACACGAATCACCATCACGGGCAGCCGATCCTATGCATCTGATAAGATAAGACCTAATTACTCCCCATGTTGTAGATTTACGCTCTAGACCCACAGCCACCGCAGCGTTGCTATGTTCTCGATCGCATGCGACTGCCTGGGAGTCAAGCTCTGCTGAAGTCTTCTCTAGTTGTAAACATCGCCGTCACAGTGGATGCTTCTGGCCTCTTAGTTTCCTCCCGCCAATGTCCAAGTACACGTCCGCGCGCAAATAGCGAAGGAAGTGGAACCACGATCCAATATGGGAAAAACAATACGATCGGCTTGATCGGCGCCAACCTCACAACTGAGGTGAGACGCAGCGGGGTCCTCATTGAGTGTCAAACATGCAGGCTATAACACCTGCAACGGTCCCACCAAATACCCTGAAGCTCTGCAGGCTGGCTTGGATGGATATGTCTACATCCGAACCTGCGCAAAACCCGGTTCCTAGTTGTTCTCGTATCGGGGAAGCGGTAAGCCGTGCTGATTTCAGTGACTCCCGGCTATTCTTGTTCGTATCTCAAACGCACGTCCACTGCACAAGCCTGTATTTCCTATGCACCTATTCTACGTATTTATCTACGAGCAATGTACCCACACAATCTTGCCTGGAAGAGAATACTGCCCTCTAACCTGTGATGTAGATGCAAATGCGATATGAAGGGTATGAATCAAAGAGCACCAAGTAGTCTATTAAACGTCACCCTACAGTTCTCGAGTAATTCTTAGCTGATACAGGCTTGAGGGGACCAAACAAGGCAAGCCACTAAGCCTGGGGAAGATCGAACATGCAAGTGGCTATCTGTATGGCTTGATCACAATGTTCAAGGCCTTGTGCCTAGCGGAGCCACTCTTCCAGAAACCTTCCGCATTAGGGCAATGCACTCGTATCGATCGGAAAACAAAGCGCCCACTGTGCAAGCGAAGGAATAATCTGCGGAGATTCGTACCGATCGACGTAGAGGAAGCCGTCTGAGTAGCATTACCCCATCGTAGGTGTATTCCTGCCACGGCTAGCAGACATACTATAAGGAGCCTGGTGACGAAGCCATTAGCAAATTTGCACATAGCTATGGGGAGGGCTTTGTGTCTCACCAAGACCTTCTTTGCATTGCAGATACGCCATGCCAAGTTACGCACATTCCCGTCTGCCTGTACGACTTCAGGGGCGAATTCGATACCGAACCTGGAAGCATTAGTTGACCATGTTGCATTGATAGGGGTCGGGACGGGATGGTCTACGTACATCTGATGTACAGCGAAGATCACTCGCTTAGAGAACTTGCCGTCTCTTTCCACTAGGCTTCCAAATGATTCCTCGGACGACTAGGCACGAAATTAGTGCATATCTCACCACCTTGTGAGATGGGTCTTACCGAGGGCGCAATCTCAGGGTCGCGATCAAAGCAATTTTGGATAATAGGAAGCAGCGTTTGTTCAACAGCGCGATGAATAGTGCCATTGGCGTCTACTTCCACATCCTCTTCGTCGAACCTTGGAATGCGGATCTCGAAGGCTTGGGAGAGCGCCATGACATGATGTTTGCCACCATGGTGGTATCGGAATTCGAACACACCTGTAGTCCACCACAGCTTGTCTCCGTGGAACTCGACCTCACCAGTGTAGCAGTCGGACTCCTCATCATTGTCGCCGCTGGCGGGTAGAAGTTTGTCAGAAACCAGTATACCTTCTTCGGCTCGAGTGGAGTCATAGACGCCTTGGTTAGTTGCTACCCATCGTCCATTGGAGCTGATGCCAGTCCCTTTCCGAGATTGGTTATCGGTCACCATGTACAGACCAATCCAATCCTTCTTGCTGTGGTTGAGTGGTGCTTGCCAGCGGACCTTGATGGGTGCACCATACTCGAGAGTGAGTGTCTTAAACTCGCTTGTGCGCGCTGCCGGGGTTCTTGCCAATTCGCCCTCGCGACCGCCGCTCTTCTGATACTCCACTGTTGGTGGAGAGAGGGTGCCCTCGATGCTTAGTTTGTATTGTTTGGGATCAAGACCAGCAAGATCTTGGGGAAGACGCGTGATGGAGATGCGTGTTGGGTATGACTTGAACAAAGCTGTCGTGTCCTTTACAAACGTGTCCACACCGGCAGCCAATTTTGGTTTTGCGTTGTCCAGAAGCTCTTCAATAAACTCAACAGTCGAATTGAGGTAGTCATCGGCTGCTGATTGCCAGTTGCGGACTGGGCTGGGTAGCGCTTGACGTAGTGTCTTACTCACACCGGACAGCTCGCGGAGTCTCTGGCCATAAAGCTGAATCATATGCGGCTTCTCTACGAACTGAAGGAAGACCAGGTTGAGGATGTGTGCTGTCGCTGCCAAGTAGAATATCGGTGCATTCCAGGTGATGAGAGCCATACCCCAGACTCCAGCCAGACCGAGCACGCGCTCGGGGTTGTTCAAAAAGCGGTAGATGCCCGAGTACGTGAGATTCCTCGACGGAGGATCGAAGAAGAAGTCCCCACAGAACCACCCAAATTCGCCAAGGGACTCGTAGATACTGCTTGCGATCCAAAGTTGTAACGCAATCATACCAACGCCAAGGACGTGCCTCAAAAGGGTGAGTCCGTAGAACCAGTCCGGGGGGAGGGCGTACATCTTATAAGCCGCCGCCACGAGACTAGCGTGGCACATGGTCGTGCTCAAATGGTATAGATACTTCCATTGACGCCAGGCTTCTTCCTTGCTGTCTCCGTACTTGATGAAATGACGAGTCCAGTTCTTCTTTTTTGACTGCCGATCTAGAATATAACCAAGACCTAATGCATACCAAAGTCGCCACACGAACGCGTTGATAAACAGCAAGGTTCGCACCAACCAAGTGTTGGGGGTCAGTGTCGCCAAGCAGAACATATAGAAGGATAGAAGAACTACCGTTACATCGATTGAGCGATGAAAGTCCGTGTTTTGGGGTCCTACAATATGGTGCATTGGGGCAGGTTGTACAATTGAGTCGTATGTTGATCGCGTATCGGCAAAAGCAGTATCAGATTGACCGGTATCTGGGCGGTCCTCTTGGGTGAGGCCTTCGGAATTTTGGCGCGTTCGGCGAGGTGGTGGTGGGTTATAGATTTTTGAGATATGGGGATTTTCCACGAGAGTAAGGAAGGCAAATTGTGCTGCATGGGCGATGATGGATATAAACAAGACCTTGTAGCTCGCCATCATCAAGGCAATGCCATAGTAGCCGGCATATCCTACTGAATACATGGGACTATAATGATAGGTACCAAGTTAGTATATATCTCGCCTGTTTCATATAAAAGCATAACTTACTGCGGCGCCATCTCAAAGACGCCATCAAAGGTAAGGCGTTGATCGATGAGGTAGAAGAAGTCTCCCCAGTACCACGCATAGTCCTTGACTACTCGGTGTGCATCTAGTTTGACCCACAAGTTGAAGAGGAAAAGAATGATACCGGTCGTCCACCTCAGTGCCCACAGCAACCAACTCTCTGGGGGACGGTTGAAGCAGGCAATGGCGAACAAGCAGTACGATACAAAGTCACACATCAGGATCAGGTCTACCACGCGCCTGAAGACGAGCCACGTGTTGTACTCGAGTGGAGCTTCTTCGAACTTGTAGTCCGTAGGGATCTTTGTCTCCATTTCTCGCTCGAGGAGCTTATATATGGCCGGATGTGGGTTCTTGCCAGATTCTGGCTTCTCGAAGATGTGCGAGTTCTTTGCCCAGAGCACAAGACGGTTGTGTTTGGACTGGGCATCGAGCAGCCAGCCGATACCTGCGTTATAGGCGGCGCGCCAAAATAGAAAGATGACTGCGAATACGGGTATGCGGGCGCTTTTGGGCAGTATGTAGAGGGTAAATATCAAGCCAGCGAGCACGGCGAGGACTGCTATGTCGGATAAGTTCTTGGGTTGCGAAGGCGAAAGCAGTTGCGAGACCATATCGTGGGTCTGCGGCACGATGAAGACTGTTGTGGTGCGTCAATCCCCAAAGTAATACCGGTGATAAGCAGCTTAGGTCAACGTACCTGTACCATCCGGGGTTCTGCCATATGTACGTTTGTCCTTGTCCTTGTCATCTTTGTGGTCTCTGTCTTCTTGTTCATTCAGCTCCAGCACCTTTTGTTTTGCATCGTCTGACTTGTTGAGATGCAATGGTTTGGCGGATGGGCGCTCTCGTAGCTGGCTACTGTCGGCTTTCGAGCCAACGCCAACATCAGTCATCGTGGGCGCAATCGAGACGCAACGTGTTTGTGAAAAATAGAGGAGGGGCTCGTAGGCAGATATTTAACGACGGCTAAGGCGCGTGCGTGTCGGGCGCTATGCAGGTGTGCCTATATGCTATGCCAGAATGGTATGGACCGTGGGGACTTCTAGCGCGAGCCCGTCTGCTGGCCTTGTGTCGCCTCGGATTCGAATGAAACAACCAGAAGCTTGGTTGATACGAATTCTCCAGATATGCGAAGAGTGTTGAACTCCAGCAAGCGTGTTGATGTTGAACGTGGTGGTAAAGACAGTAGTCGTCGGTTCTTCCGGCAGCTGCTTGGGATGTCAAATGACGGCAAAATGTGGGGCTCTGACGGGTTCGCCTAATCGAGCAGCGACGACCCGAACACCCAAAGGCACGAGGTAGAATGAGTACAACTCTGTTACTAAAGTGACATATTGTTGTCTAGTGGAACAAATCCAGGCGCTATATATACATATACTGTGTTCCTAAATCGGTATACAATGAATACCTCTGAGAAGTATGTTTCAGTCTCGTCCCGTTCGTACAGCCAATGCACGCTGTCAACTAAAGGACTTTTTGATATAGCAAAACGCTCCAAATGATGGCACTGATCATCTAGTCAACCGAGAAAGCGATTGAAACTGGTCAAGCTGCGTCTGCGGGTAGCATGTTGTCCCTCTTCGACTTGACGCTCCAGCCTTACTATAGTCAGAGCGAATTCGTCCTGCCTCTTTCCAACACCCCACTTCTTGTATCTTTGTTTGGGCTTTGATGAGGCGTCGTATTGCACCATGTATGACAACGAGAATCTGCGAGATGCGGTCGTGGTTGAAGTGACAGTTGTCGGATTATCTGGCTGAGGCCTGCATCAGTCACTCGCCGCCTTTGTAAATGCTCCATACCATTGATAGTCGACGATGGCGAGATGCTAAGCTTATCAAGATACTGTTCAGGGAAAGGGTTTGTATGACCAGCAAATGCTAAACAAGGTTCGAACGCTGCAGCCTCCGGGCACAAGGTCGAGTATAGATATTGCGGTTGTGCCGTGTTGGGTGGAACAGGAAGCGCGGCGCCATCATCTTCGGTATATCGGACTAGAGGAGGGGGCCGTTTAATCGCTTTGTCTACTATAGGTTCGATATTGATATCCTCTGGATTGTCCTCTGGGGCAATTTCAGCTGCAAAGAAGGGGTTGTTGCTTCGCATTTGGAACGGAGAGATGGCGGCATCGTCAGTCCAGCCATTCCAACTTGGCTCCGTCGGCTCCGATCCCTCAGCTACCGAGTGATATGTCGAGCTCGAATTCTGTTCGAGTACGGCTGATGATAGGGTTGTCGATGAATTATTTAGAGTCTCGGCGATGTAAATGTTGGCTTTGCAGGCTTGCAAATTATTGAGAAAGGCGAGCTCATCTTGCTCCCGATGCTTAATCTCACGCTCAAGCTCGCGTTTACTCTGCTGTATCTTCTTCCTTTTCTTCTTCGGTAGTGACGGGTTCTTGATCAGCCGTCGTTCGTTTCGAGCTTGCTTTTTGCGTAGCGCATGCAAATAGGTGACGCAATTAGCAAGGCCATTCTCTAATATTTCTTTCTCGGATAGCAGTCTTGCAAGGTCAAAGGGCCAAATGAGAACGTTGCCGCCATGATATAGATTCTGGTTCATGGAGGCGAGAGACGTGCAATAAACACAGGTCGCGGGATTCCAGATGAGTATCACTACAACTCTTGAGAAGGAACAACCAGCAGCAGATGTAAAAAGTCGATAACGCGGTACCCTTGCAAGGAGCAAAGATTAACACGTGAGCCTTCAACAACGTCGCGTTAAGCCAAAGTCTTTGACAAGCCAGGTCTAGAGCTGATGGGAAAGCGGAACGGCCGGCTAGAGTTATGCTCAGTTAGCAAGGGCTTGTTGAACTTTCTGACGGACAAATCGCCTTCTGGGGAAATAATCTGCAGTCCTCAAATTGATGGCGGCGCAAAGCCTACCTCATGATCGAGAGATCTAGTGTGATCTGGATGCGTAAGTCAAGCTTTCTGGTGATTGTACAGTGATAAGAGACTCGTTTTCAGCCAGAGAATAACAAAGCCCACATGAAGGTACTTCAAAGAACGCCTATACGGCAAATGCCTCTTTCGCTGGAGGAGCGGGATGCGCGGGCATTGTTTCTAGCGATCGCTCTAAAGAAAGACAAAGATCCTTCCGCTCGCTTGACACGGCGCAGGTATTCTGTACCGGACCTGGTGGGGGTGAAGTAACTCTCGCCGGCAAGAGACTGAAAATGTACCGATAAACTCGACCCACGCGAAGTAATTGACTGCATAGTATAAGCACTCGGTGCTTTCTGGACTCAAGAAACGATTCATAATATATAAATCTTTATCGAAGTATTCATGGTTTGAAGTATAGTACCATTCCCGTTTCCGAGTGACCCAACAGGGCGGGTCAATGGAGAGTCGCCGTCCTTTGTGATGTAAGGGGTTTGTGAACGACGTTGTATATGCAAGGGCATCCCCACCATAAGCCAAGATTGGCAGCGATAAACAACCACGCTTGCAATGGCGGTGCCATCTTGAGGCGGCTCGTGGGACTGACACTTTATATGAGTGCTCATAGTGTTACTCGTCTTTCTTCTGCCGCTGCTCACCTACCTGCGATAATTAGCAATACTTCCTTGGTCATATTGAGAGCTCAAGCACCTTGGCGAAGGGCCATTGATATGTCTTTTTAGGAACCGCTTTAGGAGAGGGGTAGAGGAGCACCGATGACCTCAATGGTATCTGGTCGATGTAGAGAGCATGTGGGTCGCTAAATAGCTTCTCAAGAATACAAACCAGCGGAACAGCAGACATTCGAATAGTCAAAGTCTTTCCGCTGTATCATTTGTAAGCGGGTTGCGACCACAGTCAGAAAACGTAGCACCAAAGAGAAGGTGCGAAAACTTGTGATCTTCCAGCCGTCGCATTCGTTGTCGAATCCTTAAAGTGCCTCAAGATTTCGTTTGGCACATCCTATTACTAATTACAGAGTGCGAGCCCCGACGCTCGATACAGAACGTAGCATGAGTATCACCACTTGTGCTGTATTCCACGTACTCACGAGCCTTTAGTAATCGCTCAGGTGCACTTAACTCCGACTCGGCGCTAGTGACGCAACAACTCCGTAGGTCAAACCACCCCACAAGGCATCTGCGTTGATCCAGCGCGCATGAGCCAAACGTCGAATGCCACCGCGGCTTGCAATGGCCGCGCTTGTCCGCAGATCAGTATCGCCATGTGCAGCGTGTTCCTGATTGACTGATCCGTCATCTGCGGAATTGAGATGTGGCTTTTCCCTGAACTCTGCTTCCCGAGGTTGCCCCTCATTATAGATGACTACTACGTCACCATTAGGGCACTGCATGGCCATTTTTGCATATGCATTTCGATCTAGCCACTCTGCGCCGCATCTGTGGGATCGATGTGGCATGGTTTTGTGGGTTTTGTGGAATTGATGAGAAACTTCAGCATGGGGCCGCTGCAACCGAGTGAGCAACTTGCCGGTTCGTCGCCAACCGTGAGAAAATAGTTCGACTTGATTTGTTCTACTCCAATAAACCGTACACATTCCAACGCCGCTAGTGTACTAGACCTGATCACTGACGGCAGTATTCTACTTCTGACTGTCTAAACATTTAGCGGACCTACTACTGCGCGAAACAAGCCTCTCGGTACCATCATTACATATCGCCTCTCAGAGTATAAGTATCGCATAATTTCAGGCTACCGATAGCTTAACGAACCAGCTCTTTCAGGGGCAACTAACTGGACAACCGTACCCGATTCGACGCCTTGCGGAACCATGACTACCAAGATCATCGACATCCGTGTCGACACTGCCGAATCTGATATCCTGTCTGATATTAAAAAGGGCCTAAGGCCCAAGGATGGTGGCGAGAAAAGACTACCCACGTTGCTGCTGTACGATGCTCCCGGGTTGCGCCTTTTCGAGCGTATCACCTTTCTCGAAGAATATTATCCGACCAATGCCGAGATTGAGGTGTTGGAGGCCTACGCAGATCAGATTGCACAACGCATTCCGTCGGGATCGATCCTTGTAGAACTTGGGAGCGGGTAGGACTCTGTCCGCACTCATGAAGAGATTGAAAACGAGCCATGTGCTTCGTACGTACTAATACCTCTATAGCAACCTTCGCAAAGTCAACATACTTTTACAGGCCGTTGACCGTCTCGACAAAGCTATTGAGTACTATGCTGTCGATCTGTCATTGCCAGAACTCGAGAGGACATTCTCCGAAATACCTACTGGTGAGTAGAATGTTCTTTTCCATCCCTCAGAATTGGGGGAACGTTGGCGCAGAAAGTATTCGGGCAATCCCATGCTATCTCGTTTTGCAACGCCTCCAGCCACACCAGGCAAATCATAGTGACCCACGTTTCGTTTGCCTGCATGCAAGCCCCGCATGATAGCTCATGACTTCATCTTTTCCATTTTGCCTAACTTTTCTCTTACCATTCGATAGAAGGATACAAGCATGTCAAGTGCTTCGGGTTGTACGGGACCTACGATAACGCTCTTGAGTGGCTAAAATCCCCCGAAATCGAAGCGAAGCCGAAAACGATTCTTTGGCTGGGGTCTAGTCTAGGCAACTTTAAACGTCACGAGGTAGCACCGTTCCTTGCCGGATTTGGAGATGTATTGCGGGCTAGTGACACAATGCTTATCGGTATCGACTCTTGCAAAGAGCCCGAACGGGTCTTTCATGCGTACAACGATCGCGATAACGTAACGCACGAGTTTATCCTCAACGGACTCGAGCACGCAAATGAACTCATGGGCGAAACAGCTTTCAACCTCCAAGATTGGGAGGTAGTTGGTGAGTATGATGAAGAAGCCGGGCGACACCAAGCATTTGTATCGCCGCGGAAGGACGTGGTCGTCGATGGCGTGCCCATCTCGCAGGGTGAGAGGGTGCGGATTGAAGAGAGCTACAAGTATTCTCGCGAAGAAGTAACAAAGCTGTGGGAAGGAGCAAGGCTTGCTGAGAACTCTGTTTGGGCAAATTCGAGGGCCGATTATGGTCAGTTAGACCACCATTCTGATTGTGTCAAGTTTCTTACCAGTCTAGGTCTTCATCTCGTCTCCAAGCCCGTTATATTCTTTCCTACGAAGCCCAAAGAGTATGCTGCGGAGCCTGTGCCGTCATTGTCCGAGTGGAAGGACCTCTGGGCTGCGTGGGATGCCGTCACTAGACAGATGATCCCCGAAGAGGAACTCGTTTCGAAACCCATCAATCTGCGCAACGCATGCATTTTCTACCTGGGTCATATCCCTACCTTCCTTGACATCCACCTCGCTCGTGCGACCGATGGTAAACCTTCGGATCCCGCCTACTTCTGGAGCATGTTCGAGCGCGGCATCGACCCTGATGTTGAAGACCCAACTCAATGTCATGCTCATTCAGAGATTCCTGATGAGTGGCCACCGCTGGCAGACATTCTCAAACATCAGGAGACGGTGCGGGAGAGGACCAGGGCGCTCTACACTCCAGGAGAAGCGGACTTTGACGGCCGGGTATCTAGAGCTCTGTGGCTCGGGTTTGAGCATGAAGCTATGCATCTTGAAACGCTGCTGTACATGTTGGTTCAGAGTGACAGAGTGTTGCCACCTCCTGGTACTACTGTGCCTGACTTTGCGGCCTTGGCCAAACAAGCCGAAACGCTCGCAGTCGACAATGAGTGGTTCACGATTCCTGCATCCGACATCGAAATGGGACTTGACGATTCGGATAGCGACTACACTACCAAGCGCTACTTTGGCTGGGACATTGAGAAGCCTCTACGCTCCGCGCATGTAAAGTCTTTTCGGGCAAAGGCACGCCCAATCACCAACGGAGATTATGCCGCTTACCTTGCAAAGACGGGCAAGTCCGAAATCCCCGCGTCGTGGTGCTCTCAATCTGCGAGCAAGAGGGACAGTGTCGTCACTGGCCATCAGAATGGTGCCAACGGAACAAGTCAAAGCCTTACTGAAGGGAAATACGTGCGGACAGTGTATGGAACAATTCCTCTCAAGCTTGCGAAGGGCTGGCCTGTTGTCGCTTCGTACGATGAGTTGGCAGGCTGCGCTCAGTGGATGGGCGGCCGCATCCCTACCGTGGAAGAAGTGCAAAGTATTTATAAGTATGTTGACGACATGAAGACGCTCGACTTTGAGCAGTCGCTCGGAAACACCATTCCAGCTGTCAATGGGTAGGCCGCCCCGCATAAGAAACAACGACGGGGAAACTAATTGCCACAGTCATCTAATCAACAATGGAGTCGACGAGTCGCCACCATCACACGCTTTGTCGAACGGCAACTTCAGCGCAGCAACTAGTCTCAACCCACACGATCACTTCATCGGCCTTGGAGGTTCGAACGTGGGCTTCAAACACTGGCATCCAGTCTCGGTGGTCGAAAAGGGCGATAAGCTCTGCGGCCAATCTGATCTGGGCGGTGTTTGGGAGTGGACTAGTACTGTGCTGGAGAAGCATGAGGGGTTTCAGCCGATGGAGCTGTACCCAGGCTACACGGGTAAGTCTGCTCGTCTCTTGAGTTAACCCACCATGCTGAAGACGGGCAGCGGACTTTTTTGATGGGAAACACAACATCACACTCGGTGGATCGTGGGCGACGCATCCACGCATTGCGGGGCGCAAGACGTTGTAAGTGAAGGCTAGCAAGCAAGCAAGCAAGCAAGTTTAGCCGAAGAGCTGGTCGCGCTGACACCTGACAGCGTGAATTGGTATCAGCGCAACTACCCGTATGCTTGGGCTGGCGCTCGTATTGTAAGCCATGTGTAGCCTTTCGCTCATGGATCCTGGACGATGACTTGCTCGCTGCGGTGCGACTTGCGATGCCTCCAGTCGTGGCCAGCCACGCAGGCAGCATTCGCGAAACATTGCGGTTGGCTGCGTCTCCTCGCTGCCAAAGCGACACGTCGTCGTCTCAGAAACTACGCGCCTCAACGCGAGAAAGTGCTTTTCTCCCCCCAACTGTCAAATCAAGTACTCTCGCTGGAATTTGGTACTGCATCCCCCTGTCGTTACAGAAAGCGATCTTGTCGTCGTTCTTGTTATTTAGTAAACGCACGGTCGCTCCTTCTTCTCTTTCACAATAATTAGCTAGGTAGCTCCCGTAGTGAAATACGCGCAGGCACCCATCCATCCATCTGCATCGCGCCTCGTCTGCCCCGCCCGCACTTCGGGAACCTTCCCAATCGTGGGTCGTAGAGATCTCCTTCACTGCCGCTATGCGAAATTATTGTCTCAGCCGTTGCGTACTTGACCCACCAGAGCACCTCCGCAATATAATTTCCCCACCCGCGAGCCTGCCCAACGACCGAGCACTTACTCAACCAAACTTGCACGGAAAGAGCACCGGTCCAAACACACAGGCAACATGGTCCACGGGTTACTCTTTAGGTGGGAGGACTCGCAGGCGCTTAGTAAGTACTCGTTTGCATTTGTTTATTGCTTGGGCGCCATGGAGTGCCATCCCAACCACGAGAGCTTTGCTAACCCGCAAAAGAGCACCACTGCGGATTTTGCGAGCGACCCCTTAGCCATCCTGGCGCGCGAGCTTCGTGTTTCGGTACTCATGCTGAACGTAAGTTAAACTCCCTCCCCCAGTCACGTCGGGACAGGTGCTGACTTCGCGCTCAATTAGCATGTCACCGCTTCCATCAGGTTTGCATCTCTGCTGAAGAAGAGAGGAGATGGTTCTGGGCTAACTTAGGTTAGGCCATGTTCATGCGCCTTCGGGGACACACGTGTACCTACTGTCTTTCTATCGACGAGGCACACTACAAGCGCCATAAAGACCTCGCCGACCACCTGTCTAGCATTTACGAGAGTTGTGGCAACGGAGACTGGACAATCATACCTTCTGAAACCGAGGAGCGCGGACGATCTGCAGCGTTCGATTTTGATTCGGCCGACAGCGGAGAAGTGGATCGCAGTCTCACGCCAGAGGAGACACCATCGTCGAAGCGCGAAAAGAAGGATGCGAAGCGATTGGCGAAAGCAGCAAGTAGATCTAGAGTCATCACCCAGGACGACATCAGATATGTCGACTCAGTGCTACACTCGGCCGACGGTGTCACGGGCAGCGACGGCGATGGTCCGCGGAATCCTGAAGAGATCGAGGAGATAGAGCATCATTTGCGATACAATGCACACGTCTACAGCACCCAGCCGAACCGTCGTGAGCTCAAGAGGTTCGCACAGCTGCCGGATGCAGACGTTGATTTCGATGCCGAAATGGAGAGGATACTAGAGACATTCCGCGTCATCGAGCTGATCAAACGCAACACAAAGAACAGAGGTCTTCAAGGCAAGGAGCTTAAGACGTTTCAGACGCTGGTTGATGGGTTCAAAAAGGCCATCGTTGAGGATCTTGTGCTAGTAAAGAAAGACGTGCTCGAGATTAGGATGCGGCGGGCTGGCTATCTTCGATACACTAATAAGACCGCTTATGGTATCGTGGAGGACAGATACTCGGATAAAAATTGGAAGACGGGCGAGAAGTTTACGTCTAGTTCGAGTGACTCCAGTGGTGTCATGTCTCCTGTAGAGGAGAGCGGTGGGCTGCAGAGGTACGTCTTCGCGTTTGTTACACGTTTTGGCATGTGTATCCTTATGAGGGAATACACAAACCACTACCAGGGTAACTGTATCATTTAGAATCATCACGAGGGACTAGAACTCTAACTGACCTTTCTAATAGCAAGCAGCAAGAGAGTCCATTACCCCAACCGCCTCCACCTACTGACAGACCCGATCGAAGACATCTCGAGAGTATCCACAAGCGTATAAATGGCGATGATGGCCTATACGACCCGGTAATTGAGCCTTATCGCGCACCGTTGCTGTCCTTGCTACCAGATCCGACACCATGGAAGAAGCCCGTTTCGCTGAAAGTAGTCGCCACTGAAGCCCCGGAAATCAAATCAGGCGTCATGAACGCCTGGGGAAAGGTGGATGCTCGAGCCCAACATCTTGAAGGATGGCAAACCGTCTCGCATAGCAAGAAGCCCACAGCTATGGTGGTTCAACCCAGCTGGGGTGAGAGGCCGTTTGCAGGCTCATCTAGGGCTCACCATTCTGGTGCTAATCGTACACCCACTGACAGAGCTGAACTATCCTCTTCAACTCAAACCAAAGGCAACGATCGAAGCCCCGAAGCCCGCGCAGTTCGGCCACCGGCAGCTACGGCTGTCACCGGTTCGAACGAGCCTGAGCGATTCCTTGCCCCTGCTAACGAGCCGGTCAATGATCTGACAGACGGACATCCCGTGGTATCTCAGAAGAAGAAGGCGAAGAAAGCACGCGAAGCAAAGCGTAAAGCTAAGAAATCAGTTGTACAAGAAGAAGTCGCGAGCACTCTGGTGGTCCGAGGTGACAGCCTGGACGACACTACAGATGATGTCGATATGATTTCATCAAACGTATCAACGTGGTCAATAGCTGACAGCGAAGATGCGCAAGAGCCCAAGATACCAGGGGTATCAATATCATATGGGGAACAGATTGCCCATAAGCTCCGAACCGTTGAGGTGGTACGTCAGGAAGTATTCGAATCGCAGGCTTTGAAGGCGCTGTCACCTCCGGCATCATGTACAAATCTGGCTATCACCAAACACGGCAAGCATATGCACTGGATCAAGTTCACCCGTAACTTCGTCGTCGATCAGCTTACTAGCCCATTTTTGTCATCATGGTCAGGTTGCTCGCACGGAACCACTTGCGCATTTGAGAGCAACGGTGTCCCCGACTGCCCATTCCACACGCCACGTAAGTGCAAAAGTAATGCTACTAAAGGACAAGTTGACTGACTGAGACTGCAGACTGCAGCTGCGTCGATCCTCTGAAAGATATGTGCTACCTCGTCTATCCCTGCGACGACCTATGCTCCTCCGGTCCCTACAACCGCCTCCGTGGCGAGAAGCTAATGGACATGTACGAGAAGGATAGCAGGACTAAGGGACGTCTCATGCTCGTGGACGAAGATTTGATTTCCTACTTTATGGAAGACCCTTCGTCTCGGGCCCGCAACCGTGACTTAAGCGCTGTGCCCGAGCGTTTGGCGGCCGAGTATATCGGTTGTGCGGACGGATACATACCTGGACCTCTCATGGGGCAAGAGCGCCAATTCGAGCACCTCTGGAACAAGAACAAGGTCATCAAGGAACAAATTTCGCGCAATATGTTGCAGGCCATCCAGCGCCAGAAGTTCGAGCGTCCAGGTGCGGAGTACATGTGCTACTGTCAAGAGAACGTACCGGAGGAGGGACTTGCGACCAAGAACGTAATTACGTGCTCGCACCGCGACTGTGATGTCGTCTACTTTCACAAGTCGTGCGTTAAGAACCTGGGTGTCGATAAGGTCAGCCTCTGGTTTTGCACCTCGTGTGAGAAGAGGATGAAGGTGCTGGCTCACCAGACACTGAGGAACCTCGGCTATACGGATGTTACCGAGGAGGACAGCAATACCAACTTCGATGAGAAGAAGTTTAAAGAGATGCTGAAGATACCAGATAGTGCGATGAGCAAGCTGAAAGAGCGTGTGGGACATACAACAGGCAAATTAGCAGGTTTTGGTATGATGACGTTTGAGGTTGATGAAGGCGGGAGGATGACGACCAAAGCGTCGCAACGCTTTTAGGTTTTCGATGACCGATGTATCATGTATTCGACATGGATGTTATGGAGGCCGAGGACCTTTATCGGGTGACGACTAACATCGACGAGCAACATGTGTTTAGAGGTACGATTCGCATTTCTGTAGCCATATAGAAACACGATTCACATGTCTTCGCTTCTCCACTGCGTTTAAGCAATCTAATATCTGATCGATTACACTTGAATCCACATCATAACCCATATGCTCTAACCCTTCTGTTCCGATTTCGTTGATTTTCATTTAGAAAATAACCAGCTGCCGTTATCTCACGTTCAATCATAATGTCTCAACCCGCAGTTCAGAACTGAGAACCATCGTCTACGCCCTGTCTCAGGCAAGCCTCCGCTAGACGGTGACCCTCCACCGTGGGGTACCAACTGTGCCGGAACTTCATTTTGTACTGCTCCGTTCTTGCGAGGCGGCCTAGGCGTCCTTCTATTGCCGCTCCCTCTGACGATGTCCGTATTTCCAATTTGTGGACCGTGTACATTGTCGCTACCGCCGTTTTCTTTATCACTGTCGTCCCGAATGATGCGTATGGTAGATGGGCGCCTGTCAACATCTATCCCGTGTCGCCTTTCTGTATGCTGTTGTGGACTGCATTCCGTCTCTTTGCTGTCAGATCCGCTATTATCTAGTACTGCGCCTTCACCTCGCCGAATAATACGATGCATCCTTTTTCGTGACTCTTCTATGCCTCTCAAGCGTTTCGATCGAGCTTCGTCTTTGGGAGTAATTGCGGCGTTGCGTTGCGCGTTTTTGGCGACCTTTCCCTGCACGAATACTTCGTGTTCAACGTTGCTTGAAATCTCTCTTCCTGTGTTGCCACCGCCTAGCAAACGCTGGACATCGCCCGTGTCACTTGTGTCGGACAGTTCCTCCGTAGGGGAGACTTTTAGCATATCCCATGCGCTACTGATCTCTATTGCATTACGTCTTTCAACAGTCTTTGCAGCTTCGGCAGGGCTGCGTCGAAAAGTAGCACTGTGAGCCCTGCTACCACTTGAAACTGTACGGCGTGGAGATACCCGTGTCACCGTCCCTATTGCGGTCAGCACCGTCGCGATTGAAGATACACTGGACTTGACCTACCGGAGTGTCGATGTATGCGCGCCTTACCAGCGACACCATCGCGTCGATTACATCTTCCCTTGTCGCTAGAGCCGCCGCTTCGCAGGCCTGGCATCCTCGGGCTGCTTTTTTCTACCACTGTAGAAGAAACACTGCTAACAGAGCACTGGAATCCGATGTCTTTTTCGGTCCGTTCACCCTTTTGTATGGGTTAATAGAAAATGAAGAAACTTGATAAATTGCATCGACACGAACACAAGCATGCGTACGAGAAGGTTAATGTAGAGTGCGTCTTTGTTTACTCGAAAATATTGTTACCACGAGTTTTCTGGTTGGTTGAGGACCAGTACCGGGATCTAGAATCAGTACCAGTGGTTGAGTACCAGTACCGTTCTTATTGCAAACACCGCCGAGGATGGCCAAGACATTTGGGTTAACTTTACATTGATATTGATATAGTCAAGCTAGTTAAATTCTCCCTGTTGTACTTGAGAAAGTATCCTAGGGTCGGAATCCGTCCTGTCTATTGTGGAGCAGCTGCGACTCCATGGAATTTTACATCTGATTTAGCATTAACATCAAGCTTCCTCTGACTACGACGTGCTCTGTAACTGGCGCTTCCAGTAACGCACAAGAGGCTTCCAAAGATTGGTCTTGCCGTCAAAATGGGAGTATGCAACGCCGATCAGCGCCCCAGACAAATGTGCCTTGTATCGTTAGCAAGGAATTAACATAACAACTAATAGAACTTACGGCGTGTCCAAAATTCACGAACGAATACCCTCGTACCACGCCGATAAAGTCGAAGAGCATGATAGCAGGTAAAACGTACTGCGCGTCGAAATGCACAGGCACAAATAGGATACCAAGTCCAGCAGTCGGATACTGCATGCAAAATACGCCAAGCACACCGAAAAGCGCACCGCTTGCGCCTCCACATCTGATGAAGATCTCAGGTATAGCCCGTTTTTGGATTGGTATCAGAGTCGCCCAATGCTGCGCAAATCCGGAAATTACACCTGTCGTGAGGAAAAATGATAGTGTGTGGTATGGACTCCCTTCGAATAAACGTGAATAACCTACTGGTGCCATGAAGTTGTTGAGGAAGTACATGTTGACGAAGAAGTGTAGGGCACCGGAATGCACAAACATTGATGTGAACTGGGTATAATTGACGTTGCGCGCTGGCAGGTGCCATAGTGTATCCCAGAAGCGAGGCACCAGGAAGCTGCTTGCGTGAACAGCGCTATTCGCACCGATGATTCCCACGCTAAGTCTAGATATGGGGTTCAATTGATCCCACCATCCAGTCGCAATCTCAGTTGGCGTCGGTGGGCCACGCCTTGGTGTGCTCCACTGGGGTGCCTGGAGCCATCCTGCAGACCTCTTGGACTTGAGTTCTTCTTTTGCTTCCAGATAAGCGAGACCGACATAGATGCCACCGGATACTGCGAGAGCCCAAATCGCTGGACGCAAATAGCGAACTTTGACCTTGGGGAACTCGTCGAAGATTGGCTCGGGCTCGGGTTGGTACTCTCCACTGTTGGCTGCGAAGAGAACCTGCTCTTCTTCTTTCGTTCTTTGACTTTGTGCCTCTTGCTGTGATGGCTGTGGCCGATAAGGTCTTGGCGATCTTTGTGGGTGGTTATGCTGAGTGCGCGTTTGATATTGGGTTCTGAGTTGACTGAGAGCCGGACGCAAAGCACTCACGGGGGCTCGGGAAACGGAGCATGCTAGGCGCAATGATGACCCACCGATCCTAAACACAGACATGAGATGCAGAAATCAAGCGTGTAACGTGGTTGAGATGGGGTGTAATGACGCGAGGAATCCAATTCGCGTGGCCCGGGACGCTAATGGTGGGCCCGTGCGCGTAGTCATCAAATCTCCTGAGCTCTGCTTCGTTCATCCACCATCTTCGCGCAACTAGGGTAGCAACTACTGATATCGCTTGCGTTTAGTATAGTTGAAGGTAGCGTGGTTTAATTCTTATTCTTTTGCTTCGGGCTTGCAGGCATGTTTATTCGACAACGGCGAACCACGGTGAATCTCAACCGTGGGTACTACCCTACTAAGCGGTCGATAACGCTCGTCTTTATCTTCCACGGTTGTCACTTTTCCATGTTAGAAGGTCCACTGAATGGATTGTACCCGATTTTCAAGGTGTAGCTCTAGAGTGGAGACATACTCCGAAAAACCTCCCACGGCAATCATCTGGCTTTGCACTGTTAGACAGGCTCCGGCGGCGGATGAACAAGATAACATTTTACCATAACCTTGACGGCCGGGTTCCCCCCACGATGCTGATTAAATATGCCCGGACTGGCCCATACTACATGAAGTGACGTGCTTAGCCTATAGGGTGCTCACCTGACTTCCACTGCCAGCGCGTGGATAGTCCCTGCCGCTTTTCTATTTATTTTGTTACAGTGTACCTGAAGTTCCGTCTCCTCCGGTTAGTGAGAAAGTTGGAAGTATCCTCCTATCGCCCAGTACCAATGGTTTAGTATCATTACAAACATCGTTTTGAGAATTTACCAAGAACTATGGGTGAGTTTTACAACATTTTCTCTGCTGCTATTGATTAGGCTACTTCAGATGCGATAATATATAGCCAGCCCTGAGCAACTTTCACTCTTGCTCTTCGACTAAACCAGAGGCATTCAACAACCAGAACATCAACATCCTTTCACGCCTCTATTACGTTAAAAACGAAATTCTCCAGGTTGCCTTTCACCACGCCAAGTTCTAGCACGCATATAACACGTAGTCACATTCCCCTTGATCATACCTTCAACCACAACCCCTGTCACTACCCAAATGCTTAACTTCTTGAAAGTGGCGTTCGGACCCGGTCCCAACCCCGAGAGGCAACTTTCCACGGATTCATTGTACGCATACAATTCTCACTTGATTACATCGTTTACTGATTTCTTTGACAGTACTTCCAGCACCGAAAGCTTGGATATTCGAGTTGGCAAGCCCCCTCATGCTCGGGCTGTGCATATTCCACAATGTGCCTTGAGGGCTTGTACAACGCTGCGCCAACAATGTGGCCAAGGATCGACCATCATAAATGCAGATCCAATTGTATTTGAGGTCATCCTAGAGTATCTGGATGGGAATGGGTTATTCGGGAAAATGCGACCATATGGACAAAATCCGCTTGAACAGTTGGTCGGTGGTAGTGATCAGATGCTCAAACTCGTTAAGGCGTGGCATTTGGCGGAGATGCTCAACCTCCCGCACTTGCAGAACAAGCTCATTGACACGTTCCGCGTTCTTTATGCTGGACTCCTCAAATCACGGATTCGGATGCCTTTATGTCCTGAGCCATTTGTCTATTTGAGGAACCACATGAGTTACCATACAAAGGTCGAAAAGTTCCTCGTAGACTTTTACGCTGGTTTGGCCCGGTTTGGAGAAGATTTTCGAGCGGAAGAGTTTCAAGCTATACCAAAAGACATTGCCCAGCACCTTCGGCATCGACGCGCGTACTTGGTTAAGCAAGGCCGCTACGGCGACCGCATCGCAAGGGGCGATTCCGACTTCAACGTCAGCAAGTCCGACGATACGCAACGAACAATGCTGCAAGTATCGCCTTCGCTAGTACCTCCCACAGAGAGCATCCTGGTTCGGCCATCTTCTCGACGTGCGTTCTCCGCCTCGACACTGCCAAGCATGCGTCCTCGTTCACCGATACCACCGAGTTCTCCAAGGTTACACGGACAACAAAATAGCCAGAACCGCGGTCATAGAACTCGCCTCTCTCTTCCGAGTATCACGAACGTCACAGGCCATCCTGAAATTTTCGTCCCACGCGGGCTGATACATACGCTACAATCGACCCAAGGAGCCAATCCTCGGCCAAAGCAACCAGACTCCTCGCCTGTGATGACTTCGCCCTCAAATAGGGCACCTTTCATGGACAGCAGCCCAAGTAGGTATCGCCGACAGTCGCAGATGATGGCAGATGATAGTTCGTCGGACGATGGGAGCGTGTATGACTTGTTCTTCGAGAACCTCCCAGCGTTGAATATCTCACAGCAGCATCCTATTAAGGCCAATAAAAAATAATTAGGATAGGATAGGCCCGAAGTTCTATTGGTTGGTATCATATTATTGGGAAGAGCTGTGCTGAGCACTGCTTGAAAAAACCGACAGGCGGGGTATAGCAAGGAAGATAGCGAAACGAAGGCTGGGCTTGATAATCTGGGCTCAATTCTTGGAATTCTTGAAGTAGTCAACAAATGCATCGAAACTGAAACAATATGTCTAAACCAATCATACTGCGGCGATTCATTCTACTATGCTGTCTAATATGGTCAGAAAGCTTTCCCTGATTGGCCAAGATTCTCCTTCGCCTTAACCATCATACCTCTCAACCTTTCAGTACCTAAGCTATCCAGAAACTCCAATATCCTCTGGATCTTCCCGTTTTCATCAACGTCTAAGATGAAGATGTACTCTCCTGTATAATGCCACGCCTCTTGCAACTCTGACCCCATAGCCTCCTTCTTGAAGATTGGCGTAGCGTTTGCCCAGATAGTGATCTGTCTCCCAGTCTCATTGATATAAATCTCTTTTGCTGTAATGGGGAAATGGTCCATCAGCTAATCCGAAGGTACAAAGTCAGTTTATGTTTCATTTGCAGTTCGTACATGGAACTCTGCTCACTGGTCGCAAACTTTTGTCCATGTGTTCGCCAAATGCCTCGTTGGTCTTGGGTGCAGGTGGATTTAGAGAGGCTGGAGCGAATATCTGGAGGCATCCTGGTGCACGCAAGGCGAGACTATCGGCCGTAGAAAGATCCTTGAAAGCTGCAAGGAAAGAGTCGGCGATCTGACGGAGCTGCGATTCAAGTGGAGACATGGTGTTGGAAAGAACAACAAAGAAGAAAACAGTGGTTTCTCAGACAGCAGGAAAGAGAAGCGTAAGAGACTGATGAACAGGTTTCAATTGTTTAAGATAGTAAGCTCGATCGCACTCGTACATGTGTCTTGTTTCCGTAAAGTCCGCTACCGCCGAAAGTTGCCAGCTTGCAAATTAGTGCTTACATCTCAGACTACAAGAGGATTTTCAAAGCGCCTACGCCCTAGTTGAAACGAAACTTAGGAAAAGGAAAGACACAGATCTTCGCATACAGGTTGTTTGAAAATACTGCTGCCTAAGCTAGAGCTAGACGTATGAGGTGTGCATCAGTGGATGCTCAATGACGCCGGAACGGAAGACCGTTCATCATCTCTCTCCAGAGCCGCTTGACGCGCTCTAGTGTCTTCTCTTTCTTGGGGGCACCTGCGATCTTTTTTAGACCCCCCAAAGAGGGAGAGAACATGTCGCTGCCTATAGTTGAGATACGGGCGGGCGTAACTTCAGGCTCGAAGATCGTTGTTTCGAGTTTGAGAGACGAAGGTGTGTCGAGTACAGACTTAGAGCGCTTGTGAGATGGTTCTTGCTCAAAAACGCGACCGGGATTAGCGACCGAATCTGTACTATTTCGACGAATGGACGTTGAAATTAAACTTTCAGACGAGATTTCGAAACGATGAGTGTCAGTCTCGTTTAGTAGACAGTCGTGTAGGGACGAATCGGCTTCAATGACAGGCAGATCTCGGGCTGGATCATTTTCATCGTTTGGAGGTGCCTGCAAAGGATATTCCAGCTTGATGAAGTCTTCCGCTGTGGGTTGACGGATGGAACCGCCGAGATGTGTAGAGGTTGTACTCTTCTCTTGATCATGGACCGGGTAGGGAGGTGACCGAGAGCTCGATTGCGAAACACGTTTCCTTTTCTTTGCGTTGCTCCTACGAATGACTGGACCAACGTACATCTCAACATCTGGCATGCTAAGCGGTCGCTGCTCTGATGACGTTCGACCGTCCGTAAAGGGATGATACATGGTGGACAATGGTTGCGGTTGGCCGAACATGTCATCAACCGGAACTTCAAAGACAATTTTGGATCCGACGACCCCAGCCACCGACTCAGATGCGAACATACTCGGACGTCCAGCCTCAGAGACACGTGAATGGGACTGGCGTGATTGACCGATGTGATGCTGTGCGGAGTAATCGTGTCGAGACATCTATATGAGCGAGGATAGGGCGCACGAAAAAGTACTGAACGAGAGATGAATATAGAATGTTCGTTGCAGTGGAAATTTTGGACACTCACAAAGTTTGGCGAATCCAATCGTTTGACTTTTCCCTTTCCTGTGAAAAGGTTGAGAAATTCTATCGTATCTTGTAAGTGGTTCAGATGAGTTGCGGTGGAAGCTGCAGTTTCTGGTTTATGCAATTGAAGAGATGGGGATAATGAGTTCAAGGGAGACGCATTGCGTTATGGTGATTACATTGTGAAGGCTAAATGTCTGTGAAACAGGCGTTCCAATATTGGATTCTCCAGGGTGAACATTCACAGCCACTGAACGAACAAGGACTGTACTGACGTTGTGAGCACACTCTAAAACAGAATTTCAACGTCACTAATAGCCACGAAGCAATTAACCAGAGGTTGCGCTGGTTGTGACCAGCTACAAACCTAGACATTGAATAATCAAAAGACGAAAAGAATACGACCTTGTCGTTCTCGCTTTATTCTCAAGCTCTCCTTGAACATGGCACCATCTTCATGAGACTAACCCTTTAGTGGTTATATCAATCGCGATAAAATCACCATCTAGGCCTAGGTACTTGGGCACATATCGAGAAACTAGGTCCGAAATGGGGCCCAATTCTATGCAAATACGAGCTGAGACATTGACTCAGTGCGGCTATGACGGTCTTTTTATGGTTCGATGGAGACCGTAGCAGTAGCATTGAGTTAGTACAGCAGGATCTTCTTCCTCTCCACTGTGCATAATCTCTCCACCCATACCATTCAGAAGAGAGCAGTCACCTATCAAATAATAGCGTTCTCCAGCCTGCGTTCCTTACATACCGTTCGAACGGTAAGACAAAAGGCACTTCAAATCGAGTACAGGCCAGGCCTGGTTTTTGAGTTGAACTCCCGAGTTACCTAAACCGATATTCCTAACTCGCGTAATAAAATCAATGATGTCTCCGTTGGGTTTTGACTCTTATGTCGTGGTTAAGAGTAGCACATATGACTCGGTACGAATTTTTGTGTATCAACTTTTGGTCTCCCAAGCTAATCGATTTATAAACAACCTCATCCACTGCGCCATCGGGTTCTACGGCATCTGGAACGTCCCGGATTGGTGGTCCCGTCGAAACGATACTTTCGGCTCTCCGCGCTTTAACGTGAATTCCTTTACTCATATCTATCTTCAATATGTTAGACACAAATAAGTTATGACTACACCATCCACCTGATACTAGAGCCTTACCTATGCTTCTAGACCATCTACAGGACTGAGAGAATTAAAGAGCGTGGCGAACCGCACGGTTATAAGGACAGGAGAAGAATCTACTTCCCGTTGGCAGAAATATCCTCGCAAGATGGTTAGAGTCGGTTAGCAATCGTTTGCTACCTTGTAACAGAAGTCGGCTAGATAACTCTTTCCTGAAACGAGGCCTAGTAGAATCAAATAGCCCAGGTGCGCTTAGCTACTTGTGGAATGGGTGACGTTTCCTGCTTACGTCGCCAAACTTCAACAACAACTCAACACTATAACAACATTCACATTAATTCCTAAGCTATCCGAACTTCCGTTATGGAGCCCAAAAAATCTAGTTCCGCAACTGTATATACAGAAATTCGCACCTCCCCTCTACTTGGCCTTCCCCGCGAGCTTCGCGACCGCATATGGGATCTTGCGCTCGAAGATACAGAAGTTCATATTCGAAAAGACTGCCATATCATCACTATAGTGTATCAGAATCCCAGCTATGACCAGCCAAGCCCTGATCAACACAGGGAATTTAAATTTCGTGACACCCTTCCGCGATGGCTCCTAGCAAACCAGCAAACCCTCTCCGAGGGCCTCGACCAGTTCTCGCGAAAAGGCGTGTGTACAGCACTCATGCACCAGGATCCGCTGCCCCAACCTGTCCAACTGGAGAGAACTGGAGCGCATGGAAATGTTCTTCTCAATCACGTCAAGGAACTAAGTTTCCATCTCAAATTGGCTGTTGTGTCCACCGATTTTAGCGGCGGTACAGGCGGCCACGTCATGAAAACGAAGATAGTACCCAGATCAAGAATCGTGGATGAAAAAGCTCCCATATATCCAAAGCCCAAATTCGCCTACCTCCTACCCAATGTATACAGTGTACATCTACGGATTGATGTGGTAGGACTAGAGCACTACGCGCGTCCTAAACTTATCAAAATCGACGCATCATTCCTCTGCAGTATCGGCACAGACTTCACTCGCATTAATATATCTGTTCCTAGACTCCAACTCCAGGGCACGAACGGAGCAGTTGTACCACATATTGCTCCTCTTTACTCAATGTATCCCCGCCTCCAGCGCGCTCTCGTTCAACTGGGCGGGCACCTGTCCCGGCACTTGGGTGAACTTCGCCTACCAAAACCAGAAGAGCGGTGGCAGAGCCTAGAGAATAGAGAAGCACTGTATTGGCAGGTCAGCGAGCATTGTGTACACCCGTGCTCCGAGTATGAGCCTAGCGAGGCTGCATTGCGGGATAGCTGGTATGAGATCAAGGACCAGATGGACGATGAGGTAGGCGAATGGAATTGTGAAATCAACGAGATAATGGGGAAAAGAGAAGTGACGGAGGATGAGGAGATCGTGCTACAGTATACTGGATTGAGATACTGGAGTGCGCCGGGACACGATGAAGACTCTCTTGCTGCAACAGTAAAGATCGTAGCAGAACGGAACTTCAAACGCGATGTTGTCGCTAGACTTGGGGAGAAGTCATGGTTCTGCGAGGAGACGGGGGAAGTGGTGTGGGTTGAAGATGAAGAGAAGGGCGTAACAGGTTACCTGCGGGATGAGGATGAGGGACCGCAGCACAAGGTGTTTCTTGAAGAGCCTCCGCAGAGAGAGCGCGTGTGGCGTTCTCGTGTTAGCTGCTGCCTTGGGCTGCGTCGTTCATAAGCGTAGACTTCCTGAATAGGGCTATTACTGCTGACGAAGCATGCACGGAAAGACTCCACGATAAAGAAATAGAGCTTTTTGAAACTGATACAGCTCAACTCCTCATCGTCATAGGTAACCACAAAGCACCGCGCGGCACAAATGGCTTTTCATTCAAAGTAAATCTAGAATAGTGTTCCTAAAGCCAAGGCCGCCATCAATCAAGCATTAGACGCACGTCGCGTCATAAGCCATCCTTATCTCCAGCCCATCCAGCTAAGCACCACGTGATCTACCACTTAGGCCCCCAAGTCCAAACGTTCCGCCCTCGTTCCCGCAGCCTCATTTCTTAGCGTCCCTCTCCACGTGTAACCCTGTGAGACTGAAGGTAATGCAGGCAAAACGGGAAGGGCGGCCACGTTTTTTGTCCACGGGACCTGCATGTGCTTTGTTTGCCACTTTTGTGCATGGATGACGTGGGGAGGGGAAAATGGCAGAAAGGAAAGATGGGGTGTTGCGCCGCTGATGTGCCATCTTTGGCCGCTTTACTGTCTGCCCTTTCTTGAACGAAGGGTTGGAATTGGGAGTTGCTAAAGTAAAGGGGTGTTTGCAGGGGCGGAAAGTGTGTCCATGTTCGATCGATCCGAGAGGCTTAATTCTTGGAGAGGGTAAAGTTTAGGCACCTGGGCATCAGGGCCCAATCCCGCAACATAACTTGTAAGCTCGTATTCCCAGATGTGGACCAGACGCAAACCTTGTTAAATTCATTCCAAGTCTCATCTGCAATGCTTGTTCTACCAAACCCGCTGTTCGGGGATTACGACGACCTATTTTTAAGGTACGCGATCCTGTGTGAGGCTCGGGTCATCATCCCAATACAGCAGTGTGTCAGCCTTGCCTGTCGTCAACTCATTTTTACTCTTACTTAGAGTATGCGAAAGGGGCATTTCTTACTGATAGGCGTGCGTAAACTCGACGTCGTGTCGAGAAATCTCGCGAACATGTGGTCCACCACGCACGGGAAGCGCACGGATGGGGAAGCTGCAATACAACACCACTGCGGTTCTCCAGACCAGTGGGTCTCCTCCACGTTGCGCACCATCTAAAAATGGTTGATGCCCGACCGGCGATCGAACCGTTGGCGAACCCAAGGGAATGTGTTGAGCGTTTTGGGTTTTCCTGTTCAGATGCGGAGATCGTCCCACCGCAGGGCTGAGGATGCGGCCGCCTATGCGGCCTGCTATCCATAGCGACATGCACGCCATGATCCCGTCTTTCTCTATCATCCTCAAAAAACTAATAGCAACGGTAGACGAGTAGTGCGCATTATCGATCGGCGACTAGCTCCAGTCCTGCAGACATTCTCCGCATTTAAAAATGCGTGCACTCCTATTCGGTCAAGGTGCTTGAAATAGGCTAAAGTGCAAGGGAAAGTGAAGCAAGCCCAAGTTTCCAGAAAGAAGGTTGGGCTTGGACGCGACTTTTCTTCGAAATAGGCCGGGGCAGTGAGCGATGAGGAGAACTGATCGTCGAGGACAAGGGGAGCGTTGATGCCTTCTGGTGTTGATGTGCAGATGGGCGTTCTAGTCACGGATTTTAGCACGTGTCGAAAACGGCAAGAAACGGCGTATCGGTTCCGGCACATATCTAGGGAGAACCCAGCAAGTTCAAGAGATCTGCAATCCAGTCACACCATCAGGAAGGAAGCCATTTTCAGGGGCTATCTTGTCAGCCTTAGTGGAGTAGTAATGCCTGTGTTAGAAGCAACAACTACCTCATCTGCGTCTCCACATGCCGATTTTCTGTTCATGCTCGAAGAACTGCTCGTGATCGACTTCCCCTCTTTCCGAGCCGGATATACATCTTGAAACGGCCGTGCATGCATAGCGTGATGTGGTCAACAGTCATGTCCAATTGCGCATCGCGGGCTCAAACTGCGCGTGGAAGGTGTTAGGTCAATAGCGCTGCCGGATCGGCGATCATTGCCTCTGAATCACTGAACGGGATGGAGGAGGTGCACTGCCGGGCCGAGACTGGAACCAGAAGACGCGCGATTATTGCTGTCCAGGATGCCAATTTGACTCGAATAGTGGGAGGCCGGCACTCATACCACCAGTGGCATTGCTAGATGGACTACTGGAAGTATGCCGCGACACGGTAGGAGACAGGAGCTGAGAAAGGAAGGAATAGTTCGTAATACGGTAAGAGTAGAGGTGAAAATATGTTCATAGAAGTTAAAGTAAAGCTAGAAGGACCTAAGAAACGCGTAAGAAGGAAGAATTCTTTTGACATTCCAGAAAACATGGGACATTTTACCTCATCTGGCATGCCGGAAACAGCTGACGACAAGACAAATACAATGTACCGATCGATATGCCTAAGAAAACGAGTCTAGATAGATACGAGATAGAGCAGCGCCGCCAGATGGGAAAGATCGAAGAACCGTTACCAGTGGCAAGGGCGATACCGGCACCAAGGGAAATGTTGTTCGGAGGCGCGCCCAGCAGCAGTGCATTCGTTGATCAACACCGAGCCCTGAAGGCCAACCCAAAGCGAAAGTGTCCAAGGGGAGGAGCGGTCGAGTGTCAGACCGTGAAGCGAAGTCAAACTGATAATAAATGCTAATGGTATCGTATGTTTTCCCTATGGGCCCCGGCAGTACCGCCAATGGCCAGGGCGGAGGTACCGAGATCGAATCGAACGGTGGTGGTGATGGTGATGGTGGTGGTGGGTAGATAGGTAGGTAGGTATCTTTCTCTTCACAGCGTGGCGCGACAAACAATGACAAACAACGGGTTCCCAGCTCCTTACATTACTACGCACCCACAGCAACCCTTCTTCTCTGAGTCATCATCGACGCCCATCTTGCCCATGCCGTTCTGGGCCTGCCCTCCTGAAGGAGCGCCTGGGTATGATGACATCTCCTTGTTGTATCTGCGGATCTCTCGTACGATATCGTAGAAGGCGTTGTCGACATTGATGCGCGATTTCGCCGATGTCTCGATGAACTTGCAGTCAAACTGTCGTGCCAGGTTTTGGCCCTCTAGAGCGGGTGATTAGCAGGTGGAAGGGAGGGGCACAAGAGAGCGAGCTTGACGTACCTTGTGTCGACACTTGCCTCTCGCCATCAAGATCGCACTTGTTGCCGACGACAATCATGGGGAAGTAGTCCTTGTCCTTGACTCTCAGGATCTGCTGCTGGAATGTCATGATCTCCTCGAAGCTCTGCCTGTCGGTTATGGAGTAGACGAGGAGGAAACCCTCGCCAGTCCGCATGTACTGCTCCCGCATCGCCGAGTACTCTTCCTGGCCGGCTGTGTCGAGCACATCGAGCAGGGCGACTTCGTCGTCGATGACACACTGCTTGCGATACGAATCTGGCACTGTTAGCCCGTGTTGCACCAAGCAAGGCGTGTCGGGGGCAAACTCACCCTCAATAGTCGGGTCGTACTCGTCGACAAAGTGGCTCTGAATCAGCTGGATGGTCAAGCACGACTTTCCCACTCCACCGCCGCCAACTACTACTAGCTTGTACTCTCGGAGGAACTGGCGCGAGTTAGTGACTGCTGTCGCAGCGGAGAGGCGAACCGACCTTTGATGCCATTGTGAATGTGAGGGAGCAGTCCAGAGACTACTGTGGGTTCTGGGCGAAGGGTGATGATGCGTATGGCGCGAGACACGAGCTCTCTCGACGACAGACAATGGGGAGGCGGGAGGGCGAAAGAGGGCTTCCTGCTGGGGGGGCGGCGATCAAGGGAGGGCAGTTTAGTTGGCAATGCGACGCGCGGTGCAGAAGGCGCAATTGGGGGGGGTCGCAGTGATGGTCAAGGTACGGTTCCTAGGAGGCAGCGGGGAATAGGGCAGGCCAGGAGAGAGTCGTCGAAGATAGAGAGGATGGGAGCAGGTTGACCTTCGGTAGCAAAAACGACCGTCTAGTCTAGCTTGTCTAGCTTGTCCGGGGCCCTGAGGGCTAACATGGGCTCTGATTCGGCCCACCCCTCTGCTTGTTAGCGCTGTGCAGGATGCGACCACAGCTCCAGGCGAAAAGGGACCGCGCCCACGAACAGCAGCCGTCTCCACCACCATTTTTCCCATGCGGGCCTGCATCCTATCCTGGGCCGGCTCCTGCAGACGGAGGAGGCCTGGCGTCTGGCTACCTCTGCGAATCGACGTCGTTGGCTCGCCCAAGGGCCTTGTCTGACCCTCTCCCAGGACCCTCTCGCCGCATTCAGCTGTCGCTCCATCTCACACCCTCCCGCGACATACATGACTGCCCATCACCATGCAGCTAGCTAGCAGCGAACAAACGACTCTTGCCCTCCCTCCAGAGCGGTTAAAGCGGCGTGCCCAGGCAGATGAACAGCAGCCGACGACGCTCTTCTGCGATCCCAGCGCGTGGCACGGAGTGCATGCTGCCATCTCTAGCGTTCACCGCGAGCGACAGCGTCTAGTGAGAGATGGCCTCCTTTTCTTTGATTTGCCATTTCGACTTTTTCAGCCATCCCGCTATTCACATGACTGCTACGCTCATGCGGGTGCGAAGCTGGAGCACAGGCCGACACGGGCGGGTGCAAGCAGCCTCAAGCACGTCGACGCGCCCCAGTATTGGATTGCAACGAGACGCATGCAACGCCCCCGACATGGCGCCCACGAGACAATAGACGAATGCGTAGTGACAGACCTCAAGTGGGTAGGTAATGGGAAAAAGCAAAGTATCGCCTCGGCATACCTCACCTCTTTCGCTCTATCACTGGCGTTGTCGGGGCCTGGGTACGTACTGCCTTGCGAGGGCCTAGGCGGGTGGGACACGGCACGCCTTCTTCAGGCCTTCGAGAAGCACCCTAAGTTAGCATGCTGCCGCTATTCTAGGGTCCAACAACAATGCTCTCACGGTGATTCTAATTTGACGACATGTCTTCTCCTGCATCGCGCGCTTTGTAAATGCATTGAATATATATACAGCCCATGCCATGCAAGACCCAATCTCCATCACCCGCGCCCTTTTCAGCTCGCTAGCGACGCTTCTTTGTCAGACACCTTCTCGTCGTCTTCCCCTTCGACTGCTACGCGCCGTCCTTGAACAGCCGCTTCAACTTCCGGCACCAGGCCCTCCATGAACTCGCGATCGCGCCCAACGAGCGTTACCGTGTTGCGCTCTTTGCCCCATCGAGGGTAGCTGCCCACCTTCACGCCCTTGGGCTCTGCCTTGGCTGCCAGCTCCGTGAGATATCCCGCAACGGCACTCTCGGCCATAGGAGTCGAGATGAGAATCCGCAGCACTCCTTTGCCTTCGGGGTCCGTCAGCCTTGGTAGAATGCGCGGCCTAAGTCCATCCAGCATGGCTTCAAACAGCCGAGGAACACCAGGCAGGATGTGGACGTTCCCGTTTACACAACTAACAGGAACCCATAGCTCGTCGCCGACGAAGATGACTTGATCTTCGTCGGGAACAGATTCGTCTATCGGCAGCTCCACCATGCGCTTCTTGGCTGTCAGGGCCGCAGACTCGACGTTCCAGTCAAAGTCTGGCTGTGATTTGTGCGGCTTGGAAAGACGCTTCATGCGCGCAAAAGCCGCGTCATGCAGCTTCAGCTGCAAGCCAAAGGCTTTGGCTATTGACTGGTACGTGATATCGTCGTGCCTGGACGCACAGTAGGTCAGCGGCTGTGGTGTAGCGAAGAGGGTGTCTAGCTCACGTAGGACCAATTCCTCCGGAAGTTACGACGAAATCGTAATTCTTTGACATGCGTCGCACAGCTTCAACGATTTCGCCTTCATCGTCGGCAATGACTTCTATTCGGCGTAGATTGATGCCCAATGAGAAACAAAACTTAGCGAGGTATGCCTGCGCATCATTAGCTGCGAGATAGTTTTCTGTGGTAGGGAAAGCTTACCGAGTTGGTATCGACAGTCTAGACATCATATCAGCTACCATTGAATTCAAAGACGCCGCGGATGATCACATCCCGTGCATACCTTGCCCCCCAAAACCTCGTCTCCAATGATCAAACATGCCGCAGTATGGATAAGGCTCTTTTGCTGCGTCGAAGTAGCCATAGCTGATGACGTTATCGAAGGACGGAAACTGGCGGCAGACTTGTGCGCAAAATTAGGAAGAGGGCGCGACAGATGCCTAACTACCTGATTCAGTCTCCCAAACATAGATTGCCAAAGTAAGTCAACAAGTCAAACGAGAGGCGACTGAGTAGCTAGGCGCAGGAGAGAAAGTTTCTGGAAAGGAGGATGCACATGTCCATGACGAATGGTCCCAGTACATGGACTAGCGCGAATCGAAGTCCCCGCCAACCCCGCTAACCAGGCTTCGTGTCATCACTCAAGCTTCTTCAGCCCTACATCTCACTTCTACCTCGAACCGCCGCTGTAAACTTTGACAGCCCAGTTACACATAACCAATATGGCAAGTTAGCCATCGCTGCTTCTGCAGGAAGGCGAGCGCGAGGGAGCTAACAACGCTGGGGCAGTCTTCCGAGTCGCGGCTCTACACCTTTTCAGACGAGACGAAGACCAAGCTGCGGAAGTTTCGCCTGGGCACGTCAAGAGCAAAAGACCCTCAAGCTGTAATATGTACGCTCCCGAAACACCCTCTCTAACTTACAACCCTACGGAGGCCATGCTTCCAAGCATCCCTGCGCTGTAAACAAGGCTGATGCCTACCCCCGCCAGACGAGATCGATAAGAAGACATTGGAGGTACGAGCCGTAGACGATGAAGTCTACTCCGATGTGCAGAGTCTTGCCGACGAGCTACCCGATCACGCACCGAGATTCGTTCTCCTCAGCTATCCATTGACTCTTGTACGCCCCACCCTATATTCTCCATCATACGAACCGATGTCCTAACAGACTCCCCATCAGGACTCCGGTCGACAGTCCGTGCCATACGTCATGCTATATTATATGCCTATAACTTGCAACAGCGAAGTCAAGATGTTGTATGCGGGCGCGAAGGAACTTGTGCGGAATACCAGTGAGGTTGGGAGGATCATAGAGATTGATAGTGCGGAGGATCTAGAGGATATCGAGGACAAGCTGAAGGAACACTCATAGTAGCAGCGGGTTAGGATTGCGCATGGCGAAAGCCATGGCGTCCAACAGCTGGTTGGCAGAGCATCAGCACCGCTAACGACCGGGCATCGCAGTAAAGGGTATCCGGCATTAGAGACTCGGCATCATAACGCCGCACCATCAAGCGATTTGAATGTCCAGTCCTGTCCATGGCCACGATTTCCATGCCATATCAGCGAACAGGCAAGCCATTATCCGCGTCTTGGAACCTGCTTGCGTCTCTGCTTTCTCCACCATGCAACCAACTATCTTGTCTCAACATGTTCAATGTTTCAGATACATAGATCGTCACAACAGCTAGGATATTAGACCTTAACACAGATATGCGAACCCCCCAGGTACAGGGATCGGTAAACCGGTGCAGACGCCACATTTGGAGAAGCGCGACCACGTCTTATACCACACTCTAACAAACACCGAGGCATCACCAAGACCTTAGGGTAACATGCGTCTTTTATTACACCTTCCCTCTTTAGAAAGGAACGTGGGGCTCTCTCGGCAGACGTTATCATACAGCAGGGATTCCCACGAAATTGCCCCAAGCTAAAGATCTCGATAAATGATGGGTAAAATGGCCAATCATAACTTTGTGCCGCAACACACGTGTATCCAGCGTCGTGATCAAAAACGCCCTACTGGCCGACAAAGTCGGTGTCGGAATTTTTATATTCACGACTGGTTTGACGAAATGTGCCGTCGGTGCTTTTCGCGCTGCTTTAAGCCCGGCCGGTCGTTCGCTATGTTGACATCGCTCTTTTTCGTTGGGGACTGGGTAATTAAGCTATCGGAATTGCCGCAGTGACCTCCTTCACACCACTATTTATTACTCATGCTGGCCCCTATATGTGCACGTTAAGGCCCAGACGCGCGGATCTCATTCTTTATCATATCTACTGGCCGCGCAAAATACTGTTGTTTCGTCACCGCTTCACTGTCTTCGGTTGAATGCTGAGCTATGCTATATCACGACGAAGTAAGAGCGCAGTCATTACGCATGGACTACGCAGGCTCCGAGGAGCTAGGGTCGTGATGTAGTACGCGATAGTTTTTGCATGAGTAGGTTTTGCTTTTACCTAGAGAGCTTCTCAATCATTTCTTATATCGTCAATGATAGAACGTACGCAAAGTTTCACTGTCACTCAATAGAGACGGGCTTCCTCTGGCAATATTCTGAAGGTTAATGAGCATCTGTAAAAGACACGGCCCCTACGCGTAGTACCCAGAACTATCGTGAACAAGTGCTACAAAAGAGAATGGAGCGTTCTTTCGATTAGCTACGCTATGCTTCCGCGTTTTCTTTTTTTGAAGACCCCCCCTTTCATACATTATAAACACTTCACTTCAAAACACGCTCAACAGAAGTCAAAGAGAGCATTTGGTCCAGTGGTCAAGACACTCGCACAATGGACCGCCGAGCCCAGCACATGAAAGTGCTGTGATGGGGAGCCTGGCTATACCTCGACCCCAAGGTCACGAGAGTGACTTTTTCAGTCTGTAGCAGACTAGAGGCAGATGGCATGCGAGAGACGTGTGTTCGAACCACACAATGCTCATTGTTATCTATATTCTTTTTAAAAGATGTGAAAGGATTGAGCCCTACTGTTATAGCAGCTTTTGCAAAGGTGTGGACGTGAGAGAAATATTGGAGTGCTATGAAAGACACTGCAAAAATAACAGGCGAAACTGACTGGAAACGAGCAAGGTACAATGAATGAAAAGATAGCGAAGAAGTGCAGTTGGTGGTCTTCCTAATGAAGAATATATTTGCAGAGCTACCATTATATTTTTGGGTATCCATATCCACATACAGCAAGCGGTATTGCGTCTCTTTCGCCAAGCGCCTCTGTAGTCCTTATTCAGAATTCTCGTTACAAGAAATAGTCCACCGCTATGTCTTACAGCGCGACCTTGGTTGTTGAACACCCACTTGAATCCAACTGCCTTAACTTTCCCAGCCTACGCCCTCCTTCGCCAAGGGCCTCTCCTAGAGGAAGTAATCCGCGACTGGTTTCTTCGCAGGCATACCCCTTGAATCTTGAGGTGCAGCCTCAAACACCCGATACCGCCGCCCGGGACCGTCTCGGTTCTGCTGGAAGTTGTCGCCAAGCACTGAACTTAGTCGCCGTTCTCCATTCGGTCCGGCATTCGATCCTAGCACCCAGCCTCCGCCGCCGCCGCCCCTGTCCCCGTTGGCCCTACGTTGAAACCCTGCATTTGATCCGTCTTCACCAAGTTCGAGGATGGCTGCTACGTTGCCGCAGCGGTAGCAGTAGTTCGGCGCTGACCAGACTGTTACGATGGTTGAATCAAACATCTCTTTGAATCCTTCCATGACCAGTTGGTGGGCTCTGGCGATGAGACTGAGGTCGTTCTTGTGGTTGAATGTCTTGACAATATCGGCGCCAAATAAGAATCCAGCCCCGCGCGGTGATAATCCCCAACCGTCGATTTCGTCTGGGTCCGACCATAGGAGATCGCACATGGCGCCTTCGTGAGGCACTTCTTGTTTCCGGTCAAGTAATCTAATCTTATCTACCGAATCGACGAGGGGTGACAGGCCACCATGGACACACAGAATCGCTCCTGTATCGTTCCTACTTGATCCATTTGCAGACGAAGTAGCTCCTGTACCAGCAGGGCCGACTCGTCCTGGCGTGGGGGCCACCGGTGATGAAGAGCCCATGTTGGCGCTCGCTTGTGAAGCTACGCTTGATTGAGAGTCTGAATTGCGCGCGTATCGATACATAATCTCGCCGTTGGCATTCAAGGTCTCTATTTCGATGTCCTGGTCGATATCTGGCATATTGTCCATGTTGCTGCTCTCGGCTATAGGTCCGTCGGTGGGCTGTAGGGATGTCGCAGCGCCTTGGACGAGGGCACCGAGCGCTAGATAGTCGAAGACTTCGCAGCAGTATCTGTTGGTGTCAGCCACCTCTCTTATACAATCCTCTTCACGAAAAAGCCTACCTCCACACATTTGCGCTCCCGTATTTGCGCAAACATTCATCGTAGAAGCCATATACGGTCGTGATTTGCCGTGACTCGTGGTTGCCTCGAATGAGCGTTATGCGGTCGGGATATCGAACTTTGAGACAGAGGAGGAGGAGAAATGATTCGAGTGAGTAGAAACCGCGGTCGACAAAGTCTCCTGTGAAATAATTAGCTTTCACAGTGCAATACAAAAGCACGGATGTGATGCATACCCATGAACAGGTAATTCGTATCTGGGACATCTCCACCGACGCGGAACAACTCCATGAGGTCGTGGAATTGGCCGTGAATATCACCGCATATCTAGTAACACGATATGATCAGCCTTGCCCTTGTAGTACGTTGACGGGCTACGTACTGTCACAGGCGCATCCACGCCCACGACGTTGCCTTCCTCGATCAGCAGCTCGCGTGCCTTGTAGCATAGCTCTCGGACTTGGTTCTCGGGTATTGGACGACATGCGCGGAGCTGTTGAATGGCTCTGTGACAACGTCAGTACTAGGCTTTGCGCGCGTGCCAACAGGCTGGGTAGCGTACTTGTCGAGATCACTACCACCAGCACTCATGATGCTAGTGTTGCGCTGTGTGCCCGCGCTGGGCCTCTGGGTCTGAAAGGTAGCTGATTGTCGCGACTACGTGCGCAATTGCTTCCTTTCTTTGAGCTCTAACACGCAAAAAGCCGGGGCGTTGTGAAGAGTATCGTCGGTGGCGGGGTGCGTTGTGGCGCGTAAGGCAGGCCTAAGAATGCGGTCGTAAATGCGTGCAGAAATTTGTCCAAGGCAAGCTGGTGAAGAAGGACAGCGCGGCGCGAGGGTAGCAGTTTGATGTGGTCGTCGGAAGGATACGTCCAAATGCAATGTCCAGGACAAGGGCCAGAGGGCGATTCCGAGGAGCAGGGATCTTCGGCTGACTAGCGTGGTCAATGTTCACTCCACCAAAAGTCTAAAGTCTATCACCACCTCTCACGCCCGCGCCCCGCGCTCCCCCAACGCCGACACCCGCTCGAGGCATCTCAATTGGCTTGGTACGGCCCCGGCCAGCACTTTCCAACCTTCGAAAACCCTCTAACAACCCGCTAGACCCAGTGATGCCTCGGCAACACCCTCAATAGCTCTTCAGACCACTACAGACCGCTTCACCATGCCTCCACATCTGCACCCACGGTCGCGCATGACGACGTCGCTCTTCACAACCACGCTCATGGTATCTTTCCTTGTCGTGGCCGCACCACATCTCATGCCGTGTCCTGTCGACCCGCGCATGCTCGCCGACTCCGCAGATCCCACAGGAGAGAACCGGAGACGGCGGAGACGAAGAGTCCGAGAGGAGGAAACTAGCAACGATTTTATGAGTGAAGAGACAAGGAGGAGGCAGCGCATTGAGGAGCGACTAGCTCCCAGGCGAGAGTGTCCAGTGCCGAAGCCTGGTGGGCTGATCGGGCAGGTGCTGGGGATGCCCAAGCAGGAGCTTGAGGAAGAGGAAGAAAATCTGTCCATTATGCAAAGAGTCGAAAGAGCGGTGTGCAAACCGCGGTCGAAGGATGGCAATCAATAACGGAAGCCAGATATAAAGGCAGCTAGCAATGGCATGACATTCAAGAACCAAGAGGTCGCGCATCTTGTAACGGCAGACGATGGTCTGCGTCGGCAGGGACCCTGTCAGATGTAACATATGTAAATACTTCACAGCAGAAGGAATGGTTGAACTGAAACGTATACAAGAGTGTATCAGGGTTTTACCTACAGAAGGGTCTTAGAAACTGCCCCTCTGCCATTGCTGCTTTTCCACGTCTAATGCCCAATAGAAAGATGTCCCTTAAACCTCGTTCCAACTTTCCATAACTTATAAAAGCACCGATCTTGGCACTATGGATCCCTCGATCGACGAATCAGCAAGCGTATATTACAGATCCGCTGGCTAAATACATATTACTGTCCTTTACTATGCATGTATTACTAGCTAAAATCCGAAAAACGAGGTCATCCACGCAATGCACGGAATATCGCCGCTAGTTAATATCGACACAGAAAGTCGCGTATCGCGTGAATGCACTACGTCATCGTGAACCCTCGACCAACGACCACTATTCTTTGGCACAACACCCAAAACTCATAACCAATCCGAGCCGCAATTCATGGCCCCATCATGCCCTCCCAGCCCCTTCCCAAAGCTCAACGCATGAGCTACCGCATCGGCTGCGGTGAACAAGGCGTATTAACCTTCGAGCCCTACAAATCCGCCATCCTACCCCTCTGGCGCTTCAAAACACCTTCTATAGCCCGCACATCCTCAGCTCAAATCTACGCCAAATTCTTAGAATACGACACGCAAGATGACTTCATTGGCATGGATATGAGCCGCAAGTTCCTGCAGATGGGTATGACGCGCGCGAAAAGATATGCGAATCATGCTGGGGGGAGAAAGTATGATAAAGAGACGGGAGAGGAGTTGGCGAAGAGCACGGGGCATGTGGGTATGCAGGAGAAATTAGAAGCAAGTTTGGTTTTTAGGGAGGTGTGGGAGAAGGCGAAGACGCACGAGGGGTATGTGGAGAAGAAGGAGAGGTTTATGAAAGAGCAGAAAGAGTGGGATAAGGAGATGAAGAAGACCAAGCAGATACAGGAGAAGGAAGCGAAAGAATGAGCAGATTTTATGCTAGCATCGAATTGCGAGGCATAGAGAATACAGCTATCACCGAGATGTGTGTTAGTCTCCGGCTTGATCTGAAGGAGTCCAGAGCACGTTTGTGTGCCTGGACCTATTTTCTGCGGCGATATGCGACACTAAACCGGCACCATTTTACATGCTCATCGCCACTGGAGTTTACATAATCCTAGCGGAGACCCACATGTCAACTTACATCAAAAAGAACCAAAGAAACTGGACACTATACGACTCGAACGTATGTCTCTCGCAAGCCTACGTCTAGTCTGCTACAGACTGAAGGGACTAGTTTAGTCCTAGGGCAACGCAGAACCCTGTTACTGACACCGTTAAGTGCCAGCTCTGTGTTATAGCCCCAGCGCTTTGTGCGAGCCTCTTATCGCTAGACCAAGTGCCCTTGGGATTGTTTTGATGGTAAAGTGGGCATCTTAATACGCTATGATGGAGAGAAGGAAAATATGTGGGGTTGAGATTTGTTGGAATATGCTGTGCAATTGATTTTTTGAGGCCGGAAGTAAGTGGGCTTTTTATTACGGGATGCTTGCTATTTGCATATGGAAAGCGTAATGGAAACACGCGAGAGCTGAAGACGTTGTCCGCGCACCATTATTCCACAAGGAAATAAGATTCAGTCAAAAGTGTGCCATGGGTCGCTCACCGCATCTTTGGGATCCCAGAACTACTACTGCTCATGATTGTCAAAACACTTCCACAAATAAAAAACCCTTGAGATTCTAGTGCTTGTGTCTACCGCCCGATTAGACGTGTTCAGCCAACGGACATAGTCCCTTAGAGATCGAAGTACATAATATTTTCTCTACTAGGCAATGTGATTATATATCCTGTCTTGCCTATTTCATGACGCTGCACTTTAAGCTCTCGGCTAAGTGTAAACGCCTTTTCGTCAGGCCGTAGATTTGTCGAAATCTGAAATATCACGAGTGTTTGCTTAGGCGAAGCTGTCGGTGAGCTTGAGGGAGTTGCCAGGTGGGTTCCATCGAGTAAGGTTTGCAGGCACGCAAGTAGCCAGCCCGCTAGGATTTCAGAGCTCTATCCTCCTTCTACATCTTCTCGATGATTTGTTTGCAAGGCAGCAATGCCACGTGTAGGTCTCACACGTTTGAGCTGCGGCACCGCAAAATTCGGATTCTGAGACTCTTCTTCACTCCCTTCCTCAGCCATAGTCTTCTCAACATCCCACATAATCAAGCCACCTTTCTCCGTGATCCTCAGCGCTTGACCCCTATCCTCCATGCTCATATTACACAAGTCTTTATGAACGGCCCAATCCTTACGCTGACACGTACTGGAACAATACGTCGCTGTACCGCATCTTCCACAGCGCTGGAGCGACGAAGCGCTTCCTCTGCAGTTGGTGCATTCATTGAGATCAAGGCCCCTGTACAGCCAATGCGGATTCATTGGTATACCATCGCCCCAGACGTCATCCATGGGCGCGTACTCGATGAAGAACCTATGCCGAATCTTCTTGCCCGTTTCCCATCTCCTCTTTAGTACCATCTCCCTCACCCATTCTTTCCCCAAACGGTCAATCTCTTCTGGATCCGTGACATCGTCATCGCCTTGCATACTTTCCCTAGAATTTGGGACCCACGCTCCTCGGTCTGAACCGTCCATGGTAACGTTATACGTAAGCATGAGAGTCCATTTCTCGCCCTGGTCTTTGAGCGTGCCGAAGGTGATTTGGTTCCCCACGCGACCGATTTCCCATCTTGTCTCGTTCGGCTCGCCCTCTTGCACGCTTAGATTCCAGGTAAACGAAAACCAGGCATCGAGATCGAGAAAAGCAGCTAAGGCATCTGGACACCAGTTATAGAGAACGGTGGCTAGGCCAATTGTTACGGTTAGGTTGCTGCTGTCGCTTTGCTCGGTGAAGTTTCCTGCGTCGATGATGCTGAGTGGGGAGCCGTTCAGTTTGAGGCGAGCATTAGGGTGACCGGGTAACCGGAAGTCGTCTAGAGGGATGAGATTTGATTCCATTGTTTGGGGTTGTAGATGTTCGCTGTATTGGGTTGGGAAAGTTAGTGTACGAAATTATAAGAGTGGGGCTCTAGCGAAGATTCTGATTGGTGGTGTAGCATTGGGTTCTAGAATCACAAATTCCATACGAGGTACTATAAGAAGTATCTAGTAATAAGAATAGAGTAGTGCTATTTCAATGTATAACTAAACAGGCTTGTGCTCTGCGCTATGTAGCATACTGTATACAATTCCATGCACTAAAGAACCGCCTTATTTGTCTTCTAGAATTCATCATCAATGTAGTATAAGATTTCAAAAGCGCCTACACCCCAGGAGAGCTATTGCTAGCTCTGTGGAGGTACTTCCTGATTGTAATCTTCTATTCAACTAACTTTTGGTCTAAGGTTTTTTCATTCTCTTACAGCTGATGCGGCTGCGGGCCCCTCTGCACTGGCACACTCTCCAGCGGCCCAGCAAACTTCAGAAGGCCAACATCTGAGCTCGTCATCGTGCTCTTGTACTTAGCTCCGCCAGCCTCGAACAGGAAGCTCATCGGGAATCCCACCTCAAAAGGCACTGCTCCGTCAATCTCGTCAATCTCTTCATCACTCAATTGCAACCCGAGAGCCTCAATATTCCCCTTCAAATGGTCGATCTTCCTACCCCCAACAATGGGATACACGTACGGGTACTTGTGTCTTACGTATGCCAGTGCAATGCTCGTAATCGCTGTGCTCTTCTTGTTGGCGAGGGATTCGAGAGCCTTAGACACGGCGATGTGCTTTTCAGTTGTGGGGCCGAAATTGCGGCCTTGCTCGTTGTTCTTGCGCTTCTCTTCTGTGGTGAAGTTTCCGCCACCGAGGGCGCCCCATGGGCACAATGCCATGCCCTCATCGCGCGCCATAGGGATGATTTCGCGCTCGAAGTCGCGGTCTGCAGCAGACCAACGGCCTTGATAGACGGAGAAGCCGCGTAGGCCATGATTACGGGCATCTAAACCTCGAATATTAGTAACGATTATCTATAGATTCCTAGTTGCTACTAGTCGAGTGGTAGATTGGAGTACTCACATTCATTCGCCTTACTTACAACCCAAGCCGGTGTGTCGCTAACCCCCAAGTACAGAACCTTGCCAGCTTGTACTGCTGTATTTAAACTTTGCATTAGCTCCGGTATCGATACAGTAAAATCCCACCAATGAACATAGAGCAGGTCTATGTAGTCGGTTTGGAGCTTCTTGAGCGAGGCCTCGAGAGAGACACGGAGAGACTTTGTGCTGTTACCAGCATAATTGATGCGTTGGCGTGGCGAGTTATGCGGGTCAGGGAAGCATGTCGTGAATTTCGTAGCGAGGACAATCTCGTCGCGCACATTACGCTCTTTCAACCACTCGCCGATCCAGGTTTCGGATTCTTCGTTTTGGTAGTTATTCGCACTGTGTATGTTAGACCTATCTTCACTCATAACCTCTAACTAGTGCACCGTTGTGGGATTCTACGTGTAACTGGAGACCTCTTAAACTTACGTATCAATAAAGTTACCGCCTTGTTTGTGGAAGAAGTCCAGGATTTCAAAGACGGTCTTCTTGTCGCATTTCCCCATCATATCTTGCCACGCATCGCCGAAGTTCATGGCTCCGAGACATAGTGGGGAAACTCGGACGCCTGCGGTTGGGGAGAGGACACGCTGAAAGTCCAAGAGGGACGCGGCCTTAGGAGGATCACCGAATGGTGAAGGCATTTCGACTGTATAACTAGGTTAACCTTAGTGGTGAGCTGAGCAATGCACTGTAGTTGATGAGGGTTCGTTGGATCAGCATGAGGGAACGCATCGCTCTTATACAATGAAACTTTGCGCGCCTATGACGTCTGCGACCCAGGCGTGTCTAGGTCCATCTTGGTGCGTCCGCTGTGAGCAAGTTGCGGCACTTGCTATTGAATGTCAGATAACGTTAAAGCCCCTGGATGTAGCGGGGTCAAATGTGGAGTAAAGCCGGTATGTCCGTTTATGTCCGCTCCTGTGGAGTCCGGAAGGGGTAGCATGATGTATTCATGTACGATTTTCGTCCAGATCCATGAGAGATAAGAATCTGGGCTTGAAGGAAGTACAGCTGCCGAGGGACTAAGCAATAGTTGGCTGGAGCTATGGAGCTCCCGTTCGGATGTAAGCACTTTAATGTCAGTAGAATTCATCAGTCATGACTTGCTTCCGCGATTCGCAGCCTCACAGCCTAGTGTATTACCCCTCGAACTGCTCACTGATCATCTCTTTATTCATTGCCAGCTGTTGCATTTGTATACATAGGAGAAATCGACGTGAGCAATATGAAACACCATGTACGGAAACCTCGCACAAAGCCGTGATTCATCTCTGGTCCACCTAGTTGCAGATTAGTGGTTCAGACGATAACCACCGCTTGCAGAGGGTTCCTTGTCGACAGTGAGAGAGCGAGAACTTCGATGTCGAGCATGAACTATCGTAGTATATCAAGGCGCATGGTGTGGAGCATAATCACATCGGGCACGGGATGTCAAAGTTTGGAGGGTGACCTAAGTTGCGTTCAAAACTATTCGCTACAAGGTCCAACATGTTCGCGACTGTGATGTATAAGCTTTTGAGGGTATCCGTACCATGATGCAAAACTCCATGCAAGTGCAAGCCGATATTCACACCCAATGCCAAAATATAGGTCCCAACCCATGAATAAACTAGTTCCTCTTCTTTTTCTTCTTTCGATTCCGAGTCTTCTTTACTAGCTCTTCGCCTTCAGCAAGAGCAACCTCTGGTTTAACCGCTTCTAACCGGACATGTCCATACTTTTGCCGGATCTCCTTCTCGAAGTCGCCCTTATCAAGTCGATACAGCGCCATAGTAGCCCTTGCATCCTCGACTGAGCTATGTGCACCAACCTGAATCTCTACGCCTAGCAGTTTCTCGGCTAGTAGCTTCAAGCCGGGTGTTCTGCCTGGCGTCATGGCCAGCGCTCTGAATTTGGAGAACTTGGATGTGTCGCGGATGAAGTGTTTATCGTGCTTCAAGATCAGCACATCGAGATCGTTCTTCACGGCGTGGCCAACGAGTATGCGTCCGCCAAGGAGGATTTTGAGATCGTTTCGTACTTCGTCGAAGGGACGCGCGACATCTTTTCGCAGATGCTTAGGCTCGATGCCAGAGACTGCTGTGCGGTAGTCCGTCACCTCGATCTTCCGCGGGATCTGAACGTAGGAATCGTAGACTTGGTGCCCGTGAAAATTGACGAGGGATACTCTTGCTAGCGCAGAGTCGCGATTGGGCTCTGGGCCTACTCCCACCATCTCGCAATCCAGCGCAACATATTTGCCGGGCAGTGCCACCTCAGATACGCCTTCGTTCTCAATGTCGGGGAAGTCGGGATGGGCTGCGATAACAGAGACGGCTTGGTCGGCATCTTTCGAGGAGCCGAGGAGGGGATTCTGCTTGAGCGAGGGCATCGAGACGCCCCGAGAGAGGGATTTGGTGTCATGTTGCTTGATTGAGGCGCCGACAGAGGCGGGTTCCTCCATTTTTTGTCGCTTTCTAGACCCGGGCAACTTTCGTGGTGTGCTCGATCCTGCGCCATTCACTGACTTGGGGGAGATATGCGTCGCTTTCCCATTGATGTGCTGAGATCTCTTGCGCTTGAACGAATTCTGGTCCTCGTCTTCAACTTTCTTGACCTTCGGAGATGCAGCTGGGGTCGAGGGCTTCAATTTCGCCTGCAAGTTCTTCCAGTTGCTGGAAAGACTATCGAGATCAATTGGAGCCATATTGATGTCACCTACGAGGCATGGCGGTGTGTAAAGTGGTCTCTCAGTGATCGTTGGAGAGTGTTCCGTAGTTTGCAATGACAAAAGTTCGAGATGGCGCTTGGGCCATCGGCTCTTTACCAGGGAAAAGACCGACGGGCAGGCGGCGACATCGCGACAAAGAACCTCAGCTTCAGCAACTTCTTCACGACTACAACGACGACAACGCGATTCAAAACTTGCGATAACCGAAGAGAAGGCAGCGCGCGATCATGGCGCCCCGAGAAAACTCTCATGAGCCCTCTGGCACACCCGTTCCGGTGGAAACGGGCTTTTCCACGCTGGCGCAGCTAAGGTATGTGCGACACCACGCGCAAAGTCTGGAGATGTATACTGATGCGTTGCATTTAGAGTGGGAGTAAAAGCATGGGTTTTGAAGGTACGTTTGATGCAGCCCAAGTTCGCGACGCGCAATGCACCCCGGATGCTGCAGGAACATCAAGAGCCGCCATCTGCAACGCTCGCTTTCCAGCACCTTAGTTTCTGCACTGGTTCTGCGTGCGCTCGTCATTCTATCCTTATAGTTTACTGTTTCGATCGTGTCTTGCATTTCATTTCCACAGCAAAATACATTTGACGTCTCCAACTAACACCCTTTAGGATGGCGAGAAGCGTAAAGCTGAGATCCTGTCGATACAAACTCGGCAAGGAAGGCCAAAGTTCTATGTTCATTACGAAGAGTTCAACAAGCGCCTGGACGAATGGATCGAAGCCGAGCGCATCGATCTCTCGCGCGAGGTTGAGTGGCCTGCACCAGAGAAACCAGACAAGAAGAAGAGCGCTGCCGTTAAGACAGACAAGGCCCCTTCAAAGTCTGACCAGAAGAACCTGAAACGATCACGCAGCAAGTTGGATCGTGAGATCTCAGGGACACCCGAATCCACTTCTAGTAATCTACCAGGCAAACCACCAAGACCCTCTAAAGCGGGCGGCAAGGAGAACCAGGAACTCATTGTGACCAGCGAAGTTACTGATGGCACACCAAAACCCGAAGACGAGGAGATGGACCTCGTGGATGTACAGGACGCCGCAGCAGCAGCCAAAGCCATACCAGACCAAAACTACTCTCGAGAAGATGAGATCGAAAAGTTACGAACCTCTGGATCCATGACTCAGAATCAGACGGAGATCTCACGAGTACGAAATTTAGAAAAGATTCAAATGGGCAAATTCGAGGTCGAGCCCTGGTACTTCTCGCCCTACCCTATCGACTTTGTAGACTCAGACGTCGTCTACATTTGCGAGTTCTGCCTCTCATACTATGGCGAAGTAACTCAGTTCGAGCGCCACCGTACCAAGTGCACGCTCCTCCACCCACCAGGTAATGAGATCTACCGCGACGACTACGTCTCATTCTTCGAGATCGACGGACGGCGGCAGCGCACATGGTGTCGTAACCTCTGCCTGCTCTCAAAACTTTTCCTGGACCACAAGACCCTGTACTACGACGTCGATCCGTTCCTCTTCTATTGCATGTGCACGCGCGACGAACACGGCTGCCACTTCGTCGGCTACTTCTCCAAGGAGAAGGAATCGGCAGAAGCCTACAACGTAGCTTGTATTCTGACACTTCCCCAGTACCAGCGTAAAGGTTTCGGAAAACTCCTAATCGACTTCTCTTACCTCCTGTCCAAACGGGAAGGCAAACTCGGGTCCCCGGAGAAACCGCTCTCCGATTTGGGTCTCCTCGGCTACCGTGCCTACTGGCAAGAGATCCTCGTCGACCTACTCATCGAGCCGGGACGTGTGGAAGCGAACATCGAGGACCTTGGTGCTGCGACGGCAATGACGACGAACGACGTCCTGCATACACTACAGAATTTGAATATGCTACGGTATAGTAAGAATCAACATGTCATTGTTCTCACGGATGCGGTTATTGCACAGAGGGAACGACAGAAGGCGAAAGAGAAGATAAAGGGCAAGAGGAGTATTGATCCAGATAGACTTATCTGGAAACCTCCCGTCTTCTCGGCTGCTAGTCGCACGTGGAACTGGTAGTATGGTTTGCGGTTTGGAGGCGTACTCAAGTGAGATATTTTTGGTGTTCGTGGCAGTCTTTTAGTTTAGTATACCCCAATTTTACAGTTTTACGTTCTCACTTGGCCGCCTCGTTGCGCAAAAAGACATTCGACAACGCTTGAAACGCAAAATGGTTGGACACGCCGAGATTCGAACTCGGCTCTTTCGCAGCGACCCAGCGGATTTAAAGCCGACATGCGAGCGGCGTCATTACTGCACCGCAGTTGACGTACCGTGCAGTCTTTTTTGGCTCAATCATCACTGGGACTCGGTGCGAATGTCTTGCCACTGGACCACGTATCCTCGAGGTGTTTGGATAGAAGAGCGCGGACGCTGAGAAGTTATATACAAGCACGAAAGTGAGAGTTAGACCCATAGTAGATGGAAATCTTCATTATAAGTTCATCCCCTTCAATCCTATCCTTATCAAGCGAAGACCTTAAACTACTCCTTCGCAGCGCCGTCAACCCGCCACTCCAACGGCACATCCTCACCCTCACCATTCAATTTCCACACATCCCTCACTCATCTACCACATCACCCATCCTAACCTCCTTCTCCCTCTCTACTCTCGCATAGAAACCCCGCCATCTTTTCAGCACATTCCCGTACAACAAAACCCACTCACCGCCCCGGGGACAATAAACCCCCAGAACCCAAACCGGCAGCATCGTCAGAAAGGCATCCACTCCTCCCTCACAACTCCCATTTTTATTGAACGGATACCCAAACGTCTTCGTTGCAATATGGCTCGTCTGCAGAGATATTTGCATGCCCCCTTTGTCAAGCGCCTCAAGCCCTGCCACGAACCCCCTGTAGACGTGGACAGAACTGGATGTACATGCGGCGCTAAATTGTCTAAAAGGACTTTCTGTACGCCCTCGCGCCAGAAAAATTAGTCGTCGCTTACCCCTATTATGTTCCGTAGACTGGTCCACTGGTCGTTTTGGGCTTTTATTTGTAAGGCTAGGTGTTGGATAGATGTTCGAGGCTTTTCTTCTTGCTGCTCTCCTGTTTTCTAAGTATTCTGCAGTGGAAAATGAGAGAACGAGGAGTCTGTAGTGGGCACTTTTGAGACGGGAGATTGGTTTTCAGTGTGGTGTTCCAATAGTGCGAGATTTGGAGGCATTCGGCGAGAATGGAGGGGGTAGGAAAGAGGTTATGGATATGAGAAGCTCGGGGATGAGGAATATTGGGTGCTTGTTCTTTTTCTGGGAAAGGAAGTTGTGGGCTACGTTTCAATATCTCGTTCCGAACGGGGAGTTCGTGAGAGTGAGGGATGCTAGCTTTACCACTCCACTTCCATATTAATTCATATCGTTATTTAACTGCCATGTTTTCTCTAAATGAATGTTAGCCGTCTCACTTCAGCTATCAATGCAATCGAATCTGTATTCGGAGTGGGCGACTAATCGTGTGCCAACTCTTAGCTGACCGAGCACTTTCTTTCAACTCTAGGAAGATTAAGCATAAGTATCAGGCTAGTAGCAAATAGTGCATTATAAAGTAGAATATACACAGAAAGATTATAGTACCCAGGCCAACGTCATGCAGACCACTCCTGAAATCAAGCTATTATATCAAATTCGGGATGGAAACTCCTATGCCAGCGCCCCAAGCAGCCCTACCACACCTCCAAGCCCCATCAACACAGCTCGAACACCATTCAATTTCCCAAACCTATCTAACAATATCTTTGCTTCCTCGTCCTCTTCCTTCGTACTCTTCTTCTCCGTTTTCTCCTGCGGCACGCTCAGATCCGTCCACTGACTAACGTCGTCCTTGCTATCAGTCGATTCTTCCGCGCTTCTTGTCTTCGATCCAGCGGAACTCCTGTACTGCGCGGATGCAGCGCTCCTCGATCCGCCTTTTTCTTCATTCATCTTAATGAGAGAGAAGTTCGTTGGAACCATGAGGGATGTGAATGGGCCGATGGAAAGCGTTAGTGCTGCTGCCGCAAGATATAGTCCTGGCTGGCCTTTGTTGGCGTTTTGGAGAAGTGTCAATAGAGTGCGGGTTCCTGACGGTAGAGAAGAGTACGCAAGGTAGGCGAAGCCCGATGAGGAGAGGAGTGCGGCTGTAGGGAAGATATGCGAGCCACGGCTGAAGAGCCAGCGCGTCATAGGTAGAGAGCGGGATGCAGGTTGGGACTTGAGAAGCGGTATATCAAATAGGGTGAGTGTTGCTATGCCACCGGAGGCTAGGAGGGCAGTCGAGATGCTAAGGATTTGGATAGTTTGTGTGACCGACATGGTCAATTAGTTGTAGATGTTGAACTCCAATAATATCCTAGAAATCTATAATGGATGTACTTTTCAAGGGAAGGTTTTAAAATAGTAGCTCGATGAACAGGTTTTGTGTACTCTATACCTTCTATGAAGGTATGTGACACTGCCGATTCCTCATTTTATGCATGATGTCATGCTTAACCTTACATCTGGTGGCTTGATATCCTCGATCACCAACCATGATCAACGAAGATTTCGATCTCGCGCACGGTTTTCACGTCGCCGACGTTGTCGCAATGCCGGGGAAAACTATTCCGTTCTCTTATGGACCTTTGGCAAGGCGAGCCAACAAGCTAGCATTGCTCCGTATAGTCCGATGCAGACGGGATGTAGCACCCACGTACCGGCGGCTTGAGCGAGAATACCAGTTGTAAACGGAGCCACTGCACCACCCGAGCTGCCCGCTCCGCCGATGAAACCGATTGCAGTAGTCTGTATATGACGGGGCATAAGGCGCGAGAAGATCGTTTGCGCACATGGATAGACTGGCCCTAGTAAAAGACCTAGGAGAGAGACCGCAACGGCATTTCCGATGAGATTGGGGGTCAACCAGGCTAGGAGTTGGAGAACCACAGTCCCGAGAGTAAGGATGACGACATATCTTTTTTCGCCAATCTTTGGCGCTGCGTGAGTAAGAACAAAACGACCTAGAGTAATTCCACCCTGTTCAAACGTTAGCGACTCTCCCGTAGATACGCTCTAAGCTTGTAATTACCCAAAAACCTGCTGTTACATAACCTAAACGTTGAGGGATGAAGTCAGTATGTCTCCAGGCGGTTCAGGACATGGACGTTACGTACCGACTTTAGCAGGGTCACCGTTTCTGTATTTGATAAGGTACGAGATGAACCATCCCGAGATACTGACCTCGGCTCCTTGATATGCGAAGATGAAAAGGGCTCCAAAGATAGTAACTCTGTTCTGCAACGCGAGCTTGAGGTCGCTCAGCTTCGACACCGCCTCCTCGGCCGCTGTTTGCCTGCTAGCCGTGACTTCCAGAGCAGCCAAGAGAGTTGGTTCGGATTCTTCTTCATACGACCAGAAAGCAAAGGCAGCAAAGGCAATGCAGAAGAGCCGTAGCCCTACCGAAATGAAGTAGAACCGCGACCAAAGCACTCCTTGGGAGACAATGGCCGTTCCGATGATAGGCGCAACAATCCCACCTACGCCGTAAGATCCATGCGCCAATCCGAGGATTACGCTTGATGGGTGTGTATTTGCACAGTAGACATTGTTGAGCGCTAGGTTCATCGCTGCGCCGTAACCTAGCAGAAAAAAGCTGTCTATGTTAGACACCATCCGAGTTCCAAACTTGGGCACTTACGAGATAATCACGAGAGGATATGGAGGTGTGCAGACAAGAATAATATATGCAGAAAGCTGTATCAGCTCAGCAAGGATTAACGTCTTTGCTCTTCCGATCTTGCCCAGGATAGTGTTTGTGAAGAACGCAGCGACTATGAAACCGACTGCGTTGCCAACAAAGACAAGAGACATGAGAGAATACGAAATGTGATAGTAAGATTCCATGTATGGAATCAAAGCACCAACAACTATAAGATGTCAACACTGAAATCGTCGAGCATATGATCGGAGAGGTGGGCAAGTGAAGACGCCCGATACAAGTCAGAGCTCTTTGTATACCACATACCTGAGTCGTTGATACCGTTCGCAAAATAGATTAGACAGCAGCACAGGATTCTCCACTTGGTCATTGGCGGGCTATTCCAGGTTCGCATCAGCCCTATGGCTTCATCCCTACTAGGGGTTGGTGGGCGGCTCATTTCAAGCTCATTAGGCGTCTTTGGAGTTTGTGCGCCTGGCTGTCTATCTCGTTCTGGAGATCGTGGATTAGACACCTTAGGGTCATTCTGAGTCTTTGCAGGCCCCAGCTCTTCGAATTCTATATCCGGCAAAACACCAATGTCGCGAGTGCTCTGTGGCGCTTTGGTGTTGTTCTTTTGGTACGTTGGTTCTGGGCTGGTGACTTTCGACGAGGAAGGCTGGATGTCGAACATTTTGTGAAATGCCGAGGACGCCATCTTGAGATGTTTTGGAAGAGGGTTCAAGCTGACCACCGCTCTGGTGAGCGAGGAGAAACGAGCAATGGGAGCCAACTAGGTACGTATCAGAAGAAGTAGGAGCCTGAAAAGCTGGAGAAACTAAACGATGATTGAGCTATACATTGATGTGGGGAACGGAAAGCTTTAAGGAAGTCGACGAGAAGCACGACTAGTAAACTCGACAGCCACGGGTGTCATTGCTGAATAATTGTAGATGCGTGAACACACAAATCGATACTATTGACTCAAGATCTGCAGGTGAGCAGGGAAAGGATCCGAGTCTACACCTATCAGCGGCTGCGCCGAAGCATTTCGACATAGACTTGCAGCTGCATGCGGAGATAGTGGAATCGTGAGAAAGGATGCATGGAATAGTGGAATTCAACCAACGGTAACGGATGCGTTGCCTGAACGGGGCCCAAGTTGCGAGGGTGGGCGGGAGGAATTTCCTTCCGTGGCTCGGCAACTCTTTCCCAATTGAATCTTCGTCGACCCCTCCAAAACACCAGCGGAATATCAACAAATTGCGTACATCTCCTCCACATCCAACACCCAAAGATGGCACGACCGAAGCGCATCGTCCTCGCAACCATAGAAGACACCATCACACCGCCCGATACGCTCCCTCCTGCGCATCGCATCGCGCGTATCACAAAAGCGGAAGGCAAGAATCTCTACAACGCTGAGCTACCCGACGGCAAGGCAGTCCTCGCAGAACTAGAAGCGAAATTCCGATCGACGGTATGGATAAAGCGGGGTAGTTATGTAGTTGTAGACACGTCGGGGCTGGCGGATAGGGAGAACAAGCTCGATGGAGAGATCGTGAATGTGGTTCGCGATGAGAAGGCGTGGAGAAAGATGAGCTACTGGTATGTGTAATTCTATATGATCTCCAAGCTTATAGGGTATCGTGCGGTCTATTGTACAGTGTGCTGAGTTGTTACAGGCCCAAAGAGTTTGCAAAGAAGTCCACGTACGTCGAGGATAGCGACGAAGAGGAATCTACCGTCGGAAAGATGCCGCCTGTCGATTCGGACGAAGAGTGAGCACCGAATATGCTCGCCCAGATCACTCCTTGTGTTCATGGTCCTCTTCGATAATACCCTTCATCGCGCCCTCGTACTCATTCCTCGTTCCCCACCACGAGCCCGCGGCCGTTGCTGCCAACACCGCTACAACTGTCGCCGAGCTGACAGCTGTACTTGGATACACATTCCATGCCCACTCTTGCGCGCCCCACAACGCATATTGAACGACGGGATGGAAGCCTGCTTTCCACAGTAGGAACGGCGTTGTCCAGGCAAGATACGCAAAGAACTGATAGTGTAGCGACCTAGCGCACAACATACCAATAGTCGTCGCGCTTAGGATAGTCGTCATGATGAAATCTGGGGTAATCCTACGCGCTATATCGTCTTGATCCCTAGGCTCCGCTGCCGGAATTGCTAGTTTGAGGAATCCGCGGAAATCGCGTTTGGATGGTTTGATCCAGCGCGTTTTGGCATACCAGAGGAGCAGACCGACATGAATGGCGAGAAGGCCGAGGGCGAAGGGCTTGGAGAGGAAGGTGGATTCCGGGATGAAGCGCCAGTTTACAGTCCATTTGTAGAGGAAGACTCTACTAAGCTCGAAAGCGCGAGAAAAGTAAGATGGCGCTCGTTTGCGGAATGGATACCCATATAGAACCTATAGTCAATCAGAACAAACATACCCAAGATATGCTGTGTGGGGGACATACCGAGACTTGTGCAATGATCATAGCCTGCGTGAGCGCCTCTCTCCCGCCCACCTTCTGCACCATCAAGATGCCGATCGCAGGCAACGGCAAAAGCAGACTCATCTTCACATTCAGACCCGTAGCGTAAAACACGCTTCCAATATGCCATTGGTTCCTCTGGTAACAATAGATCGCCGCCCACAGTCCCAGGACAGCAAAGCAATCATTGAAGCAGCGCAGCACGAAGATGCTATGCAAGCGCTTCGACATGACAAGCATTGGAAGCACATATGGCGGGACCTACACTCCATTAGCCCTCTCTATCTCCCATGAAAGATGAGATGAACGCGTGGATCAGAACATACCTTGGCCTTTCGATAACATTGAATCACAAGCCCCAGCGTAACAAGATACACCAGAGCAAAAATATACTGCGCAAGCTGGATATTCCGCCCTTCATCGGTAATCCGGTACAAATGCTTGTAGATCCACACATGCGCGCCAGGATACACAAGCGGACCCGTTGAGCCTGAAATCTTCTCGTAGTCTCTTTCACCCTTGAGGTAGATGGCTATATGCTGCATGTATGTCGTCCAGTCGATTTCCGTGTCTGTCCGCACGCATTGTTAGCAGGGTGTTAATTAGACGTGTGCGAGAGCGCGTACAGGGTATCTTGTCTATTATCACGCCACAGAGCGCTGCGTCGGCGACGAGAAGCAGCGGCGTTAACCATTTTGTGTGTTCGGGATTGTATGCGATATCCAGCGCTTGCCGTATGAGTGACATGGCGGCGTACGTTGCTGTTTGATGGGTTTGGTGATGGGGGATTAGCGTTGGTGATATAGGACACGTCGCGATCACGTGGTCACGGGGCTGCTGAGGTTTCAAGACAGACTTTCACATCAGGAACGGTTTCAGGCATTATTGGTTCGTACGATGTTTTGGGTAGTGGCTCGAGTCTATATTGGGTGATTGGGCCCTGCAGGCTCCTCGGTTACGCTTTCCCTGTAAGAATCTGGTTGTTTGAATATATTCGTAGCGAAGATGATCTCTAGATTTTTGCACTATAGCTGTACTTGAGGTAGCTTCTCCTGAACTACGCGCTCGCATGATAACATCACGTACACATATGCATCATAAGAACAAAACGGATCGCGAGCCCCATATCATATAAGTGGAAATTCTGTTTGTAATCCCTACAATGGACCCCTTTCTAGGTCTGGATCTGGATTGCGAAAATGAATGACTAGACCGCTCTGCGCCATTTCCGCAATATCAACAGGTAGGCTCCCAGGGTCAGAGTTTGCACGCTGATAGCCTTGCCTACTGTGCACCGTTGCATCAGCACCAAGCCCCCCACCATACGCTGGTCTTGCGTCGGCCGGGGTCGCAGGAGACCACGTCTCTCCGAAGCTGACACGACCTTCGCCGCTACGACGACCCTCGGAATCTACGCGCTGGTGGTGTGCCTCTGATGGGCGTTGTATGAGCGGCGACGAGGAATCGTCGCTTGTACGGCTTGGTGGAAGTAGCGATGCATCGCTTTCATTACGAGGCCGGCGCGTGGGAATCGCTGGCGGGAACAGAGAATGTGCCATTGCGGGCGTATCGTGAATATGTGTATCCATATGCGGTGCGGTGGTAGAATAGTCTGTGAGCTCAATATATGGAGATGGGTTGATTTGGGCGGGTACCATCGCCTTTGCCTGCGGAACAACAGGATCCCATTTATGACCTTTGGTCCAGAGCAGCGTTTTTTGGGGCTTCTTGACAAGCCCAACGAGAACGGCGAGCTTCTCCATCGGGTCCAATGTCCACCGCGAGAGCTGTCGAGAAAGCCAGCGCACGGGAAAGCTCCAGTGTCTGTACATTCGTGTTTTGCGTAAACCGTCCATGGCCTCCTTGTAGTCTTCAGTCGATAGGAAGGACTGCTGACACCATTCGACTGTAATGTAGAATATGGAAAGCCACATAACCGTCGATGTCAATACAGTCCCTGATGTCCAGTACCAAAGCACCCATCTGCTATTCGAGGTGTCCTGCACGCTGAAGTCTAGGTAGCCACCAGCGCCACCCCAGTTCGATGTGATACAATCGCATGTCTTGTACCAGCCGAAGGTCTGGGCAAGGACAATGTAAACCTGATATAGTTAGTCGTCTGGTGGGAGATGGGTTTCAACTTGAAGCTTACCAACCAAATAGCGTTAAATATCTCAACAGGTCTGAAGAAGAAAACTTCCCATTTTCTCTGTAGACTCATTGCCCCCACGTTTCTGAACACACCGCGAAGGGCGCTCGCGACTCTTTCTCTCACAGCCGCCTTATCATTCCACGGATATAAAAGTGCAAGGCCAACAATGCAGCGAACAAATAACCCCTGCGTCTTATCCAAAAAGCTGGACACTCTTCTTTTCAAGTGATTCCACTTATCATGTGCATCACCTTCCCATCGGTTGAATGTAGTATGGTTGTGAAGTAGTGTGGTTGTCCTAACCAGCCAGGGTGGTTCCACTTCGTAAGGCGAGAGGATGAGCCAGACGGTCATCTCAAAGAACAGCAGTCCAAACGCAACGGTGAAGAAGATCGTGTAACCCCCACTACGACACCCCAGCCCAACAGTGGGCGTGAAGAAACTCAAGATGAAAGCGCCGCCGCAGCTGGCAGCAACAATGATGATTGCGCTTGCGACCTGCCAGAATTCGCGAATGTCAAACCAAACGAGCCCTTCATCATTGACTGGCCCTATGACAAGGTTGACGCGCGCTTCTTTCTCGTTGGCAAGCCAGTTGCGACCTTTGTCGGCAATGTAGCAGTTTTCGATATCGCACAGGATAGGATGAGCAGCACCGTAATGCCATCTGACTCGTGCTTGACCTGCAAAGTCACCGAAGAAGTCGTACATATCCTCGCCTTTGTTTGCAACGTTATCGACCCAAACGTTCAGCTGGTCGAATTCGGGCTGATCCTGGAATGTATCGACGAATTCATTGCGATGTCGCTCATCGCGTAGAGCGTGACGCACATGATCGACCAGCGCATTCAGCTTCTTCCGAATCGCTTCCGCCGCGATAGGGTTACGGTCAACGACGGATCCCATGATCAAGATTGGAAACCAGGCGAGCAAGCAGCCTAGTGCTAGGTCGTGGGCTGTCGTGTTCTGACCGAGGTCACCGAAAGCCGCTTGTATTGAGAGGGCGAAGGCAAACAAGAACCACATAATTGATACGAAGACTGTAGGTCGGTTAGAAATCGTGTAGATCTGCCATAGTTTAGACCTGCATACCTGGCACTGCGCCCCGTCTCCTCATCTCACGCACTTCTCGAGCCAAAATGCGCCGCATCTGACGCAGTGTCTTATCCGTATCTGTCAACTTCAAATCTTTGCTAAACAGCACAATGCGGAGTAACCCTTCCGCTTCTTTCTCCCTCAAGGCGGGTGTCTGCTTTAGCGTGTACTGATTCATCGCCAACAAGAGATACATCGAATCTCTCATACTGCCGAAATCAGTCCTGCGATCTGGCGTTTCATCGTACTTGACAGCCATATCGACCATCAAGGCGGCCTTTGCGGATACTTTGATGTTCCATAGTACGTAGGACAGCGAGGCGATGGGCGAACCCACCCAACGCGAGATGGCAAGAAACGTACGTTTCGTCGCGTTGCTTTCAAACGGAGCTTGGAGAAGAGTGCCAACAACCGGTAAAATCCATGTAGTAATGGTGCTGGAAACCTCACTCCAAGGGTAGGTATCGATTCCATTTCCGCAGACCTTCAGGCATCCTTCTCTTGAGATCTGCGACGAGCTGTTGTATGCAATGCCGACTAGCGGGCCATGCCAGCCATATCGCAAACGCAGCGCTTCGCCTTCAGTCGTGTTTGCGGAAAACCTTTGGCCGCATTCTTTCAAGTCAATTTTCATCGCCACTGAAGAGACGTAAAAAAGACAAGGCTGAGATAACGTAGGGACTTTGAAATTTAGCGTACATGGAGCGGGAGCCTCGGCTTTATCGTGTCCTGCAGCCCATACCAAGATTGGGGGCGCCACCCCGTATCTTTCGCGGCGGTTGCCTGGTTAATGTTACACCCAATCGTTGATCCGTATCGTGGGATATTGCGGGACGGCCTCCCCAAAAGCAGTACTTGAGCCTCATTGTCCGGTGAGAATCAGATTGCTCATGTCGCACTTGTATTGCCTTTTGTACCACATGCCTCCTCTAGTAGCTTTCCGGCAAAGCATCGTGGTTTTTACCTGAGCGCGAATAAGCAAATCGCGTCATTGCTGACAAGACACTTGCGGTCGCCAACGGCGCATCAGAGTAATGCGTGTGTTCGTGGTGGACTAGGGCGGAGTCGAGGTGTGGGAGCTATTCATGTAAGCGCCAAGGGCGTAGGCTCAAAGACCCTTGAGATCTCTTATCACTTCTCACTCTAGATTTATAACCGAATGCCATGATGCTCACGAAGCTCGTAGGCTTACAGTGATCTAGTGATACCTCAATCATCTATCTACATAGCGTGCATTCCGTTAGTCCATTCGTGGTTCTAATTCCAGCGTTAACCTCGGCTTCGCCAAGGTCACACACAGCCCGATGTATCATCACAGCCACAGAAGATCAAAATGAGGCACAGAAAGAGCACGTGAAAGACAGTTCTTCGATATCGTACTAATGCCCATTCGATCTCTCTGGCACAAAGCTTCCTACAATAAAACGCATAACTCTTAAGTTGGATGAGTGAACATGATAGGTACATAGATATACAATGAGGTAAAGCCCGCAAGCCTCCTCTTCTACAATTATAGCAGAGACGTCGTGCCGAAGCTACCTTTTAGCCATCAAACACCCTGCAATGCAAATGATCCGCAAAAAACAACTGACCAAATAGCGCACAGATACCGCAAACACCTAGCTCCACGCTTAGACCATGATACTTTTCAATCCCAGAGTCTCTTTATCTTCCGGCCCCTTTTCTCACCCTCTTTCCGTATTCTCCCTTCCACCGTCGAACTGCCCAGGTTTTCCAACCTCCAAAATGCCAATGGACTAAGTTCGACGTCCCAACCTCTCCGCAAATGGCCTAGAAGACCTATGCGCTTCACTTTAGGCGTGGCGGTGATAGGCCACTCCTTGGTTGGAGAGAAGTACTCTCGTTCCGCGTCACCACGCAAAGCAGGGCTGAGTCATGAGAAGAAGTATTTACTCTCCATGAGTCGCGAGACGTCCCAGTCGCCCTTCTCCGGCACAGGCGGGAACGTGAGGGGAATCCAGACTTGGACTAATCCTTTGTCGGCGGCGATACGGGATGCCGACTTCTTTTGCTCCGTGATGCCGAATTTGTTGGGTGGGTTACCGTCGACTTCAAGATCCTCTTCGACAGTCAGAGTCGATTCGATTCTGGACACTGCCTCTGTGGAATCGCTGTTCACGGCGTCTGCCTCGGCGCTGAGAACCTTATCCTTGATCTCCTCTTGCCTGTCTCTCGACTGTTTGTCCTTGGTCTCACCAATAAGACTGAGACGGAACGAGGAAAATGCCTTGGGATCCTGGTTCTCGAGCCAAATGCGTGTTGGTGTTACCATCTCTTCGCCCTTCTTCCTCTCTTGTGGGTCTTCGCTCTTTAGTAGCTCTTGTCTCTGGGCTTCAAGCGCGACCTCCTCGAAGCTCGCATCTCCTTGGCGGGTTTCAGTGTTCTTAAGAGTTTTGCCGGCGAGTTTGCGATGTTGCCATCGCCACTTGTTGATTTTCCGGCCGACTTCTGAAGAGGCGAGAATGCTCGCGCGATGCATTGCGCCTGCATAGCGCGTTGCGAATTCGGCAGCCAGGCGACCGATAATGTCTTCCGAGTGCATACGGACAAAGGCGTCACGGAGGATGGCGTTCAAGTTCGGAATGTCGGACGCGTGTGTCCAGAAACTGTCATGTACAGCGGCGAAATCAAGACCCATCTCACTGCACTTCAGTGCCGAAAGAATCATATGCGTCGCATCCAGTGAGTGAATGAAGTTCGGAGGGAACGCTTGGAGCTGCTTGCGCTTGTCGACAACGTCCGACTGCGATCTTTTCGCAACGGTGATATCCTGAATCTTTGTTCTGATCTTCTGGATAGTATCCTTACGATATGGCTGGACGATGGGCATCTTGAGTGGCGTAGTCCAGATGATACTAGTTGTAAAGGCCTCCATGTCCTTATTCATTTTATTCATCGCTGTCGCATTGAGCTTCTTCGGCGCTTGGTACTTGGAATCATATGGGGTACCCGCCTCCCCTTCGAATCGTCTTTGAATATTCCTAACTTGCTCAGCGGTGAGAGAGGTCGTAATGCGGTCACCACATTCACCAAGCCAATACTGGATTCCCTGGGCGCCGTTGAAGATCTTGCCAAGCGCGTTGAAGATTTTGTATGCAACATACAGTGCAACCGGAGATAAGGATCGAATTGTCTCGGTTTCCTTGAAATTGGGGAAAATGTGTTGCAGCTCGTCTTGAACCTGTTGCTTCGCCCCCATGAATGTGACCCCGTAGACATTGGTCATGACCGTTCGCTTGACAACCTTTCGAGTGATGTGACCATTGACAAAGGTGGCATATGGTAGGCCTTCAGCGGCCTCCTTTGCGACCATTTCCTTGACCAGTTCAGCAACGCCAGTGTAGATATCCTGGGGTCGATTAGACGGCTCAAGGTTGACCTGACGGGCACCTGCGTGGTCGCCTCCTAAAGCGGCATAATGCTGGAGTCCATTACAGGTTCCGTCTTGATGTACCGGTAGTTGAGAGACAAAGCGTGTAGGATCGGGTGAGTCAAGGGCGCTCTTCAGCTCCATGCAGCAAGCCAGACACTGCCATGGGTCTTCGGCCTTGGCCCACCAACGCTGGCCTTCTAATGGATTAGTAGCCGAATCGTAAATCGCGCCGATGTTATCCATGGCAAATTGTTCTCGCTCCCGCAGACTAGCTTTGTCATACCCGTAGAGATTGGCAAGATGGATTTTGAGCCATTGCAATCCGACCGTACCAAGCTCCTTGCCATGTGCAAACTTGAGAAGACCTCTTGATAAATCGGATCCAATATGGTTGAGGATAGGGGGTATCGGATACGCTCGACCTCGGAAGTCGACGCTGTGCGGGAAGTAGAACCTTTTCTCGTTGAGAAATGATTTTGCTGTTTCCAACTGGAAATTTTGGAAGCATCGTTGTGAATGATAACCACTCCTCAGATTGTCGTATTCTCGCATCTCTTTGCCCCATCGTGCGCGCTCTTGATACGTAGCATCTGCAGGTGGCTCCTGGGGGCGCTCTAAGCCAGTGTCTTCCCCAATTAGACCCCCAATACCCTGACCGGAGTTCCAGACCCGAGCCATGACGTCATAAACAGGGGCGTTGACCTGCCAGGGCACCCGTCCGAGTACATCCAGTCCCGCGAGAACCTTGTTCATGTCGCCATTGTCAATAGCAGACTGGGCGTACACTCGCTGTGCGGTATCACCGCTTTTTTGGCGTACGACCTTTTGCGGAGACGTGTAATAACCCCCGTCTTCGAAGCTTAGCCAAGCCTTCGGCTCAACCACCATGGGTAGTCTAACAGTTTGGATGCTATGAACGGATTCAGTCCGTAGCTTGGTCATCAATTCATGATGCGGGACTATGGAACCAAGCTTTTTGCCCTGGTGGTACGAGACTTGGTGATGAAATGCAGCCATAGTGGTGGATACTTGCTTTCCCGTTTTCGGGTCATCTGCCGTCACCTTCATTGTTGCTGACTTGAGCAAAAGTTCAAGGCATAGCGCTCCAATCTTTGTCTTTATGGAGAGAGGCATGTCAGCCGCATCAAAGGCGATCGGAACGACATTTGGTTTGCTCGGTGATGTGGTTGAAGTGGTCTTGGTCTTGGATAATTTGTCGACTAATTCAATACGTGTTTGTTTCCGCTGCTTCTTCAAGAACGCCTCCTGGCGAGCTTGAGCGTCCGCCCTGAAATGTTCGTGGATGTCTGAACCGATAGCAATAGATAGAGTCGAAGTCTTGAGAGGGGAACTAGAATCGCTTTTGCCCCTTACACAGGATTGAACTGAGCGAGCAACAGTGATGGCTGCAAGAGTTTCAGGTTTGCATCTCTCTAACCAGGCTCCGTATCCGTGTGCGTCATCGCGTTTGTTGTCCGTCAAGGGTGCGCTAAGAATCTTTCTCGTGCGCTCGATTTGCTGCTTAAAAAGCGGCACCAGTGCGGAGTACCAGCTGTACATCATGGCTTGAACGGGCTTGGTATTCAACACGCCATGAATGCCTATGTCTTGTAGCTTCTCGTCCTCGTGTTTCCACCTATCCACGGCGGCCTCCATAGCATCCTGCTCCATGCGCAGCTGCCGGGCATACGCGTACGCATGGTCCTTCTCTTCCTGTGTGCCTTCCATATCGTGTGGGTATGGGACGCTTCCAGTCGTTTCAAACATTGCCAGTGCTTGCTTCAGCGAGTCTAGGCCCACACCCTTCTGCGGCACAGGTTTGATGGTTTCATGGGGAAGCGATACCAACCCATGATCAATGAGATTCTTGCGTCCGGCAGGGGTGCTGACGTGCAGATTTTGTACTTCTTCCACGGTTGGCGGCTCTTCGTATGCTTCCGGTTGTAGGCGAATTAGCATGTCCCACTCTTCGTCGGAGAAGTCTGGTGATCCATTGATGTCGTCTACGACTTCCGGTCCGTACTCGTGCGCCATAGCGAGAAATCTCCTTACTGCATCCTCCCGCGCATCTTCGTCGAGTAAGTTCATCGCTGCTCGGACCAATGTGACGAAAGTCTGCGCATTTGGCTCAATGTTTTTGCGAATCATTTGTGTTTCGTACCATTTCTCAATACTGGCCATCGAGTCGGGCTTGGGATCCTGCTGCGACAGCTCAGCTAGCGTCTGTAAGTAGACATTGTGCGCATCCACCACCTCAGGCGCAGATGGATGGTATACAGAGGTGAGACGCTGAATAATAATTGCCGCACGATCCATCCGGCCAACTCGCAAGCAGGCATATAGATTCTGATGGAGCTCGACCGGATTAGCGCCCATGCCATAGGTCGCGCGTACTACAGGTGGAAGCTGAACTTCTTTAACTATGAGCGGGTTCGCCGTGTCCCAGCGCTCCAGCAGGGAAAGCTCTGGTGATTGTACTTTATAGTCCCAGGCATGCGAGAAGGGATCATAAGGTAATGAAGCGGGGGCGGGTTGTAATTCGGCGGCCGTGGCGAGTGAGCGTGTGTCATGCCGTGATGAAAGCGACGGTCTCCGCTGTCTTTTCGAATCGTATGTCTTCATATTTATCGTCGCGGCATTCGATGCTCTTCGTAGCTGCGCTGGACAGAGCCATGGTAGCGTCAATTGATCCGAGAGGGTCGTGGGTGTCCTGAAGGCGTCTTTGCGAAGCTTCCGCCGTGCTGCTCGCGCGAGCATTTCGGCGAATATGGGTGGGATATTAAATGTAATAGAAGAAAGCAAGGCAAGATGCTACAAACGCGAGCAAAAGAAAGAAAGTAGCTTCACACACGCGCGAGACTGGTTAGTGGGAACATTCCAGGGAGGCCGACATTTGCAAAATGTTCGGCCTGCACTTCCACCCTTGTAGGTTAGCGCAGCTTTGCACATCACGTGATCTGCAGGGCTTCTGGAAAAGTCTTTGCCACAGCGAATCACCCGCGAGTCATGTCAAAGCATTCACAGATGTGCCATTACTAAGGTAAGCTCTTTCATCGTACCTCAGTATCTACCCTATTGAAAATGTGTGCCCTCTCGGCAGGTCAAGAGCAAAAGAGCCAAACAAAAACCCGCCCCTCAATGCGCCTTAAATTTCTAGAGCTTCGAGTCCAAGCCTGAGCCCAAAAGATACATTCTTAGATTGCGGCCTACTAGTCATCTGCTTCAATCGTTGCTCTCGTAGCCGTCTTATTCCTTGAATTAGTAGCAGCAGCAGAAGCCGTAGACGACTCGTCTGCAATCCGCCTCTGATATGCGTCGTCGACCGGCGCTTCAAACATCTCCACTTCCTCTGATGGATCGTCTTCCCAATCGCCTTGGTCTTCATCGCCAAAGCAGAAAAGATCACCAGCTTCCCCTGTAATGACTTTGCGATGCTTGCCCTTGGGTATTGTGCATCCTCCAATCTCTTCGCGGAACTTGTTGGCAAACTCTCTTGCGATAGAGGAAACGTTCGCAGGCTTAATCGTGTTGCCGTTATAGAGCAGCTGCGGCAGGTGGGGTATTTCAGGAAGATCGCCATTGAATGGCAGAGCCATATGTAGCGGCTGCGATCCAGGTATGACGGGCGGTTCCGGATTTTTCGGCGTTTGTGGAGCTTCGTTGACGCGTAGAAAGGGCTCGTCTGGAATGTCTGGTGTTACGAGAGGTCCTGCTCTCTTTAATGGCTCAGGCAGGAATTCTTCTGGGGCATGATACAGCTCGTTATGAACCGTGACTAGAGCGGTGGGCATGGAAGCGGGATAGAGCAGTGCGTAACCCCGCGCTCGCATAAACTCGAGCATGTACTCCGTCCACGCTGGAAGCGTTTCAGACACCAATTTTGTTCGGGAAGCTGCATTCGACGATTTCTGGCGCTTCACCACACGGTTGCCGAGAAATGAGTGTAGTTCTGCCCATTTGCCGCCTAAGAAAAGAGTCGCATGGCTGTTGGGGGCTTGCCAAAGGAAAGGCGCGTTTCGGATGTTGGGGTACAGCTTTTTGTACCGGTCTGTGTGCATGTTGTCGACAGTTGGAAGGGTCAATTTGGTCTGGCCATCGAGGAGAACAGAGGGCTGCTCCAGGCTCAACCCCATCAGGTTGCGCTGATCATCTTCGCCGAAGGTCGAGTACTTGTATTCAAGCAACGCGTACTTTACGAAGTGCAAGTACTGTGGGGATAACTGGGCTTGCGGCGAGAGCAATAGTAAATGGGAATTCACAGTGCTGATAGGATAGAACAACTCTAGAAACCGCATTGCAGAGTCCTCTTGGGTCGCGCGGTGATTCGAGATGCGTCGTCTGATAGTCAGGCTATTGCCTGCTATGAGTTTGCTATTGTGTGAAGGCCACTTGAACCTCTCTAGGTATTGTTTGACGGATTTATCCAGTTCCGCGGGGAGCTCGAGCGTGATCCGAGGCGGCTTCAGTCCGCTGTAGTCGGCATCTTTGATCGACTTGAGTAGCCGCAGCACGCTTGACGAGTCTGGCGGCACCTGTATCAAGATATCTACAGTTGGGTTGTGCCAATTTTTGAGGGACCCTGCATCCAGTCTCGTAATCCACATCAGGTCCTCCGATCTATCTTTGGGCACCTCGATGAGAGGTATACCAACCTTCTCTGTCTTGTCTCGTACACCCTTAGCAAAGGAGGCATCCTCTACCAGAGAGTCATCCATAATGGCGGCCTGCGGGTGCAAAAAGCTATGAATGTACCTCAAAGCTCCCTTTACTGCTAATTCGGCTCGAGCGTCGTCGCTGTACTCTGTATAGTCCGGCCGTGCATCATGCCAGAAGGCCGGGCACTTGCTTTTGTCTATCCCATTTATCTCCAACAGATCCTCCAGTGGTATATCCTCCCTTCCCATGAAAGCTACGTGTACGTGATTTCGGCGCCACTTTGACATTTCGCATATCATGGGCAGCAGCGTAGATGCGCTCTTCAAGTTCGATGCGGCGAAGAGGATGTTTCGGTTGTGCTTCCCATAGCCATCCGTGTCCGCTGCTGACTTGCGCAGCGTTTTGGCGAGGTGGAAGAACCTAATTTGGCCGTTGTACGTGTGTGGTATGGCTTCGCCGCGTTTCGGTTTCTGGATGCCCGGAGGCGGTCCCGTGGGTTCGCCATCGTCACTGATCGGTCTCTCGTACGTATCGGATGTGCTGGGTATGATGGGCCGTCCAAGCGGATATCGCTGTCTTTCATGGCTCAGTCCTGCGAATTGTTCCCCGGTGCTGTGAAAGAAGAGATAGACCAGAAATATGCCCAATACCACTAGCAATATTCTTCGCCGTCTCCAACGAAATGTGTGGTTCCATATTGACCATGAAGGCCGTCGCGACGCGGCGAATTTGTGGTCATCATCCTTTTTGCCCAGCTCTTCATCGCCAGGAAGCATCGTCTTGCCCAGCATGCTGCCCCGAATCATGCTCTCCTGCAGCCACCCACGGTCTGTGGTGCTGCTCTTTGCTACCATGCGGAAGGCCGCTCAGTCATCGTTATCGTTTATGGAGGCCCGGCGTCGCGGTCGACGTGCAGTTAACGGCAAGGGAGCTATAGGCGCATTCGAGGGAGCGTGTAGACGGTGCTCTAAAGACTCTACGCTGCACTGCGGCGCAATGATGGGAACAGTCAAATAACGTCAGGACAGATAGTGACGACTCAAAGTCTACTGGGGGTGTAAGAGCCTCTCAAAGGCGATGTGGAAGAGCATATAACGAAGACCCTTGTTTCGCCATGTCAGAAGGCGCATCCCTGCGCTGCCCGTCCCGCTCGCCTACCTACGCCACGCTTTCGAGTCCCTTGCGTCTTCATCCGTCAAAAGCTACCACAATCCACGAACGGATTCATCCCTATCTCTGCTAGTCGATGCTCGCCCTACACTCAAATCTGCGATGGCAATACAGTTGGACAATTTTGCAACGGAATTTGCGGGGCTTAACGCAATATATCTAAATTGATGGTAATGTTACGCCTTTAATGTCCACTAGACCGAACTCTCACACCTTCTCATGCTCCGCCAATCGCTCGTCCGCCGCTTTTAATGCCTCACGCAGTGCCTTTTCATTCCTAGGCTTGAAGATGACCTTGTAGTGTCTACACATGGTCACCAAGCTCGTTGGATCAGAGCTGCCTCGCACTGGATGTACATCAACCTCGGAATCCTGGACAAGCTCGAAGCTGTTTAGTACCCGCAAGAAGACGAGGTACAACTCGCGGTTCGCCAGCAGCGAGCCAGCACACATGCGGTATCCCAGACCGTAGGTGAAGAGTGGCGCGTCGGGTTGCTCTAACCAGCGTTCTGGTCGGAATTCTTCTGCATCATGCCAGACGGCCGGGTCTGTGTTTGGTAAGCGATGCCACTCAAGTAGAAGATGACACAAGGAGAGATACGCAGGGGAAGTGACTTACCCATATTGCACGCCCAGGCATTGAGGTATATCGTGCTCCCAGCCGGAATCAGCCTGCCCTCATACATGACGTCTTTCACTGTCGCGCGGGGGAGCGCCAGTCTAAGGACGGTGTAGAAGCGCAAACATTCCCTCACCAAAGCAACAATATACTGGCACTTCTGGTCGTCATATGCATCGCCCAGCGGCTCCTCGTCCGTGTAAAACTTCCGAATCTCCTCGATGGCTTTGTTCTGGATATCGGGTCTCTGAGCCAGCAGCGCGACACTCCACTGTACAAGCGTGGTGATGGTGTCCAACCCTCCCGCAAGCATCGTTAAGCTGATGGACGTCAATTCTTCCTTGTTCAAGGCGGCTTCTTTATCCTGGATGATGTTCGCTTGGATGCACGGCTTGTGGATACCCTTCTCCATCCTGTCGTCCAGATCACGATTGAGTCTTGTCAGATAGACATCCCTCCGATTCCGATACTCCTTTGCCGACTGGGTCCCAAAGCTGAATGGGTTCAGCCTCAAGACCGGAATGTAGTCCTGCAAGTTTCCAGTCGTGCTGCGAAACTTGGAGATGGCGGCTTCGACCTCACAGATCTCGTGAAACATGGGATCTTGCCGGCTGCCCATGCGCGTTCCCCAATTCAGTGTCAATGCCAGCGAGAGGGAGAGACGCTCGATCATGGGCATGGGATCGACACCCACCGTCCCAGCACGTCCAGACTCGAACCCGTCCTTCACGAACTCTTTTGTCTCCAGGTCGAGGTGGTCAATGTACGTGGCGATTGAGGGCTTATTGAGCGCAGATGCAGCACCCTTTCGCCGGCGCTTGAGCGAGTCATTGAACGGTGAGGTACCGATTGTGGTTCCGGCAGTGTTCGAGAGTACCTATATCTGTCAGTGAACAAGCTTGTACGTCGCCAGCATTAGAGCAGCGACCTACTTTGTGAAAAGTCCAGAACACCGGCCTCGAGCTCAACGCCTGACTATTCGCTCCAAAAATCTTCCTTGCCGCTTCCGCACTATTCACAACAATGACCGGCTCGTTGCCGAGTTGTATTTGGTACACAGCACCAAATGTCTTGCTCCATTCCCGATATTTCTCTGCAGCGTTGTACTTGATGTCTGGGATATTTCCAACTAGAGGCCAATTGGTAGGCCCTGTGAAGCCTTTGATGCGGCGCGAGAACCGTACATATTCGTTGGCAAGGACGTAGGTGAGGGGTATGCCGACCAAAAGCAGTAGCAAAGAGCGAAGAGGGTGGTCCGCAGCTTGCGAAGAGAGGAAAGGTAGGATTGTCGAAATCATGGCGTCGCCTCTATGCCTGTTCCTGTGTGATCTTGAACCAAACTCGTGGTGATACAATAAAAGACCGACTAGGTTGAATCTCAACTAAAAAGTCCCACACAAAGATTGAACCTAGAAGAAGATCCCTCGGCGCATTGCTGCACCTTGTGTGCATATTAGTCTTTTATCTATATTTTCCGCCTCCGCGTCCTTCCCCAGACTTCGACTGCAGCTTTGGTAGTACCCGGCCCAATGCGGGGAAAGACACAAGCGTCATCGCGGAGTGCGGAATTAGCAGCGAGAGTGCGGAAGGCACAGGCGCCCAAACGAATCACACCACACTCATTTCGTAGCCGTTTGTGTGAGCCGAGTCACAGTAGGACCGTTTGTGTGCTGAGCGGACGGTCTGGCCTCGACGGTGTTTGGTGTGTGGGGGAGGTAAAGAAAGCCGCCAGAAACCGCGCAGTATGGATATTTTCCGGTTCCGTACACGTGGGGCGGGCGTAGTGCGCTACAGGCGACCACCGTTCGACACCCTCACTTTATGGATTTTTAGAGGAAGTGCGCTGGACGGAATTGCCGTTATACTAAGGTATCTTGCATGATCTCTTGCTGCTACATACTGACCCCAGGTCACATCGAGTTCCTTCGTCATCGCCATCAGTACATGCAGACACATTCTCTTCAAAGGGACGTGTGTCTGCTTTTATGATGCTTACCTTTGCATTTTGGACTGAGGGGAAGACTCAAGTTCAATCAGTGATCCTATGTCCTCTTTAGGGGTTGTGGCGCCCGTGCTGGCGTTTGAAATTTCCTAACATCGCGTCGCGGCATAAGCACCTCCTGCTGTCTACTCTGCACTAGCTGTTGCGCTAGAAGGTATAACAGAAGCTACGAACTACCTAGGTATGCGGGACTCCACTAACAGCAAATAGACACAATTAGGCCCCACTTGATGCGTGCCTCTGTGCTCCCCACCATCTACGCTCAATGTCTCGTCCTACTTTGCCTCCTACTTTGCCTCCTAATTTGCCTCCTACTTTTCCTCTTTGCGTAAAAAGGCGGCGATTAAAACGGTAGAGATAAGCAAGCCAGCATAGGAACAAGTTTCAAGCAAATATAAAAATCAAATGTGGCGGAAGGAACTATTGAGAATGCTATAATTAACCGCAGTACAGTCAGAAACTACAAGCGTCAAAGACATAACTCAGAGTTCAGTAGAGTGCAGTTCCCCCAAGTGCTAAAGCTAGCTCAAATCCCCTACCCGTTTCAACCGAGCCAATGCCACGGAGCGACGCATATTCTTCCAACCCACAGATCCTAAGAGGAACTATAGTTCATACTCCAGGCTCCTCGGTCCATGGACAACCGACAGGATCCGGTTCCAGTCGCGAACCTCGATGTACCTATCCTACGGCCAGAGTCCATGGTCCTACCTACACTATAAAGCGGCCATCTAGGTAGCTCGGGGTATCGGACCTTTATAAGAGGAGTGAGTCCACACGAGATATTCAAAATGTCAACTTTGAGACTTAGAAGACACAACATTGGTGTCGAGCTTGCCGGAAACGAAGATACTCTATTCAAGCGGCGGGGCCTTCCTGAATCATAAGGGTGAGTTGCAGAACCATTTTTCTTGGATATGAGTGATAGAGCATGATGAGTTGTCCTTCTTACACTCATGAATCCTACTGATACTCATAGACATCAGATATGTGTGCGTCACGCGTAGATATCTCTACGTCATGACCTCAAATGTTCTCTTCTCATAACACCTAGATTGGTGGATATCTATGTCGTAGGATGAATCTTTTATTATTGGTACTGACTCATCATTTTTTCCATCTTCCCCGAGGTCCCGAAGCATATCCACAGAGAATATGATCAAGAAGAAGCTGCAAACCAGACCTAGAAGTCTCAAAACACTTTGGGGATTGTGTGTAATGGTAAACGATGCAGTCACTGATATGGGCGCTAGTTGTAGAGTTGGAAAGAAGACTCGAATTGGGAAAGTTCCGAATTCTCAACGCATGTTTTTCATGGTGACGGACATTCTCTCAACCTCTGATGTCAAGCACATGATGTGCGAGGTGGTACATAAGGCCACGATGCACGGGTGGGATGGTTACTCCATATGTCGACTGTGCACCTCAAGTCACCAATAGAAGTGTGTGAGCTCTGATGTAACGTGTAGCCTAGTTGACTCTTTGCTTTTCACTCATATCAATGCTCAGACATACCAGTCATTCTCACATCAATGCTCAGGCATATAATCTTTAGGGCAGGTTTGTTGTCTCCTTCTCTCCTCACTCGATATCTACAACACACTCTATCAATAATAAGCGCCCCCTTACCTGAGATTTTTTTTCATTCTGAATCTTTACACACTCATCGAAAAGAATGGCTTTCCTAGATCCGCCACCTGGGCTTGAAGAAAAGGCTATCCGTATGACATTATCCGACGTTATGAAAGTGCTCGACGAGTACAAGGCTGGTGGAGATTCTGAAGACAATACTGCTCCAACGGCCAACTTCTGGTTCGTTACCATCACTCAAGAACCCTCGAAGGATCCGAACGGAACCCCAAATAGTGGCAGAGGCTATACCACTCAGCTAGAAATGATGGAATGGTGTACGAAGACGCGCGGATTTCCAGTTCAAGGATACGTCCTACCGGACATTGACGCCCTGAAGCAGCTCCTTTTTGTTTTTAACAAACATCCTGAGTGGTTCGGACTCTATGTACCAAGTCACGAGCGGTCTGAATCAGAAGGTCTCGGAATGAGCCGTAACAGTGAGTTTCTCACGAAGTTGAAGTGCGCGAGTTGGCTGTGTGAGCTAATCATATGATAGTGAGGAACGAGTATGTCAGGGCTCAACAGGGAAGGCATGCGATTACTGCGGGTGAGCCTACGTTGACCGACACTGCTTGAGTGGAATGCAATCGAGAATGTCTCAAACGATCAAGTTGAGCAGCGCTGGTGTTGCGCATGATCGTCAAAGCCCACTATTTTGTATCTTTTGAACATTTTCTAATATCCTTCTATTTTTTATGTTTTATATTAACAACAAGATGGGGTATCACAAACTATACACGAGATAATACAAACCGGTAGTTCCCTGTTCCCATATAGTCTGTGAGTCTAGGGGTCTGTATCAGCAAGTACAATCGTAGTGCAACAACAAGTCATAAAGCGTCATAAGTAGTCAAGGTCCGCACACGGGCCACAAAGTGCTCCCGAGGAGCGAACTTGTGATATAATCGATGCTGAATGCAATATGCATGACGGTGGAAGAGGAGTCAGTGAGTGGTATAAGAGCAGCTCCATTCATGCTTTGTTGACCAATTCTTTACAACCTACATTTAACACAAAATTATTAGAACTGCTAGCTACTAAAAAGACTGATAACCATGTCTACATTTCTCGAGAAGTGCCTTCTGTTCGAAGTGGTATACTATTCCTTCGATGCCGAAGGTGAGAAGCACACCGGCTACACTACAAGCAAACACCTAGCGAGCACAATCAACCACAATATCGAAGTGGGTAGAAACAAGTGGTCAATGACGAGTCACAACGAAAGTGATAGTAAGGAGCATCTTCGGAAACTGGCTAAGGATGTGGATGGAGGTTGGAAGAAAAAGGGCGATGATTGGATTACGAATGGGTGTAAGTCCGCGACAGTGTCGGCTTGTTTATAAGTACTAATAGTATAAGTGGCTCAAGTAGTGGCTCAAGCACCCGATGACAAGTTTCTGGATGTTGGGCGTTTTCAAGAGTGGGATGCAGATGAAGAGGTCACTAGGAGTAAACCCTACGAGGTTATATACTGGAGCCAACAGCCATGAATTAGCCATAGCTCGAAAGGCGGTTCTGGAACCTAGGTGTTCATAAGCTTTGTTGTCAGCATCCGAGTTGAGGGCATGGGAAGCGGTTAACAACGTGTACTACATACAAGAAATATAGGTCTATGTTGGAAGTCGTGCCAAAAGTTCCGCCAACGTCCACAATTCTAATTATAGACTACTAAAAATTGTAAAATCACACACCATTCTACTGTTCAGCTTCCCATATTTCGTTTCTTTGACAGACCGCCGAATCGTCCACCGCAGCACCTGAGCAAGTCGGCATCAGGGTCCAGTCTCGACTCGAAGATTTAACTGGCCCACACGTGGTAGAAATACCAATCACCACACGGATGTTCCTAAGGCGGTCACTGCGAACGCAATTCACAGCCTCGTTAACCCCACTTACTTCCAACGCATTGCTAGGTCACAGGCCATGGCAGGTATCATGAGGTTTCTGGGCTTCACGAACGGCAGTCCGTTGGTTCGGGTTCAATATGCGTTCGTTCAACATATAAACTCGCTGTTCTTCACTATGGTTACGAGCCAATTGACACAGGCCCACTGCATCTGCCTACACTTCTTCACAGCTTGCTAGACCACAACCCTTGCAATACCGATAACATTACTTCTTCTCCGACTCCTCTCTTCAAAAATTACGTCAAAATCACGATCTGGAGCCTAGAAGAGTAACTAGCGAATACATGAAGCCATCTCCTCGTCAAGCGGAGCCATCACTCCGCCAAAGCAAGTACTATATCCAGGACATACCCCCAGGACGACCTTATACTTCATCGAACCTCGAGAGTAATCACAATACCTACTTCGAGGACGCGATACATACTCGTCGAGAACCGGAGACCCTGCATGAGTACGGTGCCGCTTTCAACCAGCGGTATGGGGATGCAAACGACTTCAGCCAATGCCACATGCCAAACATGAGCCTCAATCCGGAGACCTTCTCGCATGATCCACACTCTTCCGAGGCAGCTCCGCGATTCGCCGCTCGGAACGACAACAAACATCTACGTGGCGTCGAGAAATACGCTGAATTACCTAGTCCAAACATTCAAAATCGAGAGCGGGGGAGAGGAGAAGGGTATCTCTCAGAACAAGGATCTCACCTGAATAACATGCATCGCAGATCTATATCTCTCACAAGCCCTGCAATCAAGCCCATGCAGTTGTTAACATATCCTTCTTCAAGACACAGTAGCGCACCACCGCAGGCGGCGGGGCAGTCAAGTTTCGCTCCTTTCGGTCACCATTTCAACACTTCAGAAGATGCGAAAAGACACCGTCATATCACGATGCGTTTTGACCGGCATGCGTACGATGAGAATGATGAGTCTATCACCCTAGTTGAGGCTAATCGCCAAAGGCACGTGGAGCGTATCTACAACGCCATGACCCGTGGTGATCTTGCGAGGGACAACGTAGGGTCGACTGCAATGAAGAGATGGACTCGTGAGCCGCACTACGCATCTGATTTGGTAGAGGCCTACGCCCACAAGGTGTTTGATTGTTTGCTCGAGCAAGCCAAGGAAGGCTTTCGTGGTTGGCACCACAATGACTACGTGGCTGATGACCGCAAGGGCGAAGACGAAGACCGAGACGTCAACTGCGCTGGACGTTTAGACAATGTCATCACCGCGCTTGAACAAGAGAAGACAATCTGTGAGGACGTTATGAACTCTGCCTGTCAGATCCGCATGTTCGTCAACGCACCAAAGGCATACTCCAACCGAAAGCATCAGAACCGCGTCGGCAATAGCAAAAGGCCAGGAGCAAAAGCCAATGCGCTCGACCCGAATCCGAGAGCCTCGAAATTGCGAAAGACTGGGGGCAGGGGCAGCAGAGCTCGTTCATCAACGACATCTGATATTCCGGCATCGGCCAAACAGAGTCCATGTGAGCTCGCCAAACTGCCATACTTCACAAACCCGTCCTTGAAGCGTATTTCCTCAAGCTCTCCGTTGGGAGACTTTCTTGCGCCTCCAGGAGTACCTGTACACCAGCCCATATCACGCTCACATCGGAGCTCATTTGGGGAGCATCAAGTGAGCACTATGTCACTATCTTCAACGCTTCCGTTAGCACAATCCTACGGCCTACAGCAGCCAAACACCGCCCACATCATGGCAATGCCACCAGCGTTGTTGTCGCCGTTTATGTCGCCGCCATCTCTCTCACACGGTCACTTCTCAGCACCTGCTACGCCTGATGAGGTGAAGCCTTTGGATGGGAACATACTTTTAAGTCCATGGCAACACGCGGATACCTTCGGCGAGTCACCTTGCACGACCTTCCAGAGACCCGGCAATCCAGAAGATTCGCTCTTCACCCAGGTCATAGATTGGTCACAGGATGTTTCAGCCTTTACACCCTTTACATCTTGCACTGCGACGGAAAGCGCGAACTACTTCGAGCATCATCCTGAGGCGGGAGTTTCCCTTGCGGATGTGGAACAGCTGCCGTCAAACCAGGCCGGCAACAGCGAACATGATACAGAATTCTCAGCCTTCTGGCAACAGCAGCAGGAGGTGCAGCCCTTCCCAAACAACGACCCCCATTCGAATTACCCGGATCAGTCGTAAACAATTTCATCCTCATAAGTAAGAATGGGGCGACTTTTGGGCTGGCGCAAAACGTCCCAGTTGTGCCTTAGGCCTGTGCTTTAATACCTGCGTTGAACTCTTAGCGATGTTTTATGTTGATGACCACCTGGGTAGTGTGGCGACTGGGCTTCCTTTGTCTTTTTTCTGATACATCTCGGTTGCTTTAGATACCCGGAATATTTCTCTGCAATACACATTTTGCTCTTATGATACTTTTGCGAGGTCGTTCGGGAAGGCGCGATGCGGTGGATGACCATTCATCTTTTGGTAGGTGCAGAAGCTTCGTTTGACTGAAATTGAGAGGACTGTACCTGGATATGGGGCTAAATTGTGGCCGATTATATGCATCCGATAGTATCCAATATCATCTACATTGGTTAAAGTTGTCGTAGGTTTGTGACAAAGTGAGTGTCGTGGTGAGCAAAGGAAGGTGGCGCTCATTGGCCGTTATCCGCCCGTGCATATCTGTTGAACAATTAGAACCGTTTTCATCTGACTTATAACCACCTGAATATATACAGACCACGCTACCTCCGTATACTTGCTCATTCAATCAACTTATTCAACCTTGATAGGCACTGTTGAATACCACGACCTGACTCCATTCCCAGCATTTCGGCTTTGGAACTCTACACCTAGATATTGCATGTAGGGAATAGCTTATTTTTCTACAATGCAATGGTTTTCTTCGTTATATACTGATCCGTGCGCAAATCTGCTTCCCTAGAGCTTGAGGTGACATGACGGTCGAGTGCTCCTTTTATCTTATATACAATCTGCGTGCTCTAGCTTATCTGTGGTCACTCCCGACTTAGAGAGTCTATTTCCACCAGCTTCGCGATGCTTGCCTCTGCTGCTCAATTACCCTCAGCAAATCGGATTATTTCGTTACTCTTCGTGCTCCTATGTACATGTCAAAAACTCTGTTCTTCGACCCCGGGGACCTATAATATACTACACTCGCGCTTTTTTAGAATGCTTAACTCAATAAGAACTTGTTCACCGACCTAATATGGCACCCCGGTCACACTGCGTGCGATAACTAGACGTGGTAGCCTCACAGCTGCGTTGCTAGGCCGCGAAATGCGAATTCACAATGTTCCAAAGAAGAGTGAAATAAACAACGCATGTATTTCCACTATCTATAGCGCCAGAGGCTAAGCGTCGCAAGAAGGGCGAGAGTATAGTCGGTGAAAGTGAGGCACCTCGTTCAATGAGGTAGAGCCTACTGTTCTACATTGATGCTCATATCAGTAGTCAAAGACTCAGTCTCTGTTAGGCTTCAGTTTTATTTTTAGAATCTTGCGACGAGCAACTGCGTCTTTGTGTGTCGAGTGCGATCAAAAGTCCGCGGCTATCTCACGGTGTAGCTGTAATATGTTTCTACTTATGTAGAAGAATGCACGCGTCGCGACGTCTGCAAATTTCTTTTCATGTGATGTAACAAGGTGAACCACTAACAAGAACAACATATGAATACAGCGTCATGTTCACGCAAATATTGCTGGTATCGGGATGAAGATATTGTGTTTCTCTAGACAAAACGATAGAGGGTTAGAGCGGAAAATTTGTCAATAAAAGACACTTGATAAGGTACAATATAGGTGTCTTGACCACGAACCCTAATTCAACCTATATGAATGTCTAGAGTATCTAAAAGCTCTTCGCCACTTAGGAGCTTAGCGGAGTGGCCCATATCCAACACCGAGGGACGCGAAGCATCTCCAAGTACAGGAAGAATGGAACGTGTATTTTATACTGAACAGCTAAGACCAGCTTCTAGTTTCCTATCATGATGTTCCACTGTATCCCCTCTGAATTCAGTCGCTAACTGTAGCGTCTGAAATCCTATTCATGTCACCCCTCCCCACCACCAACTAAATTGCCCAGTTCACGGATTATTATCCGTGCTGATGCCGACTGCTGCATCATCCGTCCCAAGCTCACTGTTTCCTCCTCACTCGTGCTCTTTCGTATCGTCAGCATCCGAACGTGTCAAGAATGAAAACAGATCGCTGTTGACAGGCTGGCTCGACTGTTGCGGCACTGCCTCCGCGTTGAATTTGAAGCTGGCTGGCACCGAGAAGTCGAACGGCGATTTGGAAGCTGGCTTCGCAACATGCTCTTCATCATCGCCCGTCTGTGGCGCTGTGGCTTCAGCTGGCTGGAACGTGAATGTGTTACCACTCGTGAAGGTAAACTCCTTTTCTTGTGGTCCACCAAAATGCCATGCTGGGATACTTTGATGGACGGGCTGTTCGAAATCCGTCTGCGGATTCTGATCGTATAAGTGGGGAGAACCGAGGTCTTGGAACTCGTTATGTGGCGCGGCTGGGACAGGACTCTGGTCCTCTCCGTCGCTAGCTAGTGTGGCGCTTTCGTCATTGTAATAATCGCGATCTGGTACATTATCATCCGGGTTCATATCATACTGATGAGCATGATTTCCGTATGATGGCTCCGATGATGGAGTGGGGAAGGGTGCGTACTGCGGCTGTGGAGTTGGAGCTGGAGCTGGAGGAGGAGGAATACGAGGGGGCAAAAGGCCTCTATCAATCAACACATCTTCTACGGCCCTCAATCTGATTAAAAACCGTAGAATATCATTAGCAGTTCCTGTGCTTTGGTCCTTCACCGTCATGAAATCCGATACTTTCAAGGCGATGTCTTCGTCCATGGAATCGACTTGAGCGTTGACCTTCGCGAGATGTTGCAGATTGGACGATTTGTTCTCCCAAACCATAAGCCAAAACTTCTTCAGCTGTTCCTCGAGCCGCTTTGATATGCCGTCCACACGAGAGTCCAGTGGCCGCAGGAGGTCTTTGAGAGCGCCCGTAGATGGGGCTGTGATTATAGACTTTGGATCGTTCTGGACCATGTCTCGAATTTGCGTGATGATGTCTTGTATCATTTCATCTTTGGAAACCTCTTGAGAGGCGAGATCAACAGGTTCAGGTGTAGGTTCACCAGTGTTTTCCTTCTCGAAGCGCTTGTTCAAGCGCCGCTCCTGGTCTGCAATCTTTGCATCTTTCGCTTTATTAGCTTGTTCTAGAGCCTCGATCTTCTTGTCTTGCTCTGCTTGATTATTTCGAAGCTCCTCAAGCTGTCGCATAATGGGCTTAAGACCAATCGGTGTTGTGTCTGTAGTAACAGGCTCTTGGATTTCTTCGTCCTGCTTTCCACAATTCTTTAGCATATGATCTTTTCCTAGATCTGCTTTCATATCAGCAGCTTGCTGTAGAGCCTTCTCGATTCGAGCGAGCTTGCCGTACGAAAGGACAATGCCAATGAAGCTCATGACAAGCGCTGTTATGAGGTACTCATTGATGCCACGCCAGTCGCTCTTTGTGTTGGACGTTGTGACGGTTTCGCGTTCATGTGGCATACTACGTCCGTGTCCAGTTGTTTCTGTGACATACGCATATTCCTCCGAGGGGATCGTAGCGTTGATGGTGGGTTCGATGGAAGCCTCGGCGGCTGTTGCTGTCTCTATCTCAATCGCTTGACTTTCACTGAGAGTGACGCCGTCGACTCCGATGCTGTTGAGAAGCGTATTGTTCAAACAATTAGAGCGGCCAACATGCGTCTCTTTGTCGCGGGGCGCTTCAACGTAGACCGCTACAGGCTCTACGACGTCCGTCGGTGTCGGAGGCGAAGCCATCATGAATCCCCAGGTGGTGGCAGCGACACCATATGCTAACGATGCGAATGCTGCAGCATTTCCAAGGCTAAGTGCCATGGCGAGATCTGGCCGGGGAAGGGTTGAGCGTAGATTGCGGGTATAGTTCTGCGCAGTTGACACCGTGAAATCGAGTATAGAGTTGAGGGTGTAGAATGTGAGAGAGCTAGAGTGAGGCTAATATAAATGTGCGGGACTACAGAGAAAGGTGGGGCGGGGAGCCGCTAGGTTTTCTTTCACTCAGGTTGGGCGTTGTTTCACTCTAAACATGGGAGGGTAAACAAAGCACTTTGTCATGTCGCGCACAAGCACCGACGACCATGCTGTTTCTAACCACCTCAGTACTGCCCTATTCCACAATCACGCAAGGGACACACACCCTATCAATACAAACTACAATTTAGATCTAGCGATTTGAAGTCTAATACGTTTCATCTTCACCCGACACATCTCTCTCGTTCCTCGCACTCTACATACCGTCATCTCCCGGTCCACTATTCCCAGAGCTTTAATCAGGATCAACCGCACATCTCCGATCTTCACCCTCATGCTTATTACTACGGCCCTTGCTTAAGTACTGTTATCACTAGTTCCAGATGTCCGCCTCGACTTTCGCGGCGTCCATCATGCAGACATTCGATTCATGACCGCGGCGTCGTCGCGCCAGAATTCCCTTTCGCTTGGTGTAGTGGCGCCGACTTTGAAAGACACGCTGAGTGCGAAGTGCGACCGTATGCAACGTCCATTATGTCCTCTTCGTTCTCATTCGACTCTGTTGAATTTGCCGCAAGTAAACGGAGGCCAGCGGATGATAAAACGTGTACCGCTTTACCCAAACTCTTTCGTTTCTGAATGTTTTCGGTCCTTATTGGCGTTATCTTACAGCTACGGCGCTGCTTCAAGCTTGTTTGTGGAGAGAGCGTTTGATGGAGGAACGGGGGTGTTGGAGTTCTACTTATCCAGCCCGCTCGTAGTTCTTCTTGCAGGTTTATGGGTGCATCTGGTGGAATCTGCGTTGAGACGGGGTCGCATGAAGAAAATGACGATGTGCTGTCTTTGTTTGGGTGTTCGGTGGACTTCCTAAGATTGCTGGCTCGAAGTCCTTTCTTCATGCGGTCTTCACGTTTCTGGGTCTGTTTGTCTCCGCGTCGGATATACCGCCATTCCTCTTCACTTAATTCCCTGCTTGTCAATTCCACTTTATAAATCTTAGTCCCTTTATGCTCCTCTGACATACCAGGTCTCTGGTTCTCTTGGCCATTCACGTCTTTTGCTTCTCTTCGCAATTTCTTACCAAATTCTCGCCTCGCTATGTGTACGATGCGATCACGATCCGGAAACCAGGTTGGGCTCTCTACCCCATCCCAAACAATGCAATCTTCGATTGGCCTACCCGTGCGTTCCGATTCGTATCGTGCTGCCTCGCGTGCGTGGGCTGTTTTCTTGACCCAACTCTCGTGACGTTTTGTCACATTTTCCAACAAGAAATGAACGTCTTCCTTCTCATTCGGTCTTAATCCTCTTATCCGCACTTTCCCACTCGGGAAAGTGTCGTATTCCATATCGTGTTTGATAGCAAGTGCGAAGTGTTGTCCTGCAGCATGCCAATCGCGCGTACCGCCACAGCTTCGTCCGGCCCAGTACTCGCAGCGAGCCTGGAGGTCTGGACTCTCTAGGGCCTCCGCAAGTCTCCTTGCTCGATAAGCAAAATGTCGCATCTTGGAGTAATAGTAATAGGGTGGCTTCATAGGGTCTTGTGCCCAAGGCTTACGTTCGAGTTGGTGAACAGTAGCTTGTACGACATGACAACGCATCAAGAGCGTACGTAGCTGAACAAGGCGCATGCGCGTTCTGAAAGCATCTTTCTCCCTAAGGTGAGTGGGGATGCCGTCTTCGGGAATGTCTTCATCTTTAGTCCTCCTCTTGTTTCTTCCCATGTAGGAGACCTCATCGTCACAAAGGGGCGGCAGGAGGGGTGGATCAAAGTCGGGAATTGCGTCCTGCCCTATTAATGTCGGCAACCGAAACTTTTCTTTATAATCAGTATCCTCTTCATGAAACATGCGCATAGCGTACTCGAAGGCGGACATGTACTTCGGAATATTATCATGATCTATTGACTGAGGCTCTCCAAAGATCGTCTTTCTCGATTGGATGTCTGCTGAGAATTGTGGACTCATTGTCCATGAAGAAGTTGTTTCATGGCTTCTTAACGGTCTTCGAGGGCTATATGCGAGTGTTCGATGAACTTGAGAGAGGCTGAGAGAGATTGGAAGAGCCTCCTTTCGAGACTCAATTTCATATTGTCTTCGCAGAGAGGCGCGGTTCCAGGGCCCTTGGGTGGCCTCTGACAGTCTAGCTGACTCCGCCCGTGTCCAACTCTCCCAGTCTCTTCCCCGAGGTTGTGGACATAACGCGGGTTTTGGATAGCTTGAACCTGAAACTGGCGAGAGCTGCGACGTATTTTGGCGTCGTAGTGGTATAATTGATGCATTAGTGCTTGCATTTTCAAATAGAGGATCTTCTGAAATGGGTGCGTTCGCTGCTCTGGTCCCAATTCTCGGAGTGGAGTCGAGCTTCGCAGCTGCTGAAACTGATCGTCGGTGTGTTCGATTTCTTGGACTGGTGTCGGGCAGGGAGCTGCTACTCGTCTCGTTGGGTGCCACCATTTTGTTGATGAGGGTGGTTTGAGTGGTATTGTAGGTACACGATGATAAAGAGTAAGTACATTCGAGAAGTTTCGTACATGTTAAGTTACAGGTGCATTGGTTGTCGAAGCCATCGAGGTAGAGCCATGTTGGGGGTCAGGGTGCTTCATTGTCCTTCTTTGTTCGATCTTCAACAACGGATGCCTTCGCTAGGAGAAGTCAAGGAGATGCAGCAACAAGAAAGGGAGTAAGACAGACAAAGAAAAATAAATTTGAGGTAAAAGGAGGTTATGTAAAAGAGCAATGATGTACCTGCATAGCAGCTATTCATGGCTTGGGGTAAAATTCATAGGTTGCCCTTCGTCATACACTTCGATATTTGAATAGTAATAATGAATACCCCGCCCAGACCGGCTTCATGATTCATCACATAGCCATTCGGCTTTAGTGCTCATCGCTTTTTGATGCCACCCAGCGATGGGGCAGTGACATCCGTTTCGCCTTGGCAGCAGCATATTGCCTGAGCTGCGCGCTTGTACGTCGACGCTTGCTCTGTGTGATCATAATAAGTAAATCTGTTGCACTTCCAATACTGCTAACGCCAACAACTCACATCAAGGCCCTTCTCTCCCAGCTCTACCAATAACTCCCCCATTGTAGTCCGGTCCTCATCGAAGCCTGGCCTGCGCCTGGCGACGCGTAGCTGATCAATTTCGTCATCGCATGACCTGCGGTACTCACTAGCTCTGGCTGAGAGCAATTCGTCATCGCTAACTGTACTGAAGGCCTCCCGGGCTTGGTGAAGCAGACGCAGCTCGTAATATAGGACGCCGCGCTGGTATTGTATCCGTGGGAGGAAGGCCTCCAGTTCTGACAGACGGTCACAGAGCTCGAGAGCCTCGCTACAGGCGGCTAGTGCGTCGTAGAGTTCATCTGGGCCTGAGGCTCGTAGAACATTGCTTTTCAGCAACAAACCCTCTGCTCGGGCCTTTGAGCTGAGAGGGCCGCATAACAATCTTTCGATCTCCACCAGGGCGGTTCCATAATTTCGCTGGGCCATGGACAGCTGCACTCGATTGAAGAGTGGATTGGTGCAGTCATTCGATGATTGTCGTTGATGGGTTGAATCGGTCTTGCGCGGCGAGAGAACAACGGCAGTGCCAAAGGGTCGCTCACGCTGAAGGCCCTCGGCACTGTCAATAGTGCCCGCACGCTGATTTCCGCCTTGGCCTGACTTCGCATATAACCTGCGCTGTTGAGCTCGCTCGTTCTCCAGCTCAGCCTGTGTAGCGAAACAGATGTCCTGAAGCTCTTGTAGGCGTCTTGTTTGAGCCTCGAAAGCTGTTCTGTACTGGAGGGCTACTGCCTGCCAGGTGTCGCGCTCTACCTTGACTTCGTGTACGGCCCGTTCAACGTCTGCGACATAATCCATGGCGATCAAGGGCATCGTAGTAATGTCTGGATCGATGGACAGTGGGTTATGCTTGTTGGTGACATAATAACGTTCTAGCTGACGCCTTATGAGGTGAGGAGCAAGCTGTCATCGACGAGGCAAGCACAACTGGCCCCGCTAAGGGACCCTCCCCAGACTAGAGGAGAGCAACTTCGAAGCACTCCCATATGTCAGATATTGAAGCCACCGTGCTTGGCTACTTCGACAAATCTCCACAAGCCTGCCTCTAAGGCTGCTTTCTTGACCGAAGATACTTCGTCGAGATCGACGGGGCGGTTGATGTCTGCGTACCTCACTTGCTCTTTAGCTGCAGGCGAGATTGGAGCGCCGCCTGGCTCAACCACCTTGATTTCACCTTTACTATTACGTCGCTTCTTGCCAACATGCGCGCGGGGGAAATACTGCTCCATGATGTGCACCATGATATCCTTGGAGACATTCTCAGCAAGCCATTTCATGATTTCTCTACCCTCATCCTCCATGCCAGGCATCACCAGGTGTCGCACGAGCACACCCTTCTTGGCGATTCCGTCTGCAGTGAAGCAGAGGTCGCCAACCTGCTCATGCATGGCCTTGATGCTCTCCATCGCCGTTGCCGTGTAATTGTCCGCCTTGAGCAACCTCTTGCTAGCCTTGTCACTCCATACCTTGAAATCTGCGAGGTAGATATCCACCAAGCCTTTTAGCAGTTGTATGCTCTCCAGCGAATCAAACGACGACGTGTTGTAGATGATGGGTATGCGGAGACCGAGCTCACGCGCGTGCAGGATCGATAGCACAACCTGCGGGACAACGTGCTCGGGTGTAACGAGGTTGATATTGTGAACGCGACCGACTTCTTGCAGCTTCATGTACCACTCAGCGAGCTGCTCAGGTGTCAGGTCAAAACCATTGCGCTGGTGAGCAATGTCGAAATTTTGGCAGAAGCAGCAGCGTAGGCTGCAACCAGAGAAAAAGACTGAACCGGAGCCATTGTGGCCCTGGAAGCACGGCTCCTCTCCAAAGTGGGGAGCGATTGTGTTCACTTTGACAGTTCCTGCCCCGATCAGACATACGCCTGTCTCCTCATACCGATTGACACCGCATAATCTTGGGCACAAGTTGCACTCGCGCAGATGCGCATATGCCAGTGATCGCTTCTTCGACGCATCGATCGAGGATATCAATTGGTATCGCGGTATGTAGTCGTCAAGGAGATAGGGCGGAGCTAGGTATAGCTTGCGACGTGGTGAGGAGGTTCGCGCGAGGGAGCAGGTGGGCGGCAAGGTTCTTAGGGCGGGTCGAACTCTAGGTAGCAATAACATGGTCTTCTGGCTCGTGAAGACATTTGCTTGTGGCTTGGAGAGTGCATTGCCCAAAGAATGAAGCCTCGCGTTCGAAGTCGTGTGACGCGACCTTCCCCACTTGCCGAGGCTGGCTAATATAGCGAATGACGCGCGCTTTAATTGCAAGCAGACATCTTATACCGTCCGAACCTTTCATTCTCTCATCTTACCACCTGGGCAGCTTGAGAAACTTCAAGTCTTTCGTAGCTACTACTTCGAGCTGCAGAGTAGCCTCGAGGTCTATCGTCGCAAAGGAGGTTACGACTGCTGCTGCTTCACCTGCAATTTCTGGTCAACACCAGCGGGCCATCCCTTTGCTCTCACAGCACTATCACCTCAGCACCTAGTCCAAATCACAAGCCACTACGAGCAGAATTCCTCGCTCGGTTACACTACTTCGTCCACGCCGCCGTTTGATCCGCGTCTCACGACGCCATCCACGCGACTTTCATCTTCCCTCACATAGAAGCTAAGCGACGCGCTTGCAAGTAGCATGATATGGCGGCCTTGCTTGTTCCTAGATGTGACAACAGAATAGTCTCCAGCCTTGCTGCCCGGTTGTCGATCTTGTGTCTGTTTATGACATCCGCCTGCTTTTCCCGTATGACAGCCAACCTCTTTGGGAGGGCGCACCACGGCAAGTGTTAGAGTTCATGTAGGACGGCACCGAAAACGTTGTCATCTGAACACCAATAGCGCACTATTTACAACTCAGCCAACGATGCTAACGCGTGCATGTATTCAGCATCGGGTCCATCACGTCTAAACCCCTGCTTCTACGGACCATCACAAATATAATAAGACGGCTACTACATTGATTCGTGGCGACTATTCGTGCGGTACCTCAATCTAGACACGCGAGTTGTCACTCAGCTCCTACACGCGAATGACAGCTTTATTGTACCTCGCATCCTCGCTTTTCATACGGTCTAGGGAGAGCATACCGTTGCACTACCATTTGACAAGAACTGCTACGCTCTCATACCTGTGTTCTAATACCAAAGTCTGGCCACCACTCTTCACTCAATTGGCCACCGCAGCATCTAAGATGCCACTGCAACTTCCTAGTGGCTCATTAGAGCAAAGTCCACATCCCCGCTCTCCTCGACCTTCACTAACGTTGCACGAGTACTCTGCAAGGGCGGCACTTCCGTCATATTTACATCTTGACCACAGAGTGGAGGTTACACGACGACGGCCGTTGTGCTCACGCCACTAGGTATAAGTATGTCCATAATGAGCAGCAGAAGCGTATCCGACATCCTTTTGTCTCAGCCCACGACAGTCAACCATGCACGCTCTAGCACTCCTCCCGGTCCTTTTTGGGCTCGGAGCCTTCGCAGATCTCCTCAGGACAGAATTTCCCCACCTCATCATTCCCCTAGTTAGCACTGCGCCAAATACCTCTTTCGGCACGCGCTTAGATGCAACCATCAGTTACTCGGTACCTCTTTTCCCCTCAATCATCAAGACGCATACTCACAGTGAATAGCCTAGCAGTGGTGCATCAGAGTTTACCGAGATCTCCTTCGACGTGCCCAACAACCAAGCAGCCATCTGCCGCCTCAAATTCTGGATCAATCCCGACCCCAACAAGAACGCTCCACGCGAGCTATCCGGCGAAGCGCCCTATGTGTTCAACATCAGCCGTTTAGAGCCGAAGATCAACAAAAACTCGGATAGATGGAATAGCTACCCGGCAACGACGGGATACGTCAAAACGGTGGAGCTCGATCACTCGGGCGTGAAATGGCAGGATGATGGATGGTTTTCCTGCCCCAAGGGACAGGTTGCGCAGTTCCTATTGCGTCCTTCGGGTAATCGGGCTTTCAGGTATTATTGGTTTGAGTTGGATTACCCAGCAGATCAGGGCGGGGCGCATGGAATTGTGCTGGAGATGCACACTTGAGGAGGAGATGTAATAGGCACATATATAGTTGTTGAGCGACAGCTGTTTTCTTTTCAAATACGACCGAAATTCTTTTCTTGGACTGGGAATTGGTTATGTAGCTGCCAACGTTGCTTACTTAAACAAATGACGCCATATACAATGTTACGTAGCACCGTGCAACAGATCTACTGGGCTGGATATCTAAACTCCACCCCGTTCGCTGGATATACAGGTTTTCTAAACCAAAGTCTGACACCCGTCTTTATACTGTCGTTGATGAGCGAGGGCGTAATGCTGTCAATCGTGCCGTATAAGCAAATCCTTAATCCCCTCGATAGCTTGTCAGGCCGTTGCATCTATCCTATACAGGCCAAGGGTTCTTAAGAAGCTGCTCACAGCCCGGTCTGTAATCCCATCCTTACGTGTTGCGTGCTGCGACCTATGTCGTTCTGCTGGATCACAGTTAGTTGATTGAGATTTTATAAACGAATGTTGTGTTCACGAATTTTGATATTGTAAGACAGTGAAGTGAACAACTATTTTGAGTATTTAACTCAAGGGTATGCTCAGAGGGCGTCCAAAATTTGCTGGTGTTTTATATGAACTAGAAACGTTATGGCTAGAATACGCCCAGGGACAACGATGTCGACTAGCAAAGCAATAACGTACGTACATCTGGTATTCCAAGGTAGTCTATTCGGCGAGAATTGGCTTCAATCTGCCTTTTTCACATCCACGGCTGCATCTATATTGTTCCGCCTAAACAGTCGAAGCCTCTTGCCAGCTTCCCGCTTCATTTCCTTCACTTTTGATTTCCACCCTTGTTTCTCCTTCGTATCGCCTTTCCTACGAGCATTTTGTGTAGGCTTGCCGCTCGACGCTTTCTTTTCTGCGCCTACGGCACCTGGACCTTTTCGGTGGGATGGCGCAGAGGTTGTGGGCCGCGTTCCTGTTGCGTTTGCAACGGGTGGAGATTTATGAGTGCCGCGGTTGATATGTGCGACTGGGTCAGGTGTGGTTGTTGAGCCATGGGAATGGTGTGGGGATGCCCCGGGTGGCTTCGGTTGGGCATAGCTGTCGAGGATGAGGGGGATTGTTGAGAAGAACATCATCGTTTCCGCCATGATTAACTCGAGAATCTGGTAAATTGCTTTATTTGGGGAAGAGAGAGAAGAAGAAAGGGAGGGTGGTCATCTCGTGGATTAAATACATCCTGCTAGGAATCTGGGACATGATGCTGAGAATATAACCTCTGTGGTTGGAAAGATGTGAAGCATACCACGGTACTGTGTAGTTGCGACCAGGGCAACCCTCATGATTGGGCCAGGATGACTTCAACCAATTTTGCTGACTTTGGTCCGCGTTAGAAATGTATTCGAAGGCCTCCACGCATCGCTATTCGGCAAGTCTCTGTGGTTCTGTTTGTGTTTGCTATGATTGGTTGAGTTCAGTGGATAGCGTTATTCCTTCCGAAAAAGGAAATTTGTACTAGCGTGCTTTTAGGGGTAAGCCAAAGAGGTGAATTAATAATATGAGCAGGTGAGGAATGCTGCAAGACTGGATATAAAAGCATTGAGATGCGCGAGGAAATTTCAAGACGACATGACAAACTTATCCATACGCATCCATTGACTATTGATCTAAAATCCTCATAACTTCACTTCCTCCAACAATGTCTACACATAGCGCTGTAGCGACCGTGGGCATCAAAGCACCCCTCGCCTTAATCCAAGTACCTACAATCCAGCCAACTGGTGAGCAAATCCGATTGCGCGTCGAGTGGACAGCTTCAACCCCGTTGGACCTGCACCAGAACGATGGTGGTCTTCTGGTCAAGCATCCGCAAGTGCTGGGCGACACCACAGCTGGCACAGTCGTCGAAGTAGGGCCAGATGTGAAGAACCTGAAAGTTGGCGATAAGGTTTTTGGATTTACATGGCGAAACCAGGCAGAGAAAGCGCAGCAGGAGTATTGCACGGCAGAGGAGTGGCTATTCGCGAAGGTATCGAGGCTCCATTTCCGCCTTTCAAAAGCGACATTTGCTAATGGACAGGTAGTTGCCCGAAGGCATCACTATGTCCGAGGCTGTGACGCTGCCAGATAACTTCGTGACGGTGTTCCACACACTTATCACTGATCTTGGTATCGAAACGCCATGGCCGAAGCCGAAAGAGTATGTCCCGGAGAACGTCGACACGCCGATATTAATATGGGGTGGATCATCATCCGTTGGCCAATTTGCGATCCAGATACTTCGGTATTACGGATATACTAGTATCCTAGCAACCGCATCGCGCAAGCACCATGTAAAGCTGCAAGATTTGGGTGCACAGGAAGTCTTCGATTACAACGATTCAGAAGTTGTATCCACCATCATCAAAGCAGGAGGAGAGGCCGGTATCCCACTTGTCTTCGACTGTATCGGCAGCAAATTCGGAAGTATAGCACCAATATCTCAGATCGTACAGAGCGGGGCGAAGGTCGCAATCTTGCTCCCTATAATCGTGCGCGACTCGAGCGAGACGCAGGATCCGGAGTATGCGATGGATATCAAGGCAGCAGCGAATTGGCAGGATGGGGTAGACGCGAGGGGCGTCAGGACGCATTTTTACCTAGACGTAAGCTGCCATATCAACAACAAGCGAGTCGAAGTAGACGCTGATAATGCTACGCAGAACGAGTTCTTCAAATACCACCTTCAGCCAGAGATCATGTACAGCATGCTCAAAGACGGTATCGTAAAGCCGCAGAAGCAGAAGATTGTCGAAGGGGCGACGTTGCTCGAGAGGGCACAGAAAGCAATGGATATGCTGAGGCGGAAAGAAGCGAGTATGGAGCGCTTAGTTTGGCGGGTCTGTGATGCGTAAATTTTAGCTGTGCGAAAATACGCGTTTTGAATAGCGCCGGTGGCTGGCGATCGAATTGGAAGGACGTAGTGGAGTGTCGCGCGGGTCGCCACGGATAGGAGGATTCAAGCCACATCAAGACCTCGGTAGCGAGGCTACTTCCTTTCAAATAGAACGATATCAAGCACGGAAAGATGTTTGGAATTCATCCTCTGCAGTGCTTTTGCAGTGAACAGTGGTGGAGAGACGGATTGTCGAAACGGCCAAAAGCCTAGGCTCGATCGGCTCATCATCCCAATGGCAAAGTGATCCAGCTTGAAGGAATAAACGCAAATGATACGTGTTTAGGAAGCCGCAATTGCAATGATATCGCTGATCTTTACTGGATTGTTTTCATCAATCAAGCTTTCTCATCTCATGTTCTGGAATTGTCCTGTTCATCGTACACCGCCCACCAGATCATCGCGAACCCATCGGATATTCGGTCACTAAGAGTGATCTCATTTCCCTGAATGCAAGGTTGCTTTGCTCTGCATCTTAGTGAATGTAACTGCCTCAAAGTGCCTCATTCCTGTGCTTCATTTGAGTATAAAAGACGTGGCTTATGGAACCATGATTTAATACCAATTATCTCTCACGAACACCAACACTACGAACACTTCTTGCAACTGTCGAGTCGACGCCTCGTCCATCACATGTTCTACCAGAATGATCTCTGCAGGCGTGTTGATGAGGAAGAGCTGGCCGAGTCATGTGCGAAGACTGCGAGCCGCCCCACTAATTTCCGCAGTCAAAGTCGCTACCTCCTTCCAATCTTGCCAGGCAAGCTTCCTTGATAGTTTCCATCATCATCTTTCCATTTTCATCTCTTCCATAATTTCGTCATCTTAAACGACGCCGACGCTGCACAGTACTGCACAGTAGGACGCCTGTCAAGCTCCTGCAATATGTTCGGACCAGGTTGGTGGAGAGCGCCACAATCTCGTTTCCGCTCCTCGCATAGACCTCGGACCACATGAAACCCACCACGCGCTCGCGACCGTTTCAACCCAGGGATCAGGGCGCTTCGACCATGCGAAACTTCTCGTCTACTTTCCTTCTCGCAGTTAGACACTTACGACATCCAGATAGACATGTTCTAAACAGCATGGTGGCCGCTGTTGCGGAACGCCTTTGCTTGGCACGCCGCCTTGTCCAACTTCCTCTCCCTTAGTCAGACCGACGCTGGCTTATGAGTGGTGGATATTGCGCTCAAGCTTGACAAGAGGTCCCACGCTACGTCTTACATCCCAGAAATAGGAAAGGCGTGGGAGTGGGCATGGTCGAGAACACAGCCAAGCGTTGTTTGGAGGCTGCAATCCACCGGACTTCGTTTCGAATGTTTAATGACATGGCCCACAGCGAGGCATGATAGGGAATGGTTTGGTTTCGAGGGATCGTATATAGGTGCTTGAGGCTGTCACCAGTTCTCGTCCAGTTCAAACATCCGGTTCTTCACTTCCATCAGCTTCTTTGTGCTCTTCAGGTCTGAGACCTCACATTCGTTCAATCGTCATTCATTCATTCACACTCTTTAAGAAAAGCTAGCCTTTTATCACTCTCTCTACCAGCACCTCTTCAAGCACCAACAAACAAATCACCATGAAGTCCTACTCCGCCGTCGTTGCCCTTGCTGGCCTCGTTTCCTCCGTTGCCGCCCACGGCTTCATCTCCTCGCCCACGCCCCGTCAACCCGGTCAGGGCCTCAAGGCCGCCTGTGGTGACCAGGTCTACAACCAGCAGTCCTCGGACCACTTTGGCAATGTCCAGGGTGCGCTCCAGAACCTCCAGGGCTCCCAACCCGATTGCCGCATGTGGCACTGCAAGGGTGTCCCCTTCTCTGATGCTGGTGAGGTCTTCGATTATACCCCTGGCCAGGTCATCCCCATGAAGGTTGAGATCCGCGCTCCCCACGATGGTGTCGCCAACGTCTCCATCGTCAAGGTGTCCTCCGACACCGTCATCGGCCAGCCCTTGATCAGCTGGGACCAGTATGCCCTGACTTCATCGCCCCTCTCGCAGCACCCTGACTGGACTTCCTTCGACATCAAGATGCCCGATGTCAGCAGCGAGTGCGCTAAGGCTGGTGACTGCGTCATCCAGTGGTACTGGGATGCACCCAAGATCAGCCAGACCTACGAGTCTTGCATCGACTTCAAGATGGGCGGTGGCTCCGGTGGCAGTGCTCCTTCTCCTTCGGCTTCCGCTGCGCCAGCTTCGTCTGCTGCCCCCAAGCCTTCCTCCGCTGCCCCTGCCACCTCCGCTACTCCTACTGCTACCGTCCCGGCTGCTACCCCTACTCCCTCCAAGGTCGAGGAGGTCGCTACCCCCACCGCCTCCTCCGGCGCCGGTGAGGGCTCCACCCTCCCCAAGAGCTTCACCATCGACAGCTTCATTACCTGGCTCCGCGCCAACGCTGGTTCCGATACTGCCACCAAGGTCAGCCGCGCGGTAGCTGAGCGCGCCCATCCCCGTGCCTTCCGCGTTTAAAGAGGGTGCACTGAAACGTGTTCATGTGTTGCTGGGAAATTAGAGGGACTGTTTGATTCTGTAGATATATACTTCAATGATGCATATACTTTTCTCGCTGATGGAGCGAGCCATTCCTATGACGTTCTCTCTCACGTGTGACATTGATGTGAAATCCGCTTCACCTGCGTCCGTCCTCGACCCTTGAGCTCCTTTCCATTATCTATAGTACTCTGCCGACTGAAGATCTTCCTCCTTTTCCATTCACAGGCTTAAGGCGTTGTTCAGTGCTTGGTGGCTCCTTATTTCAGCATCTGTTCATCAACCGCCAGTATCGCTTAAACTCTATTGTCATATGTAGATAATAGACCCTACCGTATCGCAGTTTAATAAGCGCTTTGGGTTCTTCAGCTGTCCATTTGAGTGGGGGATTTGTTTGGAAACTCGCGTAGTGAGAATTTAAAAAAAAATCTAATCTATTAGGACTGTGTTATGCGTGAAGTCATAGGAAATATGGTCTATGCGGTTGCAGAGTTATTACTTATTCGAGCTATCAAAGCAAAGCCGTTGTCAACTTAAAAAACCCCAAATCTACACATGTTAGTATAACTTCATTAGAAATGGAATATTTACGAAAAGATAATGGAAAAGATTCTGATCATTCTGTGATTGATTGATTGCATAGTGCAACTACATTAGGGGCCGACGAGCCCCAGTCGAAAAACAATCCGACAAGAATACTAGAAAGGGTCTGACAAAGCATTCCCAGTCGTATATGATCCACTACCATACTAGGTTATCATCTACCAGGAGCCGAACTTCCATACCTTGGGCGCATTGCTAACCCAAACGGTTCGCCATCTACCCCAGAGTACCGCGGGGAGCACGACATGCCCCGTAGGCAACTTGCCATCTACATAGTAATATGGGACTGGGAACTCATCCCGATCGTCCACTATATCAGGAGTTTGGCCACTGTGCAGGTAGTGAGAGCGAGAATCTCGAATTTTGTTAATGCTCTTGGCCTCTTCAACTGTCCACGCATAGCATGACGCAGCTTTGAAGTTGGCATAGCGAAGGTTGAGGTAATGGAGTTGCTGGAGCAAAGGCGACACATGTGTTTGCAATTCCGGCTGGGGTACTGTGAAAGTACGATGAGTAGCGATCAAATAACGTAGGCCATTTGCTATCTCATCCTTACCCTGCCAAGTCGCACTGAGCGTCTTACCCTCATCTAGGCTTTCATCGCGTTGAATCATCAATAATGGTGATGATGAAGATCGAACAAGAGCTGATTGCAGATAATCCAGACAGAGAGAAGTTAACTGAGGCATCTGCTGGAGTCCCTTAATGACGCAGAGCCATGTGTTTTCGGTGTTGTAGAGCGAATTGACCACAGAGCAGTCTATGAGAGAAACATGAACGAGACGATCCTTGTGATTGGATAGAAATATCGCAAGTGTAGTAGGATTTGTCCAAAGTTTCTTCAGGGTAAGACGCTGCAAGCCACCGAGCGGCAGATAGTCCAGGCAAAGCGAAATCGCCTTCATATGCGGGGAATAGATTACGTCAAGCGTCTCAATATATGGACGGAATAGTTGTGGGACGAAGTCTCCCATGATGGGTCGGTCCATGCGGTTCAGATTCAGTTGTAGATGTTTCAGTCTCCCCATCAAGCCGAGGGCAGCTTTCTGCATTCTCAGCTGTAACATGTAGCGCTCTACATACAACTGGTCTTCAAGTCCAAGACCAATGCAGAATTTGACCTCCTGGCGAAGCCGTGTTTGCTCCACTGCGGAGACAACCGTCTGGAAGACAACGTAAATTGCTTCCATGTTCTCTGTGTCCAGGCAGTGTTTAGAAGGACACCTGAAAGACGAAATCTTGGATGTGCCCCAGCTACGGCGGATGGGACGACCTTGCAAGCTAAGATCCTTACCAACCATGATGAGCTGGAGTTTCGGTAGCTTCTTGAACGCCTGAGAAATGACATGTGCGTCAACCCGAGAGCGAGCAATTTTGATCTGTTGTATTGGGATTGCGGATGTCGAGGATAGTGAATGTACGAGAGTACCGAGTTTGATATCTTCATCGTGTAGCGGATCGAAGATACCCACGATCTCGGTTCCAAATGCCACAGTCTGTACGTGAGACGCTAAAGCTCGTATATTCGAAATGTCGGCAAGCGCCTGTAGACTGATTGGGTGGAGGAAGAACTTCAATGTCTTGAAGAACCGATCACCAAAGACATAATAGGCCTTCGATCGAAGACTTCTTGAAGTTGATATTAATGCTAACAAGGTAGCGTCATCAAGTTCTGCTGCGACTTTATCAATCAACTCCGTAGCGAGGTCTTGTAAACGAGGTGCGGTATTCTTTGGTAGGGTAGACATTGTCAGTTGAGGCAATGAAAGGCTGTTTGTGTATGATTTGAGAGCGGAGGTGCTATTGGAACTCTTTTCAGTCGGCGCTTCGGCATACCTTTGGCAGAGTGAAAGCGATGCCGGAAGTGATTCGAAGCACTCTACTAGATGGAAGTAGGGGAACGCGCGTGACTGACGCGAGATAGAGTATTCGTTTGCACTGATAACGTCATCAGCCTACTGGTCGCGTCCGATAAGAAAATATGACAGTCACTGCGCTAGATGACTTCACTTGGAGGAGCTAGTTTCGACTAATAAGTATTCCTTACACCATCAACATCCGCGCCCGACACTGAAACTTCTCGCATCCTCCGAAACTGACCGAACAACTTGTCCCTCACTCTTTTGACCTTCTGTCGCCACAATTTCTTCATCTTGGAATATCCGTCTCTTGCACGCGCATCTTATTTACGGACCCCGGACAAAGTTACGTCACGTACAAGTCACTACAGCCGTTTCAATATCCACCATTCCTTTTCTCAAACGCAAGGCAACACTAAATATCAGAATAATTTCAATGACGAAGCCAACTCCTACAGTACCCCACGTCCCGATAGCCATTCCCATGGGCTTCGCCGCGCAGATCAAAGCGCTCCAAGAATCGCAACGCGACCAAGCTGAGCGCCTCTCTGCCCTTGAGCATGATAATGCTTCCTTACAGGCTTTCAAAGACAAAACGCAAGCCTTAGTGGCTCGCATCGAAGCGCTTGAACAACACAACGCGCACCTGAACGCGCGCCGCAAAGAGGCTGTCAGTCAACTACTCAACCTGCGCAGCCTCCACCAAGAAGCCGACAACGCATTCCAAGTCCGCACGCTCGATATCCAACCCGATGACCTAGAGGGCATGCTGTGTATATATGGGACTTCTATTACGACGGTTATGAGCCATCATCAACGCATTCTTGCATATTTGCGGACTAGAAGCCAGGTATACACCGCTCCGACTCCTCTGGTTCAACAGCCGATCGGTCCTACGCCCATCTGCTACGCGTATCCTCCAGCATACACCCAGGCCGGCTACTGTCGCGCTCATACTATTCCTTACTGGTGCCGTATATGCGGTCAGTAGCCTCCCTCTTGTCCTTTTGGCTTCGTTTCACTTTTTCGGCCTTGATATGGAGGAGCACTCGCCGCTTTACAACATTTCATGGGCCTGGTTGCGGTTTGATTTAGTTGGGACTGGAATTTGGTTTGCTAAACAATGAATTTGAGCTCGACATGCCTTGTGGGCGGCTACGAAACTGGCGTTGGCGTCGGAGATTTTGGTGTCTTAAAGGAAACATCCTGTCCAGGATGTTGATATCTGCTCTATATCGTTTGCGTCCTCTGCTTTTGGCATAGTGGTCATTTGATTTTCTTTGGCTCTGCATCCTACAACTACCGTCTTTTGCACAACGGATTCTTCAATAGCTCTATCTTGCAAGAACTCTGGCCGCCCGCTGCGTGCTCTAGCATCTTTAGTGAAAAGGTTCGCCGTTTGTCGTGTGCGGGGTCTACGTTAATCCACAGCTTTGTTTCTCCAAAGTGAATGGGAATGTGATTGCAAACGCATTGTCGCCCGTGCACTTCTCACTTTTATTCTAGCTCTTCTCTCTCACCACGCCCAAGAATACCATCCCGCACATCCTCGACCACGCTCCAAAATATCGCCGAATCATGAATTCGCTTATCGCGAACGATACCTGGTCGAGTGGCTATTACCTAGGACTTGTTTTCCTCCTCGTGTGCTTCTCCGACGTGGCCTCAATAAGCCTGTCATCGAATTCTTCTGTCTTGACAATGGTGAGTGAAGGATTATTGCGACTTGCGCAAGCTGACTCGGAGGTAATATCTTCACGGTGAAAGCTGGGGGTACAACGCTTCCAAATGCCAATTCTGCACTGTCAATGTAGGAATCAATGCGAAAGTCCAAAATGAAGCCGAAATATCCCTCAAGCAACAATCGATATAATGGATTCTTGACAGACACATACTCGTAACTTTTGCTTTCTTGTCATACCATTGACGAAGCTAAACGAAGTCTATAGAGGCGACTAAAGCGATGCAAAAATCTGCAATGAGATAGATTAATTAGTTGGGTTTCAACGAAGTTAGCCAGTGGCGGCAATTACAGAGTGAGCGGAGTGAGGGACAATGACATGACGCATTCATTACTACGGTAATCAAACAGGCGCTAGCGAACCTTTAGCATCCTACGATTACTCACCAACGATACTGGTCTGTAATGATGGTAGCAGCCCTTTCCGCGATACCATAGATGGCCGTCTGAATATGCGCTGAAACGATCATTGGAATGACACTCGCGTCGACAACGCGAAGGCTCTGTACGCCATACACCCTTAGCTCGGGATCAACGACGCCACCATTCTTCTTCGGCAGCATAGCACAGGTGCCCAGTGGATGAAAGAACGTAAATACGTTGTTTCTCACATATGTCTCCCACTCGGCGTCCGTCTCCACGCTTAGGCCCGGATCGAATTCAGACACCCAAAGGTCCTTGAAAGGCGCCGTGGTCGCCATCTTGCGGAGATACTTGGCTGCTTGGATGGTGGCTTCCAGGTCAAAGGCGGTGCCTAGATACTTGGGGTCGATGATAGGTTTAGTGGCGGGATCGGGGCCGTTTATGTGCACAGAGCCGCGAGAGAAAGGATGCTGGACACCTCCAAGAAGGGTGGCGTAATTCTTGCCATGACCGGGCGTGCCTTTAGCAGGATAGCCTTTCGTGCCGATGTAGCCGTCACCAAAAACGACCTCAAGATCCGGCGCTCCAGAGTATGCGTCCGTGAGTAAGGACAGCTTCTTCCGGTCAACTGGGTTCGACCAGTCAACTGACTGGTGGGCAAGTCTGAGCAGCTTTTCGTCGTTACCAATCGCTTGCTTCCACTTCAAGAAACCGTAGCAGCTACCGCTGTATTGGTAGAGTGATGTCTGACTGCGCCTCCACAGGTCCAGTTCGATGGCTGCTCGGGTCGTGTTGTATTTCAGGACGTCCAGCCCTGGAATTTCCGGTTTGAGTTCGTAGGACGTTTGGATACGGAGGTGATCTTGGAGGTTCTCTCCAACACCTGGAAGGTCGACGATTTGCCTAATACCAGCTTTGGAAAGAACGGCTTTCTGGCCGATACCGGAGAGCTCGAGAATCTTGGGAGAGAGCAAGCTTCCTCCTGAGAGAATGACTTCTTTCTTTGCCTTGATCTCTTTACCACCGACGAGAGTGACACCGGTTGCTTTGGTGCCTCTCCAGTCGTAGTCGAGATTGACCTTGTGAACAGTGCTATTGAACATTATTACTAGGTTGTCGCCGGCCCTTGGGAGGTAGTCTACCGAGTATGACCTGGTATGATTTGAAACACGGTGCATAGCTGGTTGGTACTCAGCGCCAATGCTGTGTCCGTTCAAAGACTCAAGGTTGTTCTCCAGACCAAGGTTTCCTAAAGTAGGAATGCAAGCTTGCACATGCGCAGGAGGATTCTCAACTAGAGAAACCTGAACTGGGCCTCCATAGCCAACACCGTCGTTACCATACTGGGCAATCCCATCTTGACGCTGAAAATTCTCCGCCTTGAGCATAGCAGGATACATGTTCTTCCAACCCCAACCAGGGTTGCCAAGTTCTTCCCATGCATCGAATTCTTTTACTGTAGCACGGTTCCAAACAAGAAGGTTTAGGGCAGAAGTTCCACCAAGCACTTTACCCCGGTTGTGCGGAATGGTGCGCCCATTTGCTGCGGCTTGAGGGACTGTTGGAAGCACCCAATCATACACGCCGCCGAGTGTTGAGCCTCTCAAACCAGGCACATATATTTTTGGTTCATCGCGTCCATCAGGACCGGCTTCAATGACCAACACACACTCGTATGGCAAAGCTCTGCTGAGCTGAGTAGCTACGGCAAGGCCAGCGGTCCCTCCACCGACGATAATCTACATCAAACGATCAGTCCGAATATCGGCACCACACCAGGAAGAAGAAGGGTTACATACGAAGTCAAAATCACGGTTCTCCACGTGGCATCTTCCGTGTCCGTTGACGCCATGCAGGAGACCCAGCCCAGTGGCCAGGATAAAACCGAATGTCAGCCCTCGCATGATGGATCTCTGGAAACACGAGATAACGAAGTCTAAGCAAGGAGGTGATTTCTGGACTAGGGATTGCGAACCCTAGTGACTGCCGGGAAACTGCAATAGACACAGAAACAAGGAAGGCTGCAGATGGGTTATCTGCGAGAGCGATTCGTCTGTGGCAAGGACCTCGACGACCCGACTCGTGTACATTAGACAATCTTCCCATGAGGCCATCGCCATACTGACGAGGAGGCGCGCGAGGCCCCGACAGGGGCCTCGGCAATAAGATGTAGGTAATGAAAAGGGCATAGGCTACCATGTAAAACATCAGCCGATGGGGCCATCTTTGCTGTATTCAGGAACAAAGCGGGCCTAGGATTAGGCGTAATTTTATGTGCATGTGCAGTTTCACTGACATAACCACATCACATTGCGAAGGATTCGCAAGGATGCGCTATCTATACAACAGGATTTACCGATCGCTAGCAGGCTTGACATCATCTTGCTATTGGCTGAGGCAGGTTTAGGTTGCAAAGCTAATTTGTGCCTGTATGTGGGAACCGAACTAGACGCTACGCCCGCGGCCCGACAATTAACCAGGCGCCCAATCCGTCCGTCATTGAAAGAAATCGCAAAATGAGCCGACTTCCGAGACCAGGGTCTTGGCCCTTGAGGTCGGTGAAGACCCGATAGTGCCTACACGCCGGCTATTGTTAAAAGAGAGATAGACGACCTGGGCAAAACTAATACATTATATACAGTAGACAGTAGGCGGGTTAACATTTCCTGCACGTAACCACATGGCTGGGAATGTGAAGCTTTTTCCGACAGAAGCAACCCGATCGATGATCGATACGTAATAATGGGTTGAACAAGTGGGGGGCCGTAAATAGCTCTAGCAGGCATCCCACGTGTATGGTCCAGACGTGATTTTGCAAAAGCATGAAGGAGATTAGCAAGTTGTCAGGCGACATTCCTACGGAAAATAGGATGCGGCGTCGGAGTAGCGAAGCCGGCCACTTATTGCGCTCGGGTACAACCCAACCGATAGCGTAATTCGATCTCTCCCCGGATTAGGTGCGTGCCTAGCCTCTCGCTACAATCCGGCGCCCCGTAACCAGGGCCTGTCTCTAACCCTGAATCTCGTTGTGGAATCATCAATGCGAAGCGACATTTCCATCCGTTTCCCTCAATGGTTAGGCAAGACGACGGATCAACATGTGATCGGCAAACTATACAAGAAAAAATATGAAAGAACAAGACATCCCATTGCTCCACCGAGCTCTAGGGTTCTACTATTGCTTGTCATCTATTCCTTCGAAAACCCTATATGCTTGATCTTATTATGCCTATCCTTCGCATTCGCGAAACCGACCCTTCTAAAAAAGACGACAAGGGCCCTGCTATCGTTGCCGTGTCTGTTGTATTCACCACCATCGCATTCATTACCACCATACTGCGGTTATGGGTACGCAAGGGACGCCGAGCACTCGGAGTGGACGATTACACCGTAACGGCAGCAATGTGCCTTACCATCGTGGAAGCAGCGCTTACTATCCAAGCCGTAACGCGCGGTAAAGGGAAGCGCGGTAAATACCTTTCCAAGGGCGAAAGAGAGTACATTAATATGTACAGCTGGTACGCGCAACATGTGCTCTTCGCGGCTATGGCACTAGTCAAGATATCAGTATGCCTGCTCGTTACACGAATCAAAAATTCGAAGCAGATGAAGTGGCTTACTGGTGTGGTAATTACTGTTTTGTGTACTTCCGCACTGGAATGTAGCATCGTCCTTCTTGCGCAGTGCAGACCTATCAGCGCTCACTGGCGCCCTGCTGCAGGGAAGTGCTGGCCTGCCAAAGTACGCATCTACTCGATCTATGTGCAAGCTGGTAAGTCCTCTACGCAATGGCACACTGGTACCGATACTGACAACTAATTAAGGGCTATCCATCACTACGGACCTGATATGCTCGGCGCTTCCGATTGTCATTATGTGGAATGTCCAACTCCCCTTCCGCAAGAAGGTGTCGATTTGGGTATTGATGGCTATGGGACTCATCTGCACAGCCTGCTCAGCTGTCAGGGCCAAATCTCTTGATGCAAAAGCCAAAGATCTTGCTTGTAAGTCCTCCTCGCACAGTACTGTATTTCAATCGCTAAGCTCCCCTCCTGTCAGATGAGTACGGAATCGTCGCAATCTGGGCCATAACCGAGCTTTGCCTTGGGATAATAGCCACCAATCTCGGTCTTTCTCGTTCCATGTTCTACTATTTCTTCAGGCGCGCGGATCTGACTACCAACGACTCCTCGCAACGGCCATCGTACAACGTGTACGGTAGCCGCTCACGAAACGGATACGCCCAGCATCCGGACTTAAATTCGAATATCTCGCGAATGAGTAAGAGCGATAGGAGGGAAACTAGCACGGCAGGGAGCGAGACAAGGAGTGAAGATAGTGATATTCCGCTGAAACCAATGGCGGGCATTGAGAAGACGACAAAGATTGAGATGCACGTGCAAAAATCATGATCTATGAGCGGCTGCTGTTTTGGGAATTGATTGTAAAAGCGTGGTGTTTGGCGTTGTCGAAAAATTCGAGTCGTGTCTTGCACGGAAGTGTTTTAGATTTCATTGTTGTTAGGGCCGTAGTCCCTCAGCTCAAGGTCTCATACAGTTTGAGCATCTGTTAATTGAAAGAAAACCCTTCCGCGCCTCTCTTAGGTGCGGAAGAAAGTCCCGTGAAACCGTCCCAGGGATTGGATTTGGGCACGCTCGTCATTCTCGCTTCATTGCAGCATGGCGTTCAGTTCCTACCTGAAAATTCGGTCGAATCGTTGATTCAGAGTTCCGATCCAGTCGCATCCACAAAGAAATCTGAGCTCTCAATCCTACTAAGGCCATTCTCGAAATATGTTCTCTCGTAAAAGAGGTTATATGCAAAGTGCTAAGAGCACCAGCTAAACTGCGGGATCCGCTAGACAATGAAGGTCAAGTAGAAGTACCAGCTAAGCAAAAGTGATTCTGACGCACTATGCAAAGTCAATTAATCATGTCTGGGGTTGCAAAGGTCATAAAGATGTCACTCCGATGGCTCGAAACATCAATCTATCGCCAGGTCCCATCACACTCAATTTGGCAACCTCGCAATAGACACGTTGATCCAACCCAGCAACCTTTTTGGAGCTACTCCAACCCTCGTAAGCTCATGTTCCGCTCACTCCATCACCCCATCATGCACCAACCTTACATAACTTCCCATTTTCATTCGGCAGCCCATCAAAACTCTCAACCTTCCAGCCCTCGCTCCCCACCGCATGATGCGCCCAGAACACATCCCTATGATCCATTTCCCTCTTGATTTCAAGCAATCGCGCATACTTGTCGCCCCAAAAACTCTGTTGCCAATTCGGCTCTAGGCGATCTGCTTCATTTAGATACGCACCACTTCCCGGCGTGACGTCGCGCCATTTCTGCATCGTGCCATTAGTCAACGCAGCGCGCGCGCTCATGATGTCGGTATTTGATGCTTTATAGCTCACGGAAATACCAGTGATGATGTGGTACACGGATGTGCGCCATGCGGGGTTGACAGAGTTGTCCGGGTTGCTGCCGCGCGTTGCCATGTTGAATGCGATGAGCGACTGGCCAGCTTCGACGCTTTGTCTCAGTACATTGAAGGTTATGTTGCGGCCTGTTTCCGAGGCAAAGTTTGACCGGGGGAAGAGCCGGGAACTGACTGCACCTGAAACGCCGGACATGGGCTCGAGTGGGAACTCGGCTTGCCAGGCAGGATAGAAGCTCTTGTATTCTGTGATCTTTGGTGAGATGGGGATATTGAGAGAGGTCAGTTTCGAGAAGTACGGTCCCAAGATGGTGTTGAGCTGGTTAGCAGTCTTGTTGGGGGCAAAGAAAGGCTGCATGATGAAGATGAAGTCCGGTCCGGTGGGGAGAAGAAGCCAGTAACTGTACGTGCCGTTGTCTACGTTGCTGATGGCTTGATCGAAAAAAGCCTTGGTAGCTGCCCAGAATTTGTCTTTACCAATCTTTGAGCTATCGAGTTGCCAAGAAGCTGCGGTAACGGGCATATCTTTGTACGCTTTGATCGTGACGGACGACACCACGCCAAAAGTACCTCCGCCTCCACCTTTCAGTGCCCAGAACAGGTCCGCATTGCTCGTAGAGTTGGCTGTCAAGAATTCCCCAATGGGCGTGACGACTTCGAAACCAAGGACGTGGTCAGCTGCCATGCCGTACAGTGAACTAAGCGGGGAGTGACCGCCACCTAAGATATAGCCTCCAAAGACGCCCACGGTCTACGCTGCTCAGCACCAGTTGCAGAGGCGAATTTTAGGATACATACCTGACCCTCACCAGCGACTGCAATAACGCCGCGCTCATTCGCAAACTTGTACAGCTCGAATGCCTGTACACCAGCCCCCGCCTTGATAGCAGGCCCGCGATAACCCGGCTCATCCACATAATCTTCAAAGAACTGAATATCCTTTAATCCATGCGTCCATATACTAAGTGCGCCGTAACCTGCAGATTTACCTGCAAAATCATGGCCCGTGTTTTTCACGACTAGGCGCATGTAGTCATTCCGCGCAAAATTTATACCGCATTGGATGTCTGAGACTGTCTTCGCTTTGATGACACGAGCAGGGTATCCGCCCAATGTGCAGTTCCCAATGTCGTATATTGACGGTGGTTGACACGTAAGGCCCTGATATATTGGCGACAGAACCTCGGTGGGGTCGTCAATGTGCGTGTACGAGTTCGACCAATTCCTTGCCAGCTGTTGGCAGCCCGCGTCGTTCTTCGTATTGCCGTAGCAGAGTGATGCTTGAGGTGTGGTTGTTATAAGTATTTCTGGAGCGCTCAATTGTCTTCGCAATTTGTTCCATGCTTTCTCCGATGGCCACTTCTTGTCGGACGGATCATAGCGACATCGCTTGTCCGTTGTATTGACCGCTTGGATCTCGAACTGGCCTTCGAATGCGAGAAGCGCCGCATCTTCTTCCGGCAATGAGGCCACGTGTTCTCTTGTCAATTGGTGTTCCTCGTACGGGAAGAGTGTGCGCGATTGAACAGATACCAGTAGAATCGTTGTCGCGAACAGGAGTGAAACAATGTGAGAACTCATCCTCAAAATTAATGCTTGACACCTCGCAGTCGAAGAAGCCACGTTGAAAAGCTGGGCACACGCGGAACCAAGGTATGTTATACTCCGCCAAGTGTTTTAAGCTCTGGTAATGACCTTTAGAGGTGCCGAAGCGTATGCGCGAAAGATCAAAGTAATATGTAGAGATGAAAGATTCAGTGCATTTCTGTAAGGGACCCATCGCGTGCTCTTTCTAGACGTTAACGGCTGTTGTGCAGCACGTGGAAAGGTACCGGATTACGACCGATATGACATATTCGTATACGTTTTCCTAATTGCTTTACATTGCTTCTGCGTCGGCTAATTGGTGGCGGAGAATTTGGGATAAACGGGCTACATAGTGCATGAAGCAAGGGTACACTGTTCGATGCCGCCATGTGGCTTGGCGCATCCGGTGATCTTATATGGCTATGTTCTAGATGAATGTTGCGAGGCGTTCGAGACCTAGTCATGGGCCTTACGTGTCGGTTCTACCACAGATGTACAACGCATTTTCGAGCACGTCCATACCACACGTCATTAAACATCCGGAAAGGATTTCCCTGCCTGCGTGCCACCATCTCTTTAACCTTGCCACCGTCTAGTGGGAAGAGGGTGTCTACATATACAGGTAGGACAACGACATGTTCTTGCAGCTGTCCTAGAAAAATCAGAGTCAGCTCAGTAGCAGCTATCCTGCCACCGGCTTCTTCATGTGCAGGCACTTGATGCTCAGGAGCATATGTTCGCGCATCGTGAAATCGAGGCTCAAGCAGATCGATATCCATGACGTACGACCTAAGGGTCTGAGAATTACTTTTGGGGGGAAAGAAGGTGTTTAAAAAGGTTGCAATAGTTGTGCGAAACGTGATGACGTGACTCATATCAATATCTGCCGAACGCGGAAAAGTTGCAGACGGCGAGGTGAATATCTCGGTATCAGAAGTGTTGGGTCCGCTCTGGTGGTCGGTACCACGATCGTCTTCCATCCATTCCAGTAAGCTACCAATTTTGCTTCCCAGGGCGCCGTCAAGAACAGGCTTGGAGGGCCACAATCTCTCAGGAAGTTCGTGAACATGTGTGAATTCTTTTATTGCTATCGAGCCCTGCCACAGGTAGACTGAGCAATGCGGCCACATTTCGGTGACTCCAAAACTAGGAAAGAGAAACGGCCATGTCGATAGTCTGACAGCGGAGCTGGATCCACGGTCCTGGCGATGTGGGTGATGCCATCCTGTCCAGCTCCAAGAAGGGAACCCCTGTCGTCGTTTCAGCTGTGCATAGTTGTTCCAACACATTGCATAGCGAAACAGACGGTGTGGATGTCCCCATAGGAAGGGTCCTAAAAGGGGTGTAAGAGCATTGGCCATGCCTTCGAACGCACGTAGGATATCCTCTGGGTATGTTAGTTTTCGGCCGACGTAGAGAGACACGATCCTTCCATAGCTGAGGTCCGCTCGTCGTCCATCAGCAAGAGTGGGAACTTGTCCATTTATGGATTTGGACAATGGTGGAATAGACGACCGGTGAGGTTGTAGCAGCTTGCCGGCTAACGATTCTATATACAGTCCTTTGTCGCAAGAGAGGAAATACTCCTGCTCGGTGAACACCAGGCGTCTACGAGAGAGGGCACTCTCCTGCATTGTCCAAGACCGTTGATTCCAAACAGAGTTTTGTACTCGGTGCTCGATCGCATCGAATGAATGTGGGATAACAGCGAACTTAAAGTCATCAATGACGACTGCTGGCGGAAAAAGTGGACGAGCTTGGATGGAGGGTATACCGGAAGTACAATCTAGGCCAGCCGCTACAACAAGGGTAAGATATGCCTCGCGGTAAATTTTGTGCATGTGCGCGACCTGCCCAGCTGCATGATCTTGGCTATCCTGTACGATGCAAAGACTGTCAACCCATAGATAGCGAAGGCCAAGCAGTCGACAAATGTGGATTGCATCTTTGATGGTCTGTGGTATTGATAGCGCGTTGAGGCTTCTCTTGGTCTTGAGTAGCTCCAAATTATCGTTCTTAAGCAGCGGTTGCTGCACTTGTCCCCAAACGTAGCTTAGAGCAGTGTATCGACATGCATCTGGCGCCTGCACTACGCACTGGTCCTGCACGTCGATCACTCGAAATTCCAACAGGGAGTTTTGAGCTTGTGGCATAACGATGCAATAATGACTTGAGTCGCAGTCATTCAACCAACTCTGCACCAGCTTAGGATTGAAAGCTGTATCTTCAATCAAGCGAGCAACGGAACCATCGCATAGCGGAACGAGCGAGTAGGGACAGTGCCTGATCGAGAGACTGGAATCACCGCTGACGAAGTCGAATGTGAGACGATCTAATCGTGGCCGAGACTGGAAGAGAAGGTTGATGCCACAAGCACGAAAATTGCCCAACTGCTCACACCCAGGAGTGTTCTGAGACATCCATTTCAGCGCTCGACATAATGAGCAAGTTGAACTTGGGGAGATGGACGACGGCTTCCATCTTTGAGCATCTAGATTCAATACCCGAAAGAATTCCGTGTCAATCTTCAGTTCAGCGCAGGCGCAAGATGACGATGTTTTTGGGGAGATGATCAGCCCAAAGAGCGATAAGACGTCCGCGATCGAAGCTCCCATTCGCCCAATTGTGATCAAGATCGGGTTGAAGGAGATGTTTGTGGTCGATGTTGTGAGATGCACACATGACGCATATGCTTCTCAAGAGCGTTGGTCGCGACGCAGGAGATGGAACCGAAGGGGCTGAAACTGAGGTTGGGGGCCTCGGCGGTTAGGCTGGCCACGGCAATACTAGGCGTTTTAGTATTCAAACCACGCGTCGGTGTTTCCATCACCTGCAACGATATCTTTTAGGTGACCTTTGGTTCACCATGAATTTACGATACATGAGCACATGCAAAACCATGTGTACTCCTAGGAGAGGGAGCACGGCACGTCACATGACTTCGACTAGTCCCCATAAGACGTAGCGCCGGTGCCTGAACTGAAGCCGAACGGCGCGGAAAGCTGGAGGGTGAGCCTCGGAACGGACCTCCCCCCCTCGTAGCATCATCGAAAATGCGGTCACGATTATAAACACCTGTTGTTCACCTTCTATCGTGAAGCAAACACCTGATTCATTTCGGAAAAGGAGTTTAAGCTTATAAAGCTTTGCCGCCCCATTTGCCCGGTCTGCAGTACTCTTCCCCAGCATTGCCCTGGAAAGCTACACAATGTCGAAGCTCTCACCAGCACTCAAATCTCTCATAAAAGCGGCACATTCGCGCCCTGGGCCGGTCCCAGCACCGCGACAAATTCAGTCCATCTATAGCAAAATAGAAGAGGAAGCCACAGCGCGTAAACTCGGGAGGCCATCATGGCTAGGCATCTCCACCGCTGCAACGATGACGATGAACTCACCAGAGTCAATGGTCGCATTATACAACTCCTCGACCAAGTCGAAGTCAGAAAGTGAGAGTGTCGCCATAGCGGAGTTTATGCGAGAGATAGGCTTGAAATGCATAGGTTTCAATGGCGTACGCTATGAGATGAAAGTTTCGTTGCAACATGTAGCTAACTGCAAGCCAGATTCCTCGCACAATAAACATGCTCAATGCATTTCGCGCAGACCTTCCCTCTTCGATCGCATCCTCCCTCAACACAAAACCCACTCGCTTCCCCGATCCTTCCAATATCGAGTCGATCAATTCGCGAGGCCGAGAACTCTGGAACGCCATATACAGGCCACTCGAGACAAAGCTAGAGCACAAACTTGGAGACGCACATCCCGACCTGCCCGTATTTATAATAAACACTGAGTACGGCGGCCTATTCACCGACCCTCCTCGCAAGACAGGTGCGACCGTCGGAAGGATCACAACAAGCTTAGTCGCAGTAACGTGCCTGCGAGCGCAGCAGGGCGTTGGTCCTCAAGTACTCAGTCATGTCTTCGGGCTGAGGAAGGCATGGGAAGATGGTACATGGAAGCAAGAGCCAGAGGCAGGCGAAGAGGAGGGAATCAAGTGGCTTGTTAGCGACGAAGGGTGTACATGGGTGTTGGAGAAGGTCGACGAGCTTGTTGCGGTGCTTGGTGGTGGACAGGGCAGCACCTTTGCTCCCGTCAAATCAAAGCTTTGATCGCTTACAGGGCTAGAAAATGAAGTCTGTCGGCCCCATGATGCTTCTGTGGCCTGCCAACAGTACAAACTCTCGTGCAAGGGATATCACGACTATTTGCAACGGCTCGTCCCTCCGCGGCACTTCATAATTTTCTCATCTATCTTTCCACTTTTACTCACAGCTTACTACGAAGAGAAGGAAACGCTGACCATAGAGGTCCGTTCAGAAGGTTTCTACATCAGATATGCGCAGTCACCATGCTCATTATACTTCTAGACTAACCCGATCTCGCAGTATCGCCAGTTCTACCTACAAACTCACGATGGCATGAACGGCCCTAGTCTCTTAAATGAGAAGGGTGCCAGATCAGCCGCGATCTCGCTGTTACCTAGTGAGCCTTCTCGCAATTTATGATTGCGTAGCCCCCTGGAGCATGACACGGCCTTTTCAACACCAATATCACAACAATATACGCTAGGTGACATATTTTATTAGTGCATGATAACTGAACACTTTAATGTCTTTCAGGTCGCTTCACCATTACATTGCCCATCGAAATTTGCGCAGAAACCCTTCAAATGGATACATCCATCCCACCTTGCCCATCGCACTGTGGCCCAGAAGTTGGGTAAGCTTCACTTAATTGCAAACTCCATAACGTCGGTCGAAAGCGTCCAACCCTGGAATACACTCCAGACAGTCGCAGACCTATCACAAATCAGCATCTGTCATTGCAAAGCACTCACTGCTCCTCGGCTTACATCAGCACTACAGCTGGAAACTGCATCTGTATCTCTGTTCGCGATCCCCTTCGTGATGCAGCGCGACACAACCAGGACCTCGAGGCACGCAAACGGATTACATCCTTTCGCTGATGTGGCGTAATCAACCACGGCGCTGTAGTTGTTAGATTGTCCTCCACCCGGTGACGCATTTTCCTGGTTGCATGTATCCCAGTCCCCGTGGCAGAGACCCCAGTATTTTATGCATTTCCGATCTGGGGTGGGTTGGCCGGGACGAGTATTGCGCCATTCGGGGCTGCCGCGGCCTTGAGCGAGTGCAAAGGCAACGAAGGAAGCGAGCACGAGGAACAGGCGCATCTTGGTGGTCGAATGTTTGGGTGTCGGAAGGGCGTCAGACTCAAGATGTATTGCACCATCGTGGTCGAAGTCTCTTTATGTTAATAGCCTGGAAGGTATTTTCTCAAAGAGGATGCCTGGAATGAAAACAGGGAGCCCAAGAAGACCCTTCTCGCGATGTCCTTGCTGAATTCATACCGACCGGTAGTGCTGGAATGAGGCGAACAGGATCGACCGTAGGACGCCCAGCATGAAGTCGATAGGCGGATCTCTACGATCGCACTCATGTACCACTTGAAATCTTGCATTCTTATATGGTGACCATTTTTATTGGTCAGCGTTCAATGGAGGTGGCTAGATTCGAGGGATTGCTGTTCACGTGTGAGGAAGTTTTGCCTCATTTCGAAGCGAGTTATTAGCAACCCACTCCAAGCATTCTGCTCGTCTGTACACTAATACCTAGGTAGCCAAGAATGCCATTCCATTTGCACGTGCTCCCAAAGGCGATATGTAACCGATGACACTACTACGCGAGGCTTCATCTGGCGCCCAGCACACTTGACGCGCATCTCGGGTGCAGACAAGCTTTCCTCTCTATACCACGAACCACGTCCTAGGCGCCAATTTCACATTCCTGAAGCTTGTGCTGTTTGCGCATTGTAAACGCGATGCCGCATCAGGCAATGAGACGTGCCTCTAACACGCCAAGCTTTACCCCAGTCCATGCGTAACAGCGCCCTGGTTTTAACAACCGTCACCAGAAGCGTCTCAGAGCCTTGCGCCTCGGGAACATTGACCATTTAGGAGACACGGGATCACAGAACCCACCATGTGGCGACACGCAACGTCTCTAACAACACATCACGGTCTTGTGAGTCGTGGGGAAACTTGTCACCGCTCCCGCTACGCGGCATTGCGAACGGTGCATAGAAGCTAATGCCTCGTTCGCGTATGAGAAGTCGCCTTGTGAGGCTCGAAGGCCGCACTGTCCTTGTTTTGAGGGTACTGACTGAGAATGAGGTCGGTGATCTTGATCAAAGGTAAGTATAAGATGCATGATGAAGCTGCATCTTAAGTTTCCTACTATCATCAAGCGTTTTCAATCATTCTCATCTGTTCTTCCATTTATCCAGCTTGACGCTGTGACCTTCCTTCTTTACATTCTTTCTTCCGAGTACAGCTGAGCTGCCTCTTCCCATTCGCTCCTAAAATACACACCCGCTGCATAACTTGTATACTCTTATCCGACGTCATGCATTTCCAATCCTTCACTCTTCTCTCTCTGGCCACGATTGCCATCGCCGTTCCCACGCCCTTTAATGCGCTCAAGCCTCGCCAGAACGCTGCAGTCCTAGCAGACACCACCTTTAACGACATTTCCATCGCCGGCGGACAGGCAGGCAATGCCGAGGCCGAAGCCCTTGCCGTCTTCTCAGCATTGGACCTTCAGAATCCCGGAAATATCAACGCTGCCGACGTCAAGTTCCTGGGCGAAGTCAACAATGTTGCGAACGACGCAGAAAAGGAAGCTTTCAACACGGCAGTTGCAGCCGCCACTGGCGATGAGGCCGCCCAAATACAGGTACGAACACGCCACTCTCAGTCTCCTGTACTATAACCTTTAACTAACACTTATTGCAGAACGGCAAGATAAAGAACAAGGTCCTCAAGTTGATGGCTACCAAGATCGAACTCGAGGCCAAGCAGGCCCAAGGCGAGGATGTTGCCGCCAAGTTGGAAGAGGAGACAAAGAAGTTGAACAACAACATTGCGACAGATACGAAGAACGCTGGCCAAACTTCCATTGCAGAGCCCTTTGATGCGACCATTTCGGGTGGAGGAAATGCAGCTGCTGCCGGTGGAAAAGCGAAGAACGCCGGAAAGGCGAAGGATGCTGGCAAGGCAAAGAACGCTGGAAAAGCGAAGGATGCCGGCAAGGCAAAGAACGCCGGAAAAGCGAAGGATGCCGGCAAAGCCAAGAACGCCGGAAAGGCAAAGAACGCTGGAAAGGCGAAGAACGCTGGCAAGGCTAAGAACGCCGGCAAGGCGAAGAATGCTGGAAAGGCGAAGAACGCCGGCAAGGCAAAGAACGCTGGCCAGGCCAAGAACAACGGCAATGCGACGGCCAACGCCATTGATAATTAGAATCCTGAAGATAATGGGAAGGCTCCAGTTGGGAAGAAGAGAGAGGATAATCAGATGGCCAGGCCATGAATGTTGAAGGGTTGTCGCACGCTGCCTGGCTAGGTCATATACCCCGAGCAAGCTTGAGGTTGGATTGTATCATAGTAATCATGAGGAGCAAAGAACTACTCGCGCCAGAATTGAAATGGCCAGTCATACCCCTCTATGCAGCGTATCAACACTTCGGTGCCTCACACTTGTGCTCGCTATCACTTTTGCGACCCTAGGCACTTTGTCTTTATCATAGATTGCTGGCTTTTTGTTCTGCTGCTGCTGTAGGCAGCAGCATCGCTGTTACGTGGCTAGAATCAGTTCCATAGTTCTGTTTTGCGTCGCAGTACTATACCATTTATTTTATTGCAATACTACTTTTAAAAATTTGCAGAGAGCTTCTGAGCTTTATAACTTATTATTCTTCTCTCGTCGCGGTACTGTACTATTACTATATTATAATACTACTGTTATAATTTATAGAGAGCTCTGTGAGCTTTACACCTTTTTCTATTCTCTAAGTTGATGGGGAAAATATAGAAGCATGTGGATGGAAGATTGAGCAAGTGGTAACTGTTTTTTGACGACTACACTAAGCTATGTCCCGGTTTCCAGAGGTGTTGAAACAATGCCAATTGGCTTAAAATTGTGCCAGAGACACCTCGAGCCCAAAGTGAAACACTTGGAACTCTGGGTAAGGTAGTACAAAGCATATTCTCCGATAAGGTGCTCTGTCCTTTATAAGCTACTCGGTGTATCGAATAGCGACAGTAACGCTTGCCAACGAGAACGCAATCCAAATAGCCGTGAGAAGCTCAAGTTTAGGGGGGCAGAATCTAGATCGTGTCAGCTGATGTAGACACAGGTATGTGCGTGATTACGTACTCTTCCAGACTAAGACCAATGAAGCCACCCCAAAAGAGCCACTGGGCAATCCAAAGGAGGAGCATGCCTATGACCGTGACCGCATACAGTCTCACGAATGATCCTGGGGGAGCAGAGGTGTTATGTCCTTCAACAGAGCAAGTGCCATATGCTGTGTAAGTTCCTCCCTCGTTAAGGAGCGACGATGTCTCTTCTAACTCCCCACTCTTAGCTATCCCATGATGCGCTAGGTTTTCTTCAAACCGTGCCCAGTGTTGGATGAACTGAGCCAACCCTTCTTCCACAATGTTCCGTGGCTGCTGGTTCTGCCACTTTGGTACATCGATGTTACCAGCTCCAGTCGATACATGCCACCTGCATGCAGCTTGCAACAACTTAACGATCGTCACGATGCTAACAATGAGCCACAAGAGTGCTCCAGCATACATGAATTTTGCCCATGTTGCCATATCTAGTCTTTCCATACCTCTTAGGTAGAAGTCATGTTCGCGACCATAATTGACGGTCAAAATCAGATAATACGATGATATGACCTGGAGGATCGCTTCCGCAAAGAGCGAAGAGGCGGCGGCAGAGATACTCATCGCTTTGAAGGGTCCTATACCAGCCAGCAAAGTCGTCAGCAAATTAAGGCGAGGCATTGCGCACCAAAGAAGCATCAACTGGAGTACGGGTACGTTCTCATAACCAAAGGATTGCTGGACAAGAAAGGCATTCAGCCAGTTTGCAAGAAGTTGAAAACTAGCGATCAAAATGCCAGTGGAGAACCAACACCGCGGGTGCGGGTTCCATAGAGAGTTGAGTGCGATTTGATGTATGCCTGTTCCCCGGCCGAGAAATACGGCAAAGAAAGTAGCTATATTGATCAGCGCAAAGCTTCCGAGCTTCCACTCAGTTGAGGCACATGTATCCATTGCCTTTTTAGATCCCAGATTCGTGGCAGAGTCACTGTTTGAATCGTGCGATGATCGGATAGTCCATGGCCATGGAATCATGTCGAGAACGGTAGGGGCGGCTAAACGGCCCCAATTATCTGGCAGACCATGCCAGTCCTGCACATTGCCACAAAGATCGTGAAGCCATTTTACATAATCGATTCGGGTTTCGAAAACATGGCACGATCCGCCGCAGGAGTTGTAGCGAATGTACCGGCAGAAGCAAGCCCTATCAACTGCGCGCACCACTTTACAGTAGCCATCAGAGTCGAGGTCACAAGCATCGGTAGCACATTGACCATTCAGCTCAGTCAGCTCAGTCAATCGCTTCGGGATATCTGTGACACACGTGGGCCAGTGCCAGTCTTCGATGGGGATATATGCGAATTCGGTGGTTTTGAGCCCGTCCGTCCCGTTGTCGGGTAGAGACCTCGGCCCACAGGTGGCACTTATCCACAGCCGTTCCCTTTCAAGTCTATCATCTCCAGCCCTGAGCAGGGTTCGTTCTTTGTATCTATAACGAACGCGCCGCAGAGGCAGTCTTTATCAAAATAGTCGCCATATCTGATGATACGGTGGGTGTGATCGTAACCGACAGTTTCAGAATCGAGAGTGATCATGGAATGTAGGCTTTCACTGTATTCCCAGGGACGATCGGTATTTCCGGTATGTTGGGTTGTGCTCGTGAAGCTACATGAGGCCATGACATGTTGAAATGGTTCCATTGATGAAGCAGAAACCGAGCCCATTAAGCATGCCGGTGCATTGTAAATGACGCCAAGGGCCGCATATCCTTGAGCCAGCGAAGCCGGTGAGAGGGTTTGCAGCTCGTTCGTGTCGCCAACGTCGACAAGCCACGTCCGACCGGTAATGGTATGAATCCACCGATACAACTGCGCTTTGGCGAGCACTGAGCGGCTACAGTGTGGGAGATACCCTTTGACAACCTCGGAGGAGAATTCTGTGCTTAGACAGCTGAGCTGGGTCAACCATTGGTGGTGGGTGCAGATGATTCCGAAGTGTCTCGTGCACCGTTTGCTGGTACACTTCGTCATGGTACTCAGCCAAGTGGATTGATCCTGTTGAGCGATGCATTGTGGCATAGGTGTCAAGTCCTCCGGATTGACCCAACCACCGTAAAGATTTTGGGGCGTCAGGATAATGTCCTCTCTAGTAGAATCAACGCTAGCGGGAGGAAAGGCTTCTGCAGTTCTCGAGTTAGTGTTAAAAATAACCTTGGAACAAAGGTACTACCTCGTGCAGCTCCCGCACAAGCCCCGGCTAGCAATACCACAAACCACGTGCTCGATATCTTCATCTTGCTGACAGTTCAAGTTGCCTCGTGCTTCGAGTTAGTGTAAATAAATCGTGGACCTAGGTAGTCACTGGCACCCTTTGATTCAGTTTAGACCCGACAACTCTGAGGTGCGGGGTTGCGGCAATTGCGTCAGCGGATTATCTATAATCCCAGAAGCCTCCAGGTCGCACAATGTGTTCGCGCAGCTACGTTGATCTACCTCTCACCGTGAGGATATGCCAGCATGAGACCTAGGCCATAAGGGGATAGATTATCATGTTCTTCTGCGCTAGTGAGGTGGCCGGCCCGGCCTTTACGGGGAAATGTATAGCGGCACGAGCGGGTACAGTACCGAGGGTTCGCTTACGGGTAGTAAACTGGGTCCATGGTTCCACTAGCAACTTCTGTTGTTGGACTTCTTCTCTTCCCATGAAGTCTACACTGCTGTCCAGCGTAGTATTTTGATTCAATGAAATTATCCAATGCTCTGATATCAGAAGATTTATACTTGATCGTGGTGAAGTAGTTGTGAATGTCTCAAGCGGCTTTAGATGCGGGTGACAGAACGATAACAGAGGAGGAGCACTATGGGACATCGTACTTCCGCTGTGCTTCTTGCACACCGGCACGGACATTGTTAGAAATCGAAATCGCGCTGCAGTGGGATAGTGAGTTACCATAGCTAGCGGCTGGAACATAATCCTTCACCGCGATTTGAAGCTTCATGAAGTGTGATTCCTGGTGCCGGGAAGTGCTATTTGTAATGCAAGTTCTTGTCGCGTAAGTGACAATAGGGATCAATCAAGTATTCCCGTTATTTCCTGAACATGCTTGTCGTAAGGTATCTCAGAAACTATTGTTCCATTGATCTTCCAGTGAGGAAGGCAGCTTCCCGGTCTTCTATCAATATGCTTACGCTACTGCTTACTAATAGCTACTTCTGTACTGAACGATGTTGCTTCGCAACGTCATCACGAACGCCACCCTCGAAGTACAACCACACATTGTCGATAGCACAACAACTTTCAGAGGGCTTATGTGTTTTTAACATCCTTCGTTTCATTCATTTCAACGCATACTGCTCCTGACATAGAATCGATATACCGTCGCCTCTACTTCAGGCCAAACTCAAACCTAGTATGGATGTCACCGTAAGCTATCGCGATGACCCAACATGTGGGCATCCTAAAAGCATCTCCCTCTCTCCGGGAACCAGACATCAGCAAACCATAGATTAAAGAAAGGTCCCAATGCACCACCGGGCGCTAGTAGCCGAGATGCGTACTAGCGGTCGATACCATACCATGACTTACATTATTACCGCAAACCAAAGTTTTGTTGTAGAAAGCGTGCTGCTAATACTAGTTTACGCAGGGTCCCGAATACTTAATCTCAGAGGCGTCACAGCTAGATAGGGAGCAATGGATAGACCCACGAATGGAGGTAGAGTGGTTGAAGATGATAGTAAGCCAGCAAAACTTGCAAGAAATTCACTTCACTACCGTGGTACTGTAGAAGCTTTGCACTGAATCTTGGGAGGGTATTTTGAACTCCAGGAGTAGCTCTTGGACTTATGGCGTGCACTTTATAAGGGCAACTCATCTAGCTCTGTCTAAAGATGCTCGCGCTGATTTCAATTCATCTAGGCTATGGAGAAGCAGGGCGGGAAAAAAAATGAGGCGGCAGTCGGTCCCGTAAGAAGTCTGACCTTCAAAACCCCCGAACTGCGAAAATTCCTACACGACATCTGCTTGAAGTATGACCACGACTTCAACAAGTGGTACGACGGCGACTTCAAAAAGCACCCGTATTCGATATTCTTATCTCGAAACGGGTATATGCTAGGCTCAGCACCTCATGCCGCAAGTATGCTCTCGAACCCGATCCATCCCATTTTCGCCCCGGATAACTGGTACGGCCCGTACAACTACCCATTATTTTTGAGTATCGCTTGGCCTGCATTGCAACTCGCTTCGCTTTGGATTTCGCACGATAGCTGGTTGTTCGACTGGTGGGTGCATTTGTACTACGGACAACCGCAAGTCGACAGGAAAGGGCGAATATATCTTGGCCCGAATCCGAGAGAAGGGTGCCTTGACTGTAGAAGCATGGTTGCAAAAGAGATGAGAAAGCTAGCCGGGCAAATTAACTTTGTGATCCTGCCGCCTAAGTTACTGCGCGGTGCTCTGGCGTCCAGTAATCGCTCTACACGGACCTTTATCAAAAATCTCATGCGGGAGGAGACGTCGGCGTCGGCGTCATTCTTTGAGGCTTTCCCCTGCGCAAAGAAACCTGTTATCGCACTGAGTTCGGACTTTTACCACATCGCCCTGGCCGGAACGAGTGGTGGAAATAGCAGTATCACTGGGGCCAAGAAACTACAACACCACTTCGGAATGGCGCATACTCTTGTACACGAACTTGCCCATGCGTTGGTATCGATATGGCACCCGTGGACTTCGATGAAAATCGAGCCGTTACACAGGCTCGATGATCTCCCAGAGGCTGGCAAATCGTGGGAGGATTATGTTTTTGGCGCGGAACTCATTACGCTTCATGGCGCCAGCCCGATGATGTGCAGGGAGTGGGACCATTCCTTGCCTCTTATGACAAATAGTCGTAATATATCACCACTGCCTCTGTCATCTGCCGTTCCGGAGTCGTGGACGAACACCTGGTTTCTACCACAGACATGGGAGAACATGTATATGTTGCGAGGTGCTCTCAAGGCACCATCAATACGACAAGGAGCACCGGTTATTGCGGCATCTCGAGTCATAGGGAACAAAGAAGTGTTGGTATTATACTACCATGGGGTAGATGTGATGGGCGACGATGAGCTGGCCGTGTACCATGCGAGGTATTTGGAGGGCCAGCTCCAATCCCAAAGTTCAGGACATCAACTATCCTCCACGGCAGCATTTAGCGTTGGAACCCAACAGCAAATCCGATTGATTCACGCCACGGCCAACTTATGGGCCGTACAAACGCTTAGTTTTGCTCACATAAACAACTCCGCCGGCCCTAGTCTCATCCCCGTAGCGCATGCCTCCTCTTCACAGTCGCCACCCCGACTAGTACGACCACCACCATTACCTAATCCAGAAACCTTCTGTTCCAAATACCTGCAGATTTGGCGCAATGAAAGTGTTATATCCTTCAACGCAGGCAACTCATCATCGCTCCGGCTGCATCACGCACATCCATACATGCACCTCACACTCCCGCGATGTCGGTGCAACGGTTGCATGTCTGTTATGCAAAGCATGATCGACGCGGAAAATGGAACAGCATCTCCGGAAACGAAGAGAGGGCTCGAGGAGATGGAACTCGGTAGCCGTTTTGGGGAGATATTTTATGGGAATCTTTCAAAGTGGAGGGCGAGGGGTGGTGTTGGTGATGTTCGTCATGGTTTTCTTGATGGTAATGGTAGTGGCTGATGGGCATGAGAGCTGCGTGAATGGTGTCTGTAATTCCTTTTGCATCACACGATAACTGAATTTTTGTAGTGCGCTTGTTAGCCATTTCTAATTGTTAGTAATTCACCAATACGGTTGATTCAAATACCACACTGCTGTCAATTTGGAGTCCAGGAAACATTTGACTTTATATGTAGGATGCAATGAGCTGCGACAGATCGGAAGCAAGCTACGAAACCTCGAAGCCAGTAACTCGTGTTTGTTTATATGATTACCATCATATTTCATTATACGAATTGCTCGCTCGTTCGCTTCTAAAGCGAACATATACTGCGCCAGAAATGATCTAATCACTTCAACGGATCGCCTAAGCGCTCAACATACACATCATGCCCCTAAGAACAGAAGTGTGTTGGTAGGCAATGTAGTGTGGCGCAGTGCGTAAGAGTGGGTATACTGAAAGCCCCAACGCCGCCATCAAACAAGCACGAAAATACAAACATGGTCCTTCATGGTATTCAACGCATGAACTGCCGTCAACTCCTACGCCGTTCACTATTCACCTCTTTACTCCAAGTCCGTACTTTAGTCGAAGCGCGTGCCATTGGTATAGCCCGAGCCTTTCATGAGTGGATCTTCACTTACCGACCAGGCCTGTGCATCGAGCCTGGCCCTCTTCTCCTCACGCGTTTCGCCGTACCCTTCTTCGCCTGGATCAGTCCTCTTCTTCCCCTTGTTTAGATTTTGCTGAGGCTCGATGTATTTTGGGGTGCTGACACGCGAGCCACCCAGAGCCGGAGTGGGAAGGGAGGTATCGGTCAGAGCGGGCGGAGACGGAATCTCATCATCGTCATCGATAGTGATGTAGCTTGGCCGCTTGTTAAGGGCGATACGCGGCGGAAACTGGCTATCGGCTGTCATGCTCTCCTTGTTTGTGTGTGCAGCTGAAGCCTCGTGGTGCGCGGTGGCTTCTTGTAGTTTTGCTACGGCGGCTTCGCGTTGCTCGAACTCACGTTGCGTCTCTTCGCGCTGCTGAAGCCAGAGATCGTGCTGCTCCTTGTAGTCGATCTCCATGCCCTTTGTCCATGCCTTTTGCTCCTCGCTCTCTTCGCATGCCTCAATGCAGGTAGGACACTTGATGTAGAAGCCGCCATGGGTGGGCGGTTCATGCAACAACTCGAATTCAGGTAGATTCTCGCCAATCAAATCAGTCTGGTCCCAGTCGAGACAATCCTCGCAGAAGCCTTGTGGACACCAACGGCAGCGGAAGATCAGGCCTCCGGCATCTGTAGTGTTCTTGCCGCAGTCGCCGCAATTGTGTTGGGAACAGTAAAAGCCGCTGAAACCCTTGACCTTGGCCTGGTACTCAGGCTCGAGGCAATCGAAGTGGTAAGCACGAGGGCAGCTCCGACACTCCACCATATGGCCGGTATCTGAGCCTTCGAAGCAGGCTAAGCAGTGCTCTTCGTGATTGAATTCGCGTCGTTTATCACGTACGGGTTCCGCGAGACGAGGGTCTTTACCAGCCATGGTGGGTACAGCCTCCCAGTCGCCACAGTTCAAAGACTCTTTGTTGATTGCGTATCCATCGATCATAACTGTGGTGTTCTTGCCTTTGCGACGATCTTCTCGAGTGATGGTGTCCGGGAGGATATTAGTGTTAACCCTGGTATTCGGCTGACGCTGGTAACGCTTGCCCTCGAACACGGCGCATTCGACACGTTCCATGACTGACAGCCATTTCTCTTCGTCGACTTCGGAATGCGACCCTTCAGCGACTGTCAGGTCAGCCGGCTTGTCACGACACTTGGCCATCATAGTCTCGAGATCCCATGACACCATTTCGTTGACATCAATCTCAGGATGCGACAACGTTTGCGCACCGCGACGGACCAGTGTCTTGAGCTGTGACGTATCCATTTGAGGCATGTCGTCTGTGAGTGATGCTCGTCCCTTTGTCTTAGCTAGAGTCTCTTTGCCGTGTATGTTTTGCATGGATTCTGTGATCTTTGCGGACAGGTAGAGCTTCTTTCGAATACGGCCCATCATCTGTTCCTCAACGGTGCCTTGTGTACACAGCTTGTAGATTGTCACCTTGTTTGTTTGACCAATGCGGTGGGCACGAGCCTCGGCCTGTAGAGTAATCTGTGGATTCCAGTCTTCATCGAGGAAGATGACGTCTTGTGCGCTTGTAAGGTTGATACCCAGACCACCCGCACGAGTAGAGAGAAGCATGACCTTGTAGTCTGACTCCTTCTGATTAAAGAGGCGGATATCGAGATTTCGTCGCGCACGAGCGGTGCTGCCGTCTAGGCGTAGGGATCTGAAACGCTCACCGTGATTGCTAATAAGGGATAATAAGTCCTCACAGTAGTCGAGCGTACGAGTGAAGCCGGAGAAGATGAGTACCTTCTTGCCTTGGTCGAAGATGGTGTGTTTGAGCAGTTTCTCCAGCAGGATAAACTTGCCCGAAGCGCGGATGATGTGGTTACTGATGTAGTATGGATCCGGCGCGGCCCCAGGTAGCAGGTATGGATGCGAGCAGCATTTTCGTAGCTGCATCACGAGATTCATGAGTTTCTGCCAGGCACCTTTCGTCTGAGCACTCGACTGATCCTTGGCAATGGCCTCGAGCATGATATTTGCAGTCTCCTCCCATTCGCCGCCCTGCTTGGCGTCCGCGTCCATCCCTTGCTTCTCAATTCTGCGAAGCAACTGATCCTCTTGCATATCCTGTTCGATTGCCGCCTTTTCTTTCGTCTTGCCGTCAGCGAAGAGCTCATCAAGCATGCCATTGTCGATGCGAGTCAAAATCCTTGTGTACCAAAATTTCTGCATAGGGGTCAACGGCACATAGAGGAGCACCTCTTCCTTAGGCGGTAGGCCAAGGTTGACGCTAGGGCTGTCTTTCATGCGTCGCAGCATGATGAGCTCAAGCAAGTGACGAGCGTTGTCCATCGTTGTCCTGTTGACTTTGCCTTTGTTGAGGTCGAAGGACTCTTTGAATAATTTGTCAGTTCCCCCGATGAAGACATCTGGATATAACCAGGCGAGTAAGGCCCACATCTCGACCAGGTTGTTCTGGAGGGGGGTACCGGTCAATATCAGGCGGTACTCGGCGCTGATAGTACGCAGAGCGGTGGAGATTTGCGTGACGCTGCTCTTGATCTTATGTCCTTCGTCCAGGACAACATAGCGCCAGACAAAAGCGTGCTTGAACCATGCCTGCTCCGCCTGAAACGTGTCGTAGGTCGTCACGATGATTTTGAACGAGGTGGAGTCTTGGTCGTTAGTAGATAGTTTGGACACCTTGCGGCCAGCCTTGCGTGAGGCCTTCCGATCCCTGGCGCGAGTGGTTTCGTGTCCTTTCATGTCTTCCATCCCGACCGCAACCCTCTTGAGACGCTGTCGCTCGCTCGTAGCACCGTGGAAGCGCATAACTCTCAATCCTGGCACCCACCGCTGAGCCTCGGTGACCCATGAGTTGAGTACACTGAGAGGGCATATGACGAGATAGGGGCGAAGCTCTTCGGAGCTTAAACCATTCTTCTGGTCGAGCTCTTCGAGGTACTGGAAGAGCGACAGGGTCTGTAGAGTCTTTCCAAGGCCCATCTCGTCGCCTAGAATACCAGAGAAACCGTTGTTGTATAGATGTACGAGGTAGGAAAGGCCCGAGAGTTGGTAAGGCTTCATGACGGCTGTGACACCCGCTGGCTGCTCGCTAAGCTCCTCGTATTCAACAATTGGCTTCGCATTGTGATGGGCCACGAGCTTGGAGACGTGGTTGTGAGGCGGCAGTAGCGGTAGGAAGTAGTCCTTGTTAGCGACGAGGAAATTGTTCGCCTTTGTCTTTGACTTGTGGGCAATGTCGTCGCGAAGACGGGTTCGCGCAGTGTCGAGTTTCCGTAATGGCGTCCGTCCCTTGCGCGTGGGCGACGGAGTAGGCACAGTGTCGGACTCGAGGATGGTGCTCGTCCTGTCGCGCGTGCTCCGCCTCAGCGAACCAGTGCTTTCGCGCTCCTTCTTGCGCTTCTCCATTTTCAGCTCCTGTGTGTATGCCTCAATCCTGGAACTCGACTTGCGTGCCGGGCGGGCAGACAGTGCAAGCTCGTCTTCACTGATGGCCCCTTCTTCTTCTCTCGTCCGCTTGGAGCGCCTAGCGCGAGAGCCTTTAGGCACAGAGATAGTCGTCGTCGTCGGTTCGTTCTCGGGGCTCGATATGGAGGCAGAGTGCTCGTCACAGTCGGCTGTCGAGTCTTCAGCAAGGCCGTAATCTAGGCGTGGCAGTGAGTGCCGCTCGGATTTGTTTTCACCGTCACGAGAGACAATGGGATCTTCGCGCTTAGACTCCTGGGAAGAGACGCGCCGTGTCTTAGTCGCAGCCTCTGCTGAGCTTTGTGAAGCGAACATAGCCAGGAGGTTTTGCAACACTCCACCACGCTTCTTGGGTGTGATGGGGATCGGAGACGCTGGTGTTATACGCGGACGTTCTGCCATGGCGCCGTTTGCTGCGGATTTCGAAACCTATGGCATCACGGAGTGAATTGGTACAGGTAAGATTGGAGCGGAGGGGAGCGCTGGTCTAGGTATGCGACTTTACGTAGGGCGCATTGCGCAGGATGCAGCCTGGAGCCTTGCGCGGGTGAAGTGACGGTGAACAAGGCGTCAAGCGGTATTAAGCATCTTCATAGGAATATATCTACAAGAGAACCAGCAGGTCACGGTGAGGTGAGGTGAAGAATCGAACTCTTTACGGAATTTGAGATAGCCTGGCGGCGACATCGCGTACCGCGAAATCGCGAAATCCGCGTCGCGGAGACAAGGCCTGCTAAACGCCGACACACGCAGCATTCATTCTACGTCTACTTCGTACCAGCCCTCGCCCACCAGCGCAGCACACGCGCGCTGCCACAGAGCGCCATGGCACAGCAACCACTAACAAGCTTCTGGCCGCTCTTTGGGGGCAAGTCGGACGGCCAGGACGTGGTCAACCTCAAAGGCCGAGTGCTAAGGAATGGACCGAGTCAGGAGCAGCTCGACGACAAACCCAACGACCAAGGACAATGCGACTACTACCGCCTGATCAAAAAGGACGATCCTAAACACCTCGATTGGCGGAAGAAGCTGGGTGGCATGCTCCTGCGCGAAATCGGTGGCAAGCAGCACGAAGGTGAGCAAGGTGCGCGGCGCGTTCGCAACACGGCGCTGATGTGAAGCAGACAAATGGCAGCAATGCATCTTGTGGGAATTGCCCGAGAACTACGTCCTCTATGAGCACATCAAGACCAAAGCGGACGGCCAGGTCAAGACGGTCAAGAATCACTCGGGCGGCGGCCACGACAGACAAGATGCGTACTTGTATGGATACCCCAAAGGACCTAAGAAGCGCTTTCGGAGCCCAATCGAGTTCTTCCCACATCTCTTGTGGCTATACACCGACGAAACCAGCGATTACAACAATTGCACCTGCAAGATGTGCTCCCCTCAGCAGCCCGAGCCGGAGCGGCCAGCTGTCAGGGTCGAATTCAAGCCGGAGCTTTCTACGACCATCAAGCGCGAGCCCACGCCGAGCACACCTGTCCCAGGTTATGCCGTAGTAGGCCGTAACCCTGTCGTACAGATACCTGTCCGAAGACCTTCCTCAGGCCCGCCTGCGCAGAGCCCTAGCACAAAATCTGCCACTCCTGTGCCTGCACCAGTTCCAACGCCCAGTGCGCCGCCGATTAGAGCACCCCCAGCCCTTCAATCTACGACACTTCCGCAGCCTCGATCGTTGGAACAACAAGCCGATCTCTCCTACAACAAATATCTCTGCCGAACAGGAGAGGTGGTGTGGTTCTTCCGCCCAAAGACAGCAGCCTGGGGATTGGGGCTTGTCGTTCGAAGGTGGGCGACAAGAGGAAGCCCCGCAGACAGGTCATATTTGATTCAGCCTTTGTCGCATCCATTCGAACTGCCTCCCCAAGAGCTCGTCACCACGGATCAACATCTAAAACCTTGGCTTGCGTGGTCTGCGCCTAATTGCACTTTTCCTTACCTCCAGCAGCACCCACAGCTCACTTACGCCCAAGTAGACTGGGCCGGACTGGAATCGGGGCGGTACGGTGAAGGTATTGCCTCTGTTGATGCGTCCATTATGGCAGCGAAAGCCATCGACGGCACTTACACCCTTTTCGAGCGCCTCAAGACAACGGCAGAATCAGGCGTCGAATTACGGCACTACAATGGTATATTCCTTGGTGCTGAGAAGATCTGGAGAGGCGAACCTGTCCGTCTCCGTATAGGGAGCAGTGGAAGTGACTTGATGGTCATAACCGACATAGTGGAGCGCGTTTTTAGCAACGCCCCCCAGAAGCAGCTCAGCACGCAACCTGTTTCGCAGGTCGTTGTAGTCGGTGACATATACAGCTATGCCACCTTGGATGCCCCTGACCCTTCTAGTCCCCCGAAACCTCCGCAGCAAAACAATAACATCCCAACACGCATGGTTCACGACATGGCATGGCGTAACCGCATGCTCGTACCTACGACCCGTACGTTGGCCTGGTGGAAGCTCATTGCCTCTGGCTCCAAGCTGGAGATCTCGGATATCAAGGGGCGGTGGTACGAGACCAGTCTTGTTTTCCAAGAACCCTTTACCAAAGCTGTCAAAAACAACGAAGGCGGAAATGGCATATGGATGAACTCACGAGGCGATGCAACAGGCTTGGGCAAGAACGCTGGTGCACCAAGACCAAACCGAACCGCTGCTTTTGGACCATCCATACCCGAGGGCACGCAGCTTATTGATGGCCTAGACCCGCCAAATCAGCCTGTCGGAGAACAGCAACAACAACAACCACAACAACCACAGGACATGCAGGGCTTAGACATGGGCATAGGCTCCGAGCATGCTACATTTTCCCTCGACGATTTCATGAACGTCGACCATCTAGGCGAGGATGCAGGCATGGACTTTCCCTTTTGAACTGTGAGCATTCAAGCATTGCCAGGCGCAAATGGACGGGTTTTGAACTTCGCAAATAGCATTTGCATGGACAGGTCTTCGTACTACTACAGAAAGGAGATACCCAAAGAGCTTTTATAATATTAAACAATTAAAAAACATTCTCGTAATAATAACATGTCCACTCTTGAAGAAGCCAGCCCTACATTGAACATTGAAGGCAGATATCCAGGCGTCTTGGCAATCAATGACGTCACATCTCCATCTCAAACCACAAGCACCAAAACACTACAACTCGACCGATTCCCACGACTTCCCGTAACCTCGCACCACGACCGACTCAGAATGCTTCGCCCTATAACCCTACGTATACCTCTGCGAACTCCGTGTTCAAAACGCGCCTTCTCCCTCCTCAATCCAACCCACCGCTCCCATACAAACCGCATCTTCGACCCCGTCCGTCAACCCAACGACCTCCACACCCTCACCCTTCTCAACGCCGCGGACAACCGCTCTCTCATCACTTTATGGAGCGCATCGTGGTGCCAGACTTGTCAGACTGTTAAACCGCTTATTCGGCAGTTGATTGAAGAGGAGAAGATTGGTGAGAGGGAGGGGGGTTTAGGGTTTGTGGAGGTGTTGTTGGATTCAACGCTCATTGGAGATTTGGGGGTGCAATTTAGGGTATGTGTGTTTTCAGTCGATTCGTGTGGGGTTGGAATTTGATTAGGGCGTGAAGACTAATGCCGTTTTGGCAGATATCGAGTATGCCCACGCTCCTTGCTTTTAGTCGGCAGGAAGCGCAGTTTGATACTCGACTCACGAAGCCGGAAGATATGCGGAATAAGGAATTTTTGAGGGAATGGCTTTTGACTGAGGCGCGGAGGGGAGGGCGCAAAGGTGGTGGTGGGGGGAGTTTGTTTGGTTGGTAGGCGTCCGATGTGTATTGTGACTGGCCTGACGATGGTCAGGTAATAATACCACCAATTCAAAAGGCACGCAGTGATAAGGTCAGGTTGTATGATAGGTTGTAAGTTGTGACAGGTAAGTCATGATCCTTGAGCGGGACAAGTGTATAGTTAACTAGGTAGGTTAGCGATTGATGAAACGCCCAGCACCATAAAACCGCCGGTATTCTGATGTTGCTCGATTCTTTGGGGGTAAAGTCTGCGGTCTACATTTCGAAAGAGCTTGAGTTGACTGAATTGCATAGCGACTAGAGCTCAACAACAGCCCCACAACCACAATCGCCGATGTTCAATGCAGATATAAGTGCCGTCCGGCCGAGCGCGAGGACTCAAAAGACACTACAAAATGCGCGGCCAAATCACTATATGAAAAAGTCGCGTTGCGTGCCTTATGACTAGAAAAGCGCAATGTATGTTTAAAGCTATGATAAATAGAACTTCGCGACGAATGTACGATGTGCACGAAGGAGTTGGAGCAGGGAATTTAAGGCCAAGGGAGTTTAGGGAACCACAATAAGTTATCAGAGCACTTGAGTGACTCATATATGTGGTCGTGGTTGCTTACAGCTAAAGAAGAACCTCGGATACCTCTCAATACCATGAAAACTTCCCAGTAGCATCAACTTCACCTAAACAGACATTTTCCTTTGTGACCCTTGCTCAAATAGCAGTTACCCGGAACCCCTTCACCGCAGATGGTACTCCCTCTGTCTAATTATCACTGGTTATTATATGCTCGGAAACTAACATGGGAACTATCATACGACTTGAACAAACACTATCGGTAGGAGGGCACCGTGAGCCACACCAGCATGTATTGTGCTCCATCACCTGGCCTCATATGCTACGTCAGACTTTGCGGGGCTAATCGAACAGGCGGCAATGGAAGGCAGACCTGTTGAGGACTTTGATCATGAAGAGCCCATTCTAATTCGACATCTGAAACCAACGCGTTATAGGGATCAGTGTTGCTAACTGATCTCGAAGAAAGTCGATAACGGGTTCGAGCTTCGAAATGACGGGTGTTATGGAGGCATATATAGCACGCAAGTAGACATCGTCTTCGCTTGTATATAATACATACAAGACAGAAAAATAATCAAGCTAAGATAGAAATCGGCCAGTGATATATCAAATTTGAACGAGGGACCAATATATGACCAACACATAGCATTCAGCTGCCTCTAGGCGTGAGAAGGGCGCAGCCACAGTCAAGCCAAGATACAGTCTCTAGATACTTCCCAATGAGTTCGGACCACGTTTCAGGGTGAACTTAGTTTCGTATCCATATGTGGGAATCATGTAGCTGATCGCCTTCTCGTCTTTGAGGGTCACATATGGGTGTAGTACACAGCATGGCGTTGGGATTATCAACCCCTTCTGATACGGCATTATGTATGTTAGCTTCAAACGGACTTAAGCCTGCTGAATACTATATAGGCCTCCTAGATTAAGGTAGATATGTGATAGGAAGGAGTGGTGAGCTGCTGCGATAGGTAGAGAGCAACGTGGATGCGCGGCGGAGTCCACCATCGGAGCTTATCAATCTTATTCCGGGTGGAACTTGCAATACTTGGTTTCGATTCTACTGCGGGTCATATACAATAAAAGTACTTGAAGATAGTGAGCTGCTCCAGTCGTGTCTTGCATTACGTTTCGTCTGTCTTCAGTGCACTTGATAGATACCATTCACTACAGTCTTCAACTGCAGCAATCAGGCTGAAGTTGTTTGTAGCAGATATGCCTAACCCACTTTAACCTTGAGCATCCTGTTGTTCAGCTGTGAGTTGTGTTAATGTCTACTCTCTTATTTAATTGGTCAGCCTTGTGTTTCTTTTATAGGAGACAATTGGAACAGATTCTGAGTTCTAGTGAAGCGATGCCTTTGATTTGTATTCTACCAATTTTTTGATTTCAAGATAGCCAGATATATTTTTGTAAGGTAGAAGAGTACAACATAACTACTATATAAACAGTGCGATTACACGTCCAAATACAAGACTTCTGACCAGCGCGAAAAGGTACATCTAAAAGACCTGACAATGAGAAAATCAACACAAAAAGCCGTATCAAAACGCGTCTAAAAAGGAAAGTCTGTCAGGTCCACGTGGTTGAAGCGCGTCACGCATCTGAACGTCTCCGTCGGCCTCGGCGTGGACTTCGTAGCCAGCCAGGAAATGAAGGGCGTCCGCTTCCCTTTTCCTTGGTTTTGGGCGGTATCGGCTGGCATGACTGCCGAGGAAGTCGATATCTGGCTCGTCGTAACTCCTATTCAAGGGCGGAGGGTCACCCATCAAGTAAGCGATGTCACTATTATAGACGTCTTCATCCTCGTCCTCGTCGCTATCTTCAAAGTAGCCCATGCCCTCGTCTTCTTCTTCATCTACATCTTCCTCCTCCTCCTCCTCCTCCTCCTCCTCCTCCTCCTCCTCATCTTCACTGTCTTCAAGTTGGAGGTTGTTGGAATAATTGTACCCCACGGTTGTTTCCGGAACTGTTTCGAGCACAACATCTTCATCACGAATCGCTTCGATCCTCTCGCGCAGAGCGTTTTCGTTCTGCCATAACTTCGTAGTGGGAAACTTCCGATCGGCCAAAACGTTCTCGATACTTTCGTTGGCGACGAGGTGTCGGCCTTGAAGCCAGGCCACCAGCGTCCTCCAGTCTAGGAGCCCAACGCAGGCGGCTCGTGCGAGGGTGTAGAACTCCTCGTAAATTTCGTCGCTGAAGTGACGAATTAACGCAGGCCTTAGTCCCATTGCGAGAATCCACGCGTTTATCACGACATGAGCTCCACATTGCCAACCTCCTGCCTGCTGCTGCGTAACCTGAATAGATTCGAGCGTAGTCGTATTCACATGCCCGTCTCTATTACGATGTACTGACCACTGGAGGCGCTCCATAGCGCTTGTGACTGCACGCGCCAAACGCTCGTAGGAATCTTCGAATATGTGACAGCTACTGTCGCATAAAATTACTGCAAATTGCGGTGGAACAACAGTCGTCTCTTCTTGCACGACCGCGAGGAGATGATGACCAGCCGCCCTTCCTCCCCTCCTAGCCGGTAGTCCTTTTTTACCTCGCCAGGTTTCGACTCGTTCAAGTAAACCCCCTTGCATGACGCTTAAGGGCAGGAGCCAACAGCGTCTGGGACGTGAAGCCACCCCGGTACCTCCAGCAATGGTCATTGCAATCTGGAGATCGGTGCTAGTGGCAAGGGAGAAACCGCCTGCAAATATAGTGTTAGGATTACGCCGGTGGTGGATTTGGCTCTGTAAGTCATCGATTGCTTCTACGACTGCAGCGATAGCAAGGTTAATTTCGGATGCCTCGAGCGGACGTCTCCATGCTCGTACATGGAAGGGCTCGACCGCAAGTGTGGTCCCAAGGAAATCAGGGGCGAAGAGGTTGGTGTAGAGTTTAATAGTTTCGTCGGACACCTGAGCCGGATTTGATATCAGAAGTAAGTCTCTTCCAGTGCGCCATTCCTCAAGATATCTTCTGCATGTCGCTATAAGTTGAGTACGAGTCTGTTGTTTGAAGTTTGGATTGGCGGCTGCGAGTTGATTTTTCAGCTCCGCACCTCTGATACTGCCCAGGGCGCCGTGCGCATTTCTAAGCTGAATTGAGTTGTGGCGTAAATTGAGCCTTCCGTGCCAAGCAAGTTCTCTGGCACAGATAATGCGATCATTCGCATTCCATCCATCTGAAGGGAAAGAATTTCGGTCATTGTGCCTCCTTCCTAGGGACAATGAACATCTGTTCGTGTTTACCAACTGCTGCAAATTTAGATCAGGGTGTTCGAAGAAATGAACCAGTTCTAGCTCCCGTATGTTTTCAACAATGTTTCCGAGATAGTCTTCACGTTCATTCCTCAGCTCCATCGTCTCAGTGAATTGGCGGTCAAGTGGGACATGGTCTTCGAGAACGAATCCCCGGCATCTGAGGAATGCATAGATCAGCCTCCAGTCTGCATGTTTAATGCGAGCAAGATGTACAACATCTTGCACTTCCTGGAAGAACTGATCGTTCCAGTCCAGACGAGCGTTAGGATTGGGTCGAAGCCCTAGAGCTAGAGTCCATGCGTTCAGAATGGTATAATATCCACATTCCCAGTCACTGCGCTGTTGAGACACGGGAATCCAGCTTGTATGAGTTGGTGCGTGGCTTTCCAAGTCAGCCTCGGCATAAACGTGCTCCCACCAGCGGCAGAGCCTGAGAAGTCTCCAAGCCCAGCGATGTATTGTTTGGCGATGTGTTGTATTGAAATTATAAGCTTTGGAATCTAGGACGGAGAAGGTAGGTTCCGCTTTTTCGTTGAGTTGGATCACAAGCAGTGCAAAATGATTGGCATGGTGAAGCGGCACGATCAACGGCCGGCCTGGTCGTATACTTGCAAGGGCCGTGTAGTCGGCATTGCCAGCACATCCCTGAACAGATACTTGATCAATGAATGCGAATCCCAGGTTAATATCCCCCTGAGATTGGGTAATAGCCAGCGTCACAGATGCGATAGCTAGTGAAACCTCCGTGTCATCCAACCAAGAACCATAGCCTTGAGTCGGATTTTCTGTTTCCCGGAAGTCGCGTAGATCTGCGGCAATTTTGTCGGTTTGTAATAGCTCATCAAGTCTTCGACGGAAGTCATCGCACGCATTGAAGTTCCGTGGTAGGTTGTGGTATAGGTTTCGGATCTCGCGTCTAGTCAGATCATTTTCGAACCTTCCTGAGCGCCTCAATGCGGGAATACGGATCTTTCTATCATCTGGTTCCAGGTCATCCCATTGAAAGGGCACATCATGCGGCACACCTAGGTCGGGGAAAAGGTGCTTGGTTGAGTTGATGCTATTGTCTGTTCCGGAAGAGGTAATCGACCTCTTCGCCATCTTTTCCAGGTGCGTCTTGTCATTTGAAGAGTGGACGGTTTTTGAGAACCTACGCGTTTGAACAGGCGGCGCTTCCGAGCTGACATAGCCAATGCAGCGCAAAAATGACCAGATGAGCTTCCAGTCCGCATCGCCCTGTAGGACGACCTGGACGAGTTGATTAACCTCGGAACTGAACGCTGCCCTGGGCTTAAAGCTATTGTTCAGGGGCAGACCGAGAAGTATACTCCACGCAGTCAGAATTACAAAGTATTCTGCTTGCAAAGATTCGAACTGTTGTGGTCCCAAGTGCCATCTCATGACCTCGGCAAGCGTGAAATCTGTCTCCCAGCTACTCAATACTGACGAATAGATTCCGGCGCGCTCTTCTCGATTCAAAGCCCATGGGGCAGAATCTACAGCATCGACGAGCACGCGATCGCCATCTGCCGTACGCTCAGGCTGGAGGATAACCAGGATGGTATGGTTTGCATGTCGAACTGGCATCAATGTAATGCGCTCTCCACGCCCAACATAACGGTCATTACCTGCATTGGCTATCCTTGAGACCGCAGAAATACCAAAGCCATCGCCACGAGGCTGCAACTCATTTATGGCGCGTAACACTGTCGCAATGCTCTCGAAGACTTGGGTCTGGTCGAGTCTAAGCTGTTGTCCTTGATCCCCAGACACAGTCTTTGAAAGCTTGGCGATGGTGTCATGGAAATACGCACAAGGATCGAAATCCTTGGGAAGTTCAATCGTATTAGTTGCCCTTGCTTTCGGTGACGTTTTAGGCGGCGGTGGTGTCTTAGGTCCTGGCGTCGTAGTCCTTGCATCCGAGAGGACCGGAGTAGTGTGGTTTGTAGAGTTGGAAAGACCATTCGGTCGAGTTGTGTGATCTAGGGAAGATGATGGTTGCGACGAAGCATCGTGTTGTCGCAAACTGAGACGCCCTCTGAGTTGCTCCGATGTGTCGGTAAAGTTCCAGGAGCCACTACTGATAAGGGCCTCGAGGCTTTCGAGCTCCTCATCGTCCAAATCATCCGATGCAAATATCTTTGAATGACTGATGCCCCCATCAAGGACTACTTCTATGGTAGAAGTGCCACGCCCAATATCTTCCTCGCCTGAGGCAGCCTGCGGGGTGCTGTCTTGATTTTTCTGTCGCTCAAGTGATAGTTGGAAAGGACGTACACGCTGGTCGAACAGGCGGTCCTGAGGCGGGAAGCCTTCATCAATATCGTTTTCCCTGTTGCCTCTGCCGTCATTGGGCCCATACCTTCCCGGCTTAACGAATCTAGTACACCTGAAGAAAGCAAGTAGCAGCTTCCAATCCAAGCGATCTTGAAGGGCCAAGTCGAAAAGTCGCTGGGCACGGGTAAAAAAGCTTGTGAACCCATGATCATTTGGTCTAAACGCCGAGTCAGGCTCGAGGCCCAAGGCGATAGCCCATCCGTTTAAGATTGTGTATATCACACTCTGCCCCCGTAAGTTATGTTGAGCACAAGGAACCCAATCAATAGGTTCATGCAAATGGGCTTCCATTTCCTGTTGTGTGTTGTAGATGTTCCGCCACCACCGTCCTTGAACTAATAATTGGCGCGCACGTCGAATGAATCGGTCCCGGTCAGTTCTTCTAGACCGCCATGTCATAGGGTCCAGAATACGAAGAGTTATACGACTATCTGCTTGGACTTGGACAACAAGCAAGACATGGTGATCATGGTGTTGTAGAGAAGCAAGCAGTGTCCTCCCAGGTCTGTATATGCTGTTGTCATGATGAAAACTGAATCCAGTGCTTTCTGGTTGTCGATCATCAATAGAGGCAATTACTCTAGAAATGAGATCTCCATATTGGCGGTGCTGTGGCTCCAATAAATGACGTCGGACATAATCACAGGCGTCCTCGATAGACCTCCCTTGATCCATCCATGTATCATCATACACTGCGCTTTTTACCGGTGCCGCTTGAATGCCTGGACTTGGAGCTTGAGTACCGACCCGCACTGATATAGTGACACCAGATTCAGTGTTCTCCTCTGGCACCTGTTGACCTTCAATTGGAGCTTCAGACCCAGACTGCGCCGGTTTGGTGGCCCTATCTTGAGTAATTTTCTCCGGCGCCAGTTGACTTTCTTGATTCGGAGCCTGGGGACCAGACTGTACTGGAATGGTGACACCAGCTTGAGTGCTTTTCCCCGACTTCTTTGGAGCCTTTGGAGCCTTCGGAGCCTTCGGGGCCTTCGGGGCCTTCGGGGCCTTCGGGGCCTTTGGAGGCTGTGGAAGCTCTGGAGACGCTGGAGCCCTTGGAATCCTTGGAGATCTCCGTACCTCAGGTGGTGGAATTCCAATGGGTATCCAAGTAACAGTCGTATTCTCCAAAGCTACGTCACCATTGGTATCTCGATTCTCTAGCTCTTCCGCTGACGGCCTAACCTTAGCACCAGAAGCAATTGGTGCTTTAAAGTCCAAATCTTCGATGCGGCGGAAAAAGAATAGCGGTTGAGATAAGAGTTCGATGACCGTGTATCTAGTGAAGGGACCGATGATGAACGGTTGGGTGGAGGCAGCTTCACTACTCTCCCCGTTGGCATCATCTTCGGGCGGGCGGTCGTTGACATAGGTATGTCCGTTCACGGTGACGTTTGTCCCAGGTGGAAGTTCAATAAAGTATCCGTGGTGTAGCGTCGATGACTCTCGTTCTGCACCTGCATCTGCATCTGCATCCGCCTCTACAGGTGGGAGTGGGGGCGGTGACCTTCGAAGAAAGTTCAAGTGAGCAGATACATCATGGTCTGCATCGCGTATGGTACTTTAATGTCGAGATCAGTATGTAGCCAATTCATAGTCTAAGTGGATATACACTCACACTTGTAGTCGGTAATCTTGTGTTAGAGCCAGCACAGGATGATCATCAGACCTAGATGCGACAACGGCAAGGTCATCATTGTAATTCCTGAATGCTTGCTCGAAAGCGTTGTTAACATATGGTCCTGCAACACGGGTTGACGCCCCTCTCCTTGGCGGCAAATCTGCCTTGATCACTTCGAAGAAGTCAAGCACCGCCTGACTAGTCTGACTCTCGTTGCTTCCAGGTGGAACGTATGGTTTCGCCGTGGCCGCTTTGTATAGCGGCGTGCGTACGCGCGGGAATCCAAAGGATGATTCTCCTGTTGTAAGTTGATCCCAGTTGCGATTGTAGAGAATGGGCGCAAATCGTGTTATAGCGTTGCTCGTGTCCGGCGCGTTGTCTCTAGCAGTCGCAGTCCCGGGCAAGCCCCAACGGACCTCGTCCCTACCAGACGCTGGTTGCACTTTGCCTGTAGTAGCCTTCTTTCTCGGCTTTTTGGAACCTTGATCCCCATCGCCAGTCGCTTTGCGCTTAGGGGGCATGATCTAAATATCGGAAAGGCAGGATTTTGAACAAGAATATGACACGGAAATAAGATAGAGATCAATTGAAAGATCAGCGAGATGTTGCGTTGGGCGTATATTTGACTTCTTCGCAACAAATGCTCTTTGTCTGCGAAGTATAATGAAGACGCCGCATTTGTCACAACAATGCGAAAGGGATCAAACAAACAAAAAGTGGCTGAACTAATCTATTGAACGCCAGTTGATGCGGATCGTCTATCATGATACTCATATGATGAACAAAGAGAAAAAAGAAATCATGAAAGTGTTGGTACAAGTCAGGCTCGGTAGACTAAAGGTAAAATGATAGGGTGGGTCAACCCTGGTGCAGTGCGAATCTGTCTGCCCATAGCTCCCTTTGTTGAAATGGTCCTCTAGGGTTCTTTGTTGAAGTGATCGAGCCAGGGAAGATGCGCAGCTCGAGCGCGAAGACGCTTGGCGGGTCGCAACGTATTTGTGTCAAAGCTACCTAGGTAGTACGATTGTGCGCGGCGTGCCATGCAACTCTTTCTGAGTCGCGTCACAACTGGTTGCTTTCTTCCACTTGCAAGTATTGTAGCCTCTTTCGTCACAGGCTAATGCTATATGAGGAACCTCCTCGGCTGTATGGCTCATATCGCGGTATGTTGGTTCGAGTATTTGTCCATCACGTTGAAGACTATGTGGTTGTTCACGTAACAGTCCTGATCCGAAGTACGACACCCAAGGTCGGTTTCCAGCTCTGGTCCGACGTCTGATCGCATCGTTCGGATGATATTAGCGGCATCGACGCAAGATGAGGTGCTGTAGTAAGTTGCGGCAGGATCTGCGACGTAGTTGTAGTCGCTTGGGTAGGTCCAAGTGTTGTGGTAGTGTTGTTCATATGGGTAATTGTACCGGACATCCTCGACCTTGATTTCAGCAGCCGACGGGGTCATCGGCGCAGTATAGTAGGGTGTAGAGTACGCTGGTGGTGGTGGTGGCGTACCCATACTTGACACCATCGAGCTAGGGCTGGGAGAGTCACAACAGCTTAATGCCGTTGGGCGAGGTGCCGGAATGGTAATCGGTGGGACTGACGGCAAGTGTCGGGGCATGGAAGCCGCCCTCGCGTGAGAGGGCGTCGGCGAGCTTGTAGATGATGCCAGGTTACAGGTGATCCTCCGTTCGAGCATGGCATTGAGCGTAGGTGCCGATGAAATCTTATCATATGATCTGTCGGGTGGCCCGCCCAAGGCGATAATAACCTCTGGCTCAGACACACCTCGCTCATGTAGGAGCGCTCGGAGCCTGCGGTTCTCATCGAGAACCTTTCTGGCCGCAGTCTGAATTTCTGACGAAGCTTCGATGCCGACCTGTTCGCAGCTTCGTAGTTTGGTTTCCAGCTCATGCAGATATTCCTTACGTCGAGCACGCGAACGCCCTGGTAGACGAGCAATGTCAGTATTTACTCGATCCAAGGGAGTGGAGTTTAGAGCTAGTCGAGGTCGGCTAAGCGAGTGATCGTTCTTCAATACCGTGCATTCGCTCCAGTAGCGTTGACGGACACCATCGTTGAATGAATGCCAGGTCTTTCGCTGAACTGTAAGGCCGGGAAACGACACCAACACGGCTGGTGAGAAAAGAAAAAGGCTTACGCTGGTTGTCACGAATCCGAGCAAGATTCTGTGCTTTTTGCTACGAGCCGTTAGCAAAAGCCTTGTAGTTGAGGGGTGCAAGCGGCCCGTACCGAATTCCTGAGGTCACTCATGATGATGTTTGACGCGAAGCAGCTGTGGTGAACAAGAGTTGATGATGGGAGATCTTGATAGGCCTGAATTTAGTTGCTTGATCATACTGGGGAGGATATGTACAAGTCGATGGCAACGGGTAGATCTTAAAGTAGAAGGTAGCCAGCTCGAGAAAGCCGCCAGTACCCTCCCGGACTAAGGATGGTGGAAGGGAATCCTGGCAAGTCAATGTAGGGGTAGCCAGAGTACGCCTCGCTGTCTAGCTGCAGCCGTGGAGGTCTGAGCGGGCAGGCCCGGGGCGGCCAGGATGATAGACGACTTTTAGTGATGATGAAATTTTCGGCTTGCATCGCTGCAGAGTTGAGCTAGTGTAACGTTACACTGTAAACGGATAAGCCGCCGCTAGCGCGCTGTTCTACCTTGGTAGCGTGGCACGTTCCCGTCTCAGCTCAACTCTCGGAAATTGGAAGTCTGGAGGGTTTTCAGCTGCTTTGCAACAACACGTTGCCTGTTAGCACCAGCTGCCATCGCCTCTACTGGACCTACGTCCATCGACTTTCAATTCAACATCACGTCCACGAGGCGCAAACACCACGCAACTCGCTGACATGGCTGTTCGCCAACGCATAACCGCTCCGTACACTGGAACCATCGATCCCACATACAGACTCGTAACGTCCTGGATACTCCCACCTGGTGTTTTTTTTGGCTTTCGAGCCTTGCTTTCCCTCTATGCTTTTGCGACTCTGTTCACCGTCTTTGGCTGGAATGGCAGCCATGGCAGGTCGGAAGAATCGCGACATTCCTTTTCTTACTTTACGCATTTGACGTATTGGGGTCTTGCCTTCTACTATGCGTTCAGTGCCATACATACAGGCAGCTATTGGCTCACCGGAACTCCCTTCCTAGCTCGTTGGCCGAAAGCGCTCCAGATCGCCCACAGCATGTTTTACTCAACTATTGTGATCTATCCTTGGATCGTTACTGGTAGGTTAGATCTCTTTATATTCGTGTGGAGCTGGGATACCGTTGGTAGAAGACTGAAGGGTTAACGCGCCTTGAGTGTCAAGTCGTTTCGTGAATTAGCCATTCTGCACCTAGATGATGATACTGACACATACAGCTGTCTATTGGGGTCTCCTTGCACCGGGTCGCTTTCCTTCCGCATTTTATCTCTGGTCAAATACTTCCCAGCATGCTCTCAACTCGCTCTATGCGTTCTTCGAGATCTTCTTTCCCCGCACTGAGCCGTTGCCTTGGCTTGACCTCGTCCCAACTGTTATATTACTGGCTCTGTATCTTGGACTAGCCTACCTTACGCATGCAACCGAGGGATTCTACGTTTACGGCTTCCTGGACCTACAGGAGCACTCATCTGGCGTTGTTGCTGCTTACATCATCGGCATCTTGGTAGCTGCCATCGTTATCTTCCTGATTGTTAGATATCTCATCATGTTGCGTGTGTGGGTTACGGAGAAGAAGATGGGCAAGACTGGCAAATTCTCGAGTCGTGGAAAGCTGGAGGAAACTGGAAAGACCATCCCGCTACACCATGTCAGCCAGAAGTAGCTAGCCGTTGACGCTCCTTGAATCGATCCTTCTTGGAGGTATTGGTCGTATTGTTTTCGTTACGCCAAACACCCTTCAATGTTACGCGGAACTAGACCTCCACCCATAATCCTCTATTCCGTTAACTCTCTTCCTTCGCGTCATACCCCTGCTTGCTTTTTCAAGAGACATCGATCGCACGGCTGAAAGCTCTGACCCTCTTGGCTTCGCAAGCCGCTATTTTCACAGGCCACTTGACCCCTCGCGGCACATCGGTTTAGCCCATGTCATAGTTAGGCACGCTCCTGAATGTTTGCTTCTTTCTGTTCATCACATTTAACGGCTCGCATCTTGTTGTGACCCTACTCTGTTGCTACCGCCGAGCGGCGACTGGGCTCGGACCATCGAGGCTGATTGCGGTGTTATGGAGCAAGCCGAGATTCTCATCAATCTGGTCGGCTCAGGCTCAACATCGAAAATCCGTTCTACCTCACGTACAACACTTTCGAAATTGGCTGATGAACCAGTTCCTCAGTGTACCGCACAATCCGCCGGGCTGGAGCTAGTGTTCTCCTTGGAGACGTGCTCTGTCTACATGGAACCATTGGGCCCGCTGTTAGCCATATTCAGCCATTGCCAATCGGAAGGAAGAGGCTATGTGTGCCTCACTGCAGCTCTAGTATTGATCACACGCAAGATCACCTCAAACTGATGCGACTGCAATGCATTACGGGGGTGCTGTGATGTTGGATTACTCAAGTGAGAAAAGGAGAACCAATCGATATTACACGTGAGAAGTGACCAGCCAATGGATAATTACACGTGAGATCAGGAATATGCCAAGTACTTTGTACCCAACATGAACTGGGCAGTCGCAGCCATCAGTACATAACGCGACTGTAACTGGTAAGGTGATCGAACGCCAAAGCGAGCTTCTAGAAGCAGGCTACTGCTTGCTAAACAGCGCCCATGGATTGCACACGACACCCTTTTGCAGTTGCAAAATTATGATTGGACTACTGCTCGCATGTGCGCAAATTTTCTTCTTCACGAGACCTTCATGAAATCATCTCGCTGAGTTTTCAAGTTGGTCAGGGATATTTACCAGGAGAGTTGCATAGGGCTGAGGCAAATTTTGGCACTCTCTGACGACCCAGATGGTGCCTGGCATGACATTTGCCACATATGATCGCCTCTTTCGTCCTGTCTGGGGAAGGTCTTTGCGGTTAGTCACCGCTCGAATTCACGATTGCCCCCCCCTCTCATAAGTGGGGATGACTTGGCCTATCTGCTTTATCGCTAGTAATGATCTCTGGAGTCGTTGGGCGCCATCGGCTGCGAGCGGGTGTCCACTTAGGAAGTAACACCGTACACCATCCCGTTCCTCTGCTCACAAGGGTCTAGAGTGGGGCGGCCTTCAACAACGCGATGCCCCTACCCACCTCCACATCTGCTTGATAGAAATGATCTACCAATGGCTCGGATGCCGTTTCCTGAGCCTCATTTACCTGGCGATCATTGATCGCTGTGCTTAAGATCCTGGGTTCTACATCAGATATTGCAATGCAACATCACCCATGTGATTTGTACAAGGATCAGCGATCCTTCACTCATCGCGATCTTCTCAAAGTCACTATGTTTATAGGCGCCGAAATCTCCGGAAATATATGGAATACATCCTTAGCTGGGCCAATAGTGTATTCTCCACAACAAACTTAGAACAGTCCCGCTAAACGGTGCCTCTCCGGTGTCTTCGGGGCCGGCCGGGCTTCCTTCCATACCGTAGAAGTTCTGCGATGAAGCCGCACAGACGGTCAATGAATTATGAGATCCCCCAATTTACCGGGACGGGACACGCTTAGGTCCCTCAAAGTCCACGCTTCCGAAGATTGTATGAAACCTTAGGACCCGTCTTTTCGCGGAGTATCGCTTGCGCCGTTCCTTTTTTTCACATTGCTAGGCAGAAAGGGGACCTGCGGCAATTTGCTCGTGGGACTGTGCGGCACTCTAGTGATGGCTTGCAGTAGTTTCGTCTAATCTGTGAGTTTCGAAAGATCTGGGATGGCAGGTGGATGAGACGTCAAGCAGCAATTGATATCAGTGAAGACGTGTTGAGACACTGATGGCGGTCAAGGTCGTTTTGGCCATGAGAGCGCAACTGACATGTTGTTTTCCTAAGAACCTCCTCAATAGTACCCTAAGTCCGCGAGTCAATCACATGGCTCAACATTTGCTCATCCGTTGCAACCGCACACTAGTTCTAACCCCGCGTTTAGCTAGTTAGTTTCGAGAGGATCCAACCCCTAGTATAGTGGCACCACTTTTTAGCCCGTCGCCTTTCCTCCGTCAAGCAAAGCTATCCCACTCCATCAAAATATTTAGCTAGTTTCAGAATCCGAGCAGCATGTGAACGCCCATGAGATGTGGAATGCATCGGAAGCGCCGATGATGACAGTAAGGATAGGATGATTATCTCTAACACCGTAGATCTCCCCATGACGGCGGGTTCAGGGACTCTCATTATTCGTCTCAGCCTCATATTTTCGGCAATACGCATGACAAAACACGTTGCAACTGTTGCATTGCCATGGCGGGAACTGCTCGAGCCATCCAACAGAAGTGCAAACACCCGCAGGCCCTGCGCAGCGTTTACGCAAACTGCGCAATATGACGTTGCGCTCGGGTTGGAAGTGGGCTCGTTCCTTTACCACTCCTGGGTCCTGCAGTAAGGTTGCATCTGCGTGTGCGCTAGTGACTGTCATTTCTGAAAAGGCCGCATGGGGGACGTCTCAATGCGTGGGGGCTGATGATGGTCAAATGATGCAGTAAACGGTTCGGACAGCAAAGCATGGAAAACACAGTCGACGCTTGGTCCATCCACGTGAGACTGGCCACACACCAATATCATCTTACTATCGATCTGGTTCGAATACCAATACCTAAGTCTATCGGTCCATCTTTTAGTGAATGGTTGGGACAGAAACGGCTGGTAGAAGCCCAAAAGAGCGTTGCGACATATCTCTATCGTCTCAAGCAATGACCCACAATTTGCCAATCAAGACTGAACCACAAAATCTTGGATATGTTCCTGATCGCATCCTCGGTCAAAGTATGTAGATTTAGCTTTGGAAATTCGCGCCCGTGGAAGCAGAAGAAACCTTCTAGAAGCATGACTTACCGAGGTCCAGCCATTGGTTCACATGCGCTTTTCTCCCACACCAGCCATCACAAGGTAACTCGTATTCGCGAACCGTCAAACTACACCAAAACTACCGCATTACGGAGGGATATTCGGGTTCACAAGCAAAGATGATAGAAGTCATCTACATTGTTCGGCATGCAGTACGTATCAAGTCAAACATCCGACTCCCCACCGCCTCTGCACAGTCGCCTCCTCCACACACTATTCATGGAACCAATTCCGCGTCGGGCAGCCACTCTACAGGCCTCCGTTCCTGCATCACAGTCTTGCTAGTTTAGACACAGCCCGCGCGTATTATATTTGTGTTCTCAAACTTCACGAGCTCCACATTTCCCCTTAGAATGACATTCTCTCTAACGGCGCGGCGCGACTTCTAGTTTCGCGCCAACTGGTCGGTGGATCCTCAGACTGGCACGTACACGGCATCGCTGATCAAGACGCCGACTGGGATCCCCACGGATCCGCCGTTGACGTCTAAAGGGGTTGAGCAGGCGAAGGAGCTCGCCGAACACCTATGCAAGCTTGAGCCCCCGATTGACAGGGTTTATTCGAGTCCTTTCTATCGATGCCTACAAACCCTAAAGCCTACGACGGATCGACTGTTCCGGGACGGCAGAGCTGATGGGAAGATTAGAATCGATCGAGGAATTGGGTATGTTGATTGACATTTGATGCCAAAATGTCGACAAACATATACGAGAAATCAACGCTGAGAACGACGACTAACTTTTGATGTAGAGAGTTCTTCGGACGCGCCAGCTGGGAGCACCCAACACCACCGACGGTTCAGATCTTGTCTCCCCACTTTGATTACCTGGACGACGAATATGTCTCCGTACACGTGCCAGCATCCAAGGGCGAGATGATAGTAGAGCTTCACGATCGTGTGAGAAAGGCTTTAGATCACATCATCACTACTCTCGATAACGACTCTCAGCAGCCAAAGACAGTACTATTGTGTAGTCATGCCGCTACAATGATCGCAGCTGGTCGGGTGTTGACCGGCCAGATTCCAGAAGATCTAGACGAAGATGACTTCCAGTGCTTCACAGCTGGACTATCGAAATTCGTACGGAGGACTGCAGATCCAGAGAAGGGTGCCGCTTGCAACTGGGACTGCATATTAAACTCTGATACCTCGTATCTTTCAGGAGGAGCAGAAAGAGGCTGGTAAGTGAACAACTCTCTAGCCATTTGTCAATTTGCTTTCATCCACGACGAGTACTCCACGATGATTACTCCAAGACGATTACTCTACGACTATCAGCATTTGAACAATGCTAACTATTCGCGACGTTAGGCACTTCAACGGCGAGGAGAGCTTCGTCTCCTTCGTAGAGAATCCAGTGGACGACAAGGAAACCCCAAAGCTGTGAAAGAGCAAGCCAACGAAACACACACACAGAAAGGAAAAGCGTAGAGAGAAAATATGGTGATCGTCCGGCATCGTCGCGGAAAGGCTGTCAGACATGTATAAGAGCACTAGGAGCTTGCATCATAGATCATCAAGATACGTTTCACACATAACAGACCTCATCTTGCAAAAGTTATTCCTTTAACCACCCCCCACCCCCCATCTTATATCAGCATACCCAACGTCCAAATAAGCTCATCGCAATATCCCCAGCATACCATGCGCAAAACGTGCCCAGCCATCGTCCCAGTACCAGGACCCCAAAAAGAAACGCCCCGCAATCCCTACCCATAAACGCGATCTGTTCTCCCGAGTCCCAGGTCCCCGCTCCACAAGCTCCACACCAGATCCAGCTCGCGTTGATGATTCCGACGCCCCAGCCCATGGTTGAGGGAGCCGCGCGCACAAAATTGTGTGTGGGTGGGCACGTGGCATGTCTTTTTTCCCCAAACCCAGATGTGAGTTCGCCGCGCGGTTGCGCTGGTGTGGGATCGCCTGCCGGGTTGCGGGTTGCGGTACGGTACGGCCTGGTCTCGGTAGCGGGGCGATGAAGCCGACGCGACGCGAAGTCGATGCTGGGACGATTATTAAAGCGCCGGGGTCGGCTGGTGAAAATCCGGGGAAGAGGAGTTTGGATGAGTAGATATCCTCCGTGGTAGTGGTGACGAAGAAGGGAAGGGAGAAGGAAAAGAACTGGACGAGATGGATATGCGCCATCTTTTACGTCGCTGTGCCTTGGAGTCTGGAGTCGTGCTTCCACCTCTCAGTATCACCGCGAAGGAATCTGGAGTCCAGGGAGGAATTTCTCCATTACCGTATGGAATGGATGGACTCCACGATTCTTCTCCTTTTCTCGTCGTCCTTTGCTACAATGCTACACTAGCAAATCTACCACCACAGATCCTACGCCCTCATACAACAGTAAGCTAATGGCAAATTGTCGCATCGCATCAACATGACCTGTAAATCATCTCCATTAAACGATAGTGATGATGCAGATCCAATGATGGTGGTGAGTGATTAAGATGGTATTGAGGTCTAGTTAGAAAGTCTAGTAGCTGTGAAGCCTCTCCATGCGTAAACAGGTGCACCTTGGAGCCATCAAGCCTACAACGGCACATTCTCCATCATTTGCATCGTGCCTTCCCTTGCCACGGTGATGATGACATCACCCAGCGTCTTTGTCACGAAACCCGCTTCCGAATACCTGAAGTAGTAATCCCACTTCCTCTTGAACACCTCTGCACCTTCATCATCCATGCCCTCACTACTCTTCTCCTTGATGAGTTGTGGCTTGATCTTCCCTTCCCAGTTATCCAAAAAATCTTCCCTCCATAATCGCAGCGCTTTCGGGTAGTGTGGTCCAATATTCTCGATACTGTCGACGATGAGCGAGCCACTGGATGCGCTGTGTATTGAGCCAACAAGCTCTGAGACAGCAGGTAGATGACCGCCAGGGAAAATATAGCGGCGGATGAAGTCGTCGGATTTGGCGTAGGCTTCGTATCGCGCGTCTGGCATCGTGATGCATTGGAAGCATGCTATGCCACCTTCCTTTTTCAACAGCTTGTCTACACACTTGAAGTATGTTCCCAGATATTCTTTGCCGACGGCTTCCAACATCTCAATCGAGACAATCTTGTCAAAAGCTCCTGATTCGGGGACTTCGAGGTTTCGGTAATCGCATAGGAGCACAGTGATACTGTCTGACATGCCCGCTTCGCGTATTCGCTCCTCTGCTAGCTCCTTTTGCTCAATCGAAAGAGTCAATGATGTTACTCTGCAGCCCGTCCGCTGAACTGCTCGCATCGCGAAACTACCCCAGCCTGTCCCAATCTCGAGAACATGATCCGTGCCTATGATATGTGTATTGTCGATGTAGCGATCTAGCTTCCGCATTTGTGCATCGTGCAGACTTTCGGTCGAGGATTGAGGATTTGATTTCGGGAGCCATATCGGACATGAGTAAGTCATGTCGGGCGAGAGAAACGCGGAAAACATTTCGTTCGAGATGTCGTAATGCGCGGCGATGTTGAGGCGTGCATTCTTTAGGTTGTTGCTACCACGAACTAGACTGGCAAGGCCTGTGGAAATGGCAGATGTCCACGTCGAACCGTTGGACAGGTGATTCCGATTCAGAATGAAAAGCTGCAGCGATTAGTCGTGTATGTTGTTGAAGCGCATGTACACTCACTTCGAAGAACCTGGTCAAATCTGGCGTAGTAAACTCTCCCAGCATGTAGCTCTCTGCGAAACCCTAACTCTCAATCAGCTCTTCACTTCTACAGAATGGGTTCCCCCAAAACTATCCAGGAAAAGCTCACCATGTCGCCGAAGAGCGCCAATCGCACCCAGAACTTCTCATTGTGTACATCTAGGAATGCGATTGGCAATGATTCCTTATCGATACCAAAGACTGTCGAGGCCTTGCTCGAGCCACCTTCGAAAAGAACCAGCTTTCCGAGCTGTATGCCTTGGTGTAATTGCGAAAGAGTGCCATTCCTACATAAGGATACCAGAGGAGCCCAGGCTTGTGATGTGAGTGTACTGAGCACCGTCGTCGCGGCTCCTGTGATAGGACTGAGAATGGCCATAGTCCTGTTATGTTCACTCCTGACTAGAGAATACTGCTCCTAAACGCAGTCTAAGCTTTGTCTACAGGTCGTGGTTTTTGAGTCAGATTCAGAAATCTCGTGGGGACTATCGAAGCTCAGGCGTGCGATTCGCAAGAGACACGATCGAAGGCGCAACTGGTTTCGACGTGTAGACGGCTTACAGAAGGCCTAAAGAGCTCGAGGGAGGATCAATTGATAATAGGGCGCGGGTTGAAGGCTTGAGTCAGGGAAATCCTGCGATGCGTCGTACACGTACACGCGATGAGAGGGATTCTTTCGCGGTATGAAGGCACGAAGCAGGACCCCTTCCATGAAACACGGCACCAGAGTGTATTTGAACAAATTTCAGGCCATTCCATCGGGTGGCCGAAAGCCGACACGGTTCTTTTAGTTGCGCCGTCATGTCTACATCCGCACTGCATTCGTCTGGTGTGGCAGCATCGACGAGGGTACTTTGCCGTTTCGAGCAATCAATGACGTTGTCGATCCTCAGTCGCATCGTGAAACTTTGAGATTTGTCCGACCCAGCGAGCGTAGAGGCTACACACAGTAACTAATTCTCATATGGTCCTTCCAGCCATCGTTCCTATCCTTAATCCACATCTTGCAAATATGAATGGGCTTTTCTCCGAGACTGTGAAGAGCCGCAGTTTCGTTTCAGGGTCCACGGCTTCGCCGGTTGCATGGCGAGGGGTAGCTCCGACTCTTATGCACCTAGGCACAGTTCCACATGCGTATCAGCCGTCAGCCTTTTTTATTTCTGCCACCAGGTCGTGGAACGCGAATCTTCCGAAGACACAGACACATATTCTAGGAGGAAAGCGTGAGTATAGTCATTCAGTCGAGGGTGAGCAAGCGGGACAGTTGTACATTCGCCGATTTGCCGAAGGAGTCCGCTGGAGAGGAAGACGGCGGCCGTGGGTTCCGAGTCTGAAGATGAGAGTTTACATTTCACATGACAATATGAGAAAGGGTCTTTTCAAAGAGCGAAGTGTTAAGTAGAAGATATTGCGTGGTTCGGTTTAAAGAGGTGTTCAGGTGGTTTCCAAAGCTGCCGTCAAGCACACGCCCAGTAGGATCGATCCGACCCTGCCGTCCGCCGAAACGCGCTTCGACGCGTCGGCGCGTGCACCATCACAGCACTCCCATATACTCTACCCACAACCCGCGCATGACAGTGCAATTGCAATACCGACCAACTCTCCATATCCACGAATCCACCGAACGCGAACTGTGCTTCCTCCTGTCCCATCCAACACACGCTACCCTCGTCTCAATATGCTTTCCATCCAGCCCGCCCGCACCCAAAAATGCACGCCAAACCTCCTCCCCGCCCGCATAAATCACAACGGCCCCATAAACAACGCACAGCAATACTGGAAGCCCGAGACTGATAGCAAAGGTACCCATATCTCCCACCCACCTAACGGCCACGCACGTAACCCCCGACTTTTGCAGTAACTAACTGAATGACCGCGACAGGAAAACAGCACGCATTTTTCCGCGGCCGCCATCTACACGGCACAGCGCTCCCGCTCCCAGCGAATTACACCGGCGCTATACTGCATGTCACAGATAAAACATTGCCGCACTCTCAGGCTCCAGGGAATAACGACGGGGCGGATGGCGATGATGTAGAAGAAGCGGACGAAGAAGAGAGTTTGCCGGTGGAAGTCAAGATTGCGGAACAAATAGGCGAGTTCGATGAGATGGTGGTTTGGGGGCATGGGGGGGAGGTGGATGGCGCGCAGGATGTGTTTGTTAGGGGGATGCAGGAGTGGGTTGGTTTTGCGGAGAGTATGCATGGTACTGGAGATGAAGAGGATAGCACAGACGAGAAGAAGGTCGTGAACAAAGCGAGACGGTGAAGACAAATGTTTTAAGTTGAGACGATACCCAAATACCCAGGACAAGAATTGGAAGAATTTGTGCGTCGGTCAAGCATGATGTTGGTTTGAAGACCGAACGAATGGTGTCTACTTTACGCAGACTCAATCTTTCGACCTAGTGAACCCTTGGCTAATATCCTGTCTGCCTTCGAGATACGTATGCGTAGCGCTCAAAGCCGGCAGTAACAGCATGGCAACACTCAGCGTCTGGCCAAACCCCCAAATATTCTCCAGTTCATCCTGCAGTCCGCAGAACCGCTTCGCATCATCCGGAACAGCGAACTTCTGACTCAAGACTAGAATAGCAGACAGGATGGCTAGCAGGATCTGAACCGCAAAGGCGATCAACGGATTGAGAAAGAGATAGTATATGATCTGTAGGCCGAGATGAGCTGGCAAGCTGATGCCATGAGGCGGCTCTGTAACGCGCTGAATAAGACCCATCATCGTGCTCCCCGAAGAACTTGATGACGCGCGAGAAGCGAGACTCTTGCTTTGTGGATCATACAAGATGCACACTAGCGCTGTTGAAAACCCGACTAGAATCAAAAACAGTGGAACGAGGAACGACAATCGTTGAACACGGCTTCTCTCCTCTGTTGTTCCGTCGCCGTGTTCGATGGTGGTAGGTGACATGCAAATCGCGGCGATCATGGATGCGAAAAGGAAGACGGCGAAGAATATCACGAAGGTGATGCGGATTTTGGCGATAAGTTTATACTTGCGAAAGTATTTGCGTAGCGTGATGAGGGCGGCGAGGTGGGACGAGGAGGAGAGGGCGCAGATATAGAGGATAAGGACGAAGTGGGCGCCTTGGACCTTGAAGGACTTTTGCGCGACCTATTCGCGACCCCAATTAATGCTGTGAGGGGGAGTTTGGATTTAAAAATGCATTCACCTTTATCCATCCGCTGAGCAACACCGCGTAGCCTGTGATGAGCTGCTGATCACCCAGCCCTATGATGAGCGGGTCTAGGAACGGCCGCCATGCATAGTCTTTCTTCCACTCTGTATCTAGGAACCGTTCGCGGATATACTTGACGGGTGCTTTCAGTGTGAACCGGCCCTTTGAATCAAAGGCTTGGTCGAGAAGCATAGCGAGTACTGAAGCTGTCGTCGTCATGATGCTCGCGATCACAAAGGAGAGAACGACCTGTACATTATCAGTGAATATGCACACATGAGAAATGACTAGTTACACTGACCCCTACCCTAGCGATGTCTGGTTCTGCTCCATTGGCGCAATTTCCACCGTATGATGCAGCGCTATCGAACATGACCCATGGCGGGGCCATATAAGGGAATGGTCGTCGAAGATTGAGAGGACAAGATGATCCGTTCGAGTGAACGAGATGCAGTCGAAGAATGATTGGGATGTAGCCCTGAATGGGGCATTACGACAGGTCTTGCGGGGGAGACGATAGAGGGATATAGATGAATCAGAGGCGTAGGGTGACAGGAGCGGGCTGAAGGTGGAGAAATAAGCAGCTAAAGAATGATACGAGACACGAGAGAGATCGGAGAAGAATGCTAGTCCGCGTGCGCTATGCACTAGCCACGAGGCAAGAGCACCGGGAGGAAGGAGCTACCAAGTGATAAACTCTTCGGTAGGTGTAGGCATCTTTTAGCAAAGGGCCATAAACGAACAAAAGTATATGGTTTGAAAGACTTTGGAAAGGCCTGAGCGACTACAAAGGGTATCAATTACGAGAGAGCTATCTCAGCCCTTACATCAGCTTGCTCTTCGCCTTGATACGAGCCGCCAGCTTCTTAACATCATCCTCACCAGCATTTTGATCCTTCTTGGATTTCTTAGCACCACGCCCACGCCCAGGCTCATCGTCATCATCGTTACCCTGCTTCCGTTTACTGCGACCCTCCTCAAGCAGCGCCTTCATAGCTGCCGTGTCCTTGAACCGTGGGTTCGTTGGGTCAATAGCAAACTCATGGCTGTCGTACAACTTCGCAAATCGGGGATCAGCCGTGTTGATCTTGAAGTTATCCTCAACCACAGGCACATCTTTCTTGGCCTTCTTTCCCTTCTTCTTGGCCTTCTCGGCTTTGACAATCTCGTTCATGTTGAAGTGGCGCAACTTCGAGTCGTCGTCCGCCATGAGTAGTTCAAGGTTGGCACGCTCGGCTGCCGCTGCTTGTTCCTGCTGCTCCTTTTCTTCCCGCTTCTTCGCTCTCTTCGCCTTATAATCGACTTTGGAGGCCTTCGCGGCTTCTTTGGGATCGTCCCCAAAGAAAGGATCATTGAAAGGATCATCATCGTCAGACTCTGGTGCTGTCTCCACAGCCTCCACAATCGTGGCATCGGGATCTCGACCTTCTCTCCTGGCCTGCGCGCGCTCTTTACGCCTTAACTTTCTCTCCTTTTCCTTGCGGACGTACTTCTCCATAGTTGTCTCTTGAATCGGGATCTCGTTCTCAAACACGGAGCCCTTTGTTGCATCACTTAACAAGCCGCCGGTGAAAGTAATCTCCATTTCGCCATCTGGCTTAGGGAAGTCGCGGTCTCTCTTGGCTGAAGCTTTTTGCTTCGGCTTTGTTGATTTACCTGAGGCCTCAAGACCCAAGGCTTTACGGAGGTTGGCTGCCTTGTCGGCTTTCGCAACCTCGACCTCATCTTCCGAGGAGGACTCATCTGTGCCTAGATATGCTTGCAGCTCATTCTCATCGATCTCCTTGCGAGAGAATGCGCGTTTTTGCACTTCTTGCCTAGTCGCATCGTCGGCGTCCCAGGTTAACTTGACCTTCGAGTGGGTAAGCGCGCCTGTGGTGAACTCATTCGGCTTGTAACCGTCCGGTAGCTTCCTACACTCATCGTGGGCGTCCTGATCAAACGTGGTACCGTCTGGAACAAACCGAAGATCGAAAAAGTTTGCGCTCGTTAGATACTCTCGTCCGTCTAGGTTGTCGTAGATTGCCTTGGCCACGTTTGCTGAGGAGCATGTAATGACGGCATAGTAGTATCGCAATCGATCGAGCTGATAGCTACGCAACGCGGTTGAATCGAATTCTTCGCCCGTGTCATCTCCCTGTAGCTTCGACTTTATTTGATCCTCATTCTCATTCTCATCCTCAACCTCAACCTCAACCTCAGATCCTGACACATCTGGAGACTCATTGAGTGTGGTGATGTTGTCCTTGTTTTTATTTGCCGTCGAAGCGAAGATCTCGCGCGGTGGACCTTCGATCTCCTCCCGCTGTAACCGCTCCATGCCAAATTCGCTCGGATATATGACAACGTTGAGTATCCTCCCGTCGGGCGGAACGAATGAATTCGCTACAGCCATGATATCGGTCGCGCGTATGTTATCGAAGTCCATGTTCACCGCAGCCAAGCGCGATGAGATGTCTCCCGTGGGTACTGCATTGCCATCGCCTGCAAGCTCTGCTTGTTCCTCGATATCGTCCTCCTCTTCGTCGCTAGAGCTTTCGTCTGAAGAAGACTCTAGCCCTCCATCTCTGATTGGATCAAAGCCTTGCATCTCTACCCTCTGCAATTCCTTCAAGACAGCCTTGTCTCGCTTCTTCTCCGTCGGCCGCTCCAACTCCTGCTCCTCTTCTTTGTCATCGGCGTCGTCTTCGTCTTCGTCTTCATCCTCATCTTCTACCGCATATAGTCTGTCGATGGCCTTTTTGCCAGCCTCCTTGGATATCTTGCGACCATACTTGTCGACAGTGGCCTTGTTGTAGAAGTCGGGGTCATTCCGTAGCCGCGAGAATCGTGTGTCGAGCTTGGTCTTGGTGTGCTTCTTCGAGGGGAGTCGGAACTTCGGGTCGGTTTCAAAGTTTGCGAATCTCGAGTCGCCTACACAGTTGCTTGTCAGCCTATGATCTTCTTCTATGCAAAAGGGCGTTTTTGTGTAATACAAGATTGTCTAAGCGCACAGCAATATGCGCAGGATGCAGTTACTGGGGCATAATGTAGATGAAGAAACTTACTGGGCGGAGCACTAGCCTTCTCTGCCTTCGCCGGTATCGTCTGGCGCTTGGGAAGAGGCATGTTGCTGTGCAATAACTGTTTGACGGGCGGAGAAGCAGAGATGTGGAATTGGGAAGCTACGATGGACTTTTCTGCCACCGGGCGGTGTAGGTTCGGCTGAGGAGCGCACTTATTGGCCAACACATCGGAGGTCGAGGCCTTCCTATCGATAGGCAGGGATGCGAGAGCTGATCTGGGGAAGGCGCGTCACCGCTTCAGAGGGGAAATACATCACACGACAGACCTCGAAGACATTTCCTTTCTCAACAAACTTCTACCGCCTTCATCAATCTACTAGCATTCATCTCCCCTTCATAATACACCCTCGGACACATTCAGCGGCTTATACAGACCCAATGGCATACTCCAAGCTCCTCACGTAAGGTCATCGTCAGTGGCTTGCCTCCGAGCCCTGCCTCCGCCTCCCGCAGCTGTGCTAACAATAATACCCACATCCAGCCCGCGCAACCTCACTCTCTTCTCCTTATTTACTCTCGGCAGCGGATATGTCGCGTTCAAATCAAAGACCCTAGCCGACAAGCGGAGGGAACGCGCTATTGGCGACTATAGCGTATCTGTGGACAGGTCAGGTAGGTCACTTGATCCGAGCAGACCGGTTCGTCCGGGGCTTCAGCAATGAGGGAACTGCGAAGCACTTTCAGGACTACAATTCCTCATTGAATAACATTCGATATCATCTACGACGGAGAAAGGCTGACATTAACTGGCAGGTGGCGGTGTTTGAGCTCACCGCAGTGACGACGGGTACCATTATTCACCTATCGGCGACCACAAGATAAATTGTGGCGGTATCCTAGATTCTGCTTCATGCGGGTTGGCGTTATTTGTTGGACGAAGAATGTCGTCCGGTTCTTGTCGCTGTTTCTGTTATGATTTTGAACATGGCCCAACGATACTAGGTCCGGCGAGGATCTTGCAATTTGTACGGGTATCGAAATCATCGATCTAGCGAAAGAGTCACCGTTTATCGACACTAGAACAACTGTTCCATGAACTATCGGGAAGCAACATGCCCACTGCACCATCTTTTCCCTGGAGGCTGGCCTGGCCCAGAGCTTCACCTGTGCTATATGAGCACGCGCAAAGTTGCACTGTTCGGAAGAAGACCTCTCAACTACCTAGAAACAATTCAATTGCGCCGAAATACTATTTCAATCTCATTCTAGCTTACCCAAGGCCTCCGCAGCGTCGGTTAGCCAGCTTCGACAGGGCCACAAACTCGTTGCTATTAATAACACACTCAGCCTCCACACTCCAAACCCAACCATCCTTACAGCACCCGCAGTATCGGTTTCGCCGCTTGATTCGCCCGTTACACCACAACCTTGAAATCTTGATAGCGCGCGCGGAATTTTGATTTCCTTCAATGTCTGCCGTTTCCTTCTTTAAACTTGCATTTCAGCCCGTTCAGCCCACCTAGACCCCGCTTATCATGCAGGTCTGTCTAAGCCAATCGGGGCGTCTGTCAGCACTACTGTTCGGGAGGCCTACGTTCAGGTGCGCTTGTGGGGGATTTGCTGAGCCTGATAATCCGGTTCCTTAAATGAGACCTTACCCATGCAGCAGAACCGCGAAGCTGCAGCGAGACACTCTACCGTTCACTCACCTTGCTAAGATATTAGGACTTACGACCACCAATCCTCCTGCACGCTTACTATAAAAGATATCATACTCATTATCCTGCTCCGATTCAGCTATCATTCTTCCATGATTACTTTCCATCGCAATCTGTTGTTCCTCCACTGAATCCACTGTCATGGCGGCCAACAAGGAGTTCATCAAGCAGAAAATACAGCAAGGGAACGATGTCAAGATACCGCCAAGGGAAAATGTTCTAGCAGCGGCGGATCACATTCGAAATCTCTTCGAGAAAAAGAAGTTCGCGTATGGCGTCATGGGAGGTCTCGAGATGCTCTGCTTGGGCTATCGCCGCGATATATCGGATCTCCACATCGCTTATGATGATAGGGACTTCAACAGGATCAAGGCGAAGCTAGGGGCAGATAAACGGTAGGCTTCATATCGAGCTTGTGATATACAAGCTAACAGGGGCAGTGCTCAGTTACCCGATGGAATGAATTCGCTATTTCCCGCGAAGGTTCTTGTTCGAACGGGGCCAGCCTATAAAGACGCAGAGTGCATTAATGCGGCAACTATCGAAGTTAATCTCATACCACCGGGTGAGTCTATACCATCGACGACATACATCTTATGCTTACAGTACACAGGCTCCTACGGCACTCCATCGAGTGGTATGATCAGCGCCAATCTCGTGCTCTTGAGCTTGAAGGACGCAAAGTTGAAGACCTACAAATGCCTAAACATGCTACATTTGGTCAAAACACTAGTTCACTTGTGTCGGGTCCGAGATCTGGCCTGGGACCCGCGGAAAGATATACTTTTCCTTTGTCAACATTACGGAGAAGAGGTGCAATCCATTCGCGCCCAGCTGAATCAGAAAGAAGTGCAGGAGAATTTCCTAGGAACACCTTTCGTTTCCCAACTCTCTTCTGAGGACCAGCGCAAATGCTATCAGATACTCTTGGGTAAAGATCCTCCCCCGGTAATGGCGGTCATTCCTCCACCTCCTTCTGATGGCCATAAGCACTCTCATTCCGCTTCGGAGATACCAAGACCTCGAATGAATTCACAAAACTCATCGCCGGAGCTCCTGAGTCCACCTCTACCCGGCAAGCCGAATTCTTCTCGACAGCAAGCTACAAAGACAAAATCCCAGTCTATAGACCTCACTGCGTCGCCTAAGCCACCACCAGCGCTGCCTGTAACAGGAAGAGACTCGCGCTCCAGATATCGTCCGATTAGCGTCCCGAATAGTCGGAACAACAGTCCCAAAAGTTCTCCCCTTGTTAACAGTTTACGACCTAAGTCAATGGATATGCGACATCTGCCTCAGCCCGGATCATCTCAAAACACTCATCACATGAGCGCACAGAACGTGGCGAACACAAAAGAGAAGTTTGTGTCGAATCTTGCACCCACATCCATGGTTGATTCAGTACGTAGGTCTATGCCCGACCTGAACGTAGGTTTCTCAGATCCAGTTGTACCCGTAGCATCCTCTCAACCCTTTGTTGCAAATGCGACCGGTACCAATCAATCGCCGCAGCAACTATTCTCCACGTTACCAGTAGAGATGTTGGCAACACCTGCAACATACAAATCAGGTCAGAAACACTTGAAGCCCCAACTTGGGTTAGGTGGAGACAATTCACTCCCAAATTTGCGAGCGGAAAAAAGAACTCTAACCACCGCGGACTCGATATTGCCTAATGCGAGGGTTACATATCAAGGGCCCCAGAAGGCTAAGTTAGAGCCATCTGGAACACCGAAGCCCCAGTCACAAGTGGGAAGCCTTCATATGGTCAACCCCAAGGAAGAAGCTGCACTTTTACAGCAATACGTCCCCAATCTTGAAGAAGTAGCAAGTAAACTACATCTCGTTGGTTCCGAGGGTCTGTACGAAGCGCCGCTGAAATCGACACTGCCTACAGAACCAAGTCTGCGGAATGCGCCGCAGCAGGCATCGCATGTCTTTGAGCTTGACGCGACGCCTCCACAAAAAGGCACCGTTATTGGGGAGCTATCCGCCGATAGTGACGCTGCATTGCAGGAGAATTCAAGTCTTCCTTCTGAGCAGATGCAGCCCAATATATACAACAGGCCGATAACTGATGAGTTGCTATTCAGCCTCCCAGATTCCCATACAAGTACCGCATCGATTCCACACCAACAACGATCCTATAGACCGTCGAATCCCCGCACCCAATCCGCTCCATTTACGGCACTCCCAACCAGCTTAAAGGTTGGCGGACTAGGTGCCCCACGCCCTCACTCCAGGACACCAAGTAACAGCATTTCGTATACACCTTCACAGACGGCGTCCTCGCAGCTTCCCGCGACGAAGACAAACGCGTCCCGGTACTCGCAATACTACTCTCCACCATCGTCAGAGCCCAATAGCGAACACAGCTCGCCGCAGCCCAGCCCAGCCCTACCCTCCCTTTACAAAGCCTACAGTCCACCATCCATTCCTCTGCAATCTCTAAAGGCGCAACAGGCACGGACTGAACATCTTGAACGACAAGCTCGTTCGAGAAATGTCGACACTGTTCAAGGTGTTGATGGTGCACAAAGCTACTTCCGTATGCATAAGCGGGATGCCTCACACGATTCGCAAGCCTCGACCGCGTCGCATGATTCTAGCAAGTTGGCACGGGAGTATCAAGTAGAGCTACCTGACTTTGATCGTGGATATAATTCGAGAGATGAAGTGGTAGACGCGTAGGAACGTCGCGATTAGACGGGAAGTATAAAATTTGCATCGAGTTATGAGAGATGGGCGGTCACGGTATTTACTATATTCATGAACTCACGAAGCGTTTTCTTCTCAATTCATCCGACCCACACGACAATTCCATTCAGCAGTAGAACTTCGCTTTAGCGTATAAATCAAAGCGAATAGAAATCATTTCCAGATCTCAATCATAACCGCGCGTTGCCCTTCACCTCAACATACTTCGCAACCCAGTCAATCGCAGCCTCATACCCAAACACCCCCAATCCACAAATCACCGCCTCCGCCTTGTCACTCAGATAACTGTGATGTCGAAACGCCTCCCGCTTATGAATGTTACTAATATGCACCTCGACAAACGGAATGTCCACGCCCACCAGCGCGTCTCTCAGCGCTACGCTCGTGTGCGTTAGTGCTCCGGGGTTAATCACTATCGCGTCAACGTGCCCGCGCGCTTCGTGGATGCGGTCGACTAGCACGCCTTCGTGGTTGGACTGGATGTGTGTGAATTTGATAGAGAGGCGGTCGCATTGTGCTGTTGCCGAGTCGATTACATCAGGGAGTGTGGTGGTGCCGTATATTGAGGGCTCGCGCGTTCCCAGTAAGTTTAAGTTTGGGCCATTGATGAGTAGGATGGATTTGGCCATTTTGTTTTGCGTTCGGTAGGTAGGTGAAGAGTAGGGCAACAGGTAGTTGAGGTTGGTGTAGGGACTTGCAGCAGTTAGTTGTAGATGGGATCAATTATATCGGATCTTGTTGAAGTTGAGTCCAGTTGAGCTCCGATGTGGTCGGAAAAGTACTTAGCCCTGACATCTCCCCTGCACTAACCGGAGAGTCAGTCCGACATGGAGCTTGCCTTCAGCATATGACACTCATTTCAGCTGGTAAAAGATCACAATCAACGTGAGGTTATGAAGATACGGAATTACTATGTTTGATAAGCAGGCGGTATGCAATCTCGAAAGGGTTGAAAAATAGTTAGGAGCGAGAGCGCTGGTCTTAGCCCCGGGCAACCCCGCGACTAGCCGGTTTCTGCTGTCGACGGCTTAGGGCGGGATTTGCGACGCGATCTGCCCCATCGCTAACGTGCTGACCACAATGACCATTCTGCTATCTTTCCGATCACTTGGCTTGCAAACACCTACAGATACACAATGGGCGACCTTTCTAGAGATGAATTGGACGGAATTTACGCGTTTGCCGTGGAGCTGGGCAAGCAAGCGGGGAAGATGCTTACGGATGCAGCGCAGTTGAGGATAAGCGGTGGAAGCGGGTCACAGAAAGAGCAAGAACATGTGCAGAAGGAGAATGCGGTGGATTTGGTGACGGAAACAGATGAAAGTAGGTTGCAAACACCACGCCTTTTTGCCTATGGAAAAGGGTTGGGCAATACCCTGACAACCTACCGCCCTCATCCTGTTTCAAATTTAATTACGCCCCAAATTTTGTCGCCATATGGTGTACTGAAGACATCCAAAATTGGAACGCTAATCATACCTCAGATGTTGAGGCATTTATCAAGGGCCAAATTATGGAGAAATACCCTTCGCATAAGTAAGTCACCTATTTCAAAAGCGACACCGCTAACAAATTACAGGTTTGTCGGCGAAGAGTCTTACAGCAAAGGCACATCACGAGACTACCTGATCAACGATGACATGACTTGGTGTGTCGACCCTCTTGATGGTATACATGATTCATCCTCGACTCGCAATATCCTCTGACGGTCCTTACAGGCACGGTGAACTACATCCACCTCTTCCCCATGTTCTGCGTCTCGATCGCGTTTATTCACAAACAGAAGCCGTTGATAGGAGTCATCTATGCTCCATTTATTAACCAGTTCTTTTCATCATGCGCCGGTCGTGGCGCTTTCCTCAATGAAACGCAGCAGCTTCCTCTTGTACGCACACCCGTGCCGGCCTTGCCCTCAAATGCGCCTAGTGGCTGCATCTTCTCTTGTGAGTGGGGGAAAGATAGAAGAGATGCTCCAGATTCCAATCTGCACAGGAAGATCGAGAGTTTTGTGAACATGGCAGCGGAAGTTGGTGGAAGAGGCGGAAGGGGCGGCATGGTGCATGGAGTCAGAAGTCTGGGGAGTGCAACCCTAGATTTGGCGTACGTTGCTATGGGCGCTTTTGATATCTGGTGGGAGGGTGGCTGCTGGGAGTGGTAAGAAACTCCCTATTCAGTGCAATGAAATGCCTACTTACGATCGAACAGGGATGTCGCGGCCGGGATTGCGATTCTGCAGGAAGCTGGCGGATTGATCACGACGGCCAATCCGCCTGAGGACCCTGCTACAGCCCCGATTGAGGAGGTTCGACTAGGCAGTCGGCTATACTTGGCCATTCGGTAAGTTATACTATATTGTGAATAGCTTCGGCCATGGGTGCTAATTTCTCCGCAGCCCTGCAGGTCCATCGTCGAATGAAACAGGGCGACAAGGCCAAGAGAGAACCGTGCGGGAGGTCTGGCGACGGGTTCGTAACTTAGACTACTCGCGCCCTGGTGCGTAGCAGGGTAATCTTTGTATGACTTCGTTCCTCAGTTGTCCACCCTTACAATAGATCACGAACTTCGCATAAGACATTAATGCATTGATACCACTCAGCCTGATTGACGAGATTCGAAGATATATTGCGTTCATTACTTCGTGCTACGAGTTTCATCAGGTCGACACATCTTGGCAGCGGAAATTGTGGTTTTGCAACTTGTGAAGTTTTATCATTACATGTTATCTACAGTTTCGGTTCATTTAGCTTTGCTGCAATAGCTTCTTGTACCTTTTCCACTGGTAATTGCTTCACCTCCTTCCCTGTCCAATACCTATCCTGCTCCAAGCCTTGATATATCAAAGCCTCCGTTCCAATAACAACCTGCCAGTCAGCCTTCTGACTAATCTCAACGATCTCCGTCCACGGGGTGGGGTGATAGCACATCTCTAGGATAGCACCTTTGGGAGAATCTTTCTGCAGGAAGCATTCGAGGATATTACGTGCCTCCTTTTCCTGCGTTGATTTGGGGGTGAGATTCGGTATGCAGGCTACGATAGCGCCTACGCCTTCTAATTTCTCTGCTTGCGCCACGGTTTCCACGTGAACTAATGAGTCGCCGTAGCCTCGAGCTGTGCATTCATCGATGACAGCGCGCACTTCCTCTGGATCTCTGTTCACCTGATGATGCAAAGTCAGCGTGTGTATGATAGTTTGTCAACATCGGCATATCCTTACAAGATAGATCGCGCTGGCTTTCATCCACGTCCTCAGAGCGTAAACTGCACTTCTCGCTGCACCACCTAGATTGGAAATACAAGGTCAGTTGTGGCTTAAGGTTATTGTGCAAAATATATTTACTAACCTCCGCCGATCACTAGTGCCGGCCGGTTGTGGAATTTTTCTGAATCAACGTTGTAGCGGAATGCGTCTCTGACTCCGATGACATCTGTGTTCGTCCCCTTGAACAAGCGTCTTCCGGCTGAGTCTTCTTCAAGGAAAATGGTGTTCACAGCACCTACGGCTGCGCCTTCTTCTGTAAGACTGTCGAGATGCTTGATAATGGCCACTTTGTGAGGCATCGTTACGGAAGCTCCTGCGTGATTGTAAGCTAAGGAGGTCTTGTTTGGTATTCATTGAACATGTTAGATGAAACGAACCGTAGAATTGCGGGTGTTTTATTAGCTGCAGGAAGAGATTCATGTCCGTTGAGTCCATAGGAATTTGCGCCCAGTTCAGACCTAAGCTGTCGTATACAGTCTTGTGCAGCAGAGGCGACATGGAGTGTGAGATGGGATGGCCAAAGAGGTAGCCATGGCGCTCAACCTGCGATAATTCCGGTGTTACGATCTCGGTTGACATGGTGAAAGATGATCGTGGTGTGCTTGATGCAGTCTCAATTGATCGCTCGGGTAGCTTCTCTACTGGAAAGTCAAGAATGGAGGGCGGATACGAACGGTAGGATCCAGGATTATCGTGATTTTATGAAGCATATACTGAAGGAGCTGGAGACCCCAAAATTGCCCAGTGCATATTTTATCCACATCTCCAGTCCACTAAATTGGCGGAGAATGTCTTCTCGAATGGCATGAAGAGTGGGTCATTCTGCTTCCAGCTAGGCCGCGGCCCGACGTTCACCGTCCAATCGGCGAACCGCGCCATGATTTGCCATCCCCTCGCGTAAAAATGCGCATCCGCCCCTGCAATGATACAGTTCACGTTCATCACATCATATCTTGATCCGAGCCTAGTAGATTCTAAACAACATCAGTAACGGTCCGGGAGAAGGATGGAGTAAGGCGAGTTGGCTGTCGCTGCAAGCCACCTAACAAATGAGCGGCCGTATTTTGTCATCATTCCATCTCCTTGGTTTCGTGGCTTGCTTCTCCACACCTCCACAGAACGCGTCTCTAAGACCTTTTGTTGGGCGGAATATATATGTACAGTTCGTTGAATGCCAATTGCTGTGAGCTCTACTTCAAGGATTCCGATTTCATCTTTGTCGCTAGTCAAATTTGTACTTGTGAAAGAACCTAGCACAGTCATCAACCATATTCAGAATGGGGCTCCTCACCCTCCTAGAAGATCCACCGACACCCAAAGCCATCTACAACTGACGCGTCTATACCGCATCCTCAGTTGCATCATGGGCGTCATGTATGATGAGCTAATTCGGCTTTCATGAGAAAGACGCTGGCCATTCCATCCTTAACGAATCCACGTTGATGCTGGCTTCTTGAAACCACCAATTAATACTCTTGCACAGCGGAGAATATTTCAACGTTCGTGGAAAATTAGTGTGAGACTTAGGACTTCATCACTCTTAATACTACTCCTAGGCAGTATGAAGTTTTGTAAGTCTTCGTGTACGAAATTATAGAAGATACAGACTGATTTAAGTCTATGATGAGAAGTAACCTCCAAATAATGTAATCAGGCTGCTATTAAGGATGCGAAGAGACTACAGTTGCGAGATCACGGGTTGTCCACACGAGTTGGCCGGATGACGTCATCGCTGTGGGGATAACTCCAAACGTGAGTAAACTTCGACGACAGATCGTTTGACCAAAGGAAGAACAAGCCTCGTATCGTGCTGGGTTTTGCGGTGGTCGAGCTTGGTAATTATGATGATGATCGATCCCGACGTGGCGCCGAGAGCCGGGTATGAATTCTTTTCCGCCCGGTTAGTACTAACAGTCCCCATCAGCGATATCAACCTTTCTTACTGCTTGTGACGGCACAGCACGGTTGAAGATGGAGCTCTTTAGGTCTTTTTGGATTGTTCCGCTTCGTCGAGGATCAAAGATTTGCCCGTGGGCAAAAGCGGGATCACATGAGCTATGAGCTAGTCCTCGTTCAGCGAACTCCTCGTTACAGGTCGCTACCATATATACCCCAATCATCTTTGAATGCGCGTTATCCATCGTACTATTTTCCAACCTCAAAAGTCCTAGAATCAATTTGAATTCACATCATATCTTTCCTGCATACCCTTTAGCGCGTTCCTACAAATCCTCGAAAATGCCGTGTCGTCCAGGTATCTCCTCTATGTCCTTAGGACGATGCTACGCAGGGCATAACCTCGAACACAAGCTGTCCATGGCCGCAAAGCACGGTTTAGAAGGCATCGAACTCTTCTATGAGGACTTAGTCGACCATGCCGGTTCCGAGTCAGCATCGGATCTGCTTGCAGCCTCTGCCTCCATTCGAGACCTCTGCGATTCACTAAATCTCGAAATCATATGCCTGCAACCTTTCATGCACTATGAGGGATTACTGGATAGGAAGAGACACGGCGAACGGATACAAGAAATTAAGCTATGGATGGAATTGGCCCATGTCCTACACACAGATATCATCCAAGTTCCTTCCTCGTTCTTACCACAAGATCAGATCTCTTCGGACGTCGAGCTGATCGCAAGCGACCTCCAAGAGCTCGCAGACCTCGGTCTTCAACAAACACCAATCATACGATTCGCATACGAAAGTCTGAGCTGGGGAACGTACGTGGATAAGTGGGAAGTATGTTGGGATATCGTCCAGCGTGTTGATCGATCGAACTTTGGTATCTGTCTCGACAGCTTCAATATCTTAGGCAGGATATACGCGGATCCCACTTCGAATACGAGGAAAACTCCCCAGGCCGAACAGGAAGTCCGCGAATCGATACGGCGAATGGTCGATCAAATCAAGCCGCATAGAGAGAAGATCTTCTTTATCCAGATTGTCGACGCCGAACGTCTGGAACAGCCCTTGGCACCCGGCCACCCATTTTACAATGCTGAACAGCCAGCTCGCATGTCTTGGAGCAGGAATTGCAGGCTATTCTATGGCGAAAAGGAGCATGGTGCGTACTTGCCGGTTAGGGATGTCGCACACGCTATCATTAAGGATATTGGGTTCGATGGTTGGGTCAGCATGGAACTGTTCAACCGAGTCATGAACAAGACAGAACACAGCGTTGTAGAAGAGTTGGCCGAGCGGGCCGGAAATTCGTGGGAGAGAATGGTGAAAGACTTGGAGCTTGATATTGGTATGGGCCATGGCCGATTAAGAGTGGGGGAAGGCAATGGTAGGAAGGGAGGTAGTATTGAACTTGCCACACGGGAAGCCGAGCTTGCACGCTTGTAAAGCACAGAGGGGGAACATTTTATAACGCCATTCATTGTTCATATTATTATATTGTACCTTTTCTTGGAGTCTAAGGACCCATAATGAAGCTATGAGCTATGAGCTATGAGCTATGAGCCATGAACCATGAGCCATGAAATTTTAAACTACATTTGATACTATTGAGATATCGTTGCGCAATTACTAGAGATATGGATCCCTGTGTGAGGCCCCAGAGAACTTTTAGACACTATATCAGTTTGCTCATCCAGGGTCGTAGAAGGCATCCATTGAGAAATTCGGGGACTGATCATTGTTTCCTTGTGCAAGATTTGACGAGGGTGACGGCATGAAGCGGCCCGCATCCGCAGCCAGTAGGTCGGCCATGCTTACTTCTGACGAGAAACCCAGATTCTGCATGAACTGAGGCTGATTTTGTAATTTTTTGTCACCATGAAGTGAAGCAAGTTCATCAAAAAAGCTTTCTAGGTCGCCCGAAACAAAAGCATTGTATGGATCGTAAGCGTCAAGTGGCGGTCGTTCAATGGTTGGACCACTGTTGGCGAGATTGAAAGGTAGAGTGTTAAGGGATTGTAGAGTGTGCTGTTGATGGTTGGAATTCATGTCTGGCAGCAGGTCGTCGAGGAGTGAAGAGGAGCCGGGCGGCGGTGGGTATCGCTCAGGAATCGGTTCGCCAATATGAGGAGAAAAGGATTGATGAGATGGCTGGATCATTTCGGGATTGCGCATTTGAACAAAACTCGGGGGAGTGTAGGCGAGAGTGTTCGGCATGCTTTGCGAGTTCAACAGAACTTCCCCCGAAGTAGAAGCGCGCGCGTGGTCAAAGTCTGAAAAGAGATTGAGCATTCGTATGCGGATCGCCTGATCGATATTCAGGCTATTAGTGCCTCTTTTGATATTTTGCATCAAACAGATAACAATCGAGGGTGCCTTTGCGAATCCAAACTGATCTCTGAGCACTTCGAGCAACTCCAATACTCGCTGAAGCCAGGCCTGAGATGGAACCAATGCAAAGGCAGTGGCAAAATAGGTAAGCTGTAATAACACTGCGGGTGGCGTCAATGGGGTTGAAGCCGAGTCGGAGCGGATGTAATCGAGTTTTGGTGGCAGTGAGGATTTCCATATCTCAAGCCGCCCAATCATCTCGTGAAGAAAGTTCCTCGCAGTTGGTTTCCGTGCGGTGCTCACGAGGATGTCGACTATTTCCACGAGGTTGTTGAAACTACTCAAGGCTAGCGTTGGCAACTTGGGTTGGGACGTTGGCCCTGGGTTGAGATCCCCAACCCAAGGCTGCCATTCTTCCATGCCATCCTCCTCAATCTTGCCCACCCATGCAAGATCGGACTTTTCCAGATACGGTCGTCGGTCCAAGTGCAAAGAAAGGAGGTTGTCAAGCAGGAAACAGCTTCCCAAAACGTTCTTACGCCGAGGGCTGTTGGCCTCTGATGATTCGTCAAGCGTAAGAAATATTCGTGAGGCAGCACCGACAAGAAGCCACGCGGCGTTTAAAAGCGACCTACTAATGTTGAAAACCGCGAGATTGAGGAGTGCCTTGATATGATTCAGGTCGAACTTTCCTAGTTCATCTGGAATTAATAACCGGGAAATATCATAAAGCCTCTTAGGAGTCATGACGCGATGGCGCTCTCGAGCCCCCGTGACGCTAGACAAGTCTTGGATACATCCAACCGCGAAAATGCTCCACATCTCGGCATGATGTCCTGAACTAGGCATATCAGGAGACAGGACAAGACCTTGCTCTGGGTAGGAGTACGACAATTTCAAAACGTCGAGGTTCTCGCATATAGGTAACCAACACTGCGTATACGAAGAATAGGTCTCAAGGAGTTTCCAGTAGTCAGCTGGCAAGGGTGTCGGCCCGGGAGACGGTTGCTGTGACTTCGGATGATGGCGGTCCGATACAGAAGGCGTTGCTAGGTGTTGTGGAATATTCATATCGGAGGTCCAGGGCGCCTGCTAATGAATGTTGTTAGACAGCTCTGTACTGGTTATAGGAACAACTTACGCTCCCCTGGGGTTGCGCATTCGGCGTCATGTTGAGAAGACTTGCGTCCTCCACATCGACTTCACTGTCTTCATCGGAACTCGGCGGTTTTTCATCTCTGGAACTAATTTGTTCTCCGGCCAATGCCCTGGTGACATCTCTGCAGAATCTGCTCTTCCTCCAGTTCTTGTGTAGCTGGTTTGATTCCTTGGTACCCCTTCCAAGTAGAGCCGAGTTTTCTTGCGCGAGCTGCCTGTTCACCAAGTCTTCAATCTCAGAGCTTTGCTGAAATACGAATGCCAGGGTCGTTTCAAGGCTTCGTATGTAGCCAGGTTGCAACCCTCTTTTCCGGGGGTTTGAAGTGTACGTGCACACCCGCTTCAACTCGAAGCATGGCAGACATATTGGCTGGTTTCCATCACATTTCTCGCGCGCGGTACGGCACTGGTCGCACGCCCTGGAAACACGAAAGCGTTTTACGGGCGCATCCTGTGTGGCTAGTCGGCGTTTTTCCTGGCCCTGCGAAGGCATCGGTGTTGCTCAATTCAAGGCGGGACGAGCATGGCTTCATCTCAACAAGATTGACTGAAAGAAGACATTGACGACAGTGTTAGAGCTGGGCGGGCAATCATTGTTCGTTTGTGGATTGTCGCTGCTTACCCAAGAAGCTACGGGACAACGGTTATGACGGCAATGTGGAGTGGAGTTTGAAAACCCGGGGTAGTGGCCCGTGCTCCTGGATAAAGTCTTATTCCGTTGGAAAGGCGCGCTAAGAGCGTTCATCTGCCGCCACGCCATGCGCAGTCCATGTCGTCCACATCTTCGCAGGCTGTAAGCTCAAGGACACCATTTGCCATGGCTTCTGTTGTGGCCGGCACGAAACGGACATTCGCTACCATGAGGGAGGAGGGGACGGCACTCAATGGCCGTGCTTCTCTGCCAGCGCCGCAAAGTCTACCAAACTCGGGCTATTCGACACCCGTGCTCGGCACTCTAGCCTCACCAAATGAATGCCGCCGCATCTTCGACTCTAGCGCCTCGATTGTTCTCGTGGGGATGCATGGGACGGGCAAAGCAACGTTGGCGATGATGGCTTCTGTCGCTTGTCGACGACGAGTTGTGGATATGGAAAACCTATTCTACACCACTACAGGCTTTTCCACGGCAATGTATCGAAAGCAGTTCGGATCCTCTAATCGCTGCCTGCGGCAGGAGGAAATATTTCGCAATGCTCTCCAAGCCTATGACAAAGGCGCGATAATTGTCTGCAATGGAAGCTTTCCATTAGACATGAGTAGTCAGAGCCTCTTATGCGAGTTTGCAATGACACACCCAGTGATCCATATCACGCGCGACCTTCGCAGTGTACATCAGTACCTCGAGACAGTTGAAGAATCAAAACTCCACGATATACTAGGTCTCAGTACGCCGGTATTCCGACGATGCTCGAACTACGAATTTCACAATCTCTCGGAAACCAATGCGGCCCATCTTTCTGTGGCGCCTGCACACCAATCCTCAGTACCAGCTTTTTTGACTTTGAAACGGGCAGAAAGAACGTTTTTCAAGTTCCTGTCTCTGGTTCTTTCCCCCGAGAACACACATAGCAAGGTCAAAAGCGCCACACCTCCCCTGGACCCTGGCCATTTTCCGTTGTCGTATGTCCCTCTCGAGTTGAGGAATTACACTTGCGCTGTGCAGGTGCAGCTTTCAGATCTTACTCCCGAAGCCGTGGATATTGAAGAGCTCGAGTTCGGATGTGACGCCTTTGAGATCGTCGTAGAGCCTGTTCAGCTCTCAACTAATCAAGCAGAGGATATCAGCAAAAGTATTTCGAGGGTTCGGAGAAGTACGGTGACTCCGATTATCTACCATGTAATGCCTGCGGCGACAAACTCAACCTACTCGGAGACAACTTACCTTGCCAACCTGCGACACGGCTTACGTATGTCGCCCGAGTTTGCAACTGTTGACTTGACGATGAATGAGGAGCTGATACGCGCCATTGTCTCTTGTCGGGGGTCCACCAAAATTATTGGCCATCTTCATGCAGCTGTCGATTGGTATGATGCATTTTGGCTCGAGAAGTATGATACAGCGATGCGCCTAGGCTGCAGCCTTGTTCGTTTTACTCGCCCGGCGAATTTCATGGACGACAACGCTGCGATCCAGAGCTTCAGGAACACCATCTACGCCAAATCTCAGCGCATCCCAATGACTTGTTATAACACTGGGCGTGCCGGACGTCGCTCAGCTTGCTTCAATCAGGTTCTTACTCCTGTGATACCAGAGACATTGAGAAAGAGTGCCGATTTCGGAGCAAGAGCACGACAAAATCCTGAAACATCCTGGCTTACTGTTCAGGAGGCTACGCATATCCTCTATGCTTCGTTCACATACGACCCTATGGACTTCTACATCATGGGCGCTAGCGCCGGATACAGCTTATCTCCTGCAATGCACAACGCAGCATACCAGGCATGTGGCATGCCGCATCGATTTGAGCGTCTTGAAACCACAAACTTGGACAGGAGCCTACAGGAGCTTCTGCGCAGACCGAACTTCGGCGGCACTGCACTCAGTCAACCGTTCAAGATCGAGGCCATCTCCCTCACACAGTCAATAAGTCGACACGCGCGGGCGATTGGAGCAATCAATACCCTAATCCCCGTTCGTCATCTCAACTATGATGGCAGCATTCCTGATGCTGATAACATTGAATTGTTTCAAGAACGTAACCAATCTGGGCCAGTCAAAGCGCTGTACGGAGACAACACTGATTGGATAGGCGTCCGATCTTGCATACGACGGGGCCTATCTCCAGCCAATGCCGTCCGGCCCGCAACTACATCTGGGCTCATAATAGGATCAGGAGGCATGGCTAGAGCAGCCATATACGCGATGCTGCAACTTGGTATCAAGAAGATCGCTATATTCAACCGAACAGCCGAGAACGCCAAGACGCTCGCCACTTACTTCACCAAGTTAGCGTCGAGTCCCTCTGCTGCTAAACTTTTCCCATCGTTCGTCCAAGGATCTCAACCTACATTCCGAATCCTTGAATCTCGAAACGACCCGTGGCCAACCGATCTCCGTGCTCCCACTGTTATTGTGTCCTGCATACCTACACACGCCATAGGCGACGAACCTTCCCCTCAATTCACGCTTCCTACACATTGGATGCAGTCTCCTACCGGGGGGGTTGTAATTGAGCTAGCTTACAGAACATTGAACACGCCCTTGACAAAACAGGTTCGCGAAGAAGCATCGAAATCTTGGATTTGCCTGGATGGCTTGGATCTCCTGCCCGAGCAGGGCTTTGCTCAATTTGAACTTTTCACCGGGAAAAGAGCACCACGCAGGATTATGAGGGAAGAAGTACTCCGCTGCTGGACTGATGAGCAGGGACGGTCCAACCCAAGTATGGTACGAACCAGGCTGGAAGCGATGGATAAGCAGGAGCCATGAAGTAAGTTCGCGATTTCAGAATTGCGGACGTAATTCTTGAACCCCCTATCTCTGCCTTCACACTAGCAATGGAGAAATTCACGAGAGCCGAGGACTAGTCCAGAACGAGGAAGCAGAAGGCAGTACAAGAGAGAGGCTTTGAAGTCCCTCAAGCCAATCACCATGTTGAGTCAGCAGGTTTACACAGTAGATGCATAAGCCCAATAGCGAGTCCGAAAAGACTGTCGGAAACCTATACTTAGATAACCTGCCGACTCGCCCTCATCGCCGACATGCGCAAGACAGAGGCACCGATTTAGACACCGCGACAGCTCACCGTGCAGAAAGTATCACGGCGCGTCTCGAAGGAGCAGTCGAGAGCATGAAGCGGGACGTCTTTCTCGGCGTCGACGCCCCTCACGAAGTCTCGATCTGCTGCACCTTTGTATTGCCTAGTAATCGTCAACATTGTCAGTGGCTGCACCGGGATCCCTGTCTTCCATCATCTCGCACGCATGGAGCACAGTCAAGGGATCGAACATATGGAAGCGGCGCCGAAATATATTACTATCCACAAAATGACACGCGGCGCAGATAGAGAGGACAAGGAAGGAGCACAACGGACAGGTAGGAAGCGGTGAAGAAAGGAAAAAGTCGGTCATACGGTCATACGATCCCAGGGGTCCGGCATTCCACACGGGCACACTGAAGGCGATGCTACCTTCGACACCGCGGCGCTTAGTAACACTATCGCCACGACGCGACTAGCGCTACCTATACGGAGGATGACAATTCGGACTTATACACCGCGAGTTGTTTGTTGATTTTCATCTCTTCTGCAAGCTGGATGAGCTCGATTCCTGGTCCTCGACAAAGGCAGCCTGGTCGCGGTCGAGGAGGTCTCGCATCCTCATACATCAGCCAAATGCAGAGAGCTTTCAGTATCGGCGCTACCTAGTTGTAACCGGCTTATCATGTGGAGACGCTAGGGGGTTCGGGTCAAGGAGGGACGGTGGGAAGAGTCTAGTGCGAGAGAGGTTGTTGATTCCAGACAATATACTATGTTCAGGTCTTGCTAATGTGCTGGTGGTGATGAACACGAGTTTGAGGTGATTGGCCAGGAGCGTTTCGTACCAGTCCAGTTTATACAGTGGGTCGCCCGCATCGCCGAACTAGCGGATCTATCTAGGGCAGTGCATTCGCCGCAACATTCGGGCGAATGAATACCTTTCCAAATGGGCAAACATTCCGTCCAATCTGTCCTTCTTTAGCGTACAAAAGTGTATTAATAGTCGGTGATATTACAGAGTTGTCAACAAGCAAGCGGATTAGTAGCTTGAACTCCAAAACAAGCAATTGTTCGGGAGTAGCCGACTGGCATCTTCCGGGATAGGAATTTAGTGTTGACAAGTCTGGTCATACCTCGGACGCCAAGAACGTCGCGCACTCCACACCAATCGCATACACTACCCAAACATGGCGTACGATGGAGCGCACGGAGTCCAAGGAGTTTTGATTTGACTAAGGATGTGCGCTGAGGACTGTAGCTATTGATTGGCTCTGCTGTCTGCTGTGGTCCGTTTTCAATCTTTACCTCGGCCCATTTTCAGCTCCTACTGTGACCTGGTATACCATGGTACTAGAATCTCCTCATACCATTCTAGGCCTTGGCATTCTACATCACACCAACACCCTCTCAATACTAGACGATTCCGGTCACTGCACTTGCTGCCTTCGTTGAGCCTAATCGACTCTCTCGAACCGCATAGTTTCATGATAGCGACGCCAAGAGCAGCACTGCGGATTGTCATTCCGTACCCGACAACATGAAGTGTATTGCGGTAGCAAGAAAAATAGGCCCTTTTCTCGGTCCTATGTGTCATGATATGGGGGGATGATCTGTATTCATAGGTTCTATCGAGCTAAACTACCCGCTGGGTGAATGATATAGCCTATCTCGGCACGGACCATCCGTCCTTGGCGGCATTCACGTGACACTATGCTGTACTGCAAAGACGCGACACTAAGAGCAGCATTTCGTATTGTCAATCCGTGCCCCACAACATGAAGTGTATTGCGGTACCAATAGAAATAGGCCCTTTTCTCGGTCCCATGCTATGCTGCTAGGGATCATCCTACCATAGTGACGACGCGTTGACTTCCGGAACATCCATTAGGTCTAACCTTCAAGACCTAGTACAAACTCCAAATTACTCGGTATCATACAGTATTTAGACTTGACTTCTCCCTCTTGTTTTTCATTCTCCTCAAGGCAGCTATCTACTTGCAACGAGTCATGTATGTCCATTCTCGAGAAATGCCCTCAATCTCACTTTCCTTCCTAGGCTGTGGGTCTGCACTACTAGAAGGGATTGCTTTACTTGGTGCCGTCCCGTGACTGAAACGACACTTGGTACCGTAAGGGCAGTTGGAAACGAAGCGACAACGGCCGCGTTTGAAGTCGGGGGAGAGCCTTGGCCTATGGGGCAATCAGTTAGCAGAGATTCTCATCGAAAGGGAAAGTAACGAGTGCTCACGGCATTTTGGAGGTGTGAATATTGTAATATCTGAAGTTATGGAAGATCGACTGAATACTTTGAGCGAAATGCGCAATTTCGGGGGTCACACTGGGTATTAAGTATGATTCCCCATGCGTGGCTGCCTGTTTCCCACACGAACCAGTGGGCGAAGGGATAACTTATTAAGACTCTGAGAGCCTATCAATACAATGCAGTGCTACATAGAAGCATCACCCTATCGGCCTTGGGTTTGTGTGGCACAGTTAGCTTGCAGGCGTATCATTGTTGACAGCCTGATCTAAGAATGACATGACGAATGCAATGCGTACATTTCTCAAACCTGCGTTGATCATAAAACTCGTATTACCTATATATGCATCCTGGCTCATCAATCGGTGACAGCAGCCGATTTGACAGTACTTAACTTGGAGTCGTAACGCAAGGCTGATATGTGTTGAGGAGAGGGGCACAGCACATCTTCTGTAGACGAGGCTGAAACGTTCGACAAGAGCATTGCCTTGTGGCGTTTTTCTAGCGCCTTGGGAAATCCGCAGTTTGCCAGCCTCAGTAGCTAGATAGCCAATCTGCTCTAAACACACTTTGGGCGGGGACCCGCTCTTTGGAGTTGGTAAAGAGAGACCCGATAAAATGCATGCAGAACATTGTAATGATCGCATACAGCGCGCTGGATAGCCTTGTAAGCGTGCATTTCGTAATTGGTATGGCAACCTAGCCTTATCCATTTGCATGAATTTTCGATGGGTGTGCAGCCATGTTGGGAGGGATCCACGTAGTCAATCATGATTAGTGTACGTTTGGCAGTCATACAGCCGCATTTGGTAAGTCTCCTGCGGGTGCAGGGAAGGTAGACCAGGGATTACAGAACATGCGGCAACGCTCTCTCAAACAAGAGTGCGAAAAATGAGTAGTTTCATCTTTGTATTTGATACTCAGTTTATACACAAGAAAAATGAGCTAGGTATGTCGAGAACCAAACTCGTGTACATAAAGATAGAAAAATAAAGATAGTGAAATCGCGCCGTTCTATCGCTAAATGTATGCTGCGCAAGTCGCACGCTATGCAACACTAGAAGTTCATCAAATCTGGTCAAAATGTTAGCTTGTCATCCAGACAGCAATGGTCACAGCATATGAAAACTCACCTCGTCCAAAAAGCGCCCGTTTAGTCCAGTCCATGGCTAGTAAACACCTTGTCCTGAAGCTCACGCTCTGCGCAAAATACACACCACGCCACAGATATACGGCGAGTAAACCTCCACTTAACCCATAGCCATTGTAGTCGAAAATCGCCGCATTACCGATATACGCTAAACTGCCGAGATGTTTGTACTCGAAAGCCTTGTACACAACCTCATCAAGATCACCATAGTCCACGTTATTGAGCGCCATACCGGGGGCCGCCTGCGCAATCTTGTTGAATTTGCGGCCTAGGTATACGCCCTGTTGATTAGCGCGCTGTGCCGTCGCGGGAAGCGAAGTAAGTTTGTTGTCAATCTGAAAGAGGAGCTCTCTAAGCTCGCCGAAGTCGAGGGTGCCGGATTTGTCTTGATCGTACTGCTCGAATAGCTTGTCTAGACGGCGGAGGTGGTTCGCCGCTTGTGGAAATCGCTGTTTTACTCGTTTGGCGATACCGCGCCAGTCTTGGTAGGACAGTTGGAGCGACTCGGGGTCCTTGCCCTTCTCCCAGGCAGTGGTGCGCAAGAAGTTGACGATGTGGTCGGACACGTTGTTCTGGACGGTTGCGCAGTCACCGATGGCGTAGACGTCACCAAGAGGGGCACCGTTCAGTCGCAGGTGAGTATCGGTCTCAAGGGCGTGTTTGTTGTTCTGGACTTCGATTTTGGCGGCGAGGCGCTTACAGAAGTCGGTTTGAGAGACGCCAGTTGACCAGAGGCAGAAGCCCATGGGGATCTCCTTTGTGACTACCTTATCATTTTCGTCTTTTTGTGAGTAGAGAATACGGTCTGCTTGGATCTCTTTGACGCGGGAGTTGGTCTGAATATCGACCTCGTCTTTCGCGAATCGCTTTTCCGCATACTCGGACAACGCTTCTTCGTAGGTGTTGAGAATGTGACTGCGCGATTGAATAACGTGAACGGATATCTCGTTGCGCAAAATCTTGGGATAGAGCTTGCAAAGGTCTTCGTTCAGCATATCGAAGAGCTCTGCCGCGAACTCAACACCGGTCGGTCCACCGCCACAGACAACGAAGGACAGTAATCTTCTCCTCTCCTCGTCGGATGTAGTCGGTAGACAGGCATTTTCGAGGTTGCGAACGACCTGGTTACGGATCAAGCGGGCGTCGCTGATGTCCTTGAGGAAGTGGCAATGCTCTAGCCCTTTAACACCATGGGGGTTTGTGACGGAGCCCACACCAACCACCAGCTTATCATATGGGACGTAGAATCGCTGCTCCTTGCCATTGGCATCAGGCGCCGAGCACTCGATGAGCTTCTCTGACAACTCGACATCTTCAGCCTTTGCCTTGAGGAAATGTCCGCGCACTCTTCTGACGATCTTCCGGACAGGTTCTACGAGCGACCGCAGCTCCAGCGTTCCGACAGTAGCAGACGGCAACATGGGCGTGAAGAGGAAGGTATTGGATGGCGATATGACGGTGACGTGGTAGTCGTCGGGGTTCAGCTGCTTCAACAGGGCGACGCTCCCCCAGCCGGTGCCCAGGATCACCAGCTTCGGCTTGTGCTTGCAGGCCTTGTTCTCCGGGCTGTCGTCATCGTCTACAAAGTGGTTCGCGATTGGCAAGTTCTTTGGCCCGCCCCTTTGTGGGTTCAATGCGAGCTCCGACACCGGTATGTCGGTTGCGACGGGCTCCTCGTTGTACGTGGTAGCGTCGTATACGAAGAAGGCGACGACCAGGACGCCGCTCACGGCGACGAAGGTGCCGAGTATCGCTGTGGTCCTGAATATGTATCGTACTATTCGCGACCTGGCTACTGGGGGCGGCTTCGTGGACTGGTGTCGTATTGTGGGCCCGTGGCTCAATTGTGACGTTGCGAGTTGAGCGCGCCGCAAGGCGGTTGCTGGACTTCCATGGCTGAAGCATGTGCGGTATTGCGAAGTTGAAGCTCGAGGCGCTCTCCTACAGAGCAGGGAGGCCCTTGTAGGTGTACGGCATGCGCGCGACAGCGATGCAGCCTGTCGAGGCAGCATTGCGGGGAGTCGGACGTGTCGTGGGTCTGGCAGCTGTCGACGGGTGACGACAGACGGATAGACTGGCAATTGGGCGCGCAATTGCAGTGCTAGTCCAGCGATATCATGGGCGTAGGACAGACGAATGTTTGTGTGACGCGTGAAGATGTGAAGACGTGAAGCTGTTCAGGGTACGAGGATGCAGGACGAGGTGTTTAGAAATGTTATCGGTTTCAGCCCTACGTCACCGTCTGCTTCCGAACGGCCATCTCTAGACCAAGCTTCGGCCGGCCCTAGCAAAACTTGTGCTAAGAGGCTTACACCTACATCCGCACACTCCCATATGGCATAGTGTCAACTTGAATTTCGTTTTCACAAAATTTATGTTACCGTGACATCGTGAATGCATTCGTAGTGGGACAAAGCGATGTGCTGTGAACCCGGTCCGACTACTGTATACAATATGTACAGATCTTCGCACCTCCACTGCGGCGACTTCAGCAAGACCACACTCCAACGGTACCGTCCTTGCGCCCTTCGACCAGGTAGCCGTCCTTTATCCGTACACGCTCAATGACAGAGTGTGTCTCAGCATCCGATTCGTCCACACCAACTCCAGGGCCACAATTCCAGTGCCGGCCATCCGTCTTGTCGTACACTTTGACTACATCTTCGCCTGCTGCCGACACAATGCGGCGTGCATCAAACATCATGCCCGTGACGGCGTGGTCGTAGGCGTAGGCGTCGTGGATGGCCCCTGTACGGAGATCCCATATCTAGAACCATCAGCATCGGAAGAAACGCATTATAAAGGTGACAAGACTTACCCGTATGCTCCTGTCCAGGCTGCCAGTAACCAAGTGGACATCGTCGAACTGTAGAGCCGTGACTGGACCTGTATGACCAACCAAGCTGCGATGCACCTGCCCGCTTCGCAGATCCCATAATCGAACCATTCCGTCTGCAGTGCCACATGCCAGCGCGGCATCGAAGACCTGTACAGCTCCCACAAAGTCGGCGGCGGGGTCTGTGGCGCGTCCCGTCTGCCGCCAGGTGCTATTAGTTGTGCTTGTGGCCGTTGCTTGCGCTGCCGCCCAGAGAACGTCGAGCGTCTGCACGCATCGTCCTTTGACCAAGTCCCATTGTCGTAGTGTCTTGTCGGCAGAGCCGGACACCAAAGTGTCGCCGCGGAAGTGCAGTGCAGTTACTTCATCAACGTGCGATGCGAGAGAGAACAGAGGGCAGTCTTGCATGATGGTGGGTGGAGGCGCAGGAGGTGCATCAGCCGAATTCTCAAAGGCGAGGCCATCGTCTTCTTCATCATCCTCTTCATCCTGCTTGTTTATCCGGTTATCCATAGGCGCATATTCAGCCTTACTTAGATCCCACAGGCGTATAGATGCGTCTATCGAGCCAGTCGCGACAATGTTCTCTTCCACCTGCAAGCAGCGCACCGACGACAGATGGCCCTCTAGCATTCCTATGCAGCGACCAGCGTTCAAGTCCCATACTCTAACAGAATCATCCAATGACGCAGTGACCAGTGTGCCCCATGGGGCATCAAAGTCCAGAGCGGTAATTGCGTCCGTGTGCGCTGGCAACTCCCTGATCTTAGACCCTGCCTCTAAATGCTCGTGAAGTATCGGCATCGATATGCGATGTGTCGGTCTCCGTGTCTTGTTCTTCGATTTGGGGGAGGAGATTTTCTGATATATCGACTCGGACATAAAGTCATCCTTGCCCTCATCTTGATCTGCGGCCGTGGACGAGTCTGGCGACTTTGGAGCCAACGCCGCTGCATCCTCCAGCTCCTCCTGCAGATCTTCAATTCGGTTGTCTACACCCAGTAGATCCTGCTCCAGCTCCACCTCTTCGTACTCTAGTCCTGCTAGGCGATCTAGTACCATTTTGCGCATCGTGTTCAGGTTCGCAATCTTGTTGTCGATTTCATGGATTTCCGCCACACACATGTGTTTTCGCACGCCCATCATGTCTAAGCGGTGGCTCATGCTGTGCTTCTGATTCCGTAGCTTCTGCATCGACGGTGGGACGTTCTTGTCGTCTTCTTCATCCTCGCCACCGCCTATCAGCCTCTGGCCCCGTGCATTGTGCCTGCCATGCTTCTTGCCATGACCACTGGGTGCGTCTGGCAGCGACGCTTGGAAGCCCTGGAATAGCGAGAACTCGTTGTTGTCTTCGGGTATATTTGCGAGGAAGTCGTTTGGAATGTAGGAGAGGGCGCGCTGTTGGATTTCGGGGACAGAGATGCGCGAACGCACAATCTCGCGGGGCGTCGTCTGGGCGAAAGAGAAGACGGACCGTTGCAGCATCGGACGCCGCAGTTCGCGGTGAAGCTCTCCCAAGGCGTTTTGGTAGTGTTGTGTCACTCCATCGGCGCCTATCAAGCTCCCGGCGGTAGCAGACACTTTTTTGCCAAATGCTTGCAGATGGCGTGTCTACGGGGAGCGTTAGCATCACGGGTCGCAGCTGGGGGGTCTAGAGAGAAGCTACATCAGGTAGGGTGTCTAGGAGGCTCCCTTCGTCTTCGCTGTGTGGTATTGGTCGTGGGCTTGTGGACCTCCCGCGTGCAGGGGAGCCATCGCGCGCGGCGGACGAGGCCATGCGAGCAGCTGTCGAGGAGTGAAAGAACGCAGTAAGAGGGTGTCTTAGGTCATCATCGTTTTCCGGATCCGAGGAGGAATTCGTAGTCGTAGGGGGACAGACCAATGAGCGGTGTAGCGCGTGGTGATGCTCTAGTGTAGTTATTAAAGAAACGTGTTGGTTGGTGTTGTCAGATTCATGCAGCTCAGCTCAGACATCGGCAAAGCACCTGCGTCATCCGCCGAGAGCTTACCTCTCCGAATGCCGATGCTCGGGCAGGTAGCCTCATCAACTTGAGCTGGCCCACGATGGCCCTATTCACATTCCCGAATCCCTCAGACGCATCGGTGCAACTCTTGGAGCAAAATGGATTCTGTGATTGACCTCTCCGATGCCTCCAAGGCGCTAGACCTTGCCAACATTCGCTCCCAGCTCATGTACCGTGCCTGTAAGCTTCCCAGATTCGACTCACGCTGACATAGCTAGACGATTGGAAGATACAATTACCTTTCACTTGATCGAGCGCGTCCAGTTTCCTCACAATAAGACCATATACGTCCCCGGCGGCGTCCACACGGGTAACAGCGACTTAAGTCTGTTCGACTGGATGCTCCGCGAGCAAGAACGCCTGCAATCCCTCGTGCGCCGCTACCAATCCCCCGACCAATACCCTTTCTTTCCCGATGTCCTTCAAGAACCCATTCTGCAGCCCCTCGAGTATCCTAAAATCCTATGGGAGAACGACGTCAACGTCAACCCGCAGCTAAAGGACTGTTATGTCAACCATATCCTCCCAGCAGCATGCATACAAACTGGGCGCGAGGACAGGGGAGAATCGCAGGAGAACTACGGTTCAGCAGCCTCGTGTGATGTCTTGACGATCCAGGCTCTGTCGTGCAGGATACACTTCGGCAAATTCGTTGCCGAGGCCAAGTTCCAGAAGGAGCCGGAGCGCTTTGCGAAGTTGATCAAGGACGAAGACCGGAAAGGCATCGATGAGGCCATCACAAATGCGGCAGTGGAGAAGAAGGTCTTGGAAAGGTTACGGCTGAAGGCGAAAACCTACGGTACCGATCCAGACCTGGGAGCCAGTGGCCCTTCCAAGGTCAACGCGGATGCCGTTGTGGCCATGTACAAGGTATGGGAGCCTCTACCATTGTGATCACTATGGTGCGTCCTCTGACTGACATGTCAACCAGGACTGGGTCATTCCACTCACGAAGGAAGTGGAGGTGGAATACCTCATGCAGCGACTAAAGGGCACGCAGTGGGAATAGGGCTTGTGACTAACCGCAAGTATCGAATTTACGAATGCAGGACGATTTCAAATACAGGCCAAGCAGGCAACCTTGAAACACAATCCAATAGGATTCAAGACCTTCCCCATTCGAACAGAATAGCAAGTGAAGAAAGCAGCACTAAGATGGGCACCCCCTGCCCAGGTCCTGCAGTAGCGGAATGAGTTCACCAGCATTCAGCCACCGTAACACTCTAGCTTTGAAATGCTCAATATTGCCGTATTTGTGTTCCTCAAACGCCGTAGCTAGTTAGCACAGCGTGCCCAGATGGTAAGCGTAAGCTAACAACGTAGTAGATCTCACAGTTCGTGGGATGCAAAGTCATGCGCCGGTCGAGGGATTCCGAACGCTAATCTGTCTTAGGCTTTAATCACTACACCCTCAGCTAACCAACCCAGAATCTTTTGGTACGTCCTATCACCTTGCCATTCATGCATTGCCGAGCGGTGCAAACCGGGCTAGGCTTTGCACGTGCCATCCAAGGCTTCCAAACACAGCCTCGCGACACCCTCAGCCGCACATGCGGCAACCAAATGCATACCTCAGCTTGCCCATGCGCGAACTGGCTTCCAATGCCCATACAACGCGAGACTCCATCCTTTGTTGGGTTTGGATACCTCTCATTAACATCGGACAGACAGAATGGCCGATACAGCAGGTTTCGTAACGGCCACCGCCCCCGAACCTACGCAAGTGAGGAGTCCTGGAGTAGACGTTACCCTGAGAGATGATGTCTCGTTCGATATTCTGGCATTCATGGCACTTTACTTTGGCACCATGGAAGAAATATCCAAAGATCTTCGACAAATGGCACTTGCTGATACTTTCTTCGATGCTCGGCTCCTATCCCTCGCCAGTGGTGGAGGAGCAGGCGGCTCTTTCGCTGTGAGTATCGTTAAATCAGAAGACATGGCGAGACTTCAGCGCCAGAATGAACGGGCAGGAAACGTGTCTGAAATCCTACCACAATTGATCGCGTTGAGAGTACCCAAGTTGGCCACGGGAACAGAACAGCAGCAAAGGCAGCGCATCCTTACCTCAATAGCGAAAGAGATCGCCGTGCTGGCAAACGACGAAGTGCGCGAGTATGAAAACGTCGTAAAGCTATTCGGGGCATGCTGGAGCTACGCAAACCCCGAGAAGACCGTTCTTTTGCCCGTTCTAGTCTACGAAGCTGCACCGTTGGGCGATCTTGACGCATTCCTCCTGTCTCATAGAAATCTTCCCATCGGGCACCAACTACAGATCTGTGTCGACATCGCGCAGGGCGTTGAGCGACTCCACCGCGTTGGCGTTGTTCACTGCGATATCAAGCCTAAGAATATCATAATGTTCCCCACCATGGATCCAAAACGTCCATACAAGGCCAAAATAGCTGATTTTGGTTGCGCGATCATGCTAGACGACGTCGAAACTGCAACACGCCCGCCACCTGGGACCAGGTTCTGGAATCCTCCGGAGCAGCTGAGCGGAGACCTAGTCGACAAGGACGAACTTCATCGGGTTGATGTCTTTACGCTTGCCTTGGTGATCCTAGCAGTGCTTACTTCGAACCGATCAACAAACACACTGATGCATATTCACAGTCAGCAAGCACCCCCATTTCCGACGATGGAACACCAAATGGGATTCGATTACTTCAAGAAATGGGGAAGTTTGGCCCTGAGCGGAATAATGATCCTCGAAAGATTTTCAAATCTGACTGTTACGCAACGTTCTTCTATCAAAGCCGACCCGTTAGAGCGTCTTATACCTCTCCATTTGCTTGACGACGATAATTGGCTAGATTATTCTGAGCAATGGAATAAACAGATTGCCTCAGTCATGTTCCGGGCGCTACAGGGGGGTGTTTCCGATAGAGATGCTTCAGTACGGGATATCGCATCTGTCCTCGAAGCAATTCTATTTTCCGTAGAGGTCTGGGGCCAAAGAGATCACGTCCGCATGGATCTAGATGAGGTCACGTCGTCAGCAGGAACCAGGATCTCTATGACTTATATACTTGAGCATGACTCCCAAATTCAAATGGAAAAAGCGAGGAGAATGATTGTGTTCAAAGACATGGAAGACATGCTCACCGTCAAGCCAAGTTGGATGTTCGAACCTCATCCGGAAACGAACTTCGTATATGTCCACTCCAGGGCCACGGGTATCAATTCCAATGAAGCCTGGAGGGAAACAATTTTTGGTCACGAAAGAGTGGGGAAACGGCCATGGTTGGCCATTGAAAAGCGAGCTGGTCAAGTTGTCAAAGTGAGTACAATGTTAAAGCACCCAATGATTTCCCGATGCTACATATAGCATTGATATCTCCAAACGACTACTAACATAGCCTCAGCTGACGAATTATCTCGGAAACTTGGCGTACATGCCCGGACCTCTTCTCAATTATATCCTACATGTACTAGACGGGGTTGCTAACGACATAAGAGAACCACCGAAGCGTAGATCGATTGCTGCATACGAACTAGCTCTGGCGTTGATAGCCTATCGCGTTGATGAGTCGAAAGAAGATGGAGACCAAGATGAAGTGACTCGCGCGCTTTCTTTGCTTAACTTTGCCTTGGAGACTGGGCATACAGAGGCCAAGTGGACCATTGCCTGGATATACGCCTCGTTCGGGCGGCAATATACGGATGAGAACCTAGATTGGTTGAGCGAAGGTATGATTGCCGGGAGCCGTATGGCAGCGAGGCGACTTCGACAGCTAGATGCGAGCAAATACAGCGAGACGCGACATCTCATTCAGACCAAATTCCAAGGAATAGGTGAGGGGTGGCAGATACAGCCGCAATACGTTCAAGAAAATCCCGTATGGTTTGAAGGGTATCCTGTTCCGGAAGCAAACCAAATGGTGCTCTTAGCATCTGCGGGTATGAAGGACAGGCTCGAAGCTTTGCTTCAAAGAGATGTCGGTGTCAATTCTATGGACATGATGCAAGAAACACCGCTTATTGCTGCATGTCGCTCTGGACACGTCGACATCGTCGAATACCTCATCGAGAAGGGCGCCGATGCCTCGATGATATCCAAGGAGAACATCTCGGCATTGCACTACTTGAGTAGCTTTGATGAAAATAAAATACCGTATATTGCACTCTTACTACTCGCTGCTGGATGCCCGCTGGATACGCATTCGACAGCTCACTCCAATCTAAACAATGGGACTACAGGAATGGACCGCTATTACGGCCTAGTTGATGGAACACCGCTCTTATGGGCAGTGGCCGCTGATAACATGACCGCTGTTGAGACGTTGCTAGACTTTGGCGCTGATCCGTTCGATATTGCACAGAAACAGTCAACGTCTCTTCCTTATTCTCCTGTGAGTTGGGCAACTGCAATGCATCAAGCCGAGATGCTAGAACATCTTCTCTCAGCTACGGACCAACACGAGCTATCTTCGTTACTCAACCCGACCCCGCACACTTATACTAGCCCGTTTCGTGGTCCACCTCTGGGTTCAGCTGTTGCATACTCCGGCGGTCTTGTATTCTATCGAATTCAATTGCACGGCTCGCTACACCGCGAGAAATGCAGAAAAACCATACATCTGCTCTTATCCAAAGGTGCAGACCCAGCCATCGTGGGCCCCGACAAGGAGCCTGCGCTACACGGTGCAGGACTCCACGGACAACCGTATGCATTCCAAGCCCTGCTGGAGTGGAATAACGGCTCCCTGAGGCCTGATACCAAACTTTGGTTCGAGATTCTGATCGGTGCTGTCGTGAACGATCGGAGGAGCACCTTCAGGGAGCTGCTGAAGATTCCAGTGGAGATGAACGAGCTGTACGCGTGGCCTAGAATCATGGCCACAGTCGCTAGTTATCAAAATACTCGCTACTACCTGAATGCGCTGATCTCGCACCAACAAGATTCAGCTAATTCACCAGCGAACTACACCATGGCGTTTGAAGAGGCATTGCAGAACGAATGCTTTGAGAATGCAAGGATTTTGTTTGACAGGGCGGACAAGTGCGATATAGGTACGTCGGATAGCCTTGCAGTCTCATTTCACTCAGATGACCTTCTTAGTGAAGGTTGCCACTGATGCTTGACCTTTACACGTGCTGACTGGTTGCGATTTGTAGTATTCCGGCGCCTTGAAGACGAGGACGACCCTCGCTCACGCGAGAGTATGACCTTATTAGGTAGGCTGATGCGTCAAGCCATAATCTACGCATCCAAGTTGCAAGCCGTACGCGAGTTCCTTGCGCTAACCGGCGGTCGAGAGATTCTCTTCGATAACGTTTGGGACGTGGAGATGGGGAAGTACAACGCCCTTCAAGTTGCCGTAGGCTACTTCCCACATGGGAAAACCAAGACCCTGACGGCCGGGCTGCTCGAAACTATTTTGAAATATTTCAAGCTCCCACGCCATCTAGCCTCCATCCATCACGTCAAGAACCGGTCCTTACTGCACTTGGCTGTTCGTTACGGCAACGTAGCGGCTGTCGAGATTCTCCTGGGATACCCTGGCACCGACGTAACTCATCGCGATGATCAAGGAGGAACTCCTTTTGATCGTGCCCTGAACAGATTACAAGACTCGTGGCGCGAGCAAGAGCTGGCTTACTGGGAGGTTCCCGCAGATCAACTGGAGCAAGCCCGAGAGGACTGGGACATCTACACAAGGGCCATCATCATGGTCATGCAGGCAAAAGGGGCATCTAAACATTCGACATATTCCCATGTCTTCAAGAGGCTCTCTGAGGAAAAGGTTCGTCGATGGATGATATATCCTGACGATGGGAGGATCGAGGTTACGGACTATCAGGTCTCGATTTTCGAGTCTGGCGAAATAGCTGACAAGGTTGCTTCACTTCCGGTTGGTCGCTGCACGTATTATGCCATGTTCGCAGATCCTGAAGTCACCAGAAGAATGCCAGGCGCTCGCGACACGAGCATAACGGATGCTTTCAACGGTGGCAGGATATCATCAGCGGCGGCGTTGCTTGCACCAGACGACAGGCCCAGGTGAAGCGAATTCGAGTTTCTGAGCCGTTTTTCGTCCGCGCGAGACTTGTTCCCACTAGGCTACGTAGGAGCAACGAGAAACTCACCTGACTTGCACATTAAATTCGCTTGGACTGTGTAGCCTAAATTGTCGTAGCTTTCGGAAGCGCCGGATTGTCCTCGAGTTTATGCACGCTAGCCTGCGCCAGTGCGGCTGAGGACTTTTGGGCTGAGGATCAATTTACACGGCTCAGCCGCAATGTTTCCATCAGAAGAAATATTGTGGCGTCCAATGAGACTATTGGGCTAAGATGCATACGATCAAGGCTGTGCAATCTAGACACCATCAGCTTCCTTTGCCCAGCCTCGACTTATAGGTTAGTACTACACTACTTTGCGCTCTGTAAGATGATATTTGTCAAGCAGAGCCGCATAGATTCAAACCTGCTGCCTATCTTTCTTCTTGCCTATGATATCATAGCTTTCTAGTGTACGTATCCTGATGAAGTGTGCCTTATTGCTTTAACTTATCTAAATTCCGTCTCAAAAAGCGTAGAATTCCGCCGAGCCTTTTCATCAGACCTCGCACGCCTAACTGGGATTACTTGCATTGATCTAGTCTGATACTATTTCGTCAGCTTGATCATGGACGTGATTCAAGTTCTCGGTTTCACGGGCCAAATATTCACTGGATGTTTGAAGGGCTTTCAAGCTTTCCTAACAGCTGGTGAACTTGGCCGAGACGCTCTTCAACTGCAAATCACCTTGGAATGGACTCGCTCAAGGCTCGACATGTGGGGCACACTTTGGGGCCTCGAGAAGCAGGAGCATCTTAAGGACATACGCTTCCGCCAATTTGGCATGATGGCTCTGAACCATCTTGTTTACATCAACTACTGTCTGGAAGAGTTCAAAACGATGGATGACATCTTTCCGACACTGGGGGACGCTTCAAAGTACGTTTCTACCCCTGCCGTTTCCCTCGCGAGGCTCTCGAAGAGTGCCGAGGTTACACCTGACGAATTGGAAGCTTTGAGATATAAAATGAAAAATCTTCAAGGTGATGCAGCTGCAAAGGAGAAGGTCAAATGGGCGCTCCAGGATGGAAGAGCTCTCAAGATGGCGGAAACTGTGAAAGCGATGGTGGAGGACCTCTACACCCAGTTCCCACCCCCCGCAGCCGAATCAAGTCCGATTATCAAAAATACATATGCCGCCTCCGATTCTTTAGACACGCTCAACTATGCTGCCAACAGTTCTTCTTCAGATCCGGAGCTCGCTCGTCTCTGTGCCTTCAAGGCCGAAAACATCAGATTACATCTGGAAAACCGCACCGAAAAATTGCTGTCCAAGGATCCGGAACGATTTGACGTGCTCACAAGTCTGCGAATGCATCAAAAACTAGATGGTACCCCGGACGAAAGCCGATTCTTAGGTAGATTCCGTGAAGAAGGTGTTTCATACAGCATTTCCGTTCTTACCGAGCAGAAGACGGTTAACAGCAAAATAATAGCAACCAGCACGCTCGACAATCGCATCCGAAATGTAGCACGATTACTCTCCCTGGATAGCAAACCCTCCGAGCTACGAACGCTAAACTGCCTGGGCGTGACCATCAGCCGCGAGGAACCCAGGATATACCAATTCATCTACGAGCTCAAATCCAAAACCTTCTTCACACTCGCTGACTGTATTCGCACACCCACGGACAAAAATATCAACGGCATGCACCGCGACAAGTGGCCTCTGGAGCAAAAGTTCAATCTAGCCAAACAACTCGCCCGAGCGGTGCAGTACTTCCATCTAGCAGGGTGGCTGCACAAAGGCCTCCGCAGCAGCAACGTCATCTTCTGCGCCGACACCGCAGCGGAAATTGACCTCTCAGAACCATACATCTTAGGCTTCGACTACAGTCGCAGCGAAGTCGCGCGCTACGAAACCGAAACAGTCGAGACGACTGACAAAGCCGAAATCGCCGCAAACGCCTTTCGGCACCCAAAGACGCAGGGTCCGCCCTCCGATCGCGCAGAATTCGAGCGCAAGTTCGATATTTATAGTCTAGGCATGGTCCTACTTGACATTGGGTCCAAGCGCTCCGTGCCCAACCTGAGGGAGAAGTACGGGAAGATGCCGGAACATGCACCTGCGACGGCTGAAGGGTTTAGGGACTGGCTTTTGAATGAGGCAATTGACTCGGATACAACAGGCTTGGTGGCCCGAATGGGGTCGAGATATGCGGACGTGGCCAAGGTGTGTTTGCGTGGCAAGTTTACAGGCAGCTACAACGGTGATGCGAATGTTGCGTTTTTCTTAGAGGTACTGAGACAGTTACAACGATGTTGCGCGTAGCATGATCGACTCGTAGCTGCCTTTCTTCCTTGGACCTATTTGAAGCTATCTTGCCAACCGCAAAACCTCTCTTACAGTTCCTACCTCGTATTGAATTAACAGATGGGCATACACAAATCTGACTCCATGACGCCTTATGACTTTCGATTTAGACAGGCAGAATCTACGCGTAGCTTGTAATGCTCAAGAATGGGAAATCAAACAGATTATCCAAATCGAGAAAGTTTTCGGGGACGTAGTTAAGAGTCGGTAAACCGCCACTGGCCATGGTTAAATTATTGAAGGGTTGAACTGTATCTTCCATCGTCGACAGAGGCATATCCGGGAATATATCGTCAAATGATAGTGTTACTGCTACATCGCCCGCTGTGATGGCATCGGTATTGTCTAGACATGACGTTTGAGTGCTGCGGTCGGAATGACTAAGCTTTGCGTGTAGATCGCGTAGTCCCTGAAGGCGATGCCATGTCCGCCTCAAAGCGGCACACTTGGAGCTCAGGACTTGGAAAAGATGCAGAAACATGTCGAATTCCTCTCTGGCACTGTTGCGAATCTTCGGACCTGTGCTGACGATGGCGAGTAACAGGTTCCCAAACGCAGTCAAGAGGAGTTGATGGAAGAACATGGGATGCGTGCGAATCAAAGGGGTTTGCTCATGGAGGCGGAGCATGGTTCGAATTGTCTCCTTTGAGATCTCAATTGCTTTGAGTAGGGTCGGCTCATGACGGTGAGATTGTACTGGAGATTGTAATACTGTGCGATAAATGAGGTTTCGAAGATGAGCTTTTCGGACGAATAGAATCGAGTGGTAATACGTCGGCTGATACCGCTCGTCTTGTGTCCAAATTGAGCTATCTGCCAACTGAAGATGCTCCGGGAGATTTCCATACCACTCCATGATCTGGTAGTCCAGATAATTGATATCGTCGACTCTCGATTCGTACGACTTTTCAGTTTGATTGTTCAATGCGTGCCATGTCTTTCCAGCAAGCCTAGTCCACTGCAATAGCGTCGCTTGCAACGGATTTGTAGTTTCGATCGTGTAAAGCGAACGGTCGATGTAGGAATCTTGGATTGAAAATGGAATGCCTTGTCCCAAGCTAAGTCTTCTTTCAAGCATGTATACAGCCCAAAAGGCTTGCAATGCTTCAGTACATTCTGCTGTATTCGGGAAGACCTTTTCAAGCATTGAGCGACGGTGTAAGCCTGATTCGAGACATAGTCTGGCCGCAAACGCTATGCATCTACATGTTCGAACCTCCTCGTTAAGATGTAAGTGATACATGGCCTTATTGGTTAGCTTTTAGCCAGCTCGGGATCCATTGTGAACTTACTGCTAAGAAAAGAAGCTGTATACCATGGATGCCCTCCGGATTCCATATAAGCCCTTCTACCGCTTCAGAAGTACTCTGAAACAATCTTTGCGCTTGGTGCTCTCGACCACCAGCTAGCTTGGCCATCCCGATTGCGAGTACAATCTTCAGCTTGTTCGCGTTGTGGTCAAACAGGGCCTCGACTACAGATCCGCCTCGTTCCCTTAGCCCTTCCGAGCGTACTAAGTCGAGCGAGTCGAATACTTTACTTGCTGTGTCCACCATGGTCCGTCGACTTAAGATAGGGTAGACAGTGCCGAGACCTTCACACCAGTCATCAATCAGAATGTGCGCATCTTCTCTTGTTATATCCCAGAGAGGATCCATAGTTAAGAGTTTCACGAAGGGGCCATACTGCGCCAGTCGGCCTGCGGAAGTCGACGGGACGCCAGACCCTGAGTGTTTATCAGGTATCGCTGACTGCATGCCCATGGCTCGAAGATTTCCATTCACGGCATTAAAGGTATATTCATTGCTGGAAGGACCGCAGAACTCGGGGGAGTTTGTAGAGAATTCAGGGGGAGACCCATTTAACACAAGGTCCTGGCTTCTGGTGGGTACTCTGTGTCCTGGAAGCGATAGTGGGGACATAGTGCAAGGCTTTGGATCTGTCGAAATCAAGTGACTATCATTTGGAGTAGTAGTTGCCTGCGATCCGGAAATTACACTGTGGCGGCGTTTCGTGACCGTCTGGCCCCTACACGAGGCTCGTAAGAGTATTTTCAAACGCGTGCTGTACTCACCTGTCCTTGCCCGGGGAATTTTGAGCTGAAGTTGAATAAACGCAGTCGAACGACTGTCCCGCGCATCTAGCGCAAGGGGTATCGCCGTCACATCTGACCTTTCGACGTTGACATTCCTTGCTCCTGCGTTTCAGCAGCGCGAACCCTACTAGCAAGAGTTGAAAGCTTACCAGGCGCGTAAAGCGTAACGTGCTCTTTTGGATCGGTACATTCCCGCACAGGCGTTAATTCCCGTCGCTGTCTGCATCACCGTCAAATTCCTTGTACACAGCGCCAGGTGCAATGGAAGTTGAATGGTCGAATGAGAAAGAGGTTGTTTTTAAGATCCCCGTAAACCCCGCATTGCGTGGCGTCCTTGGCGCTGGAGCTCGGCAAAAGAGCGTGGTGAAGTCGAGCGTCGCGTTTCAGTAGGGTGCGAAATTAACCGTAGCCGGGCTTACCTGCCTAGGTGACTGGGACTAGAAACGCAGTGCTCGCATTGGGATGATACGCATTTGGCAACATATTTTGACCACTACAACAGGAACGGACGCATGCCAACCCTAGATTGCATATAATCGTCAAATAATAGACTCAAGAGCAGCATAATTTTTCCTAAAACACATCAAAGGCCCCAAAACTATACAAGCTTGGATTTCATCACAATTGGAAAACCAAGGTACATTTCATGCCTACCGAGTGTGGACGCTGATGGCACGCGGGATGGTTCTTCCCTCACGGTCGCCACTCGAACCCAGGATGGCGCCAATCGAGGTCTACAATCTTTTCGTGACTCAGTCCACTGAGTTCCGCTGCCACATCTTTCCGCTGTCTGCGCTTATTGTCCATTGTCATCCAAAGAGCCATGCCAACACATGTAATAAGGATAAGGCTCTGTGCCGCCAGGTTTAAGCCATTGCCAATTGGATAGTTCGGTTTGTCGCCAGGAAGGAATGCCCAAGTCGAAATGATCCCACCGATGTTTCCAAACATCACATTTGTTCCGATGGCTGATGATCGAGCCGTATCGCTTACGACATTGGCTGCCACCTGGGCGTTACAAAGAGCTCCAGAGTTAAAGGCACCGGTTGCGATGATGAAAACTGCAGCGTACCGCACTTTAGCGTTGGTACTAGCAAGAAACATGATGTAGCCGACGATTACTGGTAGCGCACTGACGCCCATATATATGTTCCGTTTGTCTGTCTTCCAGCTAGTAAAATTTACGACGAGAATGGCAGTCGCTCCCAGAACGAAAGGTGGTACTGTCAAAAGCTGTTGGTGAACGACTGTAGCGTTTGGATAGATCGTCCTGATGATGGTTGGTGCAAAGAAGGATAGACCTTGCACTGTGATGCAGGCGAGAAGGAAGACCCAGGAAGTTGCCAGTACGACTGGATTCAGGATCCCCCGAAGGACTTTCTTGGTGTCCATTCTGTCCAGAACCTCAGTCGTCCCAACCCTTTCCGATTTCAGGCGATTGATTGCCAGTAGCTTTTCTTCATGACTCAACCAGCGAGCCGTCTCCGGTCGGTCGGTCAATGTGACGAAGCTAAGAAGGGCCAGCCCAATAGTGACAATTCCTTCGATGGCGAAAATCATCTTCCAAGTGTGTACTGATCCAAAGGAGTCCAGTCTCAGTATGGCCGAAGCGAGCAGGCCGCCAAATGCGCCTCCAAGGGGGGCCATCATCACATAAAGTGCGAGTCGGAAAGCAAGCTCTGAACGTCTATACCAACGGGACATGTAGTAAGCAATACCAGGCAGCATTCCAGCTTCAAACATCCCAAGGAGGAAACGAACAGCGCAAGCAGTCTGAATATCCCGTACAAAAGCGAAAGCAACAGTAAGGATTCCAAACCCTAGAGCGGTCCCTGGCAAGAACCAACCAGGTCCTAGGATTTTGCATGCCACGGTAGATGGAATCTCAAAAATGATGTAGGATATATAGAACACTGATAAGACCTTGTTATAGTCCAAGCCGGTCAAGTGCAAGTCTTTCTCGAATCCCGCAAGCCTGGCGTTTCCTTGCACTCGTTAGCATTGATCGTATTCGTACTGAACCAACTTACCAATATTTGCACGGTCGATGAAGCAGAACAAGTATAACATCGCGACGGTTGGGACGATATAAAGGTCAATTTTGCGCACCAGGCGACGCTCAGCAGCCGGATCGAAGTGCAGCAGAGAGTGACCATGCCTAGAGGGTCAGATGGGGTTATGATATCGTATTCTGGGTACCTACTCATCCGTAGCAGCCTGGCCAGAAAGATCAGCCTTGTCCTCGAACCCTTGCTCGGGACCCATCTCGAGGTGGACTGCAGTCGGTTTGGAGTTATCGTAAGAGGATGTATGAGCCATTATTTGAGGAGCTCATCTTTTGGAGGATCGCGCATGGATAAATACTTCTTCGTTGACACTGGGAAAGGGGGTGGTCATGCGTGCTCTTTCCGGAACTCTGAAGCTAAACTTGGGTGGCTGAAGCTTGTTCACGAGATACTCGGATGCTAACCACTCGAAGCTACTATAGACGAAAGTTGAAGCCACTCTTCCTACCCCATACTTTGTTGCCCCCCATTACCCCATACCCCAGGTCGACTCGATAAGAGCTGTGGTTGGTAGATGGTTTTGGTTTCGGGACGGCGGAACGCGGAACGCGGAAGACGGAATGCGGAATGCATCCAAAGTGGAGTAGCGAAGCTTAGATGTGGTTGCTGGACGAACCACAAATCTGCCGAAACTCGATGCCGCTCTGTTTTGGCAGGACGATTATAGGATGATGCTCTTTCTAAGACACCAGGCCCCCTCAACATAGGCTTGTATGCAATAGTTGGATGGGACTTGTTGCAATTATCCGAGCCGTGGAAAGAATAACGTATATTGCTTCAAGTGCACGTTGTGCAGACCTCTCTTAACCTAAAGGCGTTCAGTCCTCGTCTTTGGAGCTTTCATACATGATGAATTTCCCATTAACCATTTACCTGGCAGTTGCTGTCGGGCTTTGTTACATCATCATCTACTTGATTTGGGTGTGTGTCGCCTCCCCCGGACGAGCAATTCCAGGCCCATGGGCTAGTCGTTTCACTCGATTGTGGTACTACAGAGGTATCCGTGCAGGTTCATTCCACCATGAGAACATCGCACTGCACGAGAAATATGGACCGATCGTCCGAGTGGCACCCGGATTCTACTCCATCACTACGCCAGACAAATCTGTTTACGGCATAGGATCAAAGTTTCCCAAAGGGGAGTGGTATAAAGGTTGGCAACATCCAACTTCAACTAGATGGACTCTTTTCCCAGACCAGAATATCAGAAGGCATGCGGAAACTAGGAAGCGGTTCCAAGGCCTTTATAGCATGAGCTCGTTGCTCTCTTACGAGATCTACGTGGACGAATGTATCGACGTATTCCTCGACAAGCTTGGCAACTTTGCCCGATCAGGAACAACAGTCGATCTTGTTCATTGGTTTCAATGCTACGCATTTGATGTTATTGGAGAGATTACATACTCGGAGCGCTTTGGATTTCTCGATAATGGCGACGACATTGCAGGCACGATGGCTGCGCTCGACAAATCAATGGTCTACTCTACTTTGGTTGGCGTCTTTCCGGAATGGCATCCAACTATATATGCAATCATGGAAAAGATTCCAGGATCTGGAGCGGCCGGCCGGACGTACCTAATGAATTTCGTCCAAAAAAAGGTCGACGAGCGAGAGCGGGCGGAGAAGAAAGCCGCCCAGAAAACCACGGCTCATATTTCAGAGGATAGCGTAGCTCCACAGGACTTCTTAGACAAGCTGATGGACGCGCAAAAGCAGAACCCGGAAAAGGTTACCTCGGATCACGTCTACATGATGGGACTGAGCAACATCATCGCTGGGTCCGACACAACAGCTGTTTCGCTCTCGAGCATCACTTACTATCTGATAACTTCACCACGGATATTATCAAAATTAAGACAAGAGATTAAAGAACACGGTCTCTGGCACAAGAGAATAACTTTCAAGGACTCACAAGAGATGCCTTACCTGCAGGCTGTTCTCAAAGAAGGACTAAGGATGCATCCAGCTACTGGATTACCTCTATGGCGAGTTGTTCCAGAGGGCGGGTGGCAAGTCGGGGAACACTGGCTTCCACCCGGCACCAACGTTGGCTTGAACAGCTGGGTCGCTCACTACGACAAGAGTGTTTTCGGTGACGACGCTCATACATTCCGCCCAGAGCGATGGGAAGAAGCCAAGCAAGAGGGCGGAGAACGGTATCGAAAGATGGAAGCGAACTATATGCCGGTATGGTATGCCCCCATGCATTTACCGACGTAAGCTGACAAGACTTTCTAGTTTGGCTTGGGTTCAAGAACTTGCCTGGGACGCCACATCTCAACATTGGAAATGTCCAAGCTTATCCCTGAAATCGTGAAGAACTTTGACTTGACGCTGGGGATGCAGAAGGAACAGTGGAAGACGATCAACTATTGGTTTGTGAAACCAGAGAAGTTGCCGGTCGCAGTGAACCGTCATATCAATGCGGGGAACGGCAACATGGAGCACTAGAGGTGCTCATTCATGACCTTGTACATTCACTCGGTGATTTTCGAGAGTGGTGATTCAATATAAGTCTCCAGATTCAATTTATCATGAGCATCAATGACTCGATTACATATGTAGACGTCTTCTTTCACTAGCATATGCTGGTCACCCCAGTCATATCATTCGATCAGTTTTACGGACACCAAAGGAAAGAGGGTAGGAGCCTAACGAAACGGGTTTAATGAGACTTCGTACGGTTGGTTTATCGTAAACAGAAAACAGAAGGCCAGCGTACAGTGCGCGAGTCGTGAACAAATCGAGGAGACAATTATACAGCTCCTTGATGAACATTTCCGCGGATCGTAGTGCCATCTTAAGCCTTATGAGATCTCCAATTTGGTATCGTAAAATCTCAACTTGCATATCAGTTTCAATACTGGCTTTGCAGAAATCTCTCAATCACCTCTTCTCCAAACTTATCCCTTCCAGCGCCTCGGAGACCTTGCATGATCTCATAATCGGGTCTCCACACATCCCCGACCTCATAGTACACCCTTCTAACTTGAAGATCACTGTCATTCTCATCTCCCCATTCTGCTGCCTTGCCAGGCGCATAATAAGATATATGGAATTTGCCTTTTCCGTAACCAAGCTCAGAAGTGAGCATGAAGTGTTTAAGAACCGGCATCTTCTGAAGCGCCTTGGCGAGGGCGGCAAGAAGTAGATTGACCGTTAATGGGTCGCCATGCTCACGGTAGTTGTTGTAGTTGGAATCGCTAGAATCATCGCCGATGATGCCCTCACCCGGCTCGTCATCCTCGTGATCTTCTGGCCGCGGTCCCGTGAAATACCACTCACCACATGGCGCCACCATATTGAACGTGAGATCCAATGTCTTCAAGAACGGCCAGTTAGGAGAAACGGTCATTTTCTCGTCGTCAGACGGCCAGAAGAGCGTTGAGTCAACGTGAGCGCTTAACGTAAGGGCGGTGAGATTTTGCGAAAACGTACGCAGGCCTGCACTAAACGGGTCATAAGAGTATCCCGATGGTACGAGAGATTCACCCTTGAGCCGCTGATCGAAAGGAAGCTCGTGATAGAAGATGATTTCCGCAGTAGAGCGTTGTTGCAATCGACTTAGCTTGAGGGCCTCTGCGAAGTCTATGCGATTGTTGCTTCGCACGCTCTTGGACTCAGGATCAGAGTCATTAAATACCCAGGATATGTCCTTCAAATTTGGGAGAAATGCTGCAAGATTTGGTCCGACATTTGGCGCCAGGTTTCGTCGACTGTTGCCATCGATTTTTAGATAGTACAAGTTCGACAAGTTCGGTAAAGGACTTGTTTGAAGCAGCCGAAGGAACGACTTTTCAAATCGACACTCGAAGATATCTTTGCTGCGTTTGCGCATTGCAATCTCGAGTCTGAGCTGTGACTTATTATCCAAGCGTAGATCTGTGGGCGAAAAAGCGTTTCCATGCGGAAGAACCAATCGCAGCGCGGTCTGAATGCCCTCGTTCTCCCACACTTTCAATATCGAGAATAGCTTGTAAATGCCCAAAGTAAAGGCTTCGTCATTGAGCAGCTTCTCATCATCTGTTTCCACTCGACCGCATGCCTCCTCCGAGTATTCTGACAGCAGAATCCTGTAGCTCAGTGTGGTCAGATATTTGCGGCGGTTGTCCGTCACAATATCCTGAAAATGAGTAAGCTCATCACTTTTGAGCCTCAAGCTATGGAATGTGTTCAGCTCTACTGCCTCCTTCCAGGTTCTGGAGAGCGTCGCATATGCTGGAAACTTTGAAGGCTCTCGAGACTGCTGCTGAAGCACCGGAATGTTCCCTTGCCCGTCGTATCGGTCTAGATGATATACAATCCTGTTGATCAACTCTTGTGGTAGTGTGTCCATCGTGATAGCTGGTGTTACGTGGGATCTCCTGCAATTGCGATGTGGTGGTATAGTCGAAGCTGGAGCCGAAGGGCGGGAAGTGAGAGTGGGCTGGTGCAGGCAGTTTAGGTGTAGGCTGCCGCCAAGGCGCTAGTGTATTTTGTGTGACACCCCGGTTAAAAGGAAGGGCAAATTAGAGCATTAACATTACACCGCTGAGGTCTGCTTATTGCAGGTGGGTTTAAGTTGCTAGGGATGCGCGACAGCGCGAGGAGACACGGGAGCTTTGGGTGCGTTGTAGGATACAGCACAATATCATCAGTTGTGCAGGCTTACGTCACATGGGGTACAAGTCAGATAAGGCATCATCTTACTCCTGACATCTTTATGATATCTAGCTCCGACCTTGTTGGACTCCGACCCACCGATATTGACATCAGCTCAAAAATGACTTATGTCGAGACCCCAATACAATACCAGTAGTCCTTCCAGAACGAAGAACCACACGAATTACCATTATCTAAAGCTCGATTCCATTCGTACAGTTGAGTTGCTGTGATCTTATTGCGCTCAGCGAACAGCTGCCGTAGCATATTAGCTGAATTGCTTTTCATAAGTGTCTCAGGATAGCTTACCGCGCAATAATCCCCGTCCAAGGCTTGAGCAACCTTGTTACAGTTACTGACCGCGTTGTTGGGTTGATTAGGCGTCGGAATTATGAACCTGCTAGTAGAAGTCGGTGTAGGTGGAGCAGATCGACTGACAGTGATCGAGTCGGAAGTACCCACACAGTACGCCTGTTTCAACCAGAAGTTTGTTGCGCAGTCTTTTGATACAGCGGGGTTCCAAGCAAAAAATTGTGCTGTCGTTATGAAATATTTGTCTGCAACGCTAGCACAGCTATCTCCATCCACGACCGTATGCCATCTGACGCAATTGGCGGGCTGTCCGCTGTGGGTCGGTGCTGAGGGGCCCGGTGCTGCTGTGCTGCTTGGTACCACCGAGGTTGGGCTTCCACTTGGGATGGGCGGCGGAGCGTTAGGTGATGCGATACAGTATGCCTGCTCTGTCCAAAGGTTCGCACAATCAGAGCCGACAGCCGGATTCATCCTGAAGAATTGCGCAATGGTCAAATTGTAGGTAATGAGGACATCGCTGCACGTGAAGTCTGCAGGAACATCTCCAAAATCGGTACAATTCACGTCGTATCCTTCCTATGACACGTTTATCAGCGCAAAGTCCCTTGTTGAGGAAATTTACAAGACTTACTCTAAGAGGAAAAAAGAAGTTGGGTCCTTCTACTGGGGGCGGCGGCGAATCGACGTAGAATCTGCCACAGTAACGAACTCCACTTTTGAAGCTGCAGTTGGGCATTGTGGTGTTACTTCCCAGTTCCGGGTTCCACGTCAACAGTTCTTCGAGCTTTACACGGTAAACAGCCGCTGCCAAGTCACATTGATGACGGAAATTTGTGCCTGAGATATCAATCTGCATTTGAGATCCATCGAAGTATCGATAGCAGTCATCTCGTGTATCGGTGGCAAGAGGAACGCGTGTAGATGTAGGTGTAGCTGACGCTGCGCTTGTGGGCGTGAAGGTGACCTTGGTGAAGGGCAAGCCGGTGGGTCCAGGTGTATGATAACCCGGTCGGCCAGAGTAGGTGTTGACTATGTGTTTGTTACTCGCAATCCTACAGGGGATGTAGCCCACTTACTGTCACCGACTGGCTCTACGCAATAGCTAATGTCCAATAGAAGATTTGTACAATTTGTGTTGATTGATGGGTTCAAAAAGACAAAATCTAACAAAGAGATTCCATACTTTATTGTTACTAGATTGCAGTAATCACCTTCCGTAACATTATACCATTTACCACAGTTCCTGTTCGATTCGTCTTTGGCATTCGTAGGGACTGGGGCTGGGCTAGTAGCGGTACTTGGAGCCAGAGGAGGCATAGCCGGGGGTGTCACATAGGCTTCGCCAGGATTCGATACGCAAATAGACGTCTCGTTCATTTTGTACAGATTGTAACATCCTGCGTTGATGATCTGAAGCAGTCAGTAGACGAACCTCAGCAGCATTGGCTATGAACCTGCGACTAACTGGGTTCCAGGCTTTGAGTTGGGCAATCGTGATGTTGTTTGACTTTGCCATAGACTCGCAAGTGTCGGACGCTTTGACAGTATATACCTTGCAGGTGTTTTGGATACACAAATCACCACTCTCGGGAAACCTGTCACAATAAGCGGCGAGATTGTTATCCGATAGCAGCCACGCGGTCCCTATACTGTTAAGCTTGGAAATGCTATAACAGTCGTCGAGAGTTGTTATTGTGTACTTTTTGCCTACGCAGGCTGATGGTGTTGGGGTAGGCGCCACTGGTCTGTCAAGTATGAGAAAGAGATACTGAACGGTGGAGTGAGACCATCTTACTGTGACCAGGACATGGTTGACGTGGTCAGAGGGTACCCAGAAACTCCACAGCTTGAAGTCTTGGATTCATAAATGGAGCTTGACCGAAGTTGTGGTCCATGGTAGTACGGTGAGCCAGCCTGCTTCTGCAAATTCTTGATGAAGCACAAGTCACAAGGTCCCGAAGATTGGACGCCAGATGGTGGCACGCTGTCCCATCCTATGGGGCTCTCTGTATTTGCTTAGTTCCAGTATAGAAATAAGAAGTCTAATACTTACGTCCTGGGTCGGCTTGCATCGCAGCCGCTGCAGCGACTACGTTGCACCAACGTCCGGAATCTTGGATGCAAGCCAATTCCTGATTGAATCGCATCACATTTGGGATGAGGTCAAGAGGTGCATCGTCTTCTGCATCGTATCCAGCCCAGGTTTGTCCAGCACAGGCGGTTTTGATGCTCTGCTCATATCTTTGCAGCGCCGTGGAGCAGGTGGCCGTGCATGCTTTCTCTAGAATCGTTGGCGGATAGTAGTAGCCACTTGTAAAGCGAGCAACGATGGGAGGGCATTGCGAAACGTCGGTAAGGAGAGCGTTGGCGCAAACAGTAGTCAGATTAGCGGGTATGGTGCTGTTGGTAAAGAATGGAAGCGCGTAGGCAACTTGAAGTGGGATTGTGAGCAGCAGGAGCGATTGGAACATGCATGAAATCTGCTGAAGCATCTTGCATACTCTGTTAGCGATCAGTAAAGTGGAATTGCAATTGAAGATAGTGCAGATGAAACTGCGCGAAAAAATGAGTGAGGAGAGCAGCTCAGACTACCTGCTTCCACACAGGCAAGGAAGCTGATGTCGGAGTATATATTAGTTACCCATGGCTGATTGCTGTATCTAATAGGTCAGATGTCTCCCTCGGCGGGGTCCTGCGAGCGGGCACGATGCTATCTGAGTCGGTTCTGCATGATTCCTGCATGTGCTAGGTAAGCTTACCGGCCTTGTTCGGTGGAAATGTTGATCACAACGCCACCGACTTAGGAGAGGATCATTAGACTTCGGAATCAAGCTGAGGGCGACTAGTAAGCTGCGAGACTCCTGCAAGAGGTAGTCGCGTAGTTCCAAGGATGTCGCGGACACTCCCGCACAATGCGGAGTGGACGCATCCTCGACGGGTACCGGTAAGGCCGTGCCCCGTCCTGCCCCGTCGTGTAGTCTCCCTGTTGGCTGTTAAGGAGACGGTTGATGAAACAATCTTGCCTTTTTAAGGTTCCTTGATGATAATTGTTCAGCTTGTCGCTAAAGTCTCGCTCTTGGCGCTTTTATTAGCGCAAACCATAGCCTATCATCTCGCGGAGAAGGCTGCGGCTTATCCTCCTCCACCTCCACCATGCGTCCTGGTTCCTGCCGTAATCCACGCTTCAGTGTCCTTGAGTGTCATCTCACTTCCACAATTTGCTGATCTGCATACTCTTCTATGTGGCATATTCCACTTCCAACCTCAGAGGTCCTCTTTGGGACGCGAGGTAAAGTTCTATAGGAGTCTGGCTGCCGTTGGGACGACACAGGCATCGAAGGTCGCTATAGCTGGCCACACAATCTTGCGCGTGATGCCTGTCTTTCGCTCGTGTCACGATCCTCGATGCGCCATTCAATAAGATCCCGCAGATGTTGTGTAAGATACTCAGCCTCGGCACTATATTTTCTTCTGCACCTTCGCTACTGCTGACCGGTATCTCTTCAGGGGAGCACAGTGCTGACGATGACAAGTCAAGTGAGGGCGTTTTCGAAAATCTAGCGGGACTTAGAGGCGAAACAGGCAATCAAAGTCCGTGTTTCCGTCTGCTATCCCTTCTTGCATGCAGGTCTGCACTAGGATATGATGTGCGCGCCACCACCACCAGGAGAGACGCCGGTTACAGACCTGCGGATATTTGCCGCATGATTTGAGTACCATCCTCCTCAGTTGTCATCTGCTCATACATTCCTTGCCCCTCCGTTCATTCACACACTTTTCCGTGAACTATGGCTCAAAAATCGTCCATTCTTTCATTGTGGACAGTCGTCTTCTACATCCTTTCACTCGCCAATGCATTTCCTCGGTCGCACTCGCGTTTCCCCGAGAATATCAATGCCCCGACTTGCAAGAATCCCGTCTCGTATGTCACAATCGCTGTATACGATTCAATATTAACGTTGTTCAAGCCCCTTCGATTATTCCGCAAAACCAAAGCGCGATGAACTTGCACCCATCTGCCCCAATTCCCCGGGTATAGACCTTTTCTCGAGAGCGCTCGAGCCACGGGCTGAGGATGACTACTCATGCTCCCAGTCCAAGCCATGCAAGAACGGGGCTTGCTGTCCAAAAGCTACCGGATATTGCAACTATGGCGAGAAGTACTGTGGTACTAATGGGCAAAGTCCCAACGATGTCTGCTGGTCCAACTGCAATGCCAAAGCAGAATGCGGCAAGGAATCAGACCCACCAGGCAAGAAATGCCCGCTCAATGTTTGCTGCTCAGCGTTTGGGTATGAGTGTTTCAGATCCTACACTTGATTCCGGCTAACGTTGAGCAGATTCTGTGGGATGACAAGCGAGTTTTGCAAGAAAGGGACCGACAAAGAGCCTGGATGCCAGAGCAACTGTGATCAACCTGGATCAGGTGGCTCGGGTGGTGACGTCCAGAAGAAGGTCATTGGCTACTACGAAGCCTGGGCTCATGACAGAAAGTGCCAGGGCATGGTATGTCAAGCACATGATCTCTGTTACGTAGATACTCACGGGCCACACAGGACTTCAGGAACATTCCTACCGGCGCGCTAACACATCTATATTTCTCATTCGGTTATATTTCTCCTGGGGAATTTGATCTGGTTCCCATGGACGACCTGAAGCCGGATCTCTTCTCCGAATTCACGAATGTCAAGCGAAGCAACCCCGGCCTCAAAACTATCATTGCACTTGGTGGCTGGACCTTCAACGATAATGGTACTGCTACCCAACCTGTTTTCAGCAACATGGTCAGTACCGCAGCCAACCGCGCCAAGTTCATTAGGAAGCTGTTTGCCTTTATGCGTCAATATGCTTTTGATGGCGTAGACTTCGATTGGGAATATCCTGGCGCTACAGATCGAGGCGGTCAACCCGAGGACGGCAAAAACTTCGTCACTTTCTTAAAGGAGCTCGACGATGCGAATAAGCAGCAGCCCTTGCATTATGTTGTCTCTTTCACTGTACCAACAAGCTTTTGGTACCTTAGGCATTTCGACCTGAAAGCTGTCGATTATGTCGATTTCGTCAATGTAATGAGCTACGATCTTCATGGAATCTGGGATTCCACGAATCCTATTGGGAATCACATATATGGGCATTCAAACTTAACGGAGATCAAATTGGCCCTTGATCTCTTCTGGCGCAACAAAGTGAAACCTGAGAAGCTGAACCTTGGTTTGGGATTCTATGGTCGAAGCTTCCAGCTGTCCGACACTTCTTGTTACCAGCCCGGTTGTAATTTCAAGGGTGGTGCGGCCCCTGGCCCTTGCTCTGCCAATTCCGGAACCTTGACCTATAAAGAAATCCAGCAGATCATCAAGCAGCACAAGATCAAACCATACCACGACAAAGCAGCAGGAGTCAAATATATCACCTGGAATCAGGACCAGTGGGCCTCTTATGATGACCAGGACACCTTCAAGTCAAAGATTGACTTTGCCAATAAGTTAGGCCTCGGGGGTGTTCTCATTTGGGCCATCGATCAAGACACAGATGACTTGGAAGCGCTCAATGCAGTGCTATCTCCCAAATCGATCAAAGCCTTCGCAATGACCGCTGATGATGCTTCTTTTTGGGACGATGCTACCGTCCCCGATTGTTATGTCACTGATTGTGGGGGTACATGTAAAGCTGGCTTCTTCAAGATAGAGCAACAGCCCTGCGGTGGTGCAAAACCAGTCACTCGACACTCGAAAGAGAAAGACAGTCAGCTCTGTTGCCCTACCGCGAGTGCACCAGATCCCAAGAAATGTAGCTGGCGCGGCGGAGCCCCATCCTGCAACGGCCATTGCCATGATAACGAGGTACTTTTGGAAATGAACAGATGGGGCGACGGCAAATATTGCGAAGATGGCAACAAAGCATATTGCTGTGAGTCGCCATCAGCCAAGGGACACGATTGTTACTGGGCTGGTGTTGGCAGGACCTGCAATAATGACGACACGACCATGACCTTCTCCGGCACGTGTAAGTAACGTTGGTTTACGAATTTCATGTGACAAATGTACTAACTTATTCCCTCAACCTTTAGTCCTGAGCACAGTTGCGGATATTGCAGACGCGGTTTCGCTAATCGACACACCCTTGGTGAAGTTCCTTGATGCACTCGACATTGACATGCAAAAACGATATTGTTGCCCGAAAAAGGATGCTAAGAACTGGGCTAACTGCCGATGGTACGGCCAGCCTGGCTCGTGTTTCGACAATCATTGTCCTGTCAACAAACAAGTCCAGCTCACCGACAGTCCTTATGGATTTGGTGAATCGTGTTTTCCCCGTATGGAAAGAACAAGGGGTAAGTAAGGTTGGTGTACGGATTGCATGTGAAAGGTATGCTGACTTCGTACACCTTTAGTCTATTGCTGCGATCCTACAGATGGCAAACCGTTGTTTCTTCCGGTACCATTGGACCGACTCTTCAAAGACCCCCCTACAGGCGACAACGTCGATACTGACTTTACACTCGAAGTGGACGACACATTTGGAGGCCAAGGTGACAAGACTGATGACGACCCTAGTAATGCTGCATTCCAGTTCGTTGTTCTCGCATCCCCACAGGAGCTCCAACACTCGCTCGACAAACGTGATGGCTCTCACTGGGAGCTCTACAACTGTAAAGGCGGCACTAGTGAGGAAGAGCAAACTATCCAGATGTTCTGCACGGACATTTCGGAAGGGAGTAATTGCCACAAGATAGGTCTTGGGCACGGCGTACCCGGTACCATTCTCGAGCTGCCTGCTGGATGTGGAGCGGGTCGTTATGCGGTCGCCAAGTCCATGGCGCCTGCGAAGGAGCAGACCATTCCTCACAGACTTCTCAAGCGAGTGATGCACGGCTATAAACCGACTGTCTACGACCTTACATTTGATTATGATTTCAGGCGCGTTCCCCGTGACGTCGGCGAGACGCACATGCGTATCGACTTCTCTAACAAGGACGACTATTGGGACAACGTCGTTTCTGCTGCTGCAAGCAAGAAGCGCAAAGGTAAGCGCTCCCTTGCTGACGTAGGGGGAAATCACAAAAGGTGGCTCGAGGAGGAATGGCGAGACGACTTCCATAGAGGTGCTCTTAGTCACGAAGACCTCCACAAGCGATGGTTTGGCTCGGACGCTCTCGCATGGTTGATAAACCTGGTCAAGCCCGAGATCAAGAAAGAGTTCACGCACAACTACAAAGATCAATTCATCGCGAAAATTATTGATGATCAGGTTACTTGCGGATCGGGAAATTCCAAATTCGACGCACATATCCTCGTCCAGGCTTTGACAGACGTCAGCATCTCAACGAGCTTTGGCTTCACGCTTATCACAAAACTCAACTTCAACAGCCCGGGAAGCCCACTAGATCTGAGCCAGTCATATCTAACTTTTAGCAACGAAGGGAAAGTTACCGCGACTTTCACACTTGAAGCTCTCATTCGAGTGTCCTACAGATCTGGAGAGAAGGACATCGTTACGCTACCATTCCCTGGGGCAACGTTTCGAATACCTGGCATCGTGACCATCGGTCCGTCCATTAGGGTCGTCGGTGAGTTCAACGCTGAACTTACACTTTCTGCAGAGGTCGAAACAAAGGTCGACCTTGCCTCTTGGGAGGTTCGGCAGACTTATCCCGCTGCCTCACGGGAATACGAACCCAAATCTGTGGACGAATTGGACTCAGGGGATTCGGGAAATCAAAACGGCCTGCTACAGCCGCACTTCTATGCCGCCGTGTTAGCTACGGGTAAGGTCGAAGCTCATCTCAAGGCGATTGCGGAGTTCGGTATCCGCTTTGACGAAAAGTGGAAAGTTGGAGCTGCTGCTGCAGGTGTTGTCGCCGACGGATATGTACGCTTCGAGGCCGGGGTTGGCGTGAGCACGGAAGCGAACTGCCCATGGACATATGGACTCTATCTGGGTGCCAAATTGTACGCACAAGTCGACACTCCTTCACAGTTTGGCTGGGGAAAAAAGACTTGGGATCTTCCAGGTTCTGGCGAGGTTCCCCTCATTCCAGGCGGTAAATGTCCTGATCTTAGACCGGGTGCGCCTTCCAAACGAGGATTGCTGTCGATTGGTGATCGTCGCAATGATCTCAATAGTTCCTCTTACCGAATTGTCGAGCCTAATTCACTCGGATCACATAGGCTTAGCAAGCGTGTTACGCCCTGGGGCCCACCTTTTCATATTCCGCTCCAAAAACTGCTTTGTCCAAATCCGGAAATAAGCGGTGGTTTAGAGGGATCTGCGTGCGAGAAACTCTCACATGTTCCGGGTTCGAGCAATAGGGATCTATCAAAACGTGCGGCTAGCGATGTTACGAGTTATCACCACCTTGATAAACGCGCGAAGAAAACTCAGAGATTCTGTAGGGGCAACGCCGTCATAACCATCGTAAGCTCAGATTATGAGGAATCAGGTACTCTGCACGACGTAAGTCATCCATATTCACCCGCTTATCATCTTCGAGGAAAGCCTACTCACATGTGCCATTAGAAACTTCCAAACGCATTGACGTATAGGTATACGAATCCCGCTCGATGCACAGACTTCGGCTTCGCCGGGCAAAACACCGGAAAGCCCGCCAATACGAAGGACTATGCGACCGAACACATCCTTGAATTCCAGATGATACAAGAGTTCTTCAATGATCTCCCTAGCACTATAGACTGTTACAATCCTCCAAAGTTGGGGGAAGATACTTGCAAGTGCCTCAAGAATTTCTGGTACCAACTGAAACCCAATGAGAAGCCCACAATTAATGGCCTCACAAAGGATCCTATTGATCATGTAGGCGCTGTATTCCCTGGCTGGAACAATCAATGGTCTTATGAGCTGGTGCTTCTCGATAAAGAAGTCAACGGGCTCAAAGAAGGCTTCTGGGGTAGTGATCCGGCTCGCAATGAATACACTCTACAACAATATGCGGGTTACGGGGACGCACTCTTCAAAAATGTGAAGGATACTATCACCGCTATACGATACCACATAGACCCAACCATCCGCGGATATCTTATCGCCCAAAAGGTCCGGGTTGGCGATATGCTTAACCGTCTAGAAACGCAAGAGCTCACCGCAATAACGAAGAACATTGATGGCGTGCAACGCACGTGGGCATCGCTCGGCCTGCAAGCTAGATGGCATACATTTATGCGGACGAGAGCGAATACGGCAATCATCGACTCACAGCAACATGTCAACGACTATCTTGCGATGTTGGAGGAGGGATACGCAACACCCTTCCTTCGAGACGTGGCGAACAATGCAGGAAATTCAGAAGATGCACAGGCAAGAAGGGATTTCATAGCAAAGATTGACGCTTTAAGAGCTGAGTGGACAAACAACAGGCCTGTCTGGACAAATCCCTTCTAAAGGGTGAGTATTGAACTAGATACGGAAGTAAAGCACCAAGACCTTGTCTCAAAATATAGCCTTGTAATAGTGAATATCATATATCACTAAGAAGGTAGCCCAAACAGCATTACCAAAAGGTGTATTCTATCTCCAGTATGTTAAGCCTATACGCGTTTTGCATACTGCCACCCCAAGCGACACGATCTCTGATGTTGTATGCCACAGTACCCTGAAGGTAAGACGTGCATGCCAGCCAAATGTTTATCCAGAACTGATTTGAAGAGTAGCAAGGTCCCGCTTGACAATTTGGTGTGACCACCAAGTACCCAATGAAAAGCAAGTATCCAGAAGAAAGCCGGGGATTTTCCTGTATTATGAATTCTGATGAACACCTCAGAAGACCTGCCGACATGAATGACCGATTAACCAGGTTTGTTCATGTCCGACTCGTTTCAACTGGTCTCTTGCGCTGCAGTGTCAGCAGGCTAGGCCAGTAAGTAGGGCAAGTGGGGCCGGAGCTAATGACTTGTCCTTAGTAGAGCACGTTGTGAAGCAATTCACGACTCGGTGGTCATTCTCTTGTTGAGGTTGCTACAGAGCAAATCGCCATGGCTAACGTCGTTGGTCTAAGTGCAATTTAAATATTATCTCCTCGAACGAAAAGTGGGACATTCGTGCGTTCCAGTACATATACCCAGTTGAGCACTCGGGGTCTATGAGTTACCGAACTACTATCGCCGTCTTCAGGTGGTTGTGATTTGGCTCCTTCCACTTCACGCTTCTTCACGAGGGTCCATAGTACGCGAGGGTCCGGGAACAGGTGATCTTCTAGGAGTGTATTTGACGACGCGTTAAGAAAGGGGAATCGGTCGTTTGAGTAAGAAAGTGCGATCCAGCGTGCTCCAGGTCTTGCTACAAGTGCAAGATTAACGGCCATGATATAAAGGGGATGTATAGGTTCGGACGACTGCCTCAGCTCCATATCTATAGGAGTGTACGAGCGGATGGCAATGGGATACGGCAGCGGAATATGAACGTCTTCTGAGCAAGAAATTGCATCTGAGGTAGACTTTTCTATTATGACTGCGTACGCGCGAGGTTTACATGCAGCGAGAAGGGAGGTATGGTTGAGGACGTCAACTGTGTCCCAGCGCATGCATGCAGGTGCATTCGCGCTACTCCTACCATTACCATTGCACCTAGCAGGGTACAACTCGTGCTCGCGCTGCTTGCCGAGATGAATGGCGACCTCAGAATAATCCAGATTATGTATTTGGTTCGGATCCTTGACATGCGCGCGGATATGATAAGACAGCAACGACGTCCCGCAGCCAATGTGTAACAGTTCCGGCTTGAGCTCGCCAGTGGCTCGCAACACATTGGTGATATACAAATCAAGAGCGTCGGGCGCCTCGAGCCATTCGAAAGGGTCGATATTAGAAGTGAAGCGGCTGTTCCAGTATTCCTGCGATCCGAACGATGGTACCTTTGGAGCCATTGGGACCTGTTTTTTTTTTTGCAATTTTGCAATTTTGACTTTTTCTGCTGTTAATCAAGTCGCTCCCTTGAACTCAATATTAGTGTGGAGAGTGCGGGCTTGGAGAGGGGGATGCGAGGTTTTGCGCTTTGGATGCGCCGGCCCGATCTTTCTCCGAGGCTCGACGAAGATCTTCGTCTCGTTCGACTTGCGGACTCCCGCAATCCGGGCTGCACCACCAGGTTCAACCGTCACCACCATGGCATCCCTCTACTCAATACCGCGCTTCCTGCTTCCTAGAGGACCTCTCCTATTACGACCACAATCTCGCGCATTGGCCCCACTCGCGCCCATTACATCTCTACGACATGCGTCCACGCCCGCACGAGGCCTCTCAGAGGAGTTCCGCCGACGTCAAGCAGCTCAGCAAAACAAGACGGCGCCCGTAATACCACAGCCCGACAAATACCGTCCGCCGTCGCATAGCAAGAGAACTCCGAATAGAAACCTAGAGAACAGGGTTTATGGACCGCCAGTCTCAGAAGAGGACAAGAAGAGAATGGCGACCAAGAAATACCCAAATATGATGAGTCCGGAAGGGACTTTTTCGCATTGGTTCTTGAACAATAGGGCGATACACCTGTGGATCACCATGGTATGTTGCCGTCGCATCGTTTACCCAGTCCAACGCATTGCTGACTAATGTATGTAATAGGGCATCCTCGTATCTCTCGCCGTCGCAGCGTGGTACATGGACTTCATATCCAAAACCATCTACAACTCGCTCCTTCCCACGCGCAAAGACTTTCTGCACCACCCCATCGAGTCGACCGGGCGTTTTGTTAACGTCTACAAGATGCACATGGAGCACACATCTCAGCAGTACTCGGAGCAAAGACTGAAAAAGGCAGAAGATATCGAGAAGAGGAAGCAGTATAGACTGGAGAGGCTGCGAGCGGCAGAGGAGAAGGGTGAGGAATATGTTGAAGATCCCAGATATTACGTGGGCGAGGATGGTGTGAGGAGACGCAGGGTTAAGAGATGGTTCGGCATCTGGGAGTAAACTAGACGATGATCGAATGATATGCTGCTCAAGTTTATATGACTGGGGGAATTGTGTACTTGTACGCACAAGCGCCGAGGCAAGAGATGGATGGGGGCCTGTACGATACTACCAGATGTTGTCAGTATTAGCGTTGCATGAAGATGTTGAGCAACGGGGAAGACCATAACACCTAGGTCACTGTACGATGCGGAAGCCGTACTGAAACAACTCCATCTGTGTATATCAACTGTATTAGTGTTGGCCATAGGAAACTTCGCGTCACTAAGCGCTTCAAAGTCATGCGTATGTCGATAAACTAGCAGATTAGTGTGAAATAGCGAATTCTTAAGCTCCGATCAGATGCTATGAATTGATCTACTATTACCCAAAGAAATCATCGATCTATATATAGAAGCAGCGTCTCAACTATAGGATCCAGGCGCCCAACTTTTCCTTCCCTCTTTCTGATCCTTGCCCTCGAAGAAGATGTCCACCTGATTTGGCTCCCCATCCTTGCCCTCTCTATAATCATACCTAATCTTCTTCCACTTTAACTTGGGATGATCCTTAATCTCATCTCCGCTCATATTCATACCCGCCTTTCCAATCCTCTCTACGACAGGACTCAACAGCATCGCCATGCTGAATAAACTATCATCTCTCACAATCGTGCGGTTAGCGAAGATGACCATAAGACAGAGCGCGAAGAACTGGATCCCGCAGATGCCGCCGAGAATGCTGAAGATGTAGGACCAGTCAACGTCGAGTTGTTGGCCTTGTGTAGGGACGACACGCTGGGATGTCATGTTGTAGCGGATGCCATGGTCGTCAAAGGCAGCGACGGCGCCGATGGTGAAGCGCATTAGCATCTCTTCGACATCCTTTTTGGAGACAACTTTGGCGGGCGACCATTTTGAGCCTTGCGAGTAGGACCGCGATTGTCGGTCTAGCCAGTCGTTCCAAGGAATTCCTGTCCAGCCAATGGCCCCTGCGGCGATTCGTGCAAACTCATTGGTTCCATAAACCGAGACATTGTCGGCGTCGGTATGAGGAGTAATGTCGTCTTTAGCGTGCGCCTTGGTAATATTGCCCAACGTGCTATTGCAGAGGAATAAGGAGGTTGTCATGACCCGGTCGTCGAAGCCATACTGTAAGACTGTGAAGTTTGTGCATCGTGGCCCACAGAAGGCATTTACTGATGCAATCCATGTAATCGCTCCGGTTGCATGTTCGGGGATGGGATATTTGCCCCAGGCCCTCCCCGGCGCTTTACCCTCGATGTATGTGCTTCCAAATTTCTTGACCTCTTTAGAGGTTTCGATGACGGTCCCATTGCCGCGCACTTCGAGCTGCTCACACGTTGTGACCGCAGATACGTTTCGTGAGCTGACAAGGTAGTTGGTGTATTGATGAGTTGGATCTCGATTGAAAAAGAGGTAATTGTAGGAACTATCTCCCTTGTACAGTGGCGTGCCGGGCATGTTAGAGAAATCCCTCTTGACTTCACCAAGTGGAAACTCAGGATAAAACATAGCCTCCATGCCAAACATCCATGCAGCTTCCAGGGACGTTTCGTTGGCCATGGAGTCGCTGTCGGGTTTGGAGTTCGTATCAATGTACCAAGTGTTCAGGTCCGCCACCGTTACATTGCCGTATGTAAGCAGTGGAACCTCGGAGTTACTCATAGGCCAGAACAAACTCAGTAAAGCAACTAAGACCTGTGAACTTATGTTGATAAAGAGCCACAGAAGGCAAGCAAGCCACATCCACTTGGTCCCATCATCTCTGACGTCCTTAAACCATCTGAATCTTCGCAAAAATGTCCGGCCGCGGAATCCAGGTGAGGAGATGATCATTAGTTTTGTGACTTTGGCAAGCGAGCTCAGGTGCAGAATAAGATCAAAGACCTCCAGACTGACGTACCGCCGTGTCAAAAAGGACCATCGAAAGGTGGCTGCGTAATGTTTGAGTGATGCCAAGATGTTGAGGCCTAGACAGAGAGAAAGCCCAATCGTCAGAGAGTTGAAAACGCGAACATCAGTCTTCGAAAGGACAACAGGTGTGCGGAAGCCTTCCCATGCTTTCAGACAGACACATATTGCCGCGCTAAAGAAGATGGATATCAGCAACTTCGATGCGCCCGTCTTGAGAAGCGTCTTTCTTGCCTCGTTGTGGTCGAAGCGTTTAACGTGATGGTGATGATGGTGGTGATGGGGTCCATCTTCTGCGTCGGAGGAAGAAGCAGGTGTGCTGAGATACGTGTACGCCCCACCTTTGGCATCCATCATCTCCGGGGAGGCTACTGGTGGAGAGTTTGAATAGGACGTGTCCACATTCTGCATCGCGATGTCGCTGCCATTATAGGTCTGCGGAGGGTCGTACGCCATCAAAGGTGCGTCTGGTGGTGGGTTATCATTTCCAAAGCTGATTGTCCGATCACGCTCCATGGTGTGTTTCAAATCTAACGGAGAGTCTTCCAGACTAATCTAAAGCACAGCCCGATCGGCTTGACCAAACAGCTTGGGCAACTGTGCACCGTTGTATTGTGAGGTACGAAGCTCCTTGGAGAATCTACTGTTGCCAGTGAGCAAGAGTAGTCAATCAGCTCCTCTCGTTCTAAGGATAAAGGGGACTCTTCTCGATGCTCGTTGCATCAACTTTCGTGGAATCAGACAAACGGACAATGGTAGTGGGAAGTCTGCCTCAAGCGGCAGAGCTGGACGACGAAGATGGTGATGAGACTGAAAAGGTTTGCGATCAAGAAAATCTAGATTATAAGCAGCACTCGCCGATGTCTTATCAATTTTCTGCTTCCCGCGTAGCGGGCGGAGGGTGCTAGCATTGGGGGCTGAAAGAGGGGGCCGCACCACAGGAAAGAGTACATGTGCCGCCCCTCAAACGAAAGCAAGTACATAAAAGTGGCACCGTATAGCAATAAACGACTTCTGGAAAATGGAGCGAAAAAACTATTAAGCAGATAAGGAGAATGTTGAAGCCATTAAGAAAACGATGCTCGGTACGAGTCCTGAGAGTCCACAACGTGGGAACCCCCTAGCCCATGTTGCGCGAGGATGATCCTTAAACCTGGTCAGCCAGGTTATCGATTATCGATCTTATTTTTGGCGATGAGGTGTTGAACGGCTTTTCATTCGCTACGAAAGATCTAGCCCTGTGCAGGTGTGCGGTGTCTAAGCCTCGGTGAGCAAGTCTCAGAAGCAATTTGGGGGCTGAAATGCGTCTCGCTCGTTCTGCAGTACGACGACTCGGAAAAGCTTGGGGTGGTCGGCTAAAGACTGAGTGTGCAGAGCCAAGTATATATCGAAATGTAATGTGCAAGGTTGAAGGCTGACACAGATGTCTGTGAAGTTGTTGGGATGGAATTATCTGGGAGCGGGGCAAGTATAGGTTGCCTGAAAGTCGCTGACAGAGCGAGCACCACAGTTGAACAACCGAGCACAACAGACAGAAATGTCAGACATACAAAACCAAGTCATCGTAGTTGTTGGACATTGTCATGCGTCGATTTGAAAATGTACGAATGAGGAATGTACGAATCGGTTGGTTGCCAGATCTGGTTAGCGCAATGAACTACGCATAGCGGAACAGACCTCGGGATGACAAATGTGACCAAAAACTGTGGAGACCATGGACAGAGGATTCATAGGGCGTGATATGTATACATCAGACGTCTTTAAAGGACAGACATATCGTTAAACCTCATCTCCTTCAATCGATTTCTCAACAATTCAGAATGTCGTCACCAGTCGTACTATATGACATCCCCAGCAAGCAAGGCACCGCATGGTCGCTGAATCCTTGGAAGAGTAGGTCCCGGAACTCAACTATGTAGAACACTAGTAACAACCATGCACAGCTCGCATGATTCTGAACTTCAAGGGCGTCGACTACAAGACTGAATGGATCGAATATCCTAACCTCGCACCGACTCTCAAGTCCTTGTTCGTGCCTCGCTTTCGTTCTCAGTAGGTGATAACTTGACTGACATGATGCAGCGGCCTACCCCCGAATGACAAGGACGCGCCAGGCTACTTCACAGACTACAGCAGCCCTGCCATCCGTTACGCCGATGGGACGTTCGGGATGGACTCGTGGCCTATTGCGCACCAGCTCGAAAAACACTACCCAAGTCCTTCTCTCTATCTCGACGATCCAGTCGTGGTGCAAATTCGGGACCACGTCTTCAAATTGATGGGTCCGCTAGTCCCACATTTGATTCCCAAGGTGCCATTGATCCTGTCCGAGACATCTGCTACGTACTTTTATGAGACCCGAGAGAAAGCATTTGGCGCGCCGCTGCAGGAGATAGAGCGGACAAAGGCGACTGAGCAGTGTTGGGAGGACGCGAAGGCACCGGCGAAGGAAGCGGGGGACCTCCTGAGGAAGAACGATGGACCCTTCTTTCTGGGAGAGACTGGTAAGCAGACACATTGAGGCCCCGAGGATCCTACGCTGATAATGAACAGTCTCGTATGCCGACTTCATCCTCGTGGGGCTATTTCAAATGGTCAGCCGAATCAACGGTGACATATTTCCAAGGTTTCTAGCACTTGACCCTGCCTTTCCAAAGCTCTATGAGGCGTCTAAACAGTGGCTGGAGAAGGATGACTAGGTCACCTTAGTTGAGCGGGCTTGTCCTGTAAAATCAGGCGTAGCCGCAATCTAAAAACATCAGCAGTACTTACATGGTTTCCATGATATTTCGCGTCTTCCACAATTCGTATAGATCTTTGCAATGCCACGCGACTCAACTAGATTCGAAGCTTACCAACAACAGCCTCGAGCCATGAGAGGGACTTCGGTTTAAACTTGTTTTCATCGCCTAAGGCCTCTGGCAGTGCACATGAACGGCTCAGCGACGTTGTCAAGAGTGTGCATATTGTCCCGGTGCATTAGGTGTTCCATATTGGCGTTGGACAGCAGCATTGTGGGGTGACGGAAAGCTCAGAAGCTACGAGTTGGCCAGCTGAGGCTTGACGCGTGTGCACGTGAGGCCATACATAGTGCCGGTCCGCCAGCTTATCTCCGTGTCATCATCACCCATCCCACACATTCAAGAGCTGCCACCGCTGGCAGTGTGAGCGAGTTAGAGTGGTAGATTGATATCCGACCATCTACGACCATCTCGTTGTCTCTGAGGTGCATTTGCCGGCATGGAGCTATTTCCGGCTAGCTGATGTCATCGGCCTCCACTTGTGGTGGGCGCGAAACGTCGCGATGACGAGCTCCCATAACGAGTAACTCACAACCATAAATCAAAATGTTCGCCGCTTCTGCTTCCCGATCACTCCATACAGCCTCTACGAACAGACTTTCGCAATTCACCCGACAAATCCAACCGCACGCGCAATCTTTCAGAATGGCGCATAATGGCACCACGTTCAAGCTCAACACGGGCGCTCAGATTCCGGCCATTGGCTTCGGCACCTGGCAGGACAAGGACGCCCAGGAACCGTGAGTCCACTGCTGTCTGCCATGGGTCGCAACAGAACTAACAAATTGGTCTAGAGCCGTCACCATCGCATTGAAGACTGGCTACCGCCACATCGACACAGCGCGCATCTACGGCACCGAACCCGCCGTCGGCAACGCCATCAAGAAATCCGGCATCCCTCGTGGGGAGCTCTTCATTACCACAAAGCTATGGAATAACTCGCATCACCCCGATGACGTCGAGAAGGCGCTCGATGCCTCGCTCAAAGACCTGGGCACCGACTATCTTGATCTCTACCTGATGCACTGGCCCTCGCCATTCGCACGCAGTGACGAAATGTTCCCCAGGGACGCCGATGGCAAGACCAAAACGGGCGACTCAGACTACGTCGATACATACAAGGCAATGGAGAAGTGCTTACAAAAGGGCAAGGCAAAGGCGATCGGTGTGTCCAACTTCAGCCAGGCAGAGCTTGAGCGCCTGATCAAGGAGACGTCAGTTGTACCGGCGGTACACCAAATGGAATTACATCCGTACCTACAGCAACACTCATTCACCGACTTCCACAAGCAAAAGGGTATCCATATCACACAGTATTCTCCATTTGGCAATCAAAATGAGATCTACGACTCTGGAAAGGGCATGGGCAAGTTGATGGATGACCCGGTTCTTGTAGAGATTGGTAAGAAGCATGGCAAGACTGGTGCGCAGGTTGCGCTAGCTTGGGGTATCGCGAAGGGTACGTAACTCCGTGTACGAACTATGCATGAGACATTCACTGACCACTACACTTTAGGTCACTCAGTCATTCCGAAGTCGAAGACGGAATCGCGCATTCAGTCGAATATCGAGGGCGACTTCAAGCTTCCACAGGACGATGTTGCGAAGATCGATGGCATCGATAAGAAGCTGCGCTTCAATGATCCCTCGGGCTCATTTGGGTGGAACTTCTACAAAGACCTTGATGGCAAGAAGAACTAAGCAGGCCTTGAATGAATATTGGAGCGAGCAGCACCTTACGATAATTACATGCGACATCGCCCAAGATTAGTGGGCAGCTCGCCAAGCGAATCGAGATGTAATAAGACTTGAAAGCGTATAAATTTCCCATAGACTAAGAAAAGATGCTGTCATTGAACGGTTTTGCGCACATGATTCGAGTCGTCCACAATTTACGGCCAGTCTTCTGGCAATCCTTGGCCCAACCACATATCCCTATGACCTGCTTACCTAGATGTGCATGTTCTCATGTATGTTCGCATGATTCAAGTCCTCGACCACAAGCTCCATATCTGTACCTTTTCTCCAACCTTTCCGCTCTTCTTCCTCGACTTCTACCATGGACATCTCGTCAAAGCCGATAATATCAATTAGGAAGGGGAAATCTACTTTGTGTATCACCTGGAAACGTCCCTGACCTTTTTCCACGCCATGCCATCTCTGTCGCAGTTTGCGGTGCAAGTGAAACGGTGTTGGAGTTTCGCTAGTATAGTGCCAATCCTCCCTTTCATACTTTGGGTGAAGCCTTGGTAGATAGATGGAGATTTTGAGATTTGGAGAGCCGGATAATTGGGTGATGAGAGGCTGGAGAGTAGCTCGCTCGTTTACAAGCGACCAGGAGCACGGATCGTCGTGGTCTAGCCATATCCAAAGTCTTGAGAGGCGATTGAATTGGCGAATAATGGAGCCGAGTCGTGACCAGGTTTGCGTCGCGCTGGCTAGTTCTGGTTCCATGGTAGTATCATCGTCTGGGCGTTCTAGGGACTGGTAGAACTTTATTGGGGGCCTGAGAGTGATGCTCAGTTGCGTGAGTCTTAGTTGCATGCTACATAGCAATAGTGGTCTTTCATGCAAAAAGTTGGCGGTTTCCAAGTCCGTGATATGAAACACAGCGGTGCGAGCCAAGAGGTCAACAACTTCAAGATACCTAGCTGTGTGAGCAAAGTTTACATGTTGAAAAATAGGAAAAGAGTTTTTAGCATCAGCTACGCCCCAAGACTACCTTCTAAGATATTGCCAGTCTGTAGAGGTGTGCTTTAAATGTAGATAGGAAAGAGCCAACTTACATGTCCCTGCAAACAAGAAGAAGCGCCAAATCCAGTTTGCCTTCAGAATGTTGATCTAATGTATTCTCCTCACATATCCAATGTGGTCCCCATGTTGACCGTAAACGAGGTGCCCATACGGGGTCATGATCACCGTGCAAGGGAACCTTAGGTTGGCGTTCATATCCATCAAGCATATTCGATGATGGCAACATAGCACCCTTGCTATCATCCTCCTCTTTGATTCGACCTACAACGCACGTAGACAAATGCAGCTTGTCGCCTTGAACGCATGCGTGTATATGATCTGGCACTAGGTAGGAGTAAATCTCATGACGGAGTTCCGCAGGCGCACGTAACAGGGCGCTGTTTTTCTGGGGCTTTGCTGAAGAATGGGATTGCATGATAGCTGCTTCAGATGGGAGAATTCAATATGAGAAAGTGGTGTTTAAAGGTGCGGGGCGTTAGCAAGGTTATGTAGTGCTAGCAACTGTGCCGCAGCAGCTCGGCCCCACGCGACGTCGGCGTTTGCACTTGAACGCGAAGCGTATCACAAAGGCCGGCGTGAGTCATTCAGAAGTCTCATTGGATAGGCAGATGATAAGCACTATCTCACTGTCCTTAGAAACGGAAAACTTCATCATAATTCCACATCTAGCGTAAAGACATTCTGCACTTAAAATAAACGATTCCTTCTCACAGTGCGACTACTCCCCACAAGTTCTAACCTAGGCGAATGCCCAGATATAACAACCTCTTTCTTTCTTATAGTCTGAATGACGCGTAGTCTCAGGTCAGTCAATGGTGTGGATGTAACCCTTGTCATCTACCCAGTAGCCCATCTTCCATAGCTTCAGGACCTGACCTAGCAGTGAAATGGTATCTAGACTTTGTTGTTAGTTTCTCGTTGTAATCTTTTGTAACAATTACCACATACCAGAATTGCCTGGATCTTTCTGAGCCTGGATACAATGCCAGCCGTAACAATTCGCTTTATTTGGTAGGTCATTTAGATAGCCACCCTGAACGGTATGGGTCAACTGCAGAGGTCAATGAATATGAACATCGTTTCATCGCTAACGGCGGGGCGTGAAACTCTGGGGGAACTCACCTCATGCAGAAGAACACCTCCAAAGGTCGATAACGCATCTACCGGAGTTCTTCGGCCACTGGTACCTCCTGAGACCCACGTGTTGATAAACTCCTCCCCCATGGCGGTCTCAACCAGATTTACGTCTAGGTTTGGCCAATTGCCTCGTTCTCGTTCATCCAAGTGCCATGTGCTAAGGTCAATCTGGCACGCAAGGTGTCGTATTGGTGTCGAGTATTGTGGATCTTTCCTAGAAATTGTCGTAAGGTAAGCCTCATCCTGGGCCCATTTCAGCTTATCGAAAAGGTCAGAGTCAGTGGTGGCAGCTTTTCCGGGAAGATTTGCATTTGGGTTCTCCAAGTCGTAGGGCTCCTCATAGTACCGCTTAAAGACTTCCACGTCTTTGTTGTAAAATAGCTTGTCTTCCATTGCTGTGTTTACATAGTGCTTGGAATTGCGCGGATGGGTTTTAAAGCGCTCCATATTGCAGTAAAATTCCTAGTTAACCATGTAAGCAAGACTTATGAACCGATGATATCGTAATGCATGAACACATACTACGTCAGCATTCGTTCTTTGTGATCGCCACTGTTCGTCGTTGGCCATGAGTGTCGAAGGGGTTTTTTTTTTGGAAAACTTTGACACGCTCAAACGTCTCTGTGAGGTAATTTGGTATTGGCATTGAGGTTTTTATGAAGGGTTTCCAATGCTTGCGCTTCACACATAACAGATGTTTTACCTTTGCCCCGCCTGAATTTGTCGGTATCATCACCCAGTACAATTTTGATCATCTCTTGGACTTTGGGGTTGGTGGACTCCCTATCCATAACCTCGAATGCGTTCTCGGCCATTTCTATTGCCTCATGCATTGCAGTTTCGATACGACGTGTCACATCAATGATGTTTCCGCCCTGCAGCCTTACTGCAGCTACAATTTAGTTAGGTCAGCGTCTATTACGGTGCAGCGAACTGGCTTGGAGAGATTTCTTACTGCAGCTTTGATCGAAAGTGTAAGTTGCAGCTAGAGCGTATTTCCCTAGCGTGAAGAGGATGTACAAACTTAGCTTCATGATGAGAATTAAGGAGAATATTTCGCAGCGAGAAATGTGATGTTGCAGAATAGGTCAACGTATGTGATTTATTCGCAAGCTATAGTTCTCTTATAACAAGGACTTCACGCAATATATAACATGCTGAAGCTGCGATCAGAGGCATTGTATGCTGACCTGTAGCTGAGATGCGGCAAAGCATTAGGCTCTGCCATAAGTCTGCCTTGAAACACAAGTCGGTTATTACGTGTTCAAAAACATCAAGCAAGTCGTACGCTTCAGTAGCGGAGTTGTGGCACATACAGACTGAACTGGAAGCAATACCGGGCTATAAATGGTGGCCAATGATAAGCTCTAGCTGACTCGAACGAGGAGCGGCGTTATAGGTGTTGGTCTAACTTGGCTGGATGAATATGAGGTAGTCTCGTATGGAATTTTTTAGGTGGCGCTTTTCCGATATTAATTTGATCAGAGCCGTCAGGACTAGATGTTAGTCTCCCTTTTGTAGTTAATCGCCTGGGATACTTTAAGAGCGGAGGTTGTTGTGATTATGTTACCATCGCGACTTACCAGCATTACCTGCACCCTTCTCATTTTGTATGCAATTCCAGTCGTAACAAGTTCCTTATGATCGATCATCTAGATAACCACCCAGGACTGTATGGCAGGTGCAGCACGTGTGATTGGATAATATAAAGTGATAGCTTTGCAGCACGCATGCAAACATCTCGAGATAAGAAGTCATGCACGTACACCTGTAAACGGAATTGCCAACCAACAGGACGGCTGTGGCGAAAGGCGCTGGCGAAAAAGAGGATCCACCAGGGCTTCCATATGTGAGGAAATTGCGTATGCTTGCCGTTCAACTTGCAATCGATGACCTCCCTGCAGATGGCGCACTCGCTCACGCGCTGCGTTAGAAACTAGCGGGGTTTGTGAACATCTTTTCCATACTCGGGCTCCACGTTCAGGATAGTGTTCGTAATCTGGGCCACATCGACTTCGGATAGAGACAGCACCGCGACTAGGAGCCAAGTCCGTGCTCGCGGGTGAGTATTACAGTTGTGGAGAAGCTGCAAAGAGGCGCCTTGGTAGCGATGATTGCTAAGATGTTGCAGTGCTCGGCTCGTTGCAGCAATTTGGGAGCCCAGCTGCGAAAGGGCGACATCAGGCCAGCCATGACGACTTTGGTTGCTCGAATCTATACTCGCAACAGCTGCGTCCCGGTCGAGGAGTTCGACGCTGGCCTCCAGTTCAGTCCGTCGTATCGCAATGGCGTACCGGCTCTACAGGTCCTCCCGTCCCGTTGCTGATGTGCCGGCCCGCATGACGCGCAGAAGCGCACACGTCGACTCGCTTGGACGTGACGCGCCCAGGTATCTAGCGTACGATGCCTTATATGGGATTGTTGGGTGGGTGTTTTGTTCATGGATGACACCTGCGCGACTTGGCGACACTGCGGCCTCGACCTCGAAATGGCCATAAGAAGGGTACCACTCAGCATGCCCCACCACGGGCGGGAACCTCGCCGCTGCCGCCCGTCTTTACTCTGGACGCCCTCTATTCGCTCTGCTTCTTTTACTTAGTAGTACGGATAGCGACGAAAGTTACATGCGTTGCCTCCAGGGCTTGTTGCTATAGCAAGCGCTAAAGTGCCGTAGCATCCCGAACAGGCTTAGCTCACCCGCAAGTCCCTGCCACCTGCTACTGCTAGTAGCTCTGGGCTCTGGAGATAGCTCGTAGGTAAGAGGATACCATTCACGACAACTCGATCATCGGTATATTGTACATCTGACGCGTGCCCTGTGTGGTTCGACCACTGCATGTCCACCAGCCAATCTAAATCGATGGAGGAAGCTTCATGTTGACCATTCGACCGTACCAGATTACTCAGCTGACAAGCTTCAACACGATGAGATCGTCTTCTGCCGGCACACTGTCCTCGGCACAGTATGCTTGTGAGATTTGTAGGCAAGTTTCCAGCTAATGTGTCCCGCCGAGTACGAATGGGCTGCAGTAGCAGGCGTGCGCGGGGAACTAGTCAACGAAAGAGAATCAGCGTTTTCTTCACTGCTATCAACTATCTTGGGCCCTGATTGATCTAGAGAAAGGCAATCTTTTTGTGTACATCTTCTGTAATGCAGTCCATTCGCACTCGAGAGGATGATATAACCCTGACGCATTGCTAACCGCCCAACGATTAGAGAGCGCAAAGTTCGATGCGACAGAGCCCTTCCAAAATGCAGGTTAGTCTTCCAAAACAGCACCGCATCACTACAAGTCTCCCAATCATGTCAAATTTGGGGATAGGAAGCTAACTTTGTTGCGTAACTCGCTGTCAAGACGGTGCGATCGTCTCAATCAACCGTGTGGTTACAATCACGCCCATCAACATCGCACACGCGACGATCAGCTGAAGCAACTTCAGGAGCGGCTGGCCAGGACGGAGGCCCAGCTTGCCCTTACCACGCCGAGACCGCCACCGCTGGTCCGCCCACAGTCGCGGTCAGAAGTCACGGAGCTGGCCACTTCGTCAAAGTGGTTCGGAACGCCGGATTTCTTTACGCCAAACATACCAGCAACCACCACGCCCCATTCCCAGCTAGCCTCTGTCTTGGGAAATACGGCCACAAACACTCCGATGGACCTGGACAATACCAGGCGGATGAGTTCAGCCATTGATATGCCGACGAATGGCTCATCGCTCCTGGATACTGATCTATTTACTTCTTTTACCGAGGGGGCGGACTCCAACATGACGTTTGCCTGGACAAATCAGCCGCTGATGGCGCTCGAACCATTGGACAATATGCTTCTCAATCGACCTCAGTCAGTGCCTCGGAGCGGGACAGAAGAAGACCTATCTCCAGCAGATCTGAGTTTGCTGCACAACCACTACTTCGAATCCGTCTACTTTTCCTTCCCGTTTCTAAACAGGGATAGGTTCATGGCAGATTCAACGAGCGGTGGCAGCCCTGCAGTGAGCGCCCTGATTTATGCTGTTGCCCTTGCTGGTTGCGCTCACTCCCCTAAAGATTCCAATCGACAGTCGACGTGCTACAACTTAGCGCGTAACTACGCTGAGAGGTGTGAACGAGAAAATTATCTGAACCACCTGAACTTCCTGCAGGCTTTGTTATTCATAGGCCGCTTTGAGGCTATGAGCCGGAAGCTGGAGCGAAGCTGGCTAACGCTGGGACGTGCCGCCATGCTTTGCAAGCTTCTGAGTTTGCACCGGATGGATGAAGCCGGATATGGTCAAGGAATGCAGAACGGAGAAACCCAGGGTGGCTCTCCATTAAGTTTGCCGCATACAGAGGATCCGGTGCTGTTGGAGGAACGACGACGGACATTCTGGGGCTTATACATATTGCAAAGCTACGTGAAAACGCGTACCGGCTGGCAATGTCAGTTAGGAGACATCAAGGTGCGAATTGCGTTACTACATCATTCCACGGTGTGTAGGAACTGACATCGTGTCCAGAACTTCCGAATCAACTTGCCATCGCCAGGGCTGTTGAGGTCCGATCTACAACCGCTCAAGATGCCATCTCTGCTAGATGTGAGTACCGAACCCGGTCCCGAGATCACGTCCTACGCAGGCTGCGTTTTGATGGTTGAGCTGGCCTTGCGCTGCTTCGACCACGGACAACAACGCGACACGCCAGGTTTCTGGGACGACTACTGCGCCCTAGTCAAGAAGACCGACAACCTCTTCATCATTCTTAAGCGTCATCTCAACGCCACGTCTATCCGTGAAGATCCAGTAGCCTTCAGCCTCTACCTGAACCTGCGCGCTACCGAGATCTTCTCACACGATTCGGCTATCACGAAGAGCGAAGAGCAAGGACTACCGCCATTGATGATAGTCGAAAGCCAACGCCGCGCTACCGCTGCTGCGTTCCAGATATCTAGCGCTGTAGGCCTCAATTTGCCGTCGCCGTGGAAGGCGGACAGCGACATCATCATGCTTCAGGCTACCTTCATTGCCTGGCCTTTGACCATGGCGCTGAAAGCATTGTATCGCGAACTCGTACATGGAGGAGTCCGCGAGACTGTGAATGGTGTCGTGGCCTCGTCGAGATTACTTTTCGCGGCTCTAGACCATATTGAGGAATCGGACGGACACTGGCACCAATGCGTGACTCATGTTGGAGCTAAGTTGCAGGAATGGGATGAGAAGAATAGCTTTGACTCTTTGGCTCTATGACATCCCTTTTCTTTTCTCTTTTTTCATCGAGGGAGGCACTTGCATCTTCTTGGACATTGTGCTACAATCGTGTTTGGCCGAATGTAGCAAGCTTATAGGATGAGACTTTCCCTGGCTCAAGATGACTTTATACACTTAATCCTATCAAATAAACATACGAATAAACAAGCAGGCTGTTTGCTAATTTTACATCTTGGGCCCCCTGATTGTGATAGAAAACCATAAAATCTCTACTTTAGATGCAAGGGATAGGATCAGTAGATCGAGCTAAATACTATACAAGAGAATACTAAGCTACGAAACATGGTATGTTATGGCTAAATTTCTATATTACCTATGTAGTCTGGAACATCTCCCCACTCTTAGATAAGGAGTAGGCGCGTTGAAATCCTCTTAGGTGGTGAGCGCTAATAAGAAGCCTAACTATATTAGGTTAGATATGACGTAGCTGTACGTGGGGGTGTAATAGAAGGGTAGCCTGGCGTAAGACTGTAACATTAGACATCTTGACTATGTTAAGCACCAGCAAGGCCCTGACAAAACCGACATGCTATCGAACGTGCTCGAGAAAGATATGTCTAAGAAGACGAACAGAACAGCCGCCGTCCAATGAAAAGTCGCTATACCAGAAACCCATCAATCTTCTACTCTTCTATTCCACCGGGATGCCCTGAGCGCCACACACAAGCTCCGCAAACTTCGAAATAGTAAGCGAAGGGCTCAACAACTGTTGAAAAGCAATATCCATCGCTAATTCCTTGAAGATCCAATTCCGCAGTTCAGCTCCAATCATGCTATCGACGCCATAGCTCGCAATGGAGCGTCCAGCGTTATCGTTGTCCCTAAATTTGGTCTCGTCGACTAACAGTACACGCGCTAGCTTGGAAATAAAGTGGTCGCATACTAGGCCCACCGCTTTCGCTGGCGATTCTCCCCCAGCCGCTCTGAGCCGTGTCAGGATCGAACCTGCCTCGTCGTCGCCTCCCTGGTTCCCGCCGCCATTGACGTTCATGGAGTGCACGAGAGTTGAGAAACGCGGGTCCGCGGACCAAAACCCGTCGACGTCGCCCTTGGCCTCGCGGCTCGTCTTGTATAGTTCAGCTGGGTCTAGACCGACGACGAGATGATCGAAATGATCGTTTTGTTGCGATGTCTTCTGTTGTTGCTCGATGATGGCGACTTCGAAAGAACAGAGTAGCGCCTCCTCATCTATTCCGCACATGCCCTTACGCTTGAGCGAGTTTTCGAGCTCGAGGTTCTGGGCTACAACGCCGACGCCGAGAATCATGGGAAGAATCACGGCGCAGGCGGGCTTGCCTTGAGACTGGCGCAGCCGCGCGAGTGCATCCATGTAAGAGTTTGCAGCGGCGTAGTTGGTTTGAGCTGGTGTTCCGAGAATACCAGACACTGAACTCGTCATGAGGAAGAAATCCAGGTTCAGGTCGACAGTGACTTCGTGAAGATGCTTGCTGCCAAGGACCTTTGGTCGAATCGATGTGGTCCAGTCTTCGTAGGCCATGTTTTGAAAGAACCCGTCCTATATTCCAGTTAACATGATCGAAAAATAACACCACAACAAACGCCGCTGCTTTCAGATGCCACATTCTGACTAGTTAGGAGAATTTCACTTACCCGCAAAACCATAGCCGCGTTGACAACGCCACGGATAGGCCGATCTGCTGGGATTGAACCTACAGCTTTTTCTACGTCGTCCTTGACCGCAGCATCACCCTTGAACACCTGCAAATTGGCACCGCGTGCCTCCAAGTCTTTGACAAGAATGGCTGCTTGCTCAGAGTCCATGCCCGATCTTGATAGGAAAGCGAAATTAAGTGCTCCATGCTTCATCATCCACGAAGTGAGGCTACGACCAAGACCTCCAAGGCATCCTACAAGAAGATATGTGGCGTCAGGGCGTAGGGACAAACGCGGGCGAGATTTAACAACATCCACCGTACCATCGCCTATCTCGTGTGTGATGACAGTTTTATTGTCGCATAATGAGTCTGTAGCAGATGCGATGCTCTCATTGAGTTCAGTAATATTGCGAATAGCCAGCAGTGGCGTAGGGATGGAGCCCTGGCGATAAAGTTCCATGATACGCTCAAGTAAGATACCAAGAATTCGAGGCTTTTTGAAAAGGCTGATGAGATTGACTGACAGGTAGCTCGCTCCACGAGCTGCTGGAACGGAGTCCAAGGGCGACGTAGTGGCGGTAGCGCTGCAGTTGACGAACCGTGAGAAAGCTGGTGCATGCCGCCATGTCTCTCGTGCTACTGTCGGTACAACCGAACTGCCTGAAAACACTACATCAATCTCGAGATCAAAAGACTGTTGAGGAGAGAATTCGGTCAGGATTTGTTCGCTAGGAAGAGAAAAGGCCGCCGCAACGTGCTCCGCTTCAGTCGAGTCACGCACAGCGACATACGGAAGACCGCGAAGTGCCTGAACGATCCTTATTGCGGCTGCTCCAAGACGTCCTGACCCAGGAAGGATAAGAACGGATTCCTGATATTGCAGTCTTGCCAGAGTCTGAAGACCATATAGAGCGGCGCCATAGTACATCGGGAGGCTTGCGGCCGTTGTAAATGGCTCTTCAGGATTAAGTCCTTGTACCAAACACTCCTTGAAGCGTTGGTAGTTGGAGAACTGCTCGAGCTGAAGGCAACGATGCTGTCACCAATCGAAACCTTTGTGACTGCACTTCCAATCCTCTTGACGATACCGGAAGCTTCGTGGCTGAAGTCAGTTTCGAAAGAGGCACCAGAAATGATGGCCTGATCCTCGCGATTCAAACCCATTGCTAACGGCTGGAACTCGATCTCGTCTTGCTGCAGTGGCTGTGTGTCTAGAGGGGCAGTCTCAAACACAACCTTCCCGGCCTGAACTCTACCCACCAATCTAGCTTTGGGGTCAAAAGGTTGCGGCTGTGTCTCCCAGCCAGTGTGTTCGTGCGTCTCATTGATCTTCTCGGCCGTGTTGAGGCGGCTTACGAGCAACTGGCCATCACGGGCGAGGTATTCAGTCTCAAGCTTCTTTTCATTGCCAAAGAGAGCGAACGCCAAAGATGTCGTCTGCGAAATAAATTCCTCGGAAGCAATATCGGTGTAAACGAAGTCAATGAAGGTTGCCTTGAGAGAAGCTCGCTCAGACCGGAGCGAACGTAAAAGCCCCATTGTCATTGCGGACTCAGGACCGATGCTATCTCCAGGACGACCTCCACAAGACACCCACAAGATGTTTGAAGCATCGCTCAAGACCTTTTGCAGGTGGAGGAACTCGGGTTCTGACATGGTCGCCACGAGCGGCTGCTCAAGGTCGGTCAGCATGATGACGTTGCTGCCGGGCGGGCATGCGTCTCCAAGCTTGGAAATTTCGCTTCTAAAGCCAATTTCCTCGAGGCGTAGCTTCAAGCGAGTGATATCCTCGGTTGGATTAGTTCGATACACCAGTTGAATAAGCGTTGATGAAGGCTTATCGCTTTCCATGACTCTGGATGTGACAAACATGGTATCCTTCAAGGAGAACTCTAAACCCGAAAATCCGGCTTTCTTCAGATCATGACCGATCATAGATGCTTTTCCTCCCAAAACGGCCTGACCTCTTTCCACTAGTAGCTCAGAGATACACTGGAGTGCATTGCCTGGAGTATTGGGGGCGATGACGATATGAAACGAATGTTTGAGCTTCTCGTAAGATTGTTCCCCCAAACTAACCGTTAGATCAAGCGGTATGGAAGAGAATCTGCTCGTCCCGCTAAGATCTGCTTCACTCTCGGCCTCTTTAGGGCCACCTGTGACTAATGTCATAGAGATCCCAGGGAATTTTGCCGTGAGAGACTGAACAATCATCAAGTCCGTAACGAGGATCTTCAAGCCCGGTGTCTTGAACTCGGCGAGCTCAACAAAATCGGCAATATTTAGGTGTGTTTGAGTGCCACGCAGCCATGAAGCGTCCGGCTTATACACAAGCTGGGAGTAGGGTTGCGGCTGAAGGGGAGCTTCTAGTCTCTGCGGAATTGCAGCTTCATACGCAATACAACGCATGCTTTTGATGTGCATAAGGACCTGTCCGTCCTCTGCCACGAGTTGATTGTGGGCATTGAAAAGCCTCTGGCCCCGAGGATCAATCCATGAGAAGGCCGTGGCGCGGGCATCATCAGTAAGCTGGGCCGCCTTTGGCCTCCAGATAGTGATCTCTTCGGCACGAACAGGCACTGCTCCAAACTGCATGGCACCGGCACGACCAGCCCAAATTGCGACGATCATGAGCTGGAGACACGAGTCTAGTATAGCTGGGTGCAAAATGTGACGTGACTCACCCTTCATCACGGCGGTCTTGACGTTCGTTGAAGCGTGAGCGCAATACGTTGATCCATCAAAGGTGATGTTATCCATGTCTTGGAACGTTGGGCCATAATTAAACCCAACTTGCTTCAAGGCATGATTCCAAAGTCTCCCAGAGGCGCGCTGCGGCAGGTTGGGCATTTTTTTGGCGACTGCTGTGCGTGAATTGATGTTGATGCTGATACTTCCGGCCATGTGATTTTTGCGGTGCCCTTCAGACGACACAGACGAGACGTTGAATTCCCACCATTGCTTGTCACCCTCATCCATACCGAGGCATGACGGGCGCATATTGAGCAAGACCTCGATGCCATTGTCGTCATCTGGAGTTACCAAGGCTTGCTGAATGGCGATATCCCTAAAAACATAGGAGTTGATTTTGGAAGGCTTCTCGGCCATCTCGTTGATCTGAGTTACCGCTTCCATGGCCATAGAGAGGTATCCAGCCGCAGGAAAAACTGCCTCTCCGCCTAGCGAGTGGTCCCGAAGCCAGGGAAGATCTTTGATGCGGAGGATATTGCGCCAAGTGGGTTCAGCTAGAGAGCCACCGATGGTCAATTGGCCCAAAACATCATGACGTGAGTAACATGGCGAGCGGTGCTCCTTGCTCTCTCGCGACTCAGCCCAGTACCTTTTCGTCTTGTCCCACTGATAGGGTGGTAAATCTACGATGAGGTTACCTGTCCGTGGAATTATCTTGCCGGACGGGTAGACCTCCTCGATCCCTGTCACTCTTGCGAGATCAAGGGGGTAGTTGCGCAAGAATAGCTCGCCGGCCAGCTTGAGCACTTGCTCGGCACAAGGGAAGCCACGCGCCAGGGTCGGTAGGTACTGCAGCTTGTCGGCTTGCAACTCGGTCTTGATCTGCCTAATAGGCCCTGAAAGAGTCGAATGAGGTCCGATTTCGATCAAAATGTCGATCTTGGGGACTTCTTTGCTCGTGAGGGCCGTTCGTATGGCCTGATTGAAGAGAACGGGGCTGACAAGATTGGCGCTCCAGTACTTTTCGTCAAGAACTACATTCTCGGCCAAAACGGAGTTTGTGACTGAAGACACCATCTTGACCTCGCTAGATACATGCTCATGATTAATGGCCTGTCTAGATTTGCGAATAAGGTTCTCGTATCTTTCGACCGCTGGGAGCATGTGGCGTGAGTGATATGCTTTGCCATTGGTCTTGACGAGGCGGGCAAAGATACCCTCTGCCTGCAAAGTCCCTTCAATTGACTTCAAACTGTCAATACTACCGCTCAAGGTAACTCCAGATGGCGAGTTGTGACAAGCAATCACCACCTCGGGTTCGTAATTTTCGATATAAGGTGCGACAGCCTGGGCTCCGAGACCAACAGCCATCATGGCACCAACCGAATCAATGTCCTTGACGACTTGGCCACGGTAGTACGCCATCAGAATGGCCTCAGCCTCAGAAAGATATCCGGCAGTGAATGCTGCACCGATCTCGCCAGAAGAGTGGCCGACGGTTACCGAAGGTTTGATGCCCCAAAGGCGGAACAGCTGAACGAGAGCAACTTGTATTGTGGTACACAACGGTTGGGAGAACTCAGCTTCGCTAACACAAGATGTAGCTGAGTCTTGAAGAAGAGCTTCCTCCAATGTCCAAGATGGAGCTTCGTCAAGATCATCCAATGCCATGTCCATGCGCCGGATCGACATGAGGAAAGTCGGGTAATAAGTCATTAGTTGCGCGCCCATTCGAGCCCATTGTGCACCCTGTCCATTGAATACGAAACCAAGTGTACTAGCTATCTCCTTCCTGTTGGCGAGAACAAGTTTCGGGGAGTCGTTGATAAAATCTTCATGGAGAGTCGCCGGTGTTGTGACAACCATGCCTTTGCTTTGGAAGCGGGTGCGGTGATTGGCGAGAGTGTGGGAAAGATCGAGCAGGCTGTAATCTTCAGCCACCTTGCCATGAGCGGCAGCGTTTCTCTTCAGAGCCCCCATCTCGTGGGCAGAAAACACTAAAAGGTACGGCCTGTTCCGGTTCACTGCCCCGCGCGCCAACTTGCCCTTAGTTGTGGCACCAGGCATCGAATATTTGTAACTTTGGGGCAAAGCCAATAGGGAATTTGGGCTCTCAATTATGGTGTGCGCGTTCGTGCCACCATAGCTAATTCTTAGTTAGTAGGTAGTCATCACAAGGAGTTGATATCGTACCCAAAAGAATTGACGCTGATTCTCGTGACAGGCAAGTGCTTTGGAATGGGCGTCGAGTCAGTGGGCACATTGACTTGCCAGCCTTTCCAGTCAATCTTCGGATTTAGGTCAGTAAGTCCCCGTGTTGGGGGAATGATGTTCCTCTCCGCGATCAGGATGGCCTTGATGACGGCAGACAGCCCGCTGGCCGCTTCACTATGACCAATGTTGGTCTTCACGGCGCCTATATGCAAAGGGCCATCTGCCTCAGTACGATTCGCATTCATGATGTCGGAAACAGCGTGGACTTCTAAGGGATCACCGATTGCCGTCCCTGTTCCATGGCACTCAAAGTATCCTGTAAGCATGGGATCTAAGCCGCTGCGTTGGTATGCATGCTTCATAACGTTCCTTTGTCCATCGAAACCAGGATATGTGATACCAACGGCAGGCGCTTTTCCGTTGTTGTTCGTCGCGCTTGAACGTATCACGCCGCGAATTGGATCACCTTCTCTAACGGCATCGCTCAGCCGCTTCAAATAAATAGCTCCAACCCCTTCAGCACGGCCATAGCCGTTCGCGTAGCTGTTTAAGGTGTGGCATGTTGAAGTTGGCGACAGCACACCCAACTTCGCTGTGTTCATATGCTGGTCAACGGTCAAAATCAAGTTGCTACCGCCAACAACAGCGGCGGAACACTCCTGACTGCGCAAGGCGTTGCATGCGTTGTGCAGGGCATAGACGGATGATGAACAGGCCGTGTTGACGACAATACTTGGGCCACGGAGGTTGAAGACGTGACTGACCCTGTTGCTAAGAAGTCCAGGGTCAACTCCAGTAGCGGCGAGACTGTGGCGGAATGAGGGCTCTTTGAACGACATTTGTTGGAAGTCAGCCGTGAATGTAGCCATGAAGCAAGCTGTATCCGAACCAGAGAGCTGGTCTAAAGTCAGACCGGCTGACTCGAAAGCTTCGTAGACGACTTCCAAGAGCTTCCGCTGCTGTGGATCTGGAGCAGGGCGCTGTCAGCAAGTTGTCGAATGTCAAGGCACGCTACAGCAAAAACGTACGAGAGCCTTACCCATCCATGTAGCTTCGACGGGGGTGATGCCGAAAAAGGCCGGATCAAACTCTTGAAGAGTCTCATTAATAAAATAGCCGCCGTATACACCAAAGCTTCCTGGCCGGTCGTTATCAGGATGAAAATGGGCGTCAATATTGAACCTGGAAGAAGGGACCTTGGGCGTCTGGCCACTTCTCTTTTCTATCATTAACTTCCAAAAGTCGGACGGCGAGCTGACATCACCGGGAAGACGACATCCTGTTTCCAGCCAAGTCAGCAACATTGGGACTAGTTCAAGGTTTCGTAAAGTGCTCTTACCCATTCCCACAACGGCGATGGGTTCCAGTTGCTGGCTCAACGGCAGCTCGGTTGACGAGGAGACAACGTACTCATCATCTTTGACAATGCGCTGGTAGGCATTCCTCGTATCGAACTCAGGCGCGGCTTCTGAGGCACTCGAAGACGACTCGTAGAAATGAGGCATTGTGTCAAAGGCAGAGACTATAGCTAGTTTCCAATTATCCACAAAAATGATCTTATAGTGGACAGCAGGGAGATTACACGGAATCATATATACTGCGTTGAAGTATACTTCACCTACCTAGATAAACTCAGAGGTAGTGCATCCTGGTCTGCTGGCTCTATGCAATGCATACTGACAGCCTCGGCCTCTGGCATCTCCTACGGGGCCCGCATCGGGGCACGGAGTCGATTACCTTCGTCTGGAAGGTCCATGTTAAGCGGACTATTCGACAAGTTTACCACGGCAAGTAGTTCGGTATTTTTCCCTTACGCCTCGCGGCTGATCCTGCTGCGTGTAGGTCGGCCCTTGGCGACCTGCGCATCAAGCCCGCTGGGTCCGCTGGATGATGTACATCGTTTGGAGTGACCGAATAGTCGCATGCAAACACATGTGCGCTCTTTGGTGTTTGCCAGCTAAGCGTATCAGCTGCTCGATCATCGTCTAGTGCCACATTGACCAATATATATTGCAAATGCTGTACATGAAAGGCTTCGTTTTATGAGCTGAAGGTGTAAGCCCGTCTATACAGATATCGCCTAGCGGACTCTTTGATGATAAATATCTGTGAAAGATATTTAGGACGATAGTGGGAGTTTTTTTCGCCGAGGGGTCGCAGAGACCCCGACGAAACGCCGCGAGATCGTTTAGCGCCTCCGCCGGAGCTCGAGGCCGTCTCGTAGAGCCGACTACTCTCAGATCGCGATATGCAGTGGGGGTTTCAAACCAAGCCGGTCCAACAAACGGGTAGCTGTTCGCTGTCCGTCCACTCGGTTGGCGGGGCCCGTCTGCCGCGGTACCGCAGCGTCAGGGACGGACTTAGTCCATTACAGGGTCAGCAGTACATGCACGTAGCTGTAGCAAAGGAACAATCGACGGATCTCGGGAACGTCCTTAATTGTCTTCATCGTTGATTCCAGCTTCCATTCCTGAAATTCTTCATCTCGAATTTCCTTTATTTATCCCCTGAAGATACCTAGGTATTTGTGGGTCTCCGGACGTCGATATAATGAGTCAAGCCATGGAGAACTTCGATACAATTGTGGTTGGTGCTGGTATACACTGTAGCCAGATAAGTTTTTGAGGCCAAACTAACATCCAAGGCAGGATGGTACGGCCTCATGGCCGCTCGCACATACCTAGAGCTAGCTCCCGAGACCAACCTCCTCATCGTCGATGACAGCGGCACAGTTGGTGGGGTTTGGTCCAAGGAGCGGATCTACCCCAGTCTTTTTGCCCAGATTAGCCATCCACTGTTTGAGTACTCGTTCTACCCAATGTCCAAAGACGACATGTCACCGGACGGCTTCGTTTCTGGGAAGACGATTCACAACTACCTTGACAGCTTTGCTAGAGATCACAACCTGCTGCCTCGCCTGCGTCTCAAGACTCGCGTAGAACGAGTCAGGAGAGGGCCGTCCGACTCGGGCGGATGGATTCTCGACATCAAAGAGGGGAACCCTCTCTCATGCGACAAACTCATCTACGCCACAGGAGCCAATTCCAGCCCCATCATTCCGACCTGGCCCAATGAAAATTTCGAAAGACCTGTCATTCACTCGCTGGATCTTGGAAGGCAGCAGGATTACATCGCCAGGGACGTTCAAACAGCCACAGTCGTCGGCCGGTCCAAGTCATCGTACGATGCTGTCTATCATCTGTTGTGCGAGGGAAAGAAAGTTAACTGGGTCATGCGTAATGGGCTATCCGGTCCATTCAGTCTCTATGCCCCGACGTTCATGGGCCTGTGGAATATTGCCGACCACATCTCGACTCGTTTCGCCTCGAGCTTCAGTCCGTGCATCATGGCTACGTCAGGGTTCTGTTACGACTTCTTCCAGCGTAATGCGGTAGGGCAAATGTTGACAAATGTATATTGGCGAACGGCTAATTACCTCTCCGTATCGCATGCAGAGTACTGGAGAACCCCTAATGCTGAGAAGCTGCGACCGAGGCCATACAGCGATGGGTAAGTTTGAAATGCGATCCCTAGAAATCTCCAACCAAATCAGAGATAGCTTGACTGACATACTTTTCTCTTTGTCTAGTGTATGCTGGGGAAGTGGTGGTATTGGCATCGCCACCGCTCCTGACTTTTGGAAAGTCTTCCACCGTGGTAACATCACCATCTATGAGACCGAGATAGAGTCCCTCTCCCACAGAGATGTTGTGAACCTGAAAAACGGGTACTCGGTGGCGACTGACATTGTAATTCACTGTACCGGCTTCGACAAGGGGTACAGCACATTTGATCCAGAGCTGCGGGAGGAGCTTGGCCTACAGTATGGCACTAAGGGCTTTTCGCTGTGGAGCTTACTCGACGCGAAAGCCGATAAGACAGTCGACGAGCTTTTACCGTATCTCAGAACTGCTCCGAAGCAATACGGTGATGCCGATGCCAGTAGGAGTGCAGATCAGGGTCCAAACCGACACTTCCGCCGCCTTGTAGTGCCTGAGCTAGCGGCACGGGGTGATCGGTCAATTCTTTTCCCGGGACACATCCATTCAGCATTTACACCACTTGCAGCAGAGCTTCAAGCGCTTTGGGGAGTCTCTTGGATGCTTGGATGGCGTGACCTTCCCCCCAGAGAAGAGATGGAGTTTGAAGCCGCGACTTTCAACGCCTGGACAAGGAAGAGATACCTCGAGCAGGGCAAGAAGCATTCGTACTTTATATACGACTATATTCCGGTATGTAATTTCATTCAACATCGCCCAAATGCAAAAAGAATCGTCACGACACACTGGGAAAGTTCCATGCTGATTGTAATGGCAACAGTACATAGACACGCTGATGAAAGATTTGGGACTCAACCCCTTCCGGAAGAGCAACGTCTTCGAAGAATGGTTTGTCCGGTATAAGCCAAGCGACTACAGTACTATTCTTGATGAATATCGTAACATACGACATCTTCAGTTAAAATACGAGCCTATGAATGGGCACGCGCAGGGGCTGGAAGATGTTGCGGAGAAAATGAATGGTCATGCTGTTGAAAAAACCCCAATCTAAGCCCAGGTACAAGTATTTACATAGTGAATCCTTCACGGCACGTTATCTCACTTATTCCTCATGGTCAAAAAAATCACCTCTTCTTCGCTCGCATTCGCATAGTAGTTCTAGATAACGCACGGGCAAATGTCGACGTAGGTAGTTGTAGAGACGAGGAGTTCAGCATTTCATCACCTGAGAAGTGCATCCTCCGTAAGGTGCTCAAGTGTGCCACATAACAAGGTAAGAACACCAAAATCTCTTGATACGAGCAATTCCGACGGACAATCTCTCTTTCACAAAGGATTTCTCAATCGCCGTCGTTGTAGTGCAACAGCGTTACAAAGAAAAAGTGGGTCCCTCGGCCTCCGTGCCCGTCCCCGTGTCCGCCCTCCGCCTCGACCCCCCGGATGGTATAATCTTGCTGCAATTTCTTAATCTCCTCTTCCTTTCTACAAGTTCTTCCTTTCCTTACGAAGCTGTTCCAAGGTCAATCGACAGTAAATCCACGTCCGCGAAAGCCGTGTTCAATTATACAATAGAAGCCAGTTAAACTCACCGAATATGGACTACGGAAATACATCGCCGAGCCAGAACAAATCAGGCCGCGAGAAGCATGCAGGTGCAGTGGATTCGAACATCCAGAGTCTACCAGGCGAGCTTGTCGACTGCGTCACTACAGCTGACAAGCCTAGCCCTCGCAACATCCATGGTTGGAAGGTAAGCACCCCACCCCAACACTTACACACATACCTCCTGGCACTATGCATGCATTCTAACTCGAGGCGTTTGCGTCTTTGTAGTGGGCTATCTCTTACTCCGCTATGCTATCTACGACGCTCCTATTTGCTCTTGACAACACCATCGTCGCCAACATCCAACCAGCCATCATCAACGACTTCGGCCACCTCGAGCTGCTAACATGGGTTGGAACTGGCTTTGCCCTCGGCACCATGTTCATTCTGCTCTGGGGAAAGGTCTACGGCGTCTTCAACATTAAGTGGGTCTACATCTTCAACATCTTCTTGTTTGAGGCCGGCAGTGCCCTTTGTGGTGCTGCTCCAAACATCGAGGCCCTTATCATTGGTCGTGTCATTGCTGGCGTCGGTGGCTCTGGCATGTACTCGGGTACTCTGACCTATGTATCGGTTCTTTCCAATGACCAGGAGAAGCCCGCGTATCTTGCTGGGAGCACGGTCGTTTGGGGGGTTGGCAGCGTCCTGGGTCCAGTGGTAAGGACACCCTTACTTACTCCACCTCATTGGCTACATGCTTACTTTGTGGTATTAGGTCGGCGGCGTGTTTGCGGCAAGTAGTGCCACTTGGAGGTGGGTATGTATTTTTGACCTATCCTTCCTTAATCTTTCGCCATGGGTGCTAATAATATGCTAGGGATTCTATGTCAATCTTCCCATTGGCGCTGCTTTTGCACCCATTTATTTCCTACTATTTCCCAGCGTTGACCCTTATCCATCCAAGACGCTCGCCGAAAAGTTCCGTCTCATCGACTGGATCAACGCCGCTATTTTCCTTACTGGCTCCGCCTGCCTGACTGTCGTGCTCACCTTTGGCGGAGTCATCTACCCGTTTGGTTCCGGAACTGTAATTGCGCTATGGACGGTCACGGGCATTTTCCTTGTCGCCTTCATCATCACGCTGAAGCTGCACCCGCTGGTTACCAATCAGAATCGCCTGTACCCTCTGCATTTCTTCAAGCAGCCCACATTAATCAACATGCAGCTTCAAGTTTTTCTATCCTCGGGAATCATTCTGGTAAGTTGAGTTCTGAGTCTGATTGGTACAAAAGCTGACCAGTCTCCAAGGCTATGACTTACTATATACCCCTGTATTTTCAATTCGTCAAGGTACGCTCTCAAGTTGGCTTGATCTAATAGAGACTGATATCGTTTAGGGCGATGGCGCACTCGAGGCTGGCGTTCGTCTACTACCATTGATTATGTTCATGGTCGTCGCCTCAATGGCCAACGGCTTCCTGATGCCTAGATATGGTTTGATCCCTGTCTGGTACATCGGAGGCAGTGCGCTTGCACTTATTGGCACAGCTCTGATGTGTAAGACCGTTTACTCAAGCCGCTTTCGAAGTAGCAATGGCCCAGCTAACGTCTTTCGCAGACACCGTTGATAATAACACGTCCAACGCCAAAATCTACGGATACAACATTCTTGTAGGAACTGGTGCAGGATGCTACATCGTTGCAGGCTTTGCCATCGTCCAGTCATTAGTTCCCGTTCACGACATAGCCAACGCCGTTGGCGCCATGACAATCTGTTAGTCTCCACCTAGCATACCCCCTCCAATTCACTTCATAGAATTGTTAGCTAACATGTGTCATCCGCATCCAGCTCAAGACCTCGGTATGGTCCTCTTCCTCGCCATCAGCGGCAGCCTCTTCCATAATGTAGCCGTCGACAAAGTCGGTAAGGCTCTCCCAAACTTCTCCCCCGCGGAGATCGGGAACCTCATAGCAGGATCAAGCAGCAAGGCTTTTCAAGCACTATCCGACGCGGAAAAAGCTTTGGTCATCCCGGAGATTGCCAGTGCCATGACCAGCATATGGGCTTTTTTCCTTGCAGCTGCTGCGCTAAGCGTGGTATGCTCTGTTCCATTATTGGTGAGTAGTCTACACAATTTCCCTCTCCTTCATTGGTATTACCTTTCTAACGCGTATGGTAGAATGCCAAACTCAGCGGTGGGGTGAAAACTGTAGCGATGGCTGCAGCGTAAGATGCGCTGTGGCTGAGTGGAACTAAGGATTAAAAGCAGGCATTCTAGGCGAGATTGGATGATTTACACCGGTGGTAGCTTTTTCTCCTGATGTATCGTCCTCTACACTATTAAATACAAGTTCGTAATCTCGTTATACTCTAGGATCTCTGATGAGTGAAAAGATTAACTTGTTGCGTATCCTTCTTCTATAGCCATTCTCAGTGAAGCCTTGTTCCCCTTTGATGACCATTTCAACAAGTCCAAACTTCATTGTCAGCTATCAGTAGACATAATATTCTTTTTGGACAGTAGTCCGTTCGTTCCATTCATGATCGGTAAAACGCGGTGCAAATTGGAGGAGGCTAGTGCAAGATGACATTGCGACATGATTCTCAATCTATAGAAAACGAGGTTGACCGCGACTACCCCCTACGTAGCAACACTGAATGTCTCGTTATCTCCTCCAACAACCCGCCAAACTTCCCCTCCAAAACCCGGTACGTGATGTCTGGAGCACGCTAGATGGAACAGCCAAACAACAGACCACATGACCACCAAAACTCCCAGTACTTGCGAGAAAACGGCTTCGAATCCACCAGACCAATCACCCCACGACACTAGCCACCCATCCTTCAAATGCCTAGCTCCTACTCCTCTTACATTTCCATGACGCATTTCCCGCTCCTTCTCAACGGCCATCGTATCCTGCCAGCCCAATATACCTCTCTTCTCTTCGAAGTCTACATAGCTAAGCTTTGGCGCCGTAACGCAAAACCCCGCAATGTTTTTCGCGAGTGTGTCTAGCCCGACGATGGGAGTCAGCCATCGCTGAATGAGATACGGCTTCCACCCGTCATACGCCTGCTGTCTCGTCAGGTCACCGCTGGCTTTTACAATGGCCCGCACGCGATCCAAGCGGGCATTTTGATACTTGTCTCGAAAAGCGTCCTGCAGCTCTACATTGCTGGGTTTCTTGTTCGGGTGGGCGGCGAGAAGGTCATGCAGAGTATTTGCGACGGCAACGGCGTCTTCGATGGCTGTGTTTCCACCTAGCGCGGAGTTTGGCGTAACCTGCAAGGATGTTAGATCCATATTCTAGGAAGTTAGAAGAAAGATTGAACCTTACCTTGTGAACGGCGTCGCCAGCCAAGATGATCCTGCCAAAGAACCAATGTTTCAATACCCCTTCCTCGAGCGAGATCATTTGTGCTTTCAAGCGCCGCTTCCACAGCTCCCTGAACACGACTGTTTCCGTGATGGGACACTCGAGGATTTTGCTGACGAGTGCTTCCATGTCGGCTTCGGTGTACCGTCTGCGGGTGGGCCAGCTGCATTGCTGATCCTCGGGTAGCTTGCTGTGTACAATAATGGAAATCCAATCTGGTTGACAGAGGAGGAGGAAGGAAAACTTGTCGTTGGACGTGACTTCCATGTCGTGGGAGCCGAGGTCGGGGACCGGAGAGGAAGCCATTACGATAGCGTTATATTGGGTCACCATGGCTTGGAGAACGATGCGTCAGTGATAATATTTCGATTCATTGACAATTTGGCATGCAATACTCACCACGCTTCTCTTCGACTGTGATCATGCCAGGTTTCGCCGTGTTGGCCTTGTCCCACATAATCTCACGCACTTTGGAATGGACGCCGTCTGCACCGACCACCACGTCGCCAATGAACTCACGCCCGTCTTGTAAAATGACACGAGTCTTTTCATTCTCCTCAATTATCTCCTGAACCCGTGCTCTTTCGTGTACTTTAGACTGATCTGGTAGTTGTTCGTACAGTGTGCGCAAGAAGACTTGGCGATCGAGTGTCCTCGTGTCATAACCGGCGCTTGAGCATCACCGTCAGAAGTTGTCCTTCCCAGTCCCTACAAGGGATAGGATACGGAGGGAGGAGTTGGAAGGAATCACATACAACTTTCTCACCACTCCAAAGAAGTCGTTAGATGCAAAACTCTTGCCAGAGGGATCGCGACATTGCGCACCGCCCATGACATCGCATGTGGCCAGTACGGCGTCCAGATAGCCCAGCTGGTGCAGAATCCGGCACCCGTGTGGCTGCAGCGTAATTGTAGTTCCAAAACTCGGGGCTATAACGCCTTTGTCTAACAAGACATAGTCGATGCTAGCCTTGGCAAGGCAGTGAGCCAGTGTCAGTCCCGTGACTCCAGCACCAATGATGATGACTTTGAAGGTGGAATGGCCGTCTTCCATGATGACGCCCTATTTGCCGTTGTGATCGGTGACCATGGCGGGCAAGCATGTTGAGGGCCCATATAAGAATCACCATTCTGTTCCAAGTCAGTCATGCCGACCACAAGGTTGGTGAAGCCATCACTCACTGCACACATGGGCCGAGGCGGAGAGCTCGGGGTGGGTCCAGGAAGCGACCAATGGAGAACGAGCGGCCGTTCGGCTCCGTCCCCAGCTACGGAGGCGGCATAGGCAACTGCTGCGCCATGTTCAACACTGTACCGGTCAGTCGTTCCAAGATAGCACTTTTTCTGCTGGAAAATCCAAGGGCAATCATGCTTATATCAAGGTCGAAAAGTCCAGTGATGGCTCTCACAGTAACAGTCATTTACGATAGACGGCAAACAGTGCCTATCTCTCGCTACCTGAGCCAAGCAACCCAACACCACGCATTATGCTCCAGACCTCGAGAACGCAATTCTTCTACCTAAGTGCCCTGGGGATATGGGGTCTCTGGGGCTATGCCTTCTTCAATGGCATGTTTGACCGCCTCGATACAGTAACCTCCACCCTTCGCTTCCCAGACGGCCGCCCCTTGCGCTCCTCTTATACAAACATCGCCCCACTAGACGCTCAACTCACGCTCCTTTCGGCATTCTATGATGTCCTTACCAATTCACTCACCTCCGGTCCGCGGCTACTTTTCTTCGACGTAAACTACGCTGTTGCATGCGCCAACGTTTGGGTCCTGATCGAATCTCGTCGCCGTGGCGTCCGCTCCTGGTTCCTGAGGTACCCAACTTGGGCGATGGTGCTCTGTAACGCCAACGGCGCCGCTATCGTGTTGCCTCTGTATCTATATCTTGTGTGTCGCAGTAAGGCCCGTTTGCGCGATGCCTCGGTTCCCAGGCACGACGCTGCAGCGCTGCTGGTGTCGACGGTGGTAATTCTGCTCCAGCCGCTGCTTATCTTCGTTCCAGCGTGGATAGGGCGTGGTGGGAGCGATTTACACCATGTATGCATAGCGCTCTTCCAGGCTGCACCTATTGGAGTCCTAGTGCTTCATCTCGGTCTCGCATCAATACTGCCTCGACAAGGCTCGGACTCATCAGCATCATCCACCAAGGAATCCAAGAAATGGATCGTTGCGTCACTCATTCTGGCCGGCACCGTTGCCGCAGCTGTGCACTCCTACACTTGCGTCGGGGCACTCCTCACGCGCGACGGCGATGTATCGTTGAGAAGACTTTTTGTGCCAGCCCGCGGATTTAGCGACCCCATCAAAGCGCTGCCAAAGGTAAGTGGATCCCCTGCGGAGTACATGGCGCTGGTCGAGAACCTTCATCTATTCTCGCAGTGGGATTGGATCGTAGTCGCTCTCACGAGTATCCTTTATTCACACCTTCTTCTCTCGCATCAAGATGGAGCAGAGAGAGCAAAGGTGAATCAGCCGGGTGAGCCAATCGAGGCGCAAGAGTTGGTTTACCTCACTACAGCCACAGTGATCTTAGGTCCAGGGGCTGCGGGATCATTCGCACTAGCAATCCGCGAGGCTCGGATATAACAGGCTAATCACATCTATCATCAAGTATACAGGATGTATTCTTGTCAAAGAGGGTATGCAAGCATTATCAGGTTAATATCGTTGCTTGGAATGATTATCTTTGTGTAGCTCTAAATCTCCATTCCTGGAGGTGAAGTAGACTGGATCTTACCTAGCTATCATTACAGCTTTACCAGTACTCTTACCCGTTTCTATTATGTTCCATCTCGCTGTATGCGACTGGGTCTGGAATAGATCATGTTTGACTTTAGAATCAGTATATTTACGCTCGAGGATATTGGTTTAGCTCGAATGTCCTTCTTCTGCTTAGGCCTTCTTGCGTGGAGTTTGCATGGATGTGTAAAGCGTGTTTAAGACCTGTGCTTCATGTCTACATGATTCGTTCCTCGTCCAGTCTAGATATGCTTCTCGTATAATTGTCCCTCATGAAATGAATGTGCCTCGCCAATATCCGCCATTGCGCTTTAGAAGCCTGCTTCGTCCCAAGTTAAAGGAAACCGCGAAGAGTGGATCACTTCTTCATCTACATGGACTGAGAATAAAAGGATAAAATGATAAGATTTGGATTAGCATCAGATCAAGTTCTAAAGCTTGTGATGCCATATGCGAAAAGAGAGAAACTTGCTTTTGACCGTGGTCACATCTACAAAGGCCAGCAAGAGAAACAAACAGTTATTCCGAAATACATCATCATCATCGCGTCGACCGTTTTATTGCTTTCCGCTTCAGACTAGCAAGTGGTCGAACTTTCTGGCTCGGTTTTGGCTTGGAGAGTTGGTTCTGGGTAGGGAGGAATCTAGTGATGGCGCAGATAGAGCACGGTTTGCCCATTTGCTCTACATGAGCGCTGTGAAATGCTCGTGTGCCGTAGAGTTGCAGGGCCAGAGACTCGACGTCAATGCGTAGTACCCAGACGGAGCCAGGCTTGCTTCGGATATGTGGTGACGCGCGGATGGCAGCAGCCGAGATGTGGTATTGGCGTTCGACTTCATCGACAGTCTAGCACGTTCAGTAAGAGACGATATCGGGAACGACCAAGAAGCACTCACCAGTGTTTGCCGATAGAAGCAGTCTTCGCAGGCTGCTATCACGCGCTTGACCAAGCGAAAGGGATAACAATCTAGCACGGCAGAGCAATATATGCATCGTCTGGGCGCATGCTGGAGCCACAGCCGCCTGTATACTATGCCGCTCAGATCGGGGTACACGCACTTGGAGCCGTACTTGTCGAGTTGGGCAAAGGCCAAGTTGAACATGGTGCCATTGCAAGATCGCACCAAATGCGAACAGTAGCTCTCGACCAATTCATTGCAGCGCTTCGACGTCATTGAGAGCGTATGGAAAGGGTGGGAGAGCAAGTGCCATGAGAACAAGTCGGCAGCCCAACGGTCAGTGTCTGGCGGCTGCGTGAGATCCTCCTTGCTCTTGACCTCTGATTTTGTCTGTCTGGGAAAGTCATGTGCACTTTGCGTTTCAGTGAGGCCCGGCAGGCGAGAGCGCGGGTGGGTGAAGCAGGACAGGATCTGGTTGACAATCTCGACGGGCAGAGACTCGAGCTTGCTCTGCGTCTGCGAGGCTGCGCTTCGTGAGTTACGAGTCTGGAGGGAAGAGCATGTCGAAGAGGTTGCGCGGGGCACATGCTGGAGCAGAGTCAGGCTGGGCGCTGGTGGCACAAGGTTTTGTTTGCTGTCGCATGCCGGTAGTCTCTCGGTAGAGGCCGACCCCATAGTCGATGCGTGGGGAAGAAGGGGGGGCATGTAAATCTGGACGCAGAGACAGAGGCGGGATCACAGCAAGGTCTCACCTTGGGTCTGGAGGCGTCCAGCACCTTATACTCGAACGACGTCTGGTGAGAAAGTGACGAGGAGAAGCGAGTGCGGGACAGCGGTGTATTCGCCAACTCGCCCTTCGGGATGCCGACAGGCGGCAAAGGCATTGTGATTTGCTTCTCCCGAGTGGCTTGGGTCCCTGTCCGCGCAGCGACGTACGATCACGATCACGCACTCGGCCGGATCGATGCTGCTGGATGAGATTGGCGAGCGACGACGCGGCGACAAGTCACCGCGCATGCACCCAACGAGGCAGTCTGGGTGAATGGATGCAAGCAGCAATTGTAATGCGCCCACCTCCGCGAGCCGAATCCAGGCTAGCGGCCTTTTTGTCACTTACCCGTCGGACCACCTTTCTGCTGACACGGGACCAATTATCTAGGAGACTGCGACTGGGCGCACGAGACAGGAGACAGGAGACGACACCATGGCTGCCCACCCCAATACGGGACCGGTCGTCGTTCACGAAGCCGTTGCGCCGCCAGCCGCCGCCGAAAGCAGAGCAGTCGACGACGAGGATGCGCCCGCCCCCGACCAGGACGAGGACGAGCAGGACAATGGCGACATGTGGGACTCGGCCTCGCTGTACGAAGAGATTCTAGACGAGGTCGAGGCATTCGAGTACTCCAACGACGGTGAGACGGACTGCCCCACTACTTACACCCAGTACGCCAATTGACCATGTACACAGGCATGGAAACATGTACCGCTGACGAGGCGCGCCGACTGCGCCAGCGACTTCACGACGTGGGCGCGAGCCAGTTTGTCATGGAGAACATCACCAGCGAGAAGATGACGGCGCGCAAACTGTGTACCGCATTTGGCGTCAGGATCCCCAAGTTCCTGCACGACGCACCCGACGAACACTTCTACCAGCTGCTGGGCCTAGCAATCAACCGCGAGCTGAATAAGCGGCCGCGCCTGGAGAAGTACAAGACCATCGACGACGCTGCGACGCTGCTGCGAGAGCGCAAGAATATCATGGTCATCACTGGCGCGGGCATCTCCACCAGCCTCGGCATACCCGACTTTCGCTCCAAGAACACGGGCTTCTACTCGCGACTGCTGCAGATGGGCTACGACGAGCCAGAGCAAGTCTTTGACATTCACAACTTTGACCAAGACCCGCGAACCTTCTACGCCCTCGCCGGCGACATCATACCCGACCTCGAAAAGTGGACGCCGACGCACGAGTTCATACGCTTGCTGCAGGACAAGGACAAGCTGCTCACCAACTACACACAGAATATTGACAATGTCGAGGCACACGCTGGCATACGCAAGGAGAAGCTGATTCAATGTCACGGCTCATGGGCAATGGCCACTTGCCGAAAGTGCAAGTACAAGGTGCCAGGCGAAGACATCTTCGACTCTGTCCGCGCACAAATACCCGCAGAGTGTAAGCGCTGTGCCGAGGAAATTGCCGCACAACAACCAGGCAAGAAGCGAAAGCGAGCCTCAAATGGCAGTGGCAGTAGGAAGAAGCGCTCGAGCGACGAAGACTCCGAGTCTGACGGCGCTTATGACATCCCACAGCCAGGCATCATGAAGCCAGACATTACCTTCTTTGGCGAAGCGCTCCCCAACGACTTCTTCGATCGGCTCAAAGATGTCGACAAAGACAAGGTGGACCTCGTTATTGTCATGGGCACGAGCATGAAGGTCGCTCCTGTTTCCGAGATCCCCAACTTTCTACCCCGCGACGTACCGCAGATCTACATTTCGCGCGATGTAAGTATAGGCTATAGTTTAAGTGGAGACGCATGCTAATCGATCCACAGCCTATCCACCACATCAACTTCGATATCAACCTCCTTGGTGATTGCGATCTTGTTGTAGCCGAGCTCGCACGCCGCGCAGGTTGGGATCTAAAGCACAAGATGATGCCAGAGGGTCAACAGGCCGACATTGGGATCATTGATGATGAAGAGCATACTTATAGCGTGAAGGTTAGAGGCCCTGTGCAGACCACCACAAACGGGGTGACGAGCGAGGCCAAGATCGAGCATTCATGAGCATCACGAATCGGCGTTTGAGTGTATACAAGGCGTTTTGGAAGACTTTGCGAGAGATGTTCATATGGGTTATGGCGATATTGCGACGGCACGCATAGTTGGTGTTGCGTCATGAGGCGTCAGGCATAGGGGTCGCGACACAGGCATGCACGGATGGATCATGGATGATGGAGGAGATGAATGATACCTTGGGCTGTTGGTCGGCTGTGGACAGTCTTTGCTTTTACACAAGTGCGGATGCACAAATAGATTTGATTCCCAATTGCTGTCCACATGTCAAAAACTTATTATCTAAACATGCGTGTGATCGAACATGCCCCTCTCGAGACCAGTGCGTTATGTCGAAAATATATGTCATGGCTGTTCACATGTCAGCGTGTCAGCGCCAGGGTGTCGTAGGGCTGAAGAACGCGTCCCACGCGACTTTGAATTTCTGCCCCACGCTGTTCTCGCCGCATCACCTCCGAAGCTGCAGCTCCACCCAGCTTTATTCCACTACCTCCAAGGCCCCGACCAGCCTCACACGCCGCATCTCGAGTTATTCACGACGGCTACGCGACCATGCTCGACATTCACCGCACCGATTCCGTCCCCGATACGAAGATCTACTTCTCGCACAGCATCCTACCCTCCTACATTGACCCGCAAAATGTCTCCACGAAAAAGAAGCCATTCTCAACTTTCCACAAGCAGCACTTCACCCACAGCCTAGACTTAATCTTGCCGGAAGAGATATGGGAGCTGGTACAAATAGGGCTGAGAAACAACAAGGCGCTCGGCAGACCGCAGTATGCACGCGTGCACATGAAGCTCTCCGAGATACTCGAGCCCGAGTTTCTGAACTCATACATCAAGCAAGGCAATATCATGATGTTGAGTGAAGGGCGGCCACTGGTGGACAATCGCTTCGAGCTGCACGAGGGAATCCTGAAAATGGAGCTCGATCGCCCTACGTACGAGCGCAGCGGTCTGCAAGGCGTTTCGATCGAAGACGGCGGGAAAAAGCATCAGAAACAGCGGTGGATCGTGGAATACGACTTGCGGCCAGCTTCTATGCAGCACGGCAAGAAGAGCTTCTCGCGGCTGGAGTGGGCGTGCAAGAACGTGCTGGATCACTCGCTTACGTGGCTGTTCTACAACTTCAATGCTTCGTCTGCCGAGGCGCTTGCGGAGGGGAAGGAGGTGATTAGCAAGCATGCGCCCTGGATACACAGGTTCGAGCCGAGCGTTACCCATATGAAGGACGTCTTGGTACCTAAGCTGTCGACTGGTGATCTCGCAGATCTCTACGCCGAGGAAGATGCGCTCAGTCTCCTCGAGTATCTCCACATGCTCAATCTGAATTCTCCACGGGTATATCAGGGGGACGAGATAAACCCGCACTTGTCCCGCTACGAGGTCCCGGAATTCAGTAGTGCGAGCGTGTCGAAACATTTGGCTCGTATTAGTTGGAAGGGGTTTATTTCGCCGGATTTTGTCAAGGATTTGTTTCTCATGGTGAGGAAGCAAGGTTTCAAGGGGAATAATAGGGTTAACGGCGGGCAAGATGTAGATATGGGTGGGGACAGCACGCAAGAGGGGGATGGCAAGGAAGAGAGGTGGTTTAGTATAAGTGCGCAAGAGTTCGGTGGGAAGAGGGGATGGACTGTCATGCAGTTTGCGGGGAGGGAGACGTTAGTTTGGGAGATGGAGAGTTGATGAAAGAAGCATATGAGATTTGAATCATGTTGGTGTAGTATTTCCCTTCCCGGAATGAGGGCCATGTAAGGAGTAGATGGTGATACTAGGCTAGCGACCCCATACGCACCAAGTTCAATACCCAACATGTACCTACATCTGACTCTTCCACTTCCGTCCCCTCTTTTCCCTGGCGTTAGCTTTACATCGCTCAAAGTTCTCCAACAAGGTCGCGTCAAATTTCAAGGTACCATTCTCGATCACGACTTCCATCTCACCATACCAACTAGACACATATAGAAGCTTCAATCCACCTCGCTGACTTGATGCTCACTATCATTGTTATGAAGCGGATTGTATTTCCTCCCTTGAGGGAGTTCGGGGATGGGTCACTGATTCACAGAGCACACTAGCAACCCGCGGCATCTTATGTATCTCGCTTGGAGCATCAGGGTGGAAGAATCGTATCTTTATTTTATAGAGTTTATATGGACAACGAGATGGGGTATCACAAAATAGACACTAGATAATACAAACCGGTAAATCCCCTCTACCAGTTAATCGTATCTTTATCATGGGCATAAAAGGTTTTGATATTGTCGTGCTATTTAATCAATGCACATACGCCTCTGTCCTAAAAAGAAACCACATCCCCACCCTTGAGGTACCTCCATAGATTAGCGATAGCTCAGCCGGTCATCCGGGGGCGTAGACGTTTTTACCTTTCTTTTAGAGAAAAGAACTCCAGCGTTCAAAAGCCACTTGCGCAAGGATCACGCCTGTTACAGTTAAAGTAGAGATGCTTTTTGGGTCAAACGGCGCTGTCTGACCGACAACGAAGAAGGTTCTAATACAACCCTGTTCGTTGTGAAGTCCAGGGTCTCTTCTGCAACGGCTCAGCCACATATAAATCCGTTGATGGGGCTGATAGAGATGTTTTATGCATGAAATCATCGTCTCTGACGTTGGTTTCTATTGTGAATGCGCCGTACAATGTATGGGCAATCAGACTGTTCATTCTTGGTCGGCAGAAATTGATGATTTATATCTCCGTCCAAAGTTCACTTCTTTCTGTATAGCTTGTAGTCGAGAGAGAACCGAGTTTTTGCCATTGTATCTACCTAGGTATATACAATCCAGAACTACGAGCTTTGATAGGGCAGTCAGGAGAAGCTTCTACAGCACTAAACTCCTGACTTTCCTGCAGTACTTTGGGGCGTTAATGTTTGTGATTCCTCTAACTTGTAGTCGACAGTCAGATTTAGATAGAACATTAAAGAAGTCAGCCTCGTTATTGGATTTTACTATGTTACTAACTTTGATATCTGTCTCGGTTGTCCTTAATCTTTCGAATCGAAACCCAAGGGATTATGGATACTTCCCAGTTAGAGGTTGGCAGGACTGGCTACGAGTATTAAGGTATCGAGAAGATTATTTAGTTCGTCTCTTGAGGGTTATCTCGATTGGGTCAATCTTCCGCAAGTCTAGCTGATATCTCACTCGACACACTGAAGCCTCAAAGTCTCATCTTTACAATCCGTCTCCAGCCACGATGCCAGATGCAGCTCATAGTGAAGCTCAGAGTTCTTTCTAAGGTCCTAATATCGCTAGCAGGCCTTCCGGGGTGTGGTATACAGAAAGCAAATCAACTTTAGCAGGTTGAATTCTTCGGTTTTGCTTGCAACCCTGAAGCAATGCCTTGAGTTTATCTAAGATAGTGCGATAGTAAGAACGGCACTAAATGGGCGGAGATAAGAGCCTGCAGTGTGAGCTGTCAAGGTAGCGGGATGAGAAGGCATGGTGCAATGCGAAAACACGGGATTGATCGCAAACAGAAATGCCCATCAACCATGGCAGATATTCTTGCATCGGTTTCGTCCCGTGGTGCACTATCGATCCGCAGCGCATTCCCTAGCGCAGTCGCTAAAAATAAGCGTTGACGTCGTACTTCGTAACCTCACTTCGTTGACTCGACTCAATCCGTTGCGCCGACCACAGTTTCTACGTGCCTTAGCTTCTGTATCCTTGTATGCGCTGGAATATGGACGACAATGACGTGGGCACATACGAGGTGGCGTCGGGTGACAGTCATCGGTCAGTGTTGTAGGAAGACCTGCTGTCAGTGTGCTTGGTCATTTGCTTTTCGGTAGCGAGAACGAGACATGTATATGTGAAACATGTCTGAACTCTGGAAATACCAGGGTATCAGCTGCAAGCATACCTGGGCCCATTGTTCAGGTTGATGAGCTGAGATTCCTTGTACCCTTGAAAGTCTGAATGTGTTGAGAATAACCGACCGCTAGGCTGACACTGCGAAGCGACATGTTATCGGTAGAGCTGACGCTACACGATAATTTCGCGTATAGTTCGCTACTTTTGCCCGTATTCACGCGGAGTGATGCGGATAGAGAATCAGGAATGATTTGTCTTGTCTCATTCGAGTAAGATTGTAAACGCAACAGGCATGCTGAAGGCTATTGGTATATACGTTCTTACATAATCCTTCCTGTCTCGAAGCCCTGCATACGCTCAGTAACACAACATATACTCTTAGCATTTCGGATATTGATTGAGGAGACCCATGCCTTGCGACGATCAAAAGTCTTCTCCACCATGTTCTAGTGGGAGTTGGGTTTCAGTTGGCGAACTGCACGACATTTCCATGCCCCACGCTGCATGCTTCGTGTAATTCAGGAGCCGAGCACATCCATTGTGTTCACTCCCAGTCATCCCATGTGAGGCAGGGGCCCAGTCTCCTAGTGTGTGTCACGTCAGGTGAGTGGCTCTAGACTAGTGCACGTAAGACAGCCACATACAGGGGCCGAGCATGCGTCGCCGAAGTCTTCGTTGTGCCGCGGACTGCCCGCAGGAGGGCGTAAGTGATGTTCTGTGGCGTACTGAGGTTACTTGGACCTCTACCGTTTGTTGGTTAAGGTTTATTGTTTCTCCCAGTTTTGGGGTTCAAGAGAGGATCATACATCGAAAGGTACCGGCAAAGCCGGAAAATTCATGTATGACGTTTTGACAGCTCGAGCAATGCAGGTAAGATCTTAATGCAAGGTGCCTTGGGGCTATAAGTTTTTGGGACTTTTAGGATGGTACAACATAATGGCAAAATGCGCTAGGTAACCGGGACTAACAGGAGCATGCGCGCTGGATCTAATGGAATAAATTTTATAGCTTGATTATATGGTAATGATGATAATAATGATGATAACAGGAGAAGAGAGATGAGTTCAGAGTGAAGTAAACCCACGTGCCCAATTCATCACCAAAAGTGACCACCCAGTTTCTTGCAAGCAGTTACAGAAAATGTTGGCGTAGTTGTCTTCGTCTTGGTCAATGTAGCGGCGAAGGTGATAGTCTTAGTCGTCGTGGCATAAGTAAATCTAACTTTGGTCTTTGTTGGAATTGGCAGCGTGATCGTCTGAGTGAACAGACCTGAGAAAACTGTGGCAGGGGGAAGGGTTGACGTGGAGGTTGTGGTGAGTAGAACAGATTCTGTAGTCGTGGTAGCTGGAGCAGTAATAGTGGTCGTCGTGTTGACTGGTGTATCAAGAGTAACGGTCAAAACTGGGGCATCCGGAGCACGGCGCTCGAGGGGTGCAGCAGCCTCCTGAGCTTTTACGTCGCGTCTAGCTTTTGCGGCTTCAACACGGGCGCGAGCCCACTCATAATCAACCTCGCGATCGGACTTGCGGATGAAACGATGGAGCTTGGGTATAATGGTAGGAGTGACCAGAGCGTCGGGATGAAGAAGGGTTGGGGAGTAGCGGCATGGCTTGTCGGGCCGACCTGGACGGCCTGGGGTGGTGCAAGTGGCGGTGACTGTCTTCGTAGTGACAGCAAAGTTCTTGGTAAGAGTTAAAGAGGTCTTTGTCATTGTCTTTGTAGATGTAGTCGTTGTTGCGGGAGGCGTAATAGTCTTGGTTCTCTTGGCAGTACCACTAGGAAGAGTGACGGTCGATAAAGGTCCAGTCGTGATGATATCAGTGGAGGTAGTAGTTGTAGTTTGGGCTATCATTGGTGTCGTGGTAATACTGAATGTGGCTGTCGGGGTGTACGTCGTAGTAGCTTGTGGACCGACAGTCAGGTAGAGATCTACATTCGTCAGTGAGACACCATGTCAATGGGGTGCTGATTGTACCTCTTTGCCATGCAAACGGTTGTCCATCGCCATTGTTTCCAAGAATGAGGAGTAGCCAGTGTCCCGATCCCATTTGATTCTTCTTGATAGGACACGTCGACAACTGAAGCTCATTCTCTGGAGTTGTTGGGATTTGGGAGCATAGGTATTCTATGTCGTCGGGGTTGACGAAGAGAACGTCCGCTACACCTTGGTTGCATCCTTGAAAATAAGAAACGCTGGTGAAATCATCCGTTGATAGTGAATTGATAAAGTAAGATCTCTCATCGGTGTAATCAACACCAAAAGAATAACAGATGGAAGTGGTATCGGCGATGACAAGTGACAGAGAAGTGGCGAGAGCTATCAGTATGAAAGAACGCTGGTAGATCATGTTGAAGGATTTCTAAGGAAGGGTCTGAAAAATCGGCTTGGAATTTTCGATATCAACTATGAGCCACCACAAGCGGATGTAGGGCTCTTTTGTACTTCATCCTGTCAAGGAGCTGAGCAAACACTTCATGATTATGGCTGGTCCTCACGTGCATCGACTTAGTCTATATAAAAGAGGTCTTAGTAAGGCGGCTTGGACGAGGATGCAAATAGTCATAGTAAATGCATGTTCCGGTGGGGTTTGGATGGAAGCGAGCTGTTGCAGGATGGAACGTCGTTGGGGCGGAAGATAAGCTTGTTGTGGATACATCAGTATGTATTCTGCACCCCATTAAATGTCACGCTCCTATCGTCCAGCAAATATCTTCGGGTGACCAAGTGTGAAGTGGAGAGGCAGAAACGCGGTCAAGTGTTAAAGCCACGCCACTCGGGTTTGCCTGCGCCCGTGCTTTTTAGCGCCAGATATCTCAGCCTAATCCGGTGAAGGTTCACGTCACTTTCCCTCCGCCAGCACCATCATGTGTATCCTGCATGCTCTTGCAGCCTACCTACCCTGGTAAGCAAGTCATCAAACTTGATAGGCTTATTCGTCGTATGCTAAACAATGTACCTCGCAGAGCGCACCCGGTTTGGCGCCGATGTCCACCCAACCGTTACTATTTCTATCCCGAGCCGCAGGTCGGCTGTTGTTGAGGCTCTATCGAGTTTCCAGACCAGTTAGCATCTTTATAGCTACCGTATCTTCGGGTGAGCTCTTAGAATGAATGGCCAATACGACCTGTCACTAGCTCAACGGACCGGTAGCTTAACCTTGTACTCAGGGTCTCCTCGCTGGAGCTACACCGCATAAGCCCAAGGCACATCGTATCACGTTCCGTGTGACAAGGAACTCAAATAGCCACCAGAGAAGCGATGTTCCCGGACCCTCTCTGGCTGACAATAGCTCTGATGACCCCGTATCGGAACCGGTCTCTCTGTACTACGTCCCGGTACCAAAGGTCAATGAGCCTCTAGAAGTTGGCGTAAGCAGAAGACTGTAAATTATCGTTGCCTTGGCTATCAGCCTTGTACTTGTCTTCTTGTCTCATGGCTATCAAGGAGGGGCCAGTGGCTGAAGAGAGGATTCAACACCTAGTACTCTCTGTCATACCGCGTCCACGCATTCCTTTTTGTGACGAGGACTGCCGGGCCTGTCATTCAAGGAACTTTACCTGCCCAGTCGAGTGCGTTCTACGGTAATCTTCCACTCGATATGGCGTAGCTAAGCCACGTTTTATGCGAGCCCAAATGCGTGTACTCCAGCCGCCTCCAACTTTGTGGGCCCTATCTCGTGTCCTGTCTAAGCCCCGAGCATGCTTTCTCCACTTCGACGCCCACAAATCAATGACTCGGTGCACGTGAAACTACGCCGCCACCAAGCCAGTTGATAGGGCAAAACGAAGGCCAACTTGGGTGGCGTCTTCTCCGCTACTTTTCGATACATCCTACATTTCGCGGAGACCATCATGACACGAACGACCACTAGGCCCGCTATCCAAGGTGAGTCACCATGTAATTGCATACACCAATCAACTATCATTCTCAGATCGGAGAAGAGGGTTGACCCTGCTCTAAGTACCATCTCAGCTAAGACTCATGACCATGCGCAGCCATCTCCCCTGGCTTCTACGACTTCGCCTTGTCATTTCTACAGCTGCCGACAGGGTTGTGGCAACTTTAATAAACTTACTAGAGCTCAGCACCCCTAATTGTCTCCGCCACAAACTCGGTATCAGTCTCAAAATAGCCCCTCTTCCTATCTCCACCAGATTGTGCCTCTAGCTCGACGAGAATACACCTCTCTATTGCGGAAACCCATTATCGTGAATCTTTTGAGTAGAGCAATCTATTCCTGGTCGGCAAAGAACTAACCCCACTCTGTAAGTCACACTACTGCTTAGGATTAAGCCACGCAAGGCTTGTGTCACGGTCATGATGTTGTTGGCGTGTCATGTCGCTGGGCTCTCGCCGTGTACACCCAATGACAACAACCGTCAATCACTACCAAGACATGCGCTTTGATCCGCCTGAGATTACATTGATATAAAGTGTAGTCCCTAGTCCGTTTCGACCCTGTGTTCGATTGATTGACCCAAAGGTTTTTCTTCCCTCATTGGCCGGGCAGTATCGTTCTCTACATCACACTCACTTGTCATTGTCTTCTATCTTCAATACAATCGGGGCTTCCGATATGTTACTCTTTTCATTAGCTAGCTGGCTGCTTTTTGGGTCATTTGCACTTGCGGGGATAATTCCATTGCAGGCTGAGACTTTGCCGCCTTCCCGGGTGATTGCTGAACGGCAAGCTACTTCAGCCTCACCAGTTCCTGATGGGCAATGTACCAATGGCCCTCGAACGCGAAACTGCTGGAGCAATGGTCACAGTATCGCTACCGACTTCGATGCAAAGGCGCCTCCTGATGGTGTAACGGTCACTGTAGGCAATCTCTCAGCACCTCCTCACGTTGAATACTGACCATGATGTAGTATAACTTCGAAATATCAAATGCTACGAGGCCAAACCCTGATGGAAACGGCGGAAGTAGAATTGTCATGCTCATTAATGGTGTCTACCCCGGACCCACTATCCGAGCGAAATGGGGTGATACTATTATCGTCAACGTCAAGAACAACCTTCAGTACAATGGTACAGGTATCCATTGGCACGGTATCAGACAGCTAAACTCCAATCAACATGATGGTGTGCCAGGAGTTTCAGAATGCCCAATCGCTCCGGGCAGAACTCGCCAATACAAGTTTCGAGCGACGCAATTTGGAACCACATGGTATCACTCTCACTTTTCTGCTCAATATGGCGATGGTGTCGTCGGGCCGATCATTATTGACGGACCAGCCACAGCCAACTATGACGAGGACTTGGGGGCATTACCCATTACTGATTGGTATTATACTCCGGCTTTTACTCTAAACGAGGTAGCCCAACACTCGCTAGTTGGTCCACCGGTACCCGACAACATCCTAGTCAATGGCACCCACATCAATAAGAATGGCGGTGGAAGCTACGCAAAGATGAACGTTGTCAAGGTATGTACGAATCTCTAGTTTTGCGATCAAGCTAACGCTATCCAACAGGGCAAAAAGTACCGCATTCGAATCATCAACACGTCAGTCGACAACACCTTTAGTGTCTCAATGGACGGGCATCCATTTACCGTCCTCACTTCTGACCTCGTACGTCAAGTGTCATGCAGCGCTAGATGATATCAGACTCTAACAGACTCAGGTGCCGATCAAGTCATTCATCACCGACCAACTAACTCTCACTATCGGTAAGCGCTTCCTTTACTAAACAAACATCCCTTGTGAAATCTGACACACCCGAAGGTCAACGCTATGATGTTGTCATCACCACCAACCAAACTGTGGCCAACTACTGGTTCCGCGTCTCTGTTGGTACTGCCTGTGGTCGTAACGACATTGTCGGTAAAGGCGTCCAAATCGGAGCTATCTTGCACTACGACGGCGCTCCCAATGCAAACCCTACGTCTACTACGAACGTCGTCATGAGGACTACGTGTATTGACGAGTCGACGTCTAATCTCGTCCCATTTGTGCCCAACACGGTTCCCTCTTCCGTTGTGGGCACCACTGGACGGATGGATCTCAATCACTTCCAAGATCCTGCACAAGACAACTTATTCCGCTGGCTCATCGATGGAACCCCGATGATTGTCGATTGGAATAATCCGTCTCTTGAAACGGTTCTCGCTGGATCCTCGAACTTTCCACCCAACTCCAACATCCATGAAATGCCAGGGGACGGCTGGTACCTCTGGTGGATCCAATCTGTCGCCACAATCCGCTTACCCCACCCCATTCATCTTCATGGGCATGACTTTTATATTGTCGGCAGCGGCTCGGGGACTTGGGATGGCTCGACTGGTGGCCTCACCTTCAACAACCCTACGCGCCGTGATACTGCTACGCTCCCTCCTGGGGGCTATTTGCTTCTTGCTTTCCCAGCAGATAATCCAGGCATGTGGCTAATGCACTGCCATATTGCGTGGCATGCATCGCAGGGGCTGAGCGTGCAGTTCATGGAGAGGAGGGGCGAGATCGCAGGCAAGATTGGGGATACGGGGGCGTTCAAACAGGGATGCGATGAGTGGGATGGGTACTGGGTCAATGGTAACCCTGCGAAGCCGTACAACCAAACGGACTCAGGCATCTAAGAGAAGCTGACCCGTGTCTCTTTCTTTCTTTCCTGTTCTACATATGGTACATGCTGTTGCTCTGTTGCTTGTCTCTTTTGGCTCGATACATCTACTATTATATGTACATATTCTATCATCTTCTTCCTGTCCGATTCTTCCGAATCACTTTAGATTCAATTATACTCTTCCTTGTTGCGTCTTCTTGACATTCCATAGAGAGATTGTAAGGCAATATATTCTATTCACAACCTCCTATCGGTGTAATATTTCTAACTAGAATTGGGTTTCATACCTTGGGACAAAATTCCTACATTTGCCTCCCTGGATTTCTCTCTTTTCATACCCTCACTTCACCCTCGCTACAACTTCACCATCACTACAACTTATATACTCATTATCTCACAACACAACACAACTACCCCGACTCTCATAACCCTACACATCGCAAGCCCCCACAACCATGCAGGCCATCAATCAGGAAAGCCTCCTCACAAGCATCAAGCTCATAAAGGAGCTGAAAAGCCTCTACCCCGCATTCACCTTCCTACTACTCACAAACTAACCCTCTTCACAGGTGAAGCTCGCGCCATCTTCACCGCCCAGGTGTACCCATCGGCCAACTACGGCGTAGTCATCAACAAGACATATACAGTCAACGGCGAAGACTACGAATACAGAGCGCGCCTCATTCTCTACATGGGAGACGGCGGCGAATGGAAGATGATGAATAATCCATGTTCGTGCAAGAGCTCTGTGGATGCGATGGTGGATTTACAGGAGGAGTTGTATGAGCGGGCGAGGTTGACGAGAGGTGAGTGAGTTACTAGTTTGGATATAGAGGGTGTTTGTGGGGGAGACATGAACGGATGCTAATGATGTTGTTAGACGAGTTGAGACAGGGCGATGTGTATCGAGGAGGCGAGGAGGCGAGGCGGCGGAAATGAGGCGATCTTGAGAGGTGTGGGTTAGCGATGAAATGGTGCGTGAACCATGGCGTGGAAAGGACATGATGGTCTCGAGTAAAGTGAAGACGAAAATGGATGGGAAGCAAGGATTTTGAGGGAGCAAGTCCCGACGGCGTTGATTTCATCATCCCAGTCCGAGAATGTTTAAACTACCCCATTCTCTAAATCTTGGTCGCAATCCTCCACCTCTTCTGGGCCGCTGTGATGTCGATTCCTCGCCAATCTCGATACGACCACAGGCCGCGACTGCCAAGCTCCCAGAGGAATGAACGAGCGTGCTTACAACTGGCATGTCTTCTCCTCCCACTTGCACCACCTCGTCTGCCTCGACAGGTCCCTCTTTTCTATACGGATCCCGCCAGACCCTCATCTTCCCATCCGTGCCACCCGCCCAGATCTCATGCGATATAGCCTCGATATCGTACGGCGAGGCGCCAGCGTTCCAAACGTCGAAGCCTAGCTTCTGCTTTGTGAGTGCCTTCCTGCCCGCACAGTAGCCCGGAGACAGCGAGAAGTTGCGCACGTCGTAGATGAGTAGGACGTCAGACTGGCGTTCCGCCACATACAGATATTTGCCACAGGGGCTCCATTTGAGATGGGAGACGCCGTCACCCATGATATGCCGCAAGTTCTCGTTGCGGACCTTCTTGCCGTCTATGGTGCCTGGGAGCGAGAAGTGCGTGACCTCCTCCCCGCTTGTTGCATCGTATATCCCGACATAGCGTGTGCGCGCACCTGCTGCTAGTAGACCACCGTGAGAAGCAGTAGACGGTGGTGACAAAGATAGTGCAGAAATCCAGCCTTTGAAGCCACGTCCTCCACCCTTCAACTTGTTGCGTTTCGACGGGATGGTGGCGATGGAATGGATCGGATCTTCGGTGTGTTCCAAGTCGAAGGTAGCGATGCCGTTCTGTTTTCCCGCGAAGAAATGCGTGCCCTCGTGGGAATAGGCCAGACTGAGTGGTGCGGTGACTGCTTCGGTGAGGTGGTCGATAAGCTTGTATGAAGCGAGAGGCTTGGAGATGTCGACTGGGCCGGGTTTCGAAGGTTGTAGTGTTGCTGTGTCATAGTTTCGAGTAGTATCCCACAAGGCATTGTGCAGGGTAATGTACGAGTCTCGTCGGCTGATTAGTACATGTGTACTGTTTGCGTCCTGCAAATTGAAGTGCGGATTAGCGGCGAAGGCCCAGATTGGGTTTGCAGAATTGAACTGCGCATACGGCTTCAAAGGACGTGTTTTGGTCTCAGATAGGATGTCTGTTTCAATAGGATAGACGGAAAATGTGCGACTGTAGTCCGAGCTGAAGATACATGTTCCGTCAGGCGAGAGCTGTGCTTCCTGGATACAGCTCGTGTATGGTACTTGATGGTCCAGAACGCGATCCTCTGAGCTTGCTCGGTCGCTGCTGACGTCTGTTCCTGAGTCTGATGGTGATGATGAATCTGGCGACCACGGGCTTCCTTGGATTATTTCGTCTCTATTCTCTTCCAGCAGGGCTTCTTCATATTGTCCTGACGGACTGTAGTCCTTCTTTGAATCCTGCTTCTCTTCCACGTCATCTTGCCGTTCTCCCCCCGCGAGTGTAGTGCTAGCCAGACATCGTGCGCTCAAACCAGAGCTATTCATCGCTCAACGAGCCGTGCCACATCCATCAGCGGCAACAAACGAACAGTGATCTTGATGTCGATCCCTCGTGATATGGACAAGGGTAGAGAGCGCGTATCGATAAGTGCAAAGCTAGCTTCAGCACGGACGTCTGTCATCAAAAGTTATTGGAACATGAGCTACCGCATCCCCTCCGAAGTCACTCAGCAACAACCATGCAGCATGTCCTCGAGCCGACGCGCGGACAGGCATGGGTTGAGTCGCCGTATTTGCGGTCGCTTATAGTAAGTCTCTATTATATACCTTCCATGTGCATCTTTTCAAGCTTTCAATCATACTTCAAGAAAGGTCAACCCCGATGTCGCAAGAGATACTACAATACAGCACAACGTCCAGACCGCAATGCATTTCAAAAACTCAGGACTAAACCCACATCCTCCTCAACCCCTTGACTAAAACCCAACCCAGGCAGGCGGGCTAGCAGGCACAACAGTAGACCTCTCCCTCTACCCGCTCGACACCCTCAAAACCCGCCTCCAATCGAGCGCCGGCTTCGCCGCGTCCGGCGGCTTCACAGGCATATACCGGGGCGTAGGCAGCGCAATCGTGGGCTCCGCACCAGGCGCGGCCCTCTTCTTCATCACCTACGACACGATAAAGCGGTCCTTCGCCGCCGCTACGCCCCACGTATCCATACAGTACAACGCAGAAGGCAAGCCGTACAAGGAAGCGCGAGCAGACAGCGGCAATGAAGCACTCGTGCACATGCTCGCAGCGAGCATGGGCGAGGTAGCCGCGTGCGCGGTGCGCGTGCCCACCGAGGTGATAAAGCAGCGCGCGCAGGCCTCGCAGCACCCTTCGTCGCGCGCGGCGTTGACGCACATCCTGCACCAGCGAGCCACGCGTGGGCTGGCGCATGTCTGGCGCGAACTGTACCGCGGGTGGAGCATTACGATTATCCGCGAAGTGCCCTTTACCGTCATCCAGTTCCCGCTGTGGGAAGCGCTGAAGAAGTACCGGTTAGCGCAGACGGGCCGCGAGCAGGTTTCTGGGCTCGAGGGCGGGTTGCTGGGGAGTGTGGCGGGCGCGGTTGCGGCGGGGGTTACGACGCCGTTGGATGTGCTCAAGACGCGCATGATGCTTGCAAAGGAGAAACAGCCCATGTTTACCATGTTGAGTTGTATATTGAAAGAGAGTGGGCCACGGGCGTTTTTCGCGGGCATAGGGCCCCGGGTGGGCTGGATTAGTGTCGGAGGCGCCATATTCCTTGGTTCGTATCAGTGGGCGAGCAATGCCCTGGGAGGGGTTCAAGAGCTGTGAGATCATATCCCATGACGGGAAGGAGCCGGCATGGCCGTGAAAGTGATGAGATATGGACGATGATAAACATCACATGTAGAGGATGACAGATGAGCGTAATGTCTTATTGTAGTATACGAATACCCTCTTGTAATTACTTCCAAATCATGGTAAAGATGGATGCATTTCGCTTGAGTAATAGTGCATGATCTACTACTATAACTTGTATAACCACTCCAACCCGGTAGTGGAGAGGGAAAGCTGGAGGAAATACCAATGTATTCACGAAGGCGATCTTGAAGGTATTCAGCCCCATGCCAGAGCAACTGTACAGCCGCTATGTACACTATACAAGACACCGCTGCTTCTGTACAAGAAAACACCCATGTTCAACGCTCCTTTCCATCATGCAATGCTACTCCTCAGCAATGCCAATTCTATGGTCCAAACACGCTCCTACCATCCACAATTCCCCTACTACTCTGCTGACTGCTCCTGCCCGCCTCACTACTCGGTTTTCCTTCACTGGCATTGCTTGATCCCGGCCCCGAGTCAAGCCCAACACCAACACCGAGCCCGTGGATGGCGCCAGGAGGTGATCCAGACTGTGGACCGGGGTAAGGCGTATGTTTGATTTCCTTGCGGCCATTGGCTTTATAATGGAGGAGGACGTCACCGCCACCACGCCAGACGTGGGCCCGGATGGACGCGAGGGTCATTGTTGGGGGAATGAACTGTCTCGATTAGCACGGTGTGCGGGCCAACATGGGGCAGGGGTAGGCATACTTGACCGTTACAATACAGTTCCAAATACTCCTCGGGCTTCAGCACGCTACTACCACTCGCCTCGTTCTTTGCAGTCTCCTCCTTCGACGGCGCAGGCTCGATTCGCTCAGCAACGTATCCTAGTATCTTGCGCGCGCGCAGCATACGATTCGCATTGAGGCGGTTGTTGCTAAGTTTGGCGTTAGCCTGTGACGCTGTTTCGAAGGGGAGGGAAAAGGGAATGTACCCATCGGAAGAGATGCTTGGGAGTGCGTTTTGGTGCGGCTCGAGTATGAAGGATACTTTTACTATATCTTTAGGCGGGAGTTGGTTCTGTATTCAAAATTTAGCACGCATTCAAACGTATAACGCAAGTCACAATACACGGGACGACCTACCCGTAGCAGCACTTCAGCAAGCCACATGGGTGCCGCCTTCTCAATAAGATCCGCTTGTAAGCCTAGCGAGCCCACTTTGCCTTCGAATAGATCCGCCACACCTCCGGCCTCTGGCCGATCCTCTTGGATCAAAATTGTTGTACTCGCAGGTGGTTTCAAAACGGGCGTATCATTCGGTAAGCTCGGCGCAATCTGGCTCTCCAACTTTGTTGCGCCAGCAACCAGCTGCTCTTCGTAGCCCTGCCGTATTCTTTGAACGGAGCCAAAAAAGCTGTCCTCGATGGTTTTCTCGTCGGTCTTGGTAGAGTGCGAATCGCTGTCCTCCGCTTTTTCGTCAATGGCAGGTTTGACGGGCTCGACAACGGCAGTGCCGGTGCTGAATTTCTTCATGTTGAAGGACATGTTGAATTTCTTGCCAAACATGCCTTTGCCCTTCTTGGCTGGTGTGTCGGGCTCGGTGGGTGAGGAGACGGTTTCTTCTTTGGAGTCTGTGGAGCCTTCTTTCGCTTCAGTGGATTTGCCATTCCCGTCCCCGTTGGTTGTGGAAGCGCTATTACCGAAATAATCACCGCCTTCTTGTGTTGAACTTCGCTGCGTCTGTGTAAGCTCAAGCTGTGAGCCCTCTTCGGTAGTTGGACTGAGGTAAGGATTGTGTGAGTTGCGTCCTGCACTTTGCGGCCCTCCCATGGGTGTGGCCTGTCCAATGGCCAAGCCGGGCGTATGTGGTAGGTGGAAACCGTTGCTGGCCTTGATGGTCGAGCCGGATGTTGGCCCTGATGAAGTATCCTTCCAGCCATTAATGTTCATGTCCGGGAGTTGAATGTTGGTGGGGCGATTTGATTTTGGCTCTTTTTCCTTCTGAGTCGAAAGGGATGATCGGAAGGCTTCGTCTCGCTTGATTTCTTCGTCGATGAGATTGGAGAAAAGATACCGTAATATCCATTTCCCCAGATTTACTGCGTCTTGTTAGTTCTTGCGTCTCAAGAGAAATCTAGAGATGCAACATACTCCTGTGGTCTTCGCGGAAGTCAATCTGCTTATCTAGTTGCAGCTCATCGGCATACATCTCAGCGTCAAAGCAGTAGTTCTCCTCGAGCACACATGTCAAAGTTCCTATCCGGGTATCGACACCACACCAGTGAGCGACACTCTCGCGGGTCTGGACTTCTGGTACAACGTCTTCGAGATGCTTCTTGCCGAAAGACTTGATAGGGGCGCACTGCAACAAGTCCCACAACATCACTTCTCCGGCAGTGTCGAGGGTCAGCACTCTCCTGCGGTCGTTCAGAAGATGGTGCTTAATGAGGCCGTTCTGCCCTTCGATGGAAAAGTCCGGCAAGTTCCGACATGGTACAATGCCACCGTGATCTGATGCGACCAAGACCTCAGAAGGCTTGCGTATACTACTAGCCAGTGTTGTAGTGTCGGCATCCTTGGTAGCAAATGCTTGTGGAAAAGGTGCGGTGTTGGACATGCGAAGAAGAGCCTTGAGAGGGATCTTTGCTGCCGCTTCTTTTGCCGGTGGACTCGTTGCGGGAGGCGAGGGATATCGTGAGCGCATAGTAGAAACACTGTTCCTGTGCCATTTGTAGGACTCTGGTAGCTCAACCTCGGCTGCAGTTTCAACATCGTTCCACCTGTTGATACTCGAGCTGGAGGTTGCTGTCCATATGTAGTCGCCAGCAGCGACGAGCTTGTTCACACCTTCGTGCTCTTGGCATATTGCTACTGAGAGACCCTCGTCCATCTCCTCACAGTTGCGGACGTCGCTCTTAGCCACAATGCCCGATCGGTCCGAGGAGTAAAAGACGGACAGCTGGGGGCAGTCGGAGAACAGAGACCACACGCTGTCGTTGTGCATGGTGAGCGTGTACATGCAGCGACCTGCCGTCATGGACCACACCTTGACCGTCTGGTCGGACGAAGCAGTCAAGATGGAGTCCCCATCTTGAGCCACGAGTATGTCGCGCACATTATCCGTGTGCCCGACAAACTTGGTGATGCGCTTGCCCGTCCTCGAGTCCCATACCCGCACGATACTCTCTGGTCCGCCGCTCGCTATGATGTTTGGGGTTGCCGCCAGTGCGTATACGGAGCCCTTTGCGGTGTTCTCGTCCTCGCCTACTGCAATCTCCAGCTTCTTGCCAGCGCCATTGAGATCCCACAGGCTGATCTTGCGGTCCAGCCCGCCAGAGGCGACCCAGTTCTCATTACCGCCTGGGGATGCGACGCGCTTGACGTAGTCGGTGTGGAGGCCAATGGTTTGCGGTGGGAGTGGGTCTGCGGCAGCCGGTCGCCATACCTTTACCGTGATGTCGGACGAGGCGGAGACGAGGGCGCTGCTGTTCTGAGCGAGAACAATGTCATTGATCCAGTGCGTGTGTGCCTGAACCTGCTGGCGAAACTGCGTGGGTGGGGGCTTGTAGCTTGCGGCAGCCGAGTCTGCGAAAGGGTCGCGCTCGTCGGTGTTCTTGCTGAGGTCGAGGTGCAGGTCCCAGGCGCATATCACACCATCTCGCCCGCCCGAGTAGCTATTGCACGTCAGTCAAGAGAAGGAAAGAGAGGTCTGGGGTAGCTGGGTAACATACAGGATGGAGCTCTGGGGGTCGACAGCCAAGCCATTGACTCCCAGCCTGTGTCCTCCGGCCGACTTTGCAAGTGGCAGCACTGCACCGTGTCGTGTCAGTCCAGCTCTCCGTTACGTCGCCATGTCATGTCGCGACGCCGCATGTAAGGGCGGGCGGGCGAGCACTCACCGTACGAGATACGCTTCCGGGGCGCGTTGCGTCCCATGCCCCCTCGGTCAGCTAGCACGCAGCTAACATGTGGTGCGCAAGGTGTTGTTGGAGAGGATATGGATTTGGCAGAGCTGCTTGGTCTTGCTCCCGGGGCGTGAGATGGTACGAGTGAAGCGGCACTGAGGTCCTTGGTTGGATCGTTGGATCCTTTCTCCACCTGTGCCGCTGCCCGCTAATCAATAAGGCGGAGCGCAGGCAGAGAGTGCACGCACACAGTTCCCAACGGCCATTACATACGTCACCGAACCCTGAGGCTCAATCCCTTCACCAAACCACTGGAGAAGTTCCCTCTCACAAGCCATGCCCACCAGCCAATCTCCCGACAAGGTGGAACGCACCATAGTGGGGTCGCCCACAGACGTGGAGAAACCCTCACCTGGACTGCGGATTCGCATTCGCATTTGGAGCTAGACGGACGGCTATTTACCACTACCCTGCTATTGACAGAACATGCTTCAATGCGAAACAATGGCGAACCATCCCCCGCTAGTTCTTAGCTTTACAAACTATTAACACAAATGACTAACAAACATGGGCATCCACATTGCTTAGCGCACAGTATGTTTACCACGCTTCGCTGATGCATACTGTTCAAGAGTTGAAGTATTAAATCTTGTATTGTTATGTCGCCCGCTCCTTTCCCAAGCAAAGCAAAGTCGAGACGAGGGTTACAAATTCGTCTAGACAATCACACTATGCATAGCGCCCTCACCCTAACTCTTTGTCTAGCCGTGAGCCATCATGAGCAATCCCAATCTACACCTGCGGCACCTATGATACAAACGACGCGCTTAACCAGAGAACTCCTTGATATCAGTCGTCTTGCCGGGCACGAGCGCCAACGGGACGATACCCGAAACGTGCATCTCAGGGCCAAATACGTGCATGTCAAGACCAAGCTCCTGGCCCACGTTCTTGATGTTCTTGAGACCCTCCTGGTAGTTGGGACCTGCGCGACGGATCCAGATCTGGACCTTGTGCTCAACGAGAAGGGCAGCTACTTCCCTCAGGGCGCGAATGACGCCCTTGAAGGTCGAAGCAACGTTGGTGAAGTTGGCAATACCACCGCCGATGAATAGGACCTTGCCCTCGGGGTGTTGAGGAGCGCGGAGCATGAGGTCGAGGACCGTTCGGGCGTAGTGGAAGGTCTGAGTCTCGGTAGGAGCACCGGAGTACTCACCGTAGTTGGCGAGTTCACTGGCGAAGCCGGCAGAAGCAATGGCGTCAGCATAGACGACGGAAGCACCGCCACCAGCAACGAGAGTCCAGACACGGCCAGTGGCGTTGAGGATGGTGAGCTTGAGGGAAGCACCAGTCTTGGCATCCATCTCAGCAATGTAGGCCTCCTCCTTGCTCATCTCACGACCGAAGGGAGCAGGGAACTCCATGGGCGGGCCGACATCAACGGTGGTCTTAGCATCCTTGATGTGAGCAGTTGGGATGCCGAGAGCAACGGGGCTGCGAGCAATAGCCCACTTGGCACCGCACTCAAACTCAGCAGTCTGATCGATCTTGGCAGCAAGATCCAGGAAGTGAACCTCTGCTGAGGTGCCTTCCGCATTGGGAATGACGACGAGAGGGTTGATCTCGAGGTAGCTATGAACAAGTCAGAGATGATGGTTGGCAAGCCAACAATGGTAGATGCAACTCACGTGAATTGGCAGTCAACATAGACGGCGTATAACCTCGAGATGAAGTCAACGAGGACATTGTGTACACCCTTGGGAACTTTGCTCAGGAGAGACGAAGCAATCTCCTCGTTTGAAGGGTACTCGCTGAGGTCGACGGGGATGAGCAGCTTCTCAGCCTTCTCATCGACATCGCCAACATCTACACCACCCTCGTGGGTGAAGAGGATCCAGTCACCCTAAAGTGGACGGGTTAGCGGTCAGATGCTTCATGATTGGTGCGACGGCGAGGTAGCGGAAAGCCTAGGTGAGAAGAGCCGCAACACCAGGGCGTAGGAAATTGGACAAGGCGAATCAAGCGGCGAAATTAGGTAGGGAGGCGGAAAAATTAACATGTGAAAGTGGACGTGCGTATCGCAAATAGTAGGTGCTTTGCAGAAGTGGGTCGGGGATGGTTTCCCTTCGTCCGGCCGGGTGTCAACAAAACCAGGCAGGGCGCCTGCATGTTTGAGCCAACTTCCCGCTCCCTCGAACGGCAGCAATGCCGCTGAGCCACCAGGCGAAAAATATTCCGCAAGCTGGCCAATACTTGGGAGGAGACTGCCAAACGACATGAAAAATGGAGAAATGAAGAAATGAGGACGACTTGGAAGAGAAGAAAAGGCTGAAAATGGACGTACCTCTCGCACCGAGTTGATGTTGATGTAGTATTCGGTATCCTGGGGATGGGGAACAAACGGCTCGACCAAGAACTGCCTTAGGACGCCATCGACCGTCTCGACCCGCTGCGGCTGTCCAGCCCTCGCCTCGATCCACGCACGCGCCTCGTCCCACGTCTTGTTCAGAGCCAGGAGACCGCTCTTGCCTCGCCTCTTGATCAATTGATCTGGCTTTGCGACGAACTTGGACCCGGGAACCAGCAACCACGGGTATGTGGCCTCAGCCTGGTCGAGCACGCCCTTGATGTCTGCATCGGCTGCAAAGTACAGCGATGCAAGCTTGGAGGGTGCGTTGTGTGTCGCAGATGCAGGCAGAGGCGTGGGCTTGATGACGGGAGCGCGCGTAAGATGGTAGTTGAGGATGGCCTTGCCGTCGGCCTCGAGGATGGATTTGGCGGACATTATGGGGGGATGGTCAACTGGAGGTGGTGAGTGCTGCGAACGTGAGACTGGGAACCTCGCTTGAGAAGCAACAGGCAGGCAGCAATAAGATGATTGCGAGGAAAGAAAGAGTCAAAAGATTTGGCGGTGTGGGCTTCCGATGACAGGTCCGGCAATATCGCTACCGGGGCCTTGTGTGAGAAGTCCGAGCAGGAGGAGGAGGATGATCGGGAAGATGGTGAGGTGGTGGGGGGGGGCCACCGGGTACAAGAGGGGGGAACAAGAAGAGGCAAAAATGCCGGTCTGGCTTGCTGGGACGTACCTATATCTGGTTGAGGATGGACACGTAAATGAGGAGGAGCTCCTTTTTTTTTTTGAGGAATGGATGGCGAGGATTGCGTGGTCAGGACGGCTACTGAGGGGACCTTGGGGAACAGCGGTCTGATGTTTTTTTGCGTTGCGTTGAGCTTGGGGTTGCAGGGTTGGGACGGGCAATGCAGACTAAGGCACTCGGCCCATTCCTGGCCAACCACCATCGCCGCCCCTCAACCAGGGGTAAACCAGCAGCTGTCGACGGGCCCCGCGACAACGGAGAGGGCCTCAACGAGGGCAGAGAAGAGAAGAGAGTGTCGGGACGGCTCAACACGCCCTCAGGCCAGCACCACACACGCGCTCAGCAGCCTCAGCAGCCTCGATTGCCCCTGCCCGCACTCCGAGACGCAATTAACCACACACACACACACACACACACACACGGCTCCCCAGTTTACACCGCTCGGAGGTTGTGGCTTAGCGCGGCGCCCAACAACGCAATAGTCGAGCAGGGACCTCAACACCGCCAAAAGAATACACTGCAGCTCCCAAAACTTCGGGAACATTCGCAGCTCTCCTCCTCGCAACCTTCTCCTCTTCCATCCAAGCCCTCTGCTCTGCCCCCCAGCCCCGGCATTGCATCCATAAGGTCAGTCTCCCTCTTGCTCCTGCTCCTGCTCCTGCCTCGTCGACGTCCATCCCACCTGCCGCCCATCTCGCGTGCCAGCCCACCCAGCTCCACCCACTTTTTTCCGCTGCCGCTTTTCGCAGCCCTCACGTCAGCCAGCACCAACAACCCTACGTCCAGCACAACCACGCTGTGCGAGATTCTGAGCCAAGCTGACGCCTTTGCGCACATAGACCCTTCTCTGCCAAATTCCCAGTTCCCGACCGTCAATTGACGCACAGCTGGCCACGATGCCCTCCGCAGCGCCCGTCAACGGCACTACGCCCCAGCAAGCCGCTACCTCGTCCAGCGATGGCCTCACCCCCAACGACAACATCCGTCGTTTCGCTGCCCCCAGCCGGCCATTGAGCCCGCCCGCGGCCCACACGCTCTTCCACCCCAAGACACGCTGCTTCGTCTAGTAAGCGGCACCACAACTCCCAACAGAAAGCAAGCAAGCTCTAACACGGTGCGAATAGTGGACTACAGCCCCGTGCCGTGCAGGGCATGCTCGACTTCGACTTCATCTGCAAGCGCAAGCAGCCCTCCGTTGCCGGCATCATCTACACATTCGGCGGTCAATTCGTTAGCAAAATGTGCGTGCCAAGCAACGCGCCTCCCCCGTGCATGCGCATGGCTAACAGTGTTTGGCAGGTACTGGGGAACCAGCGAGACGCTGCTGCCCGTCTACCAGACGGTAGAGAAGGCCATTGGCAAGCACAGCGATGTCGACACGGTTGTCAACTTTGCCTCGTCGCGCTCCGTCTTCCAGTCCACCATGGAGTTGATGGAGTTCCCGCAGATCAAGTCCATTGCCATTATCGCTGAGGGAGTGCCCGAGCGAGTAAGTTTACTTTGAACAAAACAAAGTGTTTGAGTTGTAATGCTGACCATCACCAGCGCGCCAGGGAAATTCTGCATGTTGCCCAGAAGAAGGGCATCACCATCATCGGCCCCGCCACCGTGGGAGGCATCAAGCCTGGCTCGTTCAAGATCGGCAACACTGGTGGCATGATGGACAACATCGTGGCCTCCAAGCTCTACCGCCCCGGCTCCGTCTCCTACGTCTCCAAGTCGGGTGGCATGTCCAACGAGCTGAACAACATCATCGCAAACACCACAGACGGTGTGCTCGAGGGTGTTGCCATTGGTGGTGACAGATACCCGGGTACCACCTTCATCGACCACGTCCTCCGCTACCAGTCCGACCCCAACTGCAAGGTCATTGTGCTGCTCGGTGAGGTCGGTGGTGTTGAGGAATACCGTGTCATTGAGGCAGTCAAGTCTGGCGAGGTCACCAAGCCAATTGTTGCCTGGGCTATTGGTACCGTCGCTGGCCTGCTCAAGACCGAGGTCCAGTTCGGTCACGCTGGTTCCTTCGCCAACTCTCAGCTCGAGACTGCGGCGACCAAGAACAAGTCTATGAGAGATGCTGGCTTCCACGTGCCCGAGACATTCGAGGAGCTGCCTGGCACCCTTGCTGAGGTCTACCAGACGCTGCTCAAGGACGGCACCATCAAGCCCAAGCCTGAGCCAGTGGTTCCCAAGATTCCCATTGACTACTCGTGGGCACAGGAGCTGGGTCTTATCCGAAAGCCTGCTGCCTTCATCTCCACCATCTCCGACGACCGTGGCCAAGAGCTGCTGTACGCTGGTATGCCAATCTCTGACGTCTTCAGGGAGGAGATTGGCATCGGTGGTGTCATGTCTCTTCTTTGGTTCCGCCGCCGCCTGCCCACCTACGCCAGTCGCTTCCTCGAAATGGTGCTCATGTTGACTGCCGATCACGGCCCCGCTGTGTCTGGTGCTATGAACACCATCATCACCACCCGTGCTGGCAAGGATCTCATCAGTGCCCTGGTCTCTGGTCTCTTGACCATTGGCTCGCGTTTCGGTGGTGCGCTCGATGGCGCCGCTGAGGAGTTCAGCAAGGCCTTTGACAAGGGTCTCAGCCCTCGTGACTTTGTTGACAGCATGAGGAAAGAGAATAAGCTGAGTAAGTGATGCAATTTTTTAGATCCAAAATTATACGGGTATTAACGCAGGGCAGTCCCCGGTATCGGCCACAGGATCAAATCCCGCAACAACCCCGATCTTCGTGTCGAGCTCGTCAAGGAGTACGTCAAGAAGAACTTCCCCAGCACCAAGCTGCTCGACTATGCCCTTGCCGTCGAGTCGGTGACAACGTCCAAGAAGGACAACCTCATCCTCAACGTCGACGGCTGCATTGCTGTCTGCTTTGTGGACCTGGTCCGTAACGGCGGTGCTTTCACCAACGAGGAGGCCGAGGACTACCTGAAGATGGGTGTGCTCAACGGTCTCTTTGTTCTTGGCCGAAGTATCGGTCTGATTGCCCATTTCCTTGACCAGAAGAGGCTGCGCACTGGTCTCTACAGGCATCCTTGGGACGACATTACGTACCTCCTGCCTTCGCTGGCTGGTGGTGCGCCAGGTAACGAGGGTCGTGTCGAGGTCAGCTTGTAGAGCGAGTCTGAGGAAAAGGGAGGGGGCAAGATGATATCCGGTTCTTGGTCGCTTGATAGCACGACCTGAACAGACGTTTTGAGCGCGGTACCAAGTTCTCACACAGACTTATGGGGCCATTGTAGCAATATCCGTTTGCTGTGGGCGGAAGTATAGTATTTAATGTCACGAACAAGTACACATGATGATGTCCTGAGGCCAAGTTGGTGAACAACGAGCGTGACTGTCTTGCAGCAGGGCAATGCACAACAGCATGCATGAGCGCGCACAACTGCAACCATGCAGGTACAGGACCTTGTTCGTATCCCATTTCCCCTGCAGGTTTCATTTTCTCTGTATATCTGGGCGCATGACGTCTTCTGTTGGCCAGTATTGGTACTTGAGCTGGGCTTGGGGGCGGTGGGATATCCTCTGGGCGGCTAACCATGCATACACCCCGCTCCCAGCCTCCTCCTCTTGTGTCAACCCCAACTGTGCCGCAACTGACGTGACTGACAGGCCGGCCTTCGATTCCGAGAATTTGGTGGTGTTGAACACGACAGACGTCGGATGCGGTGCGACTACAATGGAATGCAATTCCTTTGTTGGGCACTGCTCAAGATACCGTGCAGGCCAAGCAATTTCTTGAGCAAGACGACAGAAGCAGCTGCGATGCCGTGACGGTCAAAGTGGGCTGCAGCTACCCCGCCGCACCCAGGGCGCAGTATGCAGCTGCTAGAGAGCTCGGGGCTGATCCCACGCTATTCACTCCTTGGCCTCCTATGCGCCGGCTTTCGTATTGGGGGCCTCTTTGTGCGGCGCGGGCATGATAAGCCCGCTAGCATGCCTCGATGCCCTGGAGGTGCTGCATGCAAGCTTGTCGTTGCGGGAAGAATAAGTAGAGGCGCTCTCCTCTCTCCAGCTGCCTCACATAGTGTGCCTTGGTGTTGAGCTACCACTACTACTACTACTGCTGCTACCACAAAACACTACCGACCTACCATCATGTTCGCGCTCGCTGCTGTCACAGCTCTGGCTTCGGCCTGGCTTGTCGGTGCTCAAGAGCAGGACAACAATGCGTATCACCCACACGCTTCCTTCGTCTTCATGCGCACCGGAGAGCGGACGCCCATCATTCGTCCTGGCCCTTCCGTCCTCAGCGCTTTGGGAGCAAACCAAATGTACACGCTGGGACAGAACTTCCGAACAAGATACATCACCGGCCAATCGCCCAGCAGCCTCGGCCAAGAGCACATTGCGGGAATGTCGCCAAACGTTTTGAACAATGAGCAAATTCTGGTCAAAACACTGGATACGGAGTATCTGGTGGCATCTGCACAAGCCTTCATGCAGGGACTGTATCCCCCGCGTGCTCTCGGAAATGGAACAGGCGATGCGTCTGGCCTCCTTGCCGATGGGAGGGCGATTGACTATCCGCTCAATGGCTATCAGTATGCAAGCGTCAAGACCTCGAGCCAGCTCGACCCGGATTCAATCTACATAGCAGGAGCGCAGAATTGCCCCGTGGCGCAAAAGGAAGCGATGATGTATTTCACGACTGATGAGTTTTTGGAGACGAAAGCTGCGAATAAAGATTTTTACAAGAATCTGAGTGTGGACTGGTTCGAGGGCAATCTGAAGAGTGACCAGCTGTAAGTTTATCCTTGGTTTTTACTCGGAATGAGACAGAGCAGTAATTGACTATGGTAATAGCGACTATATATCTGCCTATGAAATTGCAGATTATCTTGCCTACCAATACGCCCATAATTCGACTATTTACCGCAGGCTCGCAAATGACTCCACATACGACGGTGTCTACGACAAGATCCGCCACCTCGCGGACCAAGAAGCATGGTACCTCTACGGCAACACGTCGTCGTCGTCAACCGACAACGACAACCGGGCCATAGCTGGCAAAACGCTTGCAGCCGCCATCCTCGATCAATTTCAAAAGCTCGTCACGGATAAAACGAGCGGCGGCGACACGACAGACTTCTCCTACCCGCTCACATTCTACGTAGGCGAGCAAGAGCCCATGATGTCGCTCATGTCACTCATGAAAGCCGACTCCCACGACCACGACTTCCGCTCCATGCCGCCCTTTGGCTCAGCCATGGTCTTTGAACTCTTCAGCACAGGCGACAACGTTGATTTCCCCACGAACAAAGATGACCTCTGGGTACGCTTTTACTTCCACAACGGCACAGAGTACGAGAACAACCAGATGATGGCCTTCCCTATCTTCGGCAACGGCCCGTCTAGGACGGACATGCCGTGGAAGGAGTTCAAGGACATGTTTGCCAAGATCAGCGTCAGCACGCTGACGGAGTGGTGCGGCACGTGTGCGAGCCCAAGCCTGTTCTGCTGGGGCGTCGACAATCCGAATGTGTCCTTCGTTCTGCCGGGCCAGCACCACAAATCGAAACTCTCGCCCACTGTAGCGGGCATCATTGGCGCTATCGTCACCCTCGCCGTCGCGGGATTTCTCTTCGCTCTCGCCATGCTCCTTGCCGGCGTGCGTTTCCACCGCAACCCGCGCTCCAAGCAGGCTGATCTCGGCGGGTTCAAGGGCTCGGCCAAGTTGGCTTCGGATCCGGACTTGAGTCTTGCGCAGAACGCGGCTGCGCCGGCGGGGATTAGCTTTGTGAATGGCGGTGGTGCCGGCGGTGATAAGAAGGGGCATGAGAGAGTGGGCAGCTGGGAGTTGAGGCAGAAGGAGTTGGGGCCTCAGCCATCTGGGGATTTTGCGGATCAGAGTCGGCGCGGCAGTTTTGATGCTATTGATGCTGTTGCGGGTCAGCCTGTGCAACCGCATGAGCGCGTCTAAGCGTGGTATTGCATCGCAGTGGCTCGAGGATGCTTGTTTGTGTTTGTACGCGGGCGCTTGCGGACTTTTTATGCTCACTCTCTCGCGACATGAAATCATGGTGGACTTTCTTTATACTTGAGGTAATATGGGATGGGATGGGAAGGTTATGGGCCGCGCCTTCACTTCGTACGATCTTGATACCCGGCCTTTTGGGCCTTTTTCTTTTCTCCTTTCTGTCATGTTTTAGGACCACTATGTCACACTCGCTACGAATATCGAGGACGTTATACATTGAACAAGTGCTGTGTGTGTGAGAGGTTATGGCATTAGTGATATGTAACTGATATCCCTTTCCTTCATATCCTTCAAGCAATTCATTCTTGTCCGTGAGTTTTACTATCCACCGTGCTCCGCATCTCTCTATCACTCACTCACCCATCCCCTCTCATCTTTCCTCCCTCCAATTCCATATGTACACTTCGCAACGACCCGTCGCTCCATCAACCAAACGCAATACAAAAAGGACGCGTGGTCTAAGGGTCAAGACACCCACTCCCTACGACCCACCGCAGACACGGTTTCGTGGCTATGCTCACGCTAGCTCCGGAGCGCAGGGACGCCTGTGCTGTCAAACCTGGCTGCGTTGTGAATTAGTATTAGAGAGGGAGACATTAGCAAGATATTCTACATCTAGAAAGAAACTGAACCAGATTCAACGGAAGACCTACCTACTGTGGAAGAGGGTATCAAACAATATTGCATCAAGCTTAAGAATGTCATACAGAGGTAGGCAAGTAGTATATTAAACCATGTACCATAGCGCGACTAAACTATAACCATTCATTGATCAATCGTACGACATCAAGTCGTGAACATTGCCTTACTCTCTCCTCTCGGTGATGGTCTTCTCCTGTGGGTCAACAACAACACTGTGATGCCTTGATGCATCCTTGTGCTCAATCGCCGCTCCCTCAACAACATGGTTGGCGCCGCCAAACATGGCATCCATCTCTTCTAGCGATACCTTCTTGGTCTCTGGTACGAAGAACCAAACAAAAGCAGCGAGGAGGAAGTTGATGCCAGCGAACATGTAGAAGGCATAGAAACCTTCCTTCGCCAGGAAGAGGGGGAAGAACTGCTGGACGATGGAGTTGGCAACGTTCTGCGTCTGCGAGGACATGCCGACGGCCTGCGCTCGAACGTTCATAGAGAAAATCTCCGCGGTAAAGATCCACACGGTTGCGCCCCAGGAGGGTTTATCTAGATGTTGTTAGCCTGAGAAAGGATATATAGGGGGGTTGTGGGCTTACAAAAGAAGGCGAACAGAAACATGATGAAGACAATGGAGATTCCAACTGGATGCGTCTTGGCTCCACCGGGTGAAGGCGTCTGTGTCTCGACGGTGGCGGCAATGAGCATGCAGATACCCATGCCAATACCTCCGGCGATGAACAAGAACTTGCGGCCAAAGCGATCGACTGTCCAAGTAGCATTGAGTGTGAAGAGGATACTGAAAGTGGCGTTGAGAGCGTTGATAAGAGCGATGGTGTTGGGGTCTTTGAAGACCTTCTTGTAAATGAGGGAGCTGTATGAGTTGAGCGTTCCTTGTCCGGTAATCTGCTGGCCAGCGTTGATGATCATGGCAATATACATCCTCTTCCTGACAGACTTGTCCTTCCAGAGCGCAGAGTAACCGCTCGAGATGGCCTCGGCCTCGAACTCGATAGCTTCGCGGATGGTTGTGAGTTCTTCCTCGACCTCTTCCTCGGTATCGCGAACACGGAGCAGGGCTGCGCGGGCCGCTTCATAGTTGCGTCCTTTCTGAACATACCATCTAGGAGACTCCGGGATGAAGAAGACTTGGGACAGAATGATAAGCGGCATGAGGATCTGGAATATGACAACCATCTTCCAGTCCCACTCTCCGAGCTTCTTGGGGTGCTTCAGGGTGCCATACGAGACCCAGTATGCAATGAAGGACCCGACCGAGTAGAACATCTGCCAGAACGACATGATTTTTCCTCGGATCTCAGGTGGAGCCAACTCGCCAATGTAGATAGGACCAGCAGCTACATAACGATTAGTACTTGGCCATGCGCTACAGGAAGATGCCACTTACTCAAAGCAAGACCCTGACCTATTCCAATGACGACGCGGCCAGCAATGAAGACACCAATATTTCCACGAGGGGCGAACGTCTGCATGAAGGTTGCGATGATGACCAATATCGCGCCAGTGGCCATACCGACTCGTCGTCCGGCATAATCAGCGAGGGGTCCGCCCATGAAGAAGCCGGCTACGACAGCACCAACTGTGTAAGCAGTGTTGATTGCTCCGATGATGTTGGCGTCGGGGTGGTTGAAATAGGCTTTCCAGTGATCCGAATTCTGGAGGGCGTTGAACACGGAGGCATCATAACCGTAGAGGACCATGCATGATGCGGCAACGAGGGAGATGTACCTTGGATATGTTAGTATCGTTCCACTCAGGGCAAACGTAGAGTAAGCCTACCAGTTGTACACTCTCTTTCCGGTCGGTGCCACCATGTTGACGATGGTGCTTCGAAGCTCCTCTCAATGGATAATGGAGATGGGTGAAGAGTCGACAAAGAACTTCGACTTGAATTGAACTCCGCAGAGGACACAGCGAGAGTATCGTAGGTGAGCAAGATCGAAACAGCGGAGAAACAATGCCAGTATAAATACAGCCGTTGGACCCGCACGGCCAGCACGCTATCATGCGATTCATGCTTGTCATCCCCATGGGCTCGGGACGCCAGGACCAAGTCCCAGGATTCTGGCCTCGTGCATCCACGCCTCATCAACAATATTCACCACGAATCATCTTGCCAATGCCGCCGCAAAAGCTTGCTTTAGCCCCAATGCATCCAAGCCTGGGCTTCCCTTCCTCTGCCCACACTCCTCCGCACTGAATCTGGGGCCCCAGACTACGCCGCTTGTGATGAAGCCACTCCACATTATGGATGGAATGGCGCTGCTCTGATTTTCCACGAATGAGGGGGATACGAGCTATGAGCTGAGGAAGCGGTCTGTTTGGGCTCGGGCGGTGCCGAAGTCGTCTTTAGTCTGCGCAGCTAGCGGTGCGGAGCCAGGATTGGCGGAGATATTCACCACATGGGGTAGTAGTACTCCCTCCCCACGGCGGTAGCACAATAAGCTTTGACAAGAAGGAGATGCGGCGAAGCAAAGCTTTTGGCTGCTGACTGGGTTCTCTTGATTTCATGTCCTCGACGACTGGGCGATCGGACGACAGGCACGCTCATGTGAAGTATCTTGTTGCTGCATTACTGCATCATGACACATGTTCGCGATAAGGCTCGGTGCTTATGAATCATGCTGGAGGAGGGTTATCGCTTGTTGGCCGCCAGCTGGTGGAGTCCAGGTGGGCTTCTTTGTTCTCAACAATCGAGTCGGCGCGAAAGTGCCAGCGATTGAAGGGTGGGTGCGAACCATGCATTGTCACGACTAGAGACTCAGGTATAGCACCTTCGACACGATCTACCATCAAGTCCGCCGACACGGAAATGAGCAAATCTCCACGATGATTGCGGGTTAATCACGGAGCCGTCTACTGTATCACGGTTCTATTGCGGAGTATTTCATCACGGGGTGTATCACGGGGTCAACCCTGAGCCACCTATCACGTGGGCATCAGCCACCCCGTGGCGCATCCCACTTTTCCCGGCTCAGCGTCGAGACCCCTCTGCCGCTCTCACCGCCCGCAAACCACCACTCCTCACGCCTGCAAATAATAAACTTTTGCCACTTCTTCGACGCCGCAAAACAAATCCCCCTATCTTCAAGATGGTTTCAGGACAAGGAGGTAAGCCGTCTATCTATACACATACCCCGTGGGCGATAGCCAGGATGCGCTGCTAGATCGATGCAGCGCGGAGAAGAAATGTGCGGAAGGCTGACACGGAAGAAACGCAGCTGGTACCAACCCCATCCACAACAAGAAGCCCAAGAAGAAGGCCCAGGAACTCGATGAGGATGATATCGCCCACAAGGCCAAGCTAGCAGCTGGTACGTCCCATCGCCCATGACCGTTCTTGATACCCCGCTACACCTCCACCCTTTGGAAGAGAGAAGTGGAGCAGTGGAGTTGTAAAGCTCGCTCAGAGTTCCCTGCAAATCCCACCTGCTGCCTACGACGACTCTCAACATCAGGCTACTACTTATAAGGAATCGAGACTGACTTTGCTGCTGCAGACAAGAAGGCCCGCGAGGATCTGGCGAAGAGCGTCGGCAAGGGCAAGGGCCCTCTCAACACCGGCTCACAAGGCATCAAGAAGTCTGGCAAGAAATAAGCGGTCTTGCGGGGCTGTGGGCTGCGGACGACAGACCAGGAGGCACGACGATATTTACATAAGATACCAAGGGCTTGGAGTCATGATCTGGAAGGGCGTTCATATAACTCACGAATGAATGCATGCATACATGGGAATGGTAGACGATCGAGTCAGTGTCTTAGAAGCTCACTTTACAGCCATCTACCCAACGCGTTCCTGGCCAGCGTCATCCCAACTCTTGATCAAGAAGCGGATCGTGATCCATACCTCATAGCCAAAGCTTTCCCAGCACTACCCCCTTTATTCAACCCAAACAGCACCTCCGCATTCCCCCAAGCAACCCTTTCCCACTCTTCCTTTGTCAAAAACCCACTCTCTCTCAGATCCTCCATCAATCGCCTCCCCCTCTCCTCTAGCGGGTAGTTACTCGCATACAACACCCTATCCACCGGAATCTGCTCCAGCAACGTCCTCATGGTACTCAGATCCTGTGCATCCGCCGTGGTAAGATAGAGATTGTGCTGCCAGACGTCGAGGAAAGATCTTTTCGGTTTGTCGGCAGAGGGGATGAGGGAGAGGAGGGTTTCGATGCGGCGCAGAAGTGAGGGGAGAGTGCCCGGGTGGCAGAGGATTAGACGGAGGATGGGGTACCGGTCGAACGTTGAGGAGAGGTAGAGGTGTAGGATTGGAAGGGAAGGGTCAGCGTGCGCGGTGTGGATGTGTGTTACCAAAGGGCCGAGGGCGGTGTCGGGGAGGCTACGCTGGTAGTTTGGGAGCTGTAGTATCGATCAGCCTCCCCCCTTTTCTTCTTCTTGTTTCTTCCCGTGAGTGGACTCACCTCAGAACCGGCAGGCCACATCTCTCTCAAAGCGATGGGAACTCGATACTTTTCTGCTGTATCCCACAGTTCCTCAAAGCTGCCCTCAACCAAACTCCCCTCGCCCTCACTTCCACTTCTCAACCCGATTACACCGCCAACAAACCGATACTTGACGATACATCTTTGCAGCTCTCTTGCCGCCTCTTTCCCTTCACCCGCACCACTCGGTAGCAAGGCAAGAGCCGAAAACTTCTCCGCATTCAGACGAATAGCCGCGTACAGTGCATCGTTGAACTTGGCGCACGTCTGTGCAGTAGCTGGAATCGAGATGTGAGAGACGATTTGCTTCGCGTGGCCAAGTGAGCGCATGTCCTTGACGCGAGCCGGACCGAAAGTCCTCAGTTTCGTGAGCGTCGACGAGGGTATGAGGTGGAGCGCGGGTGCGGCTAGGTCATTTGGGAGCGCTGTTCCCACTGTCAGGGACGGCGAGAGGTAGGATTCGACGGTTGCGATGAGGTTGGAGGAGTTGGTGGTAGTCATGTGCGGGCTTGATGATGTGCAGGGTGTTTGCGGATAGGTGATAATTTATTGAGAAGAGAGCGCGGAGAAGACGATAGATTCGCAAACAAGAATCTCGCGACAAGGTTGAGGTATGTACGGTGCTGGCAGTGACGATGGGTGACAATTGTCGGAATGGAAAGCATGATGGATGGCACGATGATTTAGAGTCTTAGGTGATAGACATCAATGATTTATTAGATTGAGGTGTGAGTGAGATAATATGAGCGATGTTTTCGGTATCCTCCTTCGTACTTTCTTTGGAACCTGCAAGATTTCCAATACTCCCCACGTCTTCTTGACTTGCTCGGCTTCACAGCTTTTCATCATCCTACGCTCGCCACTGAATGAGGCGATAACTGGGCAATGTTTCCACTCGCTGCGTTCAAGGCCACGATAGAGATGGTGATAAAGAGGTTCTTGAGCTCCTCGTCCGGCCGTCTCTTCATGCGAGGTAGAGCCGTTGACGGCTCAAGAGCTCGTGACTGGCTAACGTATATCTCTTCCAAAGTTTGGATGAGACAGAGGCGTTGTGTCGTTGCGTCGTTGCGTCGTCATGGTGGTGGTGGTATCATGTTCGTTATTCGTTATGTGGATGGGGTGTAGACAGGAGATGTCATGGCGTTAACATCTCGATGCATCCAACCGCTTAGGATGTCCGTCGACCCTTCCTGCTACCGAGGGTAAATGCTCTTCTCTTGATGGAATCCATTTTGCTTTGGCTGGTAGGCGACGTTGGGCTCGGAATTGACTCGCTTCCGGACCGGGCATTTGAAGAGGTCTCAGATGAGTGGGATCCAGACCGCTTGCGATTCTCCTCAGCGAGTATGTCTTCTAACGAGACATTGAGGTGTGGATGAGTGATGGGAACCTCTTCGAGGTTTTCGACAAATCGAGAGCTCATTGTATGGATAGTGGATGGTGGGCCAGGAAAGGACTAGTGTGGAGGGGAGGGGAGAGTGTGGATAGTTGGAGGCGAGTGAAGGGTGAAGATCTATATAGACCTAGTGGAGTCTTAAGAGCGTGGATGTATGATATGATCTACGAAGAGAGGATAAGATCTCCGCGTCGATGCGATTTTATCGTCGAAGGGTACCGTGCAACGTTCCAGGCTTGAGATATTGTGGCGGTGTTGTGAGAATAGCCGTTAAGAGGGCCGATGTAGGGCAGAATAGCGAATGCGGGGAGGTCTCAGCGGAAAGCAGTGGACGCTTGGAGTAATGGGCGGAATTTTATGCAAAAGAGCACTTTGACACTGCAGGGGCGGGCGCAGACTTTTTAAATCGGCCACATCCTCATTACATTTTTGGACGAGCATGTGGACGACGCCCATGTCGCGGCAAAGAGGCTTGACGCAGTTTCTTTCAGGGTCCAACGCGCGCCGATCCCACAGTCTGGAAGCCTAACAGGCGGAGCTAAGGCAGGGATGACGTATAGTGGAGACAGCCTGCACAGTCTGGAAGGACTTGGGATGGCAGTTTTGGTCCGCGGCTGCTGACATCCGCCGTCATTCTCGTCTGCCTGGGTGTGCGGACGCAACCGCCCACGAGTTCCGTAGACTGACACACGACTTCCGTTGCGCCCTCTCTCAAAATAGCATCGCCCAGAACAATGGACGGTCCATATGCATTGCCGACGCCCGAGGACTCTCGCACCAAGCCCGGACACCGTAAAGAGGGTTGCGCATGCCCCCCGCCTCTCCTTCTCCTTCGATTTCCAAGCACACTTCTCCGTAACGAAGACCGCGAATAGGCAAGCCGTGGATAGACTCAACGAGCAACGCGCAACGGCTTTTGCCACAGTCTAGCGAACGTCTGGCGAGGAATCAATACACCCAGAGCACATGTGCATAGATCGGCGTGATCATCAGGCGTCGCGTGCGCGACAACACCACACCACCCACATTGCCCTAGCATGTTTGAACTAGATTTGATATTGAAACTGTGTCTGCACCACGGCAGTTCCTTATTACACATGCACTTCTGGTGGGTTGCCTGTTGGCCTCTGCCGCTGCTGCGCATGAGGCTATGACGTAGGACGAGAAGCATCCGTTCCTCTCACAACTGCTCTCCATGTCTTGGAACACGGCTTGGTGATAACACGACTCGGCTGCACTTGCTAGCAAGCCATCGTGACCCTAAATAGGCTGAAAACACCGAGGGAAGGTGGGCCGTCAAATTCAAACTGAAGCCGAACGACATCATAGCGCACCCGCTCCAACGAACCGGGGCCCGTGAGCCCGTCCCGTTCAACTTCAACTTGGGCATACCGTCATGCCAATGTGTAGACGGGCCGAATAATGGGTCTCTTTTGTGGGAGTATCGGAAGCTAGCCGAGCACGTTACAGAGCGTCTGGGTTGAGTCTTGTCGTGAAATGAATGGAACCGTCGTGGTGGTGCATGTAATTGCGTCGTTGTCAACGTTGTTCGTGTGACTGAACTCGTCACTAGCGTCCGCGACCGCGCCCTCGCCCCCGTCCTCTACCACCACCACCTCGGCCGTGACCACCTCCGCGACCTCTATAGCCGCCTCTGCCCCCGCCTCGATCATGGCGTTGCTGTACTGCTCTGGGCCCGTTTTGCATTAGCTGTGCGCGCTCGTTGTCCGACGCGTGAAACACATTCGGGATTTGTAACAAGTCGCAGAAGGTTTGCGTGTGCACATTGCTGTACTCTTGCGGTTGCTCATCGCTATGGATGCTCACGCCAGGGTCATAGACTGGCGCAGTAATCGCAAAGTCCTCTGGTATTGTCATATTTCCACCTTTGACAATGTTTTCTTCCACCCACTCCATCTCTTTCTCTACGAGGGGCCTATAGAACGCGTCGCCTTCGTCGGCAGGCACTTGCGCATGAGGGTTACCGACTTCCAGGTCCCTAGCAAAGACACGAGTTATGGCGAGCCATTCCTTGTCGTACTGCAACTGCAAAGGTCGCTGAATCTCAGCTGGTGTATGCGGAGTAATCTCTAGCAGCTGGAGGAAGTGCCGTTTTGGCAAGCATTTATCGAGTGCGAGAAAATTGGTCGTTTTATTCGTAATGTCTGTAGGGAAGGGCAGAGTGGGTACCCTTTCGGTTCTCGGACGGGCAAAGGATTCCGGCAACAACTCTCGGATATCTTGAGGAACCTCTGAGCTGCCATTCGGACTATTTTTGGGTTGGGCAGCTTCACTAGACTTGGGGGCGGGAGCAGTGACCTGCGCTATTTCCTCATCGTCCATATCAAGATCGATCTCGGCGTCATTCTTGGGTGCTGACACGGGTGCCTCATCCACAGCCTCCAAATCGATCTCACTATCATTTACGACAGCTAGGGGAGGGGCATTTTGGCTGGTCTCTGTCCTGGTATCGGTCTGTGCATCCGTATGTTCCCATACAGCTGAGAACTTGGTATGCATATGAGCACTGAACCAATGTGGAGGCCGCAGCCGCTCTAGAACAGTTGTTGCGGCTGTGCTTCCCAATGTGCCATCCTTTGCTTCCTGTTCGAAGTCAGGCTTGAACCTGAAGAGCTGCCGGTGGTTGCCCTTCCATTCCATGCTGCGCGGCCAGTCATGGCTCAATCCAATGTCAACTTGTGTTCGAATCTGTAGCAGCTTGCGCACGTCGAGCTCTCGGACGTGGTATATGCTCCTCACATCATCGCTGTTGTATGGCAGTCGTTCGAAATGGGGTTTCTTGTAGTTGTAGCCTTTCCAGATGCCGGATAGACCGGAAATTCGGAGAGGACCTAATCGAATTACATTTGCAGCGCCCATATAGTAGATCCTCGGTGCAGCCCAGCCTCCGTAATACAGCTCCCACATGTAACTGCTCGCTTCGTGGTTGCCTCCAATGAAGACGGTCAAGTATGGGGCGACTCGAGCGCCCGCGTAGTACTCGTGGAAGTCGTGCATGGCGTAGTATTTGCTGGGCATAGAAACGGCCTTGAGGTCGGCTGCATTGCGAACGGCCTGAGATATTAGACACAAGCGGAGAGAAGCAAGACACGAACATACCTGAAAGTCACCTCCAATTATCAAAAGATCCACATCCGGCCATCCCTTGAGCTCACAAGCCTTTGCAACTGAGGCGTAGATCTCGTGAAGTACTCCGTGGCCACAGCCTTCGACTGCTATGCGCAGCCCTTGCTGTTCAAGCAAAGTCGGCGACGCCATGCTTCGTCGTTGTCAAAGAGCTATTTGTTAGTGACGCAGTATTAGCAGTAAGACCAAGACAATGCTTTTGACCAATTGTCCATGCAGTACATGAGCGCAAGAGGTCGCGACACGGAATCAACGTAGTCCACTGTAGAAAGAGCTTGATAGTCCCAGGCACTGCCAGGGAGCACGACGAGAGCCTGCAGGTCTAGCGCCGGAGGTCGGGGTTTGCATATCGATAAGAAGCGAGAAGGGAGCTCCTCGAGTTCTTCACGATTGCCAGCAGTAAATCCAACCTAACGATGGCTCTCACTGATCAAATCGAACGCAGGGCCAGGTTCCTCCAAGAAGCAGCTCACTCTCTCGCCGTCACATCGCCCGCAGCTTCTGCCTTTCTAGGGTCCACGCGCATCAACCTTATTGACGATGCCCATCAAGTAATCTCGAGCAAAGAGTATGATGCTCTACGAAGGGAAGTTTGCCATGCCTGCGGAAGCTTGTTGATCCCTGGATGGTCCTGCACGGTTTCAATTCGTGCTCAACTCAAGGGCAAGGCCAAAAAACCCAAAGACGGCAGCACGACGTCGATGAAATCAGACAAAAGCACCGTCTATGACTGCTTTAGATGCCACCGAGAGACAACCGAAACACTTCAACCGAAGCCCTCCAGGCCCCTGAGGAAGGGGAAGAGCCATACAGCACCAGATTCAAAACCAGCGTTGGACACTCAGAAGTCAACAAGAGAGGATGACGCCAAGGTAGTCAAGTCAATCAATGCGAGCAGCAAACAGAGACAAAAGGCTCGCAAAGGTGGTCTACAGGCCATGCTCGAAAAGAACAAGACGCAAACCTCGAGCCAAGGAGGATTCGATCTCATGGACTTTGCGATGTGACAGCCACACATGCATAGGGCTGAATGGTCCAGGGTCCGCTTACCCTGCAGGGAAGGCGCCAGAAGCTTGTCGACCCCACCATCCTTAGAACGCCGACGCGGGGCTCGAAATTTTTGAGACCTTCGTCATTCCGAATATAAAGCCAACCAAAAAAGACAGCCACTTCTTCGAACCACCCTACACACATTTTAAAAAAGTTTTCAACATGGCACAACAGCAGAGTCTTGCGAAGGACCTCTTCGAGGACATGGGCCGCAAAGTCGCAGAGGCGAGTGCTCAGGAGGACGGCGAGGACGGGACCAAGGTGGTTGACGTGATCGAGAGCTTGTGCATGAACTGTCACGAAGATGTACGTACTTGCGTGTTGAGACGACGTGCATAACTAATCAGGACCAAGGGCACCACACGACTTCTTCTCACCAAGATTCCCTTCTTCCGCGAAATTGTGCTCATGTCCTTCGAGTGCCCGCACTGCCACTTCAAAAACGCCGAGATACAGTCTGCCGGCGAGATACAGCAACGCGGCGTCAAGTTCACACTCAGAGTCGACACGTCGGACGATCTGAGCCGCCAGATTATCAAGGGCGACACTGCGATATTCCGGGTCGAGGATCTTGATCTAGAGATTCCGCCTGGTCGAGGACAGTTGACGAACGTTGAGGGTATTCTTGCAATGGTCGCACAAGATCTAGAGCAGAAGCAAGAGGAGAGGAAACAAGTCGTGCCGGAGGTGTACGAGAAGGTCCAGGGAGTCATCGAGACATTAAAGCAGATGGTGAGCGGGCAGAAGCTGCCATTCAAGATTACCGTCGATGATCCCGCCGGCAACTCCTCAATCGAGCCACCAAGCGTGCTCCACGCAGGAAAGTACTCTCGAAACGAGTACCCACGAACTGCCGCCCAGAACGAAGCGCTTGGTCTGGGTGATACCAGCGGCGAAGCACCAGCCACGGAAATTCGCCCGGAATACCAAGCCTCGCATATGTATCCCGAGATGCCTGATGCCTCTGTGCCCATGGTCAACAACGTAGACGAGGACGATATTGTCGAGAACCAAGTGTACTCGTTCCCCGCGACTTGTCCAGGATGCACCAAGTCCTGCACAACAAACATGAAGATGGTCAACATTCCTCACTTCAAGCAAGTTGTGCTGATGAGTACTGTTTGTGACCACTGTGGATACCGCAGTAACGAGGTCAAAACCGGAGGCGAAGTCCCCGAAAAGGGCCGCCGAATCACCGTCTCGATCGATTCCAAAGAAGACCTCTCACGCGATATCCTCAAAGCCGAATCCTGTGCGCTGTCTTGTCCTGAACTGAATCTTAGCGTAGAGCCTGGTACGCTTGGTGGCCGATTCACCACCGTCGAAGGGCTCCTGACACAGGTTCGCGATGACCTGAAGTCTTCCGTGTTCGATACTGGTGATGCAGGAGACTCTGTAGATTCAGCTTCCAGAGAGAAGTGGACAGTCTTCTTCGCCCAGCTTGATTCGGCTATTAGTGGTTCAGTCAAGTTCACCATCGTCCTCGATGACCCTCTTGCGAGCAGCTACGTTCAGAGCTTCACTGCACCAGAACCAGACCCTCAACTCAAGGTAGAGGATTACCAACGAACAGAGGCGGAAGAGGAGGAGCTGGGACTGAAAGACATGAAGACGGAGGGATACGAGGAGGAGCATGCGGCAGAGCAGGCAGCAGAGCAGGCGGCGACGAACGGCGCATAGATCTGACCGTAGAAACCTGATGGGCATTGAGAGTTCCTTATTCTTGCATTTGGGCCGGGGCCTCTTTAGATACCAGGGCTTCGCCAGCCATAATAGAGCATCTTCTTCACTACCAATTTTTCCATGCTTCCCTTTGGTTGTAGAAATTGCCCAAATCGTTTACCTCTTCATCCCGCCAGGAGGTGCATATGCATCATGATCCTCCTCGTCTGCACGTCTGGTGCCTTGTCAACTTGCCCTACACCGCAAGCCGCTGGAATTCATCAGGAAGCTTTCAACCCTCAATTGACTTCTGTTCAAATATCGGAACCCCTCTTGGTCAAACATCGTCTTCACCCAGCCAAGGGGTTGGCATGTATCGTAACCTTTTTAATCTCAATCCTCTCCTGTGGTCTTGACTTTTTATCCACCGCGACCTTCTCGATGTCATCTAGCACCTCGAACCCCTCCAAGACCTTGCCAAAGACGGTATTCTTCCCGTCCAAATGCGGCGCGGCGGCAAATGTGATGAAGAACTGACTTCCATTCGTATTGGGGCCTTTGTTTGCCATACTGACTATTCCTCTAGCATTGTGCCTGAGGGCTGGGCGTATCTCGTCCTCGAAGAGTTGGTTGGGCGTGTCGTAGATTGAGGGCGAGGCCTTGGACTTTGGATCCGAAGCAGGACTGCCGCCCTGCACCATGAAGTTGGGGATCATTCGGTGGAAAGGGCTGCCATTGTAGAAACTAGAGGCGCAGAGGGCGAGGAAGTTTTCGGCGGTCTTCGGGACGGTTTCGCAGAAGATTTCGAGCTTGATGTCACCACGGGTGGTGTGCAGCTGGCATCATGTTAGCCAAGGCTCAGTCAGAGCGCGAGCCAGTGAGTGGGCGAAGGGGGGCCGAGAGGATATGCAGTCAGATGTGAAGCTTATGAGACGCCCAGTAGACGTGCCCGCCCGCAGTCGGGGCATTGGAGAGCTCGGGGATGCGATACGGACACAGTACCATGGACCCGGGGAGCGCGTAGTTTGAGCGCAGCTGGAGGATAGGGATCTACTTACCGTGACAGACATGGTGTTGATGCAGGTCGGCGTGCATGTCGAGTGTCGTCGAGGTCGTGGGTTCCATGGGACCAGACTCAGCTTCATCAGCCGCCCCCACAATCATAAGCTAGGCCCTTGAATCGTACTGGAGTGCAACCCCCATGGTCGCTTGCTTTGTGCTATGACGGCCCGTCCGCGCCCTTTGCACTGCTCGACTGGCGCTGCGTTCGTTGTCATCGTCATTGTTACAGGCGCTCCTCCATAGCCCATGCTCAAAGCTTGCTACCTTGACAGTCGTTCGACGCTCATCATAAGGCGCCAGCTAAGCTCCCGCCTAGGCTTCGATAGCCCTACCAGCGGACCTGGACCCAAACCAACATCGCCAGTCTCTCCACGCATTCACTATACGGACAACGCTGCAGCACACAGCGCTTGCTCGCCCACCCGACCGCAGTCGACCGCCGCTGTGCGACGACGACGACCGGCTCGCCGCCGCATACCCCCGCCGGTTCCAGCATCTCTTACACCTGCATCTCCAACCCCACACCCATCCCGCACCCAGAAGGCTGTCCAGCTCTCAGCACAGCACAGCACCGCACAGCTGCCGGGCGCACCACACCGGAAGACTCCAGGCGCACGCGAACGAGAAGACCATACTCCAAGGCCCAAAGTCGACGCCCATGCAGCGCCTGCTGCCGTCCCAGGCCTGTGCCGACGAGCTCGTCATCGTGAGATACCATGTCGGCCTTTGTGCGCGTCTCTGGACCGCCAAACAGTAACTTCCTGGTGGGCTATCCAGGCATCTCAGCAACACTGGTATGTGTCTCTCGTTCGCTCTCGTGTCATTGAATGTCTTGCGACCCGTGGGTCTAATTGGAGCTGTGCTTCACTACCACCACCTCTTGGCGCATTGCTATATGGCGTAGGCTGACACCCAACAATAGCCTCGACTAGAAGGCAGAGTCGAGATACGGCCACTCGTGGGTGTGTCCGCCCCCGTAAATGTCTCGCTCGTTACCATCGCATTGCATCGGCGTGAAACCATACATCCCTCTGCCGACTCGGTCACGAAGAAGCACTTGGCAGCCCCGCGCAAGGAAATCACCGACATTGTCGGTAAGGAGATGCTTTTATACCGCTGTCATGCTGGAAGAGAATACGAGAGCATACTATCCATGGACCTGCCCTTTGTCATATTCATACCATATGGGCGAGGGGGCGAGGAGGTAGCGCGGAGAGTCCCGCCCGCAAGCTTACAGCTACCGAGTCGAACGGCTGAGACATTCTACGAACTGGTTGTGACTTTGCAACAAGGACCACAAGAGCAGAAGAAATACCCATTTCCCGTGCCCATACAACGATACGATACCCTCTCCACCTTTGGCATGTACAACCGACCGGAGAGCGCGGAACGAGTGACGGATCATTTGGTCACCTTGGGTATCAGTCTGCCACGGTGGAGTTATGGTCCGCTGGATCCCGTTTCCGTGTACATCAAACTGAGCCCGAACCCGGATTGGCTGAGCAAGGCAAAGAAGGTCACAATACAGAAGATTACGGTTGGCATAGATGAGGAGATCATCTTCAATCACGAGGGCGACGAACCAACACGGAAGGTCAAAACATTGGCCAGAACGACGCAGGCCGTTGGAGTCAAGATGCCAGAAGCTGGCTATTTCACAAACCTAGGACTGGTGTTTCCAGCAAAGGATGTACGAGATTCGGACGGCGTAATACCAAGAGGGAAGAAAGAGTTCCCAATGTACGCTGTCAATGGCTTTACCACGACGGGCACGCTGTACAAAATTGAGTATTATCTCACAGTCAAGGTAGGCTAGAAAGCTCCTCTATGGCACTCGGATTAGTCACTGACAAGTTTATAGGCACAGATGTCGTCAGCGCGAGACATTCTCCTCCGACAACCCATTGTGGTATGTCCATTTGACCACGCCGGTTGTAAAGAAGAGATGGAAGCCATTGAGCAAGCCGCCAAGGACGCCGCACACGTTTCGCCTGATAACCCAATGCTACCAGCCAGCACTATCGTCCGCGCGAACGACCCAGACGGCCTGAGGTCGCTGGGCATTGCGATTGTTGGAGGCGTGAGGAAACCCTTGATCGAGTGAAGATGTTCTTTTTGAGGACTTTGTACTTTGACTTGATCTATTGATGTTTTGACATCTGTTTTCGACGCCTCTCTTTAAGGGCAAGGAGGATTTACAGCATAGGACAACATGCATATATATAGCATAGCCAGTGTTGCAAGCGGTCGGGAAGCAGCAACAGCAAGGCACCACGAGGAGGTGGTGGAAAGATGTCCATGTGCACCACAACGTCTGCACGACGTCTTAGGTGCCGATGGTATACGACCCATCACCACACACGACCAGTTTCGTAAGGATCGCATCCACGACTAAGCTTGCACATCGATCAATTTACAGCGGCAGAGCCAGGAGTTCAGCAGCAGGAAGGTTACCATTTACGGAGTTTTGGCTTGGACATGGAAGGAAAGGGCAATGCAAAGCCGACCTCGGGAAAATATGGGCGGGGCTGGCCAATCTGCATCCTATGGCGTTTCGGTGACTCAATCTTGGGTATATGGGAGGATGAAGGACGGATGACTTGTTGTGTTTAGTGTTTCTGCGATATACCTTCTGCTGGATCGGCTTCGATTCTTAATCATATTTTTAGGTAGGAGAGAGGTAGGCGCTTGAAGTCATTTGTAGCGCGTGGCTTTGGAGTAAGGTGAGAGGGAATGTTGAATAGAGGGCGTGGAGATGTAGTTGAGACTTGGGTCCGTAGGAAGAACGGGGCCGTTGCGTATACCCAGCACAGCGAGAGAAGTACTTTGAATAAACACTCTATTACTTCAAATGTGAATCTGACATGGAGTTTCTCCACTTTTCTTTCAACTCTCAACTATAATTCACACTTCATTCTCCTCGACATCAGGCCACTGATCCACCAACTCTCTCTCTCCTACACGCCCCTGCACCAACCTCTCCAGATTCATCCTAACACTATACCTCAGATACTTGGTCTCATACGCCCTTGCATACCCCCCTCCCAACCCCCCAATATCACTCTCCCCCTGCAACGGATGATGGTGGGCAAAAATAGGCGGCTGGCTCGTGACGCAAACGCGTTCCTTCCTCCCCTTTCTCTCTGTCTCAGGGGCCAGCTTGGTAGGTGGAAACTGGGCGCCCATGTCTGGATCGAAGCCCGCGCACCAGCGTCCCAGCTCAGAATCAAAGATGCCGTTCCACCCTGCGAGGCCGAATTGGTGCAGTAGGCGGCGCGCGCCCCGCTGGGTCACGGCGTAGCCTACGGTGCAGAGCTCGCCGCCTGTAGAGCGGTGGTAGATGCGTGTGTGGGGTGGGTAGGCGGTTGCGAGGGGGTCCGGGCCGCCTTGGAAGGGGTGCGCTTTGAGATGTTTGGGTATGGGGACGGTGGGGTCGTTGGGGTGTGTGAGGAGGAGGTTTGCTGCTGTTGTGGATGGTCGAGCGTGTTTGGAGGATGGGGCATGGGGAGAGCGAGGCATGCCGGCGCCGCAGTGGCCGAGCCAGAGGATGTCCCATGATGAGGGGTCTCCGTATGGTGATGTTGCTCCTGAGGGGTTGTGCTTTAGGTTGCGGAGATGCGGATTCTTTGATGCCTTAGATAGGGATAGGGAAGGGAGTTGTTTTGGTAGGTTATTTGTGTCGATGATCTTGAATGCCGTGTCTTCGGTTTCGGGATTCTGTCGGTGTTCAATCTGACTTTTTAGGTTTGGTGCCGAGAGTATGTCGTTGTTTTGAGACAAAACGCGCGAGGCGAGAGCGAACCGTTGGAGATTTTGGCGTACGCGAATATCCCAGTCTACATCATCCTCGAGAATGAATGCTGTGGTTAGATTCTGTTCAACTACCCTGATCAAGGATTAGCACAGAACAATTCGAGGTTGAACCAGCTGACTGCTCCCTACTAGGTGAGCAGAACGTACCTTTGCAGGGCATTCATATGAGTCCTCCAGCTTCCCCGAATACCTGATAATAGCTTGGTGTTTTCCTCTGGGGGTGGATAAGCGCTTTTCTTGATGCTTTCTCCTGTCACGCCATCCACAAACTCGAGCTTGATATTGGAGACGGCTGCGGAAAGAGACATGGCATCGCGACGGTCGGTGCGGAAGGGGAGATTGAGAACGAGGATTTTTTGGAACTTGGAAACAGTCAGCATATGCCACGACTATTGAAGTCCTTTGACAGATCCCCACAGGCGAACAAGAGATCGGCATGCGTTATGAACGTACTCCAAGAGTGGTATTCAGAATATCGCTCAAGCTCTCATCCTTCAAGTATTCAAACGAGTCCTCTGGAATCAGAACCTCATGTCCCCCAAAGTTGAACCACATCCACAGCACACCAAAGAACAGACAAGTCGTCAGTAGCCTTGGCCTCGAGTAATACCAAGGTCTCCTTCTCTTCCCTGTACTAAAAGCCGCGCCGCTTCGTGGGGACATCAGGCCCATGGTATCGATGGATATACGGCGCGCCATGGTGAAGTAGCACAGCAACGCCGTGAATGACAAGAGAGAGAAGACATGATGGACGCGTGAGAAGATTCGGAATAGACGTCGTTAGAAGTTAACTAAGATACTATCGGCATGCTGCTGTTCATTACTGCTTGCTGCTGCTTCTGCGACAGACCAGGCTAAATCAATCTGCCGGGCTCTATATGCACCCCGCAATTACAAGCTCCTATACTCCAACCCGCGAATATATTGAGGGCGCCAGCACGAAAGGGGCCAACTCGAATGGCATGGCACGTGAAAGCAAGTACAAGGGCAGTCGGGGAAGTGTGGCGGAATTGGGAACGTCGCCGCGGACTTCTCTGGCTGAGAAATGGGGGCGCCTTGGAAATCCGAGCTTATCGATAGGTGGGCGCGTTGGTGACTGGGAAATACTTCTGGGTGCATCGCCGTGCTTCGGCGCGAACAGTATGATTGATCTTTTGTTGCAGCTTTTCTTTCTTTCAGACTTTGGCACTGCTTGACTTTGTTTCCTTAAGAGCATAGTGCCGTCCTCTTTTCTCTGTTCTAGTACCAGTCGCATCGCATCGCATCGCATCGCACATCGACATTTCCCTCGTCGCCACCCCTCCCCCACTTCCTTTGCTCACCATGAGCGCCATTCTCTCTGCAGACGACCTGAATGACTTTATATCACCCGGCGTCGCATGTATAAAGCCCATCGAGACACTCCCTATAAAGAGCGAAGATAATTCGGTACGTACAACCCGGAGGAGGCATTGCGTCATGGGTGCAATCGCAGAATACTGACAAATCCAATATAGAATCCATACGAAGTCACCACCGAAGAGAAAGCCGCTGCCGCGCAACCGCCCCCACCCGCGTCGATATCGCTTACAGATTGTCTGGCGTGCTCGGGATGTGTGACGAGTGCTGAGGCGGTGCTTGTTAGCTTGCAGAGCCATACTGAGGTCTTGAGTACGCTGGATACGTACAAATCGTTAAGAGCACCGTGGACACACAATGGGGTAAATGGGGTCGTGAACGGGTATACAAGTAATGGGGGCACGAATGGTGTGAATGGTAATCATGCTGAGGGAAAACTGTTCGTGGCCAGCGTCTCGCCGCAGGCACGCGCGAGTCTGGCGGCCGTCTTCAATGTCTCTGAGGCCGAGGCAGGGAACATGATCACGCAGCTCCTCAGCGGCCCCTCAGGTTTAAGAGCTGGCAGTCAACAAGGAAGCGACTTCACATGGGTCATCGACACAAACGTAGTGCGCGAAGCATGCCTAGTCGCGGCAGCAGACGAAGTTGCCAATGCCCTCACTCCCGAGTCCTCGAACGCACCGTCAAAGCCTGGGTCCGAGGGCGCAATCGATACCACACCCAAGCAACCCATCCTCACATCTGCATGCCCAGGCTGGATATGTTACGCCGAAAAGACACATCCCTACGTCCTCCCACATCTCTCGCGCTTAAAGTCGCCTCAGGCCCTCACCGGCACACTCGTAAAGTCCGTTCTCAGTCAACGCTATAACGTATCCCCGTCACAGATATGGCACCTCGCCATCATGCCCTGCTTCGACAAGAAGCTCGAGGCCAGCCGCGGCGAGCTCACTTCTTCTGCCTGGCTGCCCAACCACGACTCCTCGCAAGATCCCGTAAGAGACGTCGACTGCGTAATCACAGCGCGTGAATTGTTGCATCTAGCCTCAGCGCGCGGCATCCACTTCTCCTCGCTTCCTCGAACACCCCTCTCCTCCGCAGATCGAACGCCCTTTCCCGACCCAAAACTCGACGCTTTCCTCTTTCCCCCTTCACGGCGGAAGAACCAGGATGTCGCTGCTGGCCCGTCTGGCGGCTATCTATACCACATACTCCAAACCTACCAAGCCCGCAACCCTGGATCCGAAATTTCAGTATCGCGCGGTCGCAACGCTGATGTTGTTGAATACTCGCTCATCCGCGGAAGGGAGACCATCTTCAAAGCAGCGCGCTTCTACGGATTCCGCAATATCCAGAACTTGGTACGGCGGCTAAAGCCTGCGCGGGCGAGTAGACTTCCTGGCGGCAAGACGGGTGTCAGCAGAAGACCAGGTGCGAATGGCGCGGCGGTGGGCGAGGGAGTAAAGGAGTATGCGTATGTGGAAGTCATGGCTTGCCCAGGAGGCTGTACGAATGGCGGGGGACAAATCAAAGTTTCCGAAGTAGACGACGTTCGCATTGCAGAGGGTTTGCAGGTGCCCAACGAGGATGGTGCCGTGATATCGAAGCCTGGTCCGAAAGAGCAGAAAGAGTGGCTAGCGAAGGTAGACGAGGCGTACTTCTCTGGCTCTGATTCAGAGTACGAAAAGGAATTGGACGGAGATGGCGACCAGACGATGCAGGATGCAGACACCAATTGCCACGTCAATGGCCACGTCGAGGATGACGTCGTGGACGGTATATCAAGATCGAGCATCAAGCGTGTTCTGACCCACTGGTCGGACATTACCGGCGTCGACATGCAGAAGCTGATATACACGTCGTACATCAAAGTGGAGAGCGATGTCGGCAAGAAGAAGCAGAGTGATATGGAGAGAGTGGCTGGCTTGGCTGTTAGTGTCGGCGGTGGCTGGTAGTACAGTCAGTCTTTCTTTTTTGGCATTTACGGACTTGCATGGGGAAGCATAGGGCGGCGTTTTCTAGACGGGACACGAGGAGCGTGTCTTCGCATTCACACGGCAATAGTGTTTGATTTCAAGGGATTTTGCTTGCAAGATGCAAGGATGGATGTTGAAAGTTTATTTCAATTTGGGCTAGGAAACCTAGACTAGTAGATATACATAGGAGAGGAACAGACAATCTGATGATCAGTCCGGGCCAGCCCAGGCGCAAAACGCTATGACAGTGGTATCAGACTCCCAGCCTTTCATACGGATTGTACAGTGACAGGCCAACCGGGGCGTCTTGTCGGAAGAGAACAGAACCAACCAGATACGATCGATATTAATAGATTACAATGAGGGTATAGTCGGAGACGTATTGAAATTTAAAGCAACGAGACGCCGATAAGGAACGGTCTATAAGAACACAAAAACGCAAGACGAGCGAAACGCAAATGAGATTTGGAGGACACAAGGAGAGAATGGCAGTTGATCGCTCAAGCTAATTCTTACAACCGCGACCGCAGTCACACCCATGCTCCAAGTGAATCCAACACCAATGCCAACGGCCCCAACCTTTAACCAACAAGTATAGTAATAAGCCGGGTAGATGATGATATAGCTGACAAATGCAGTCGCCAAATGCTGCTCAAATTGGGTATCCGCCAACGTAAACGAAATGAAGCACATAAAAAGAAAAACGCTTCCGCGCGGTCTAGTAAGGTATCTGGTAAGGAAAATCGGATGGCCCCTTGGATCAGAGGGCATGAAAATCCGGAGCGTGTGGCGGGAATCCCCACAGAGAGTCACCTTGACCCTGGTGATATCGACAATTTCCCACAAAATAGGTACGCTAAAATTGCCTCGCCACACGATAAAGTAAAATGCCGCCAAGTCGATGATTCTACAAAAGGAAATATGGTGGTGTACAGAGCGAATGTGAAGCTGATATGCGAGACAACAAATCGATGCTGTGTAGATGATGAACGATAGTGGAGTGCAAGGACTGTTGTGACGCCGATAACACCATCCCAAAGTGCGCTGCTTTTGAGGCCTCTGTGCGCGTCTAGTTGTGCCCTTCCTGGACTCGTACACCGTTCCTGCCGGGTGGTCGAAGGCTCGATATCGTACGGTCGTGAACGAAACGACGATGAAGACACTGGTTAAGCGCAGTGATCCGTATTACAATTATGTGACTGAAGGGTTGCAGAAGAATGCAAGGGAAGAAAAATTGCACAATGATCCAGAGATCACCGGTATAGCTTTTGAGTTGCCATAAGGCTGGCAGCCACGCTGGACGCCCAATCGTTCTCAGAATCTGATGGCGGGGTTGGCCATTTCGAGACGCTGTCGTTGGGTTTGCTGTGGGCTTTTGAGATTTCCATTGGCTTGCTAGGCGTTGTGTAGTTGGACTGTCCGAATCCGACACTGTTGCGGTTCGCCGAAGGCGACGGCGTGAGATACGACGCAGAAGGACCAAGGTCAGTTTGTGAGCGTTGTACCGCCTTCGCACCATCAAGTTTCTTCGCAGCGGAATGGGTAGAGGCGAGGACCTCGCTGAGAAGCTCTTCTTCCTCATTGGGAGTCTCGTATTGGTTTGCAGGATTTGACTTGACTTGAAGAGCTCGTCGTGTTCTGCTCGAGATGGGTGCATTGATGCCGTTCTCCGAGACTCGCGGCTCAGGGCCATGAGGGACCGAATGATGACGCTTGAGCATAGGATTCGTTGCGACACGAGAGCTCTTTGTCGAGTTGCTTTGTTGAGAGTGTGCTTCGACACTATCCCGTACGTGTTGCAAGGCTTTGTCGAGTTCGGAGAAGTCTGAAGTCGTAGATGTTGCTCCAACAGGTGTGGGCTGATCCGTGATCATCGATTGTCTGGCACCGGTGGCTCCCCACGGAGCACAACCTGCATTAGCCTCGATATCGTCCGAGTTGGGTGACATTGGCGTCTGATACCGCCCCGACAACCGTCGAGCACGCTTCCTGAGGTGTGAGAAGAAACCTTCTTTCTGTCCACTAGGCGGAGACACGAGGCCTGATTGGCCGTTCAACGCACGTTCCGCTTCTTGTCGGTGAATGTCTGTATAGTGATTGCCGTGGGAGGCGACAGACAGCTGACGACCAATCTTCTTTGCAGCCTGTTCGTCACCCTCTGCAAGACGCACGCTCGCTTGTGCAGTGACTTCAGCCGAGAGCGGAGAAATTGGCTTGATGGAAGGCAGAATGGGGATAGGCGCGCCATTGTGAGGGACCCCGTTCGTCCACGTAGCTCGCTTAGTAGCAGCGGGACGTTGCTTGGTCAATCCACTCACATCCCCAGAGTTCGCTTGTGCAGGCGATGCTGCAGGTGATAAGGGTTGCGTTGTCGTGTGTTGTGGAACTGCTGGAGCGCTTTCACGGGCAACCAACGAGCGGCGCAGCCACGAAGAGGTCTTTGAGGTGAGGCTAGGAGAGGCTTCTGGCGAGTCCTTTACGGAGATTTCTGATTGCTTGCGGCCCAATAGGCGAGAAGACGAGGACTTGAGACGTAGGGGATCGACTGCGTCCTGAAAATACTCGTGGGCAAGCGCCTGTGCTGACGTCGGCCTGGCTCGGGGATCCCACAACAGACACCACGTGACGAAGTTTGCCAAACTGGCAGGCCATTGTGGCGCTTGAAGGATTGTGTCTATCGCATGTGGAGCCATCTGCGAGTGGGTATTAGCAAGACGCCGGAACAAAGGCACGTGACGCCTTACCTTTGGGAATGAGAAGCCCAGCTTTTGCGCTAACCGGACACCTTCTTTCCATTCGCCGCCACCGACTCTCTGTCCATGTTTGTTGACCCAGCCTCCAGGGCTACCCATGATCTCGCAAACCCTCCATACTTGATCAACTTCGTTACCACCGGGGAAAAGTGGTTTTAGGGTTGCAATTTCGACAGCCATGGCACCTACGGCCCAAATGTCGACTGGGGCTGAATATTGACCGGCACGTAACAAGACCTCGGGCGCACGATACCATCGCGTCGATACGTATGTAGTGTAGGGTAGCTTTGAGTGCGTCTCTCGTGCCAGTCCAAAATCGGCAATCTTGATTGTGTAAACGGGTGGTGTCGATGGAGGAGTCATCAACGCCGAGTACCGACGGAACGGATGTGATGCGTCGTTGTGCTGTGATGTTGATACCAGGATGTTCTCTGGTTTGATGTCGCGGTGAAAGAACTCGCGATCGTGGATATGTTCAAGACCGCAGAGAATCTGGAACAGTATGCTCTTTACACTATGAGCGTCCATGGGCTTATGGTCTCGGGCCTTCATGAGCTGGTAGAGGTTGCCATCCATGTACTCCATGGCAATGTGGAGCCTGCGGCTATACGGGTCCAGAAAGATGTCCAGAGCCGGGACAAGATGTGGATGTGGCGGTAGTGATCTGAGGAAGATGACTTCCCGAAGCTCTAGACAGCTCGAGAATGAATCGAATGTCTTCTTCATTGTCTTGATCGCGACCTGTGACACGTTAGTAGGCGTCGATGACTGAGCGTCTGCGTAACATGGCACCTACCAAAGTACCGCGACGAGCGACGTGGGAGCCTGCAGTTCGTACGCGTGCAAGGGCAACGCTGCCGAAACTGCCGTCACCAATATCCTTCATTACTTCATACCTCTCTTCAAGAGAGGCCCAGCCATGCGGCTGGGTTTGTGACTCTGGATGCATGTTGATAGTTTGGGTTCAACCTTCTCAATGAGGGGTCTGTTGAAGCTCTGCTCCAGTTGGCAAGAGGACTGATGTAGGTTAGAACGCGTCGGTACGTTGTGAGAAGCTTAGATTGACTTACGAATGGATAGGTCCTCAAAGTAGTGATGGTGAAAGCCGAGTAGTGCCTTCAGTTCATCTCATTCAGGATATCGAGTTGCAGTGTTGGTAGTACAAGTTGAGTGAAGCGAAAATGTCGAATCAACCGGAGGGGGAGGGGGAGTTCAGTGCGTATCAAAGGGTTTGAGAAGCGATAGGAGCAGGAGTAAGGGTCCAGGTTTGATGCAGAAGCGGGAGTGTCGAAGAAATGAGAGACGAAGGGTGGAAGAGGCGTGTGGAGACAAGCCCAGGACCACGGTAGGCGGGTAGTATTCCGTAGGTTAGGTTGTTCTAGTGGGCATGAATGAGGAATGACTTTGTGACCATAGCTCCTCGTCGTCGAATATGGCTTGATGATCGGGCTGGGAGATTTGGCCGCGCCTGTGCGTCGGGGAGTAGGGATGTGGACTTTTTTGGGAATAGGCAAGAGAGGGTAAAGCAGAGGGCCAGATGCAGTGGATGGCGTTGCGAGGGAAGAAGACGAGGCGGTCTAGCGGGTGCTAGCTGGTGTGATTGCTGGACCGTGGTCCTAATGAGAGATGGAAAGGGTGCGAGACTGGGTCTTTGCACGAGTCGCGAGGCTAGGGGCAGGGGGATTAGAGTGGAAGGGGCGCTCGGGGAGGGCTGCGGTGCGTAATAATGAAGAAGGGCAGGGCCTGAAGGGGACAAGTCGACTCCTCGGCCAGCAGTCGGTCTGTCCTGTTGCTATGGTGAGAGAGAGAGAGAGAGCGGTCGCAGCAGTGTGCGTTGGCAAAAAGAGAGACGGCAAAAGCGAGGTGGGATGCAGAGACGCGACGGGTCAACGAGCGAAACACGGGGCAGCACAGCAAGGGCTGGGGGGGAAAGTCGTTATAGCGGTGAAAGTCAAAAGCATGGCGGGCGTGCGACTGCTGCTGGGGAGAGATGTGAAAGTGGCGTGCAGCAGCATTGAATCGTGTGAAATGAAAGCAGGACCGGGCTGACAAGAGTCGACGCTCGGGCGGTGCGTGAGAGGGACGAGGGAGGAGGAGCAGGAGGCAGAGGGGAGGGGGGGGGCGCTCTTCTTTGGGACTAGCGCCGTGGGCCACTTGACCCGCGTCGACGATTGGACGGGCCGCCCCCTTTTCTGCCATTCTTCCCGCCCTGATTGGAATCAAATTCGGCCTTTTGGGCTGCACATGCATTAATTTGTTATTCCAACGTGAGCCTGCGCACATCTTTCTTTTATTGTTATTGTTAGGGCCTGTTCGGTGGAACGAGCTGGAGCCACCAGAATCGCCGGATTAGGAAGCCCAGTTGAGATAGAGCTAGAAATAAGCGTCTGTTCAGTAATATAAAAGTTTTGCCTAGTATACCTAGAAATGTTATTTTGCTAGCAGCGCTACGTAATTTTACATCCTTGCTAGTGCTTACTAGCCCCGTTTTTTACCTCTTTAAGCTATATAGACGATTTAGCTCTAACATGCTACTCTAGATTATTATATCTAAACTGCTGCTATTGTTTTCTACGTAATCGCGATGCTACTAAGCATTAATAATACTATTATTATTACCTTAACTAGTATAATTGCTACTATTGTTGCTGTTGTTGTAAGCCGCAATAAGGACTACTACTAACTATTTAGTATAAGAACTTAATTTTCTAATTGCAATTATAGTAATTAATAGGTCGCTAACTATTTAAGTAATCTGCAGTAGTTATACTGTAAGAGTTAACTACGCAAGCTAGTATTTAATAGGATTGTAAAATATTTACGCGAACAGGAGTTAGTCCGCGACAGTATAGTCTTAGTTAAAGAGAAACTTCTTACCTTTCTCTATATTTGCAGCTATAAAGTTAGGTAGCAAAATACTAAATACAAGTGCGGGCAATTGCTTAATACTATATTAAAGTAAGCTATCTATTAATCTAGCTGTATAGTACTATTTTACTAACAGCGCGGAGAAGATTTTATAAAGTTTTTTAAGCGCTGCTTAAGCTCTATTTTAAGATTATATTACTAGCTTCTAGTAAGATTTTAACTGCAATTTGTAATAATCTAAAGCGTTAGCCGGCCTTTAAGGACTGCGTTAGAGCGTTAGACAGTTTTTATTTTTTCTTATATATACTGGCGGTTTAGCAGCGACGCTTCTGCAATTATTACGGCGATTTAACTTAAAATATGCTTGCTATTATTAATTTTAATATAAACTTTACTTACTTGTTAGCTAGCTAGGAAGGCTCTGCATATAATAGCTAGGTTTTCTAAAATACAAAGTTTTAAGGGTTTAGAGCACTAGAAAAATAATATTTTCTAGCAGACGCTAGCTATATAAATAGTGAGCTGACGCTCTTGCTATATTGCGGAGTTTGCTATTATCTGCAAAAAATTAGAGAAATTGCTTGCTAGCCTAACAACAAGTTTGAGTTGTTTAATTTCTGTTATTTAAGCCTAAAAAATATAGTAGAGAGGACTTTTAGCGTCTTTAAACGTTGCTAGTGTATTTTTAATCGCCTGTATAAATTTTTAATCCAGACGCAGGTTGAGCTTGTGTACAGTTTTGCTGCTATCTATAACTTTATTAATAAGTATTACCTAGTTAATAAAGACTTTAAGCAGCTTAAGGAGTATACAAATAAAAATGTTAATCTAGAGCAGCAGGAAGCGGAGAATTGCTTTAATATAAGTACTGTTAACAAAAGCGCGAGCGGCCAGAGAGAGGAAATTATAGATCTGCTATAGAAAAAGTATTGCGAGGCGATAGGGCGCGATTTATAAAGTTAAATATAGTGTTATAGTAGAAAAAATGCAATATTTAAGAAAGTTAAAGTTTAAAATACTAAAGTTAAACTATTATATATTACCTGTTTAGGCCTAGCGCTGTGCCTAGCTGTATAGTTTCCCTTAGCAACTGCCTGCAACTATATGCTATACTAACTGCCCTGCAATATTAACTACAGCAAGCTCTAAGTCTAGCCTATATCTATATTTAGGCGTTTTTACGCCTAAATACAACAATTTTAGACTAGTATTTGATAGGCTACTACGTTAGTTAGGCCTTTTATAACTACTTATAGCCTACTATAAAGCTAACTACTGCCTAACGCTTGCTAATAGGTGTAGTTTTAAGTACAGCTGCTTGTTAAAGCTTTTAGTAAGCCTTGCACTTTAAAGAATTAACGTTTTTAGGTATAATCTTAATTATCTACTATACCTACTTTTTTAACTAACTTGCCGCCGCCCTCCTATATATAACGCTCAATTGCGGCGCTAAAATTAATACTTTTAACTAAAGCGCCCTGCCGTTTAAGCAGCTAATTCCGCACTTATCTTTTCTTTATTTCTGCTATTATAATTACGTACAATTTAGTAGAGAATTTATTTAAAAACGCTTTTACTAAAGCTAACTAGAGCTTAATATTAAGCACCGCGAAGTACTCTAAAAATAGCTAAATTGTTTACTATTAATAGTCTTTGCTTATAGCTTCTGCGAGGGCTTTAAGCTAAGTTGCAATCTTAGAAATATAGTAACTAAGACGGTTGGTTAAGGTAAGCTTTTTTGCCCGCCTATTTATACTAAATACTAACTAAATTGCAGATCTTTTATAAAAGGAAACAGAGCTATTGCTCTTTTCTATTATTATTAATTAAGGTTTTTGTTAAGGATTTAGATTGCATTTAATTAATAGCGTTGCTTTATTTTTATTCTAGCTTTTAGCTGCTTTTTTAATTACTATAATATTTTGCCTAGTTGCGAGCACTCTATTAAACAATTAGCAGAGTTTTTTACTATACTTTAGAGCCCTGTACTTGAACCTGCGCGCCTTTTAATGCGCCTTAAAGTACGCTTCTAGCGCGGTTAGATTGCTAGTAACAACACTATCCTTATTAACGCTAAAGCTAGATTAATTAGTAAGTTTAACCTAGATCTTCTAGTTTTTTTTAAAAGAGTTATGTTTCGTTTTATAGTGCTAAACGCTAATAATAGTTGCCTTAGGCGCAACCCGCGATACCTCCCGCTAGGCGTATTCCTACACTTTTTTTTTATATTCTAAGTCCGCGCAGCAGCCGCGCTTAACTTTATTAACTAGCGCTTCTATAAAAGCTAATTCTATCGCCTCTAATTAGTATAACTGCAGCAAGGCTAACAAACTGCAGTATTGCGATAATAATAACAACAACAGCAGTAGCAGCGTTGCAGGAAAACTTAGCTCGCGAAAAAACTGCAGGCTTAGTAATAATAATCCTAATATTTAGGACGCGATACGCTACAAAACAGGATTTAAAATAAATATTAATAGCTCTATATTAACAGTAATAATTGACAATATTAATAATTAAAACTAATAAAGTACTACAAAACTAAACTAATATTTTTAGGCGCTGAACAGGGCCTCTAGTTTTAACTTTATTTGGGCTAGTTTGCCGCGCGCACTACTAGCCGCCTTTAGCCTAATACTACGCCTAAAACGACACTAATATTACTAGCTTAAATGGGGTCTACTGAACAGGCCCTTATTCTTATGTACATGTTGCATATACAAGTCCCCGAACTTGCCAGCATATAAGCATATAAGCAACCACCGCCGCCCCGCCGCCAACGCCGTGTGTTGATTGAGCCCGAAGCACTGTGCCGCTGCGGTTCGCCTTGCCCATCTCTCTACCTGCTTGCTTGCCTGCCTGCCTCCCCCGTGCCGCACAGGGAATCATCATGGTGAGTGAATCAATCACCCTGCCGTCGGGCATGAGCAAGCTTCATCAGGCGCAACCACGTTCCCCCCCCCCTCCCCCCTTTTCCATTTTCTACCTCGCGCCGGCGGCGCCCAGTTCCTGATTTGTAGCAGGTTCCTGACCATCCTGCAGCCTTACCCCATTGGCTGTCAGGGGCGCTGCAGGCGTCGCCATTGGCAGACAGCTGTCGCCCACACCCGCCAACGTGGTTTCGCGCGAGGCCTTCCTTCTAGTGTCCCCGCGGCTGTGCGGAACATACTGCGACGGTCAAAGAGTGACGGTCCCAATCTTCAATCCTGCCCCCTCGAGTCAGGCCTGTGTGATCAACCGCCCTCCTCCATCTCCTGACTGATGAGGGACAATCATCTGTCATGTTGACTCCAGCGCCCTGGGATCAGGCCAGCCAACCTGCCTGGTCAGGACACCAGCATTTCTCCGACCTGTCCTTGGTAGGCGCACGTCATCATCCCACGCACACACACACACACACACACACACACACACACACACAATGAGCACAAGCTACCTTCGACCGACGTTCGACAGACGCAGGGCGAGCGGGGA